GGGGGAGGGGGAGGGTGAGGAGGGGGGTGAGGATAGGGATGGGGAGGAGGAGGATGATGATGAAGTGTAGTGTTGTGTGGTCTGAGGTAGTGTGGATTAGCATAGTGAATGAAGAAGTAGTTGATGTGTGTCTTTTTTTCTATATGACAGTAAGAGTGCAGTGCAGTGCAGTGCTGAGATTAGGTTGTGATGTGGTGAGATGAGGTGGTGAGGTTGTTGTATACTATACTACATACTATATACTATACACCGTAGTCTGTAGTCTGTAGACTATAGTATTCCCTCCATCCATCTGTCCATCCATCCATCTATCAAGCTGTTCACGCTAGTGTTGGACACATACACACACATACACACACATACACACACATACACACACATACACACACATACACACACATACACACACATACACACACATACACACACATACACACACATATATACATATATATACCACCCGCTCCGTCCGCATTCGGGAATACGTAGATAAGTAAGTAGAAAGTAAGTAGAAAGTAAGTAGAAAGTAAGTAGTAAGTAAGTAGTAAGTAAGTAGTAAGTAAGTAGTAAGTAAGTAGTAAGTAAGTAGTAAGTAAGTAGTAAGTAAGTAGGAAGCTAGGCATTTCACTCTATATTTAAGAGGTTGACGTGTATGGCTCTCTATATTCCGTCTCTATGTCTCGATGATATCTCTATATCTATACCTCTCTGCATCTCTAGACTCTATCTATACATACCTATCTATATCTCCAACTCCATCTACATACCTACCTATACCTCTAGCTCCATGTCCCGATCCATCTCCAGACTCTACATCCATATCCATATATCCACCCAAGCCAGTAAACCGAACATACAAACCTCTTCTCTCCCTAACCTCCCCACGATTCAGGAAAGAGAGAAGCGGGGTAAGGTTTAGGGCGAGAAGCAATTAGAATACGAGCTTCTTCTTTCTACACACTTTCTACAAATGTTTCTTTTTTTTAAAAAAAATACTTCTTGTGGTTTACGATTTTTAGGGGACTTTTTTTTTGTCTTTGCTTTTTTTTTTTTTTATATTGTATCACTTTCTATATTGCTTCTTCATGTCTGTTTGTGTATGCCCCGGCGCGGATATTCGGCTGTGATGCTTGGATGCTTTAAAAGTACTTGGGATGGGGCTTTGTGTTGGGCGTGTTTCTTTCACGGGTGGGTAGGAAAGGTGGAGGAAGGGGAAGGAAAGGATGTTTCTGGTGGGGTTTGTTTGGGTTGTGGTGGGATGAGGAAGGGGTTTGATATTGGTTCTGCTGGGAGGGGGAATTGATTTGGGCATTCGTTCACTGTAGACAGAGTATAGATTTGACGGGACGCGATGATGTACGAGGCCGTGAGCATAAGGGGATATTCACGTAGAATAGCTCACGCTCAAGCTGACCAACACCGCCCAGCAGCTGGTCCTAGAAAAACTCATTATCGTCGCACCACAAACCACTCCCCCCGCCGCGCCCATTCCCACAACACCCCCTTTCCCCCCTAAAACGTACACCCAGACCCAATCTTAAACTCAGCATCCGGCACCCTCCGCATCTTCAAGCCCTCCACAATCCCATCAACCAGCCGACTCACCATACTGCCATCCGGGTCATTATTCGGATTAACCTCCGACACCGTAAGCCCCCTCACCTTCCGATGGCAGAGCAACTCGCCGAGCGCACCGAGCGCCACATCCGGGTCCAGTCCCGCATAATGGGGGAAATTAGCAAGGGGAAACACGCCGCTGTCGATGCAGTCGACGTCAAAGTTGACGTGTATGACGTCGACGCGGGCGTCGAGCCACTGCAGGGCGCGGCCGACGGTGCCCAGCGGATCCTGCTGCACGGTCTGCTTGCTGAAGGCCTTGAAGCCGTGCTCGAGCAGGTAGACCCAGTGCTCGGTCGCGGGCTGGCGCGGGTCGAAGCCGAAGAGGACGACGTTGTCGCGCGTGATGAGGGGTGCGCCGTCTGGGCTGCTGAACTGTCGCATGCTCTTTAGGCTGCCGGGCCGGGCGGTCAGGTGGGTCATGGTCATGCTGTCTAGGATTGCGCTGGCGCCTTCGGTGTCGGTTTGGGTGGGGAGGGTGAGGTCGACGTCGCCGTCGAAGTAGAGGAGGCCGAGTTTTGTGCCTGTCGGGTGCCAGGAGCTGAGGCCGGAGAGGACGGCGGGGGTGATGGAGCAGTCGCCGCCGAGGATGATGGGGAATGATGAGTGGAAGTCGGTGTGGTTGGTGGTGAGGTCTTTGTGGATGGCGGTGAGGACGGCGAGGGCGTTGTCTTCGTTGCGGACGCCGCTTTTCTTGATGGCTGGCTTCCATGTTGCTGCGTTGTGGAGGAAGTCGCTGAAGAGGACTTTGTTGTGGATTGAGACGCGGCAGCCGGCGGACTTGAGTTTGTGCTCGAGGCCGCCTTTCTTGAGGATGGCGTCGGGGGCGTTTCTTTGGCCGGGGAAATGCGTGCCGGCCTCGGTTGGGATGCAGATGATCCGGACCTGCTCGCCGTCCTGGAGGGGGTCGGCCATGGTTTGGTGAAGAGTCTTGTTAGCAAGGTTACGATTAGCACAGTCTTGGTATTTGGATAGCCGTGATCAGGGCGTTTTAGGCCGTCAGCATTGGATGAGCGAGGCTGTCATGAGCAATCATTTAGTGCTTCATTCCATGCCAACAGCTCTGGATCTCGACAGAATATGGACTCGAATCTGCGTGGGACAATGTGGTTATGGCGGACGAGGGATGTACTTGTGGTTTCAAACAATGGAGTCTGATGGAGAGTTGCACAGTTGTTGGAGAGTGTGGCTGTTACTGTGGGTGTACTGTGGCTGTGTCGCACTCAAGTGGCTTATGCTAGTCCATATCGGGAATTACCCCACACGCGCCTGCGGACGGGAGATTTGCCGTCCCTTCCGTTGTTATCACGATACCTATCATTGATGATCGCTGCTGCATCCTATTCATCATGAGAACACGCTGCTGAGACATTTCGCGCTTCGGAACAGATCACCAGCTCAAAACGAACTGGATGGTACCTACATACATGTACCGGGCTAGCCCTGCCACAAGCATCCAGTCCCTGCATCGCGAATTGCGATCAGCACTGTGTATCAGCTGATTCTATAGACTTTCATTTGCGCCCATCATCTATGCAAAGCTTACCAGGCTCGGTCGTGTCCTATCAAAGTTTCACCGCGTTCTCTTAGTCTAAACTCACTCATGAAATCGATATGACCTTCCTCATTGTCCTACATCTGCCGCCGTAACGGTAACGGTACCGGGCTGCAGCTTGCCAGCCCCTTGGCCTGTACTGTGTACCACGGCCCACTAGTGTCCTGTATAGCCAGCATATATAACTCAATAGACCTCCCGTCCTGCGTACGAGTCACGTTGCTCGTAGCACTCACTAATTGTATTTGTACTAAGACAATATGGTGAGAGTACTGGACGTTGTCGCCATCGTCGCAGTTGCGACAACTGCAACGGCACAACAACAGAGCGACTACGACCCTCTCCAGTATGTAGACCCGCTGATTGGGAGTGCAAACGGAGGCAATGTATTTGCAGGCGCTTCCATCCCGTATGGAATGGCAAAAGCTGTGGCAGACGTTGATAGCCAGAGTAATCAAGGAGGCTTCTCAAGCGACGGCGGCAACGTGACGGGCTTCTCGACCATGCACGACAGCGGGACCGGTGGCTCTCCCTCTTTGGTAGATTGCAACGTCTCCGGTATCACAGTTAGCATTTACTGATACTTCCAAAGGGTACATTTGCGTTCTTCGCCTACCCCGGATGTGATGGCGACGATATCAATCGCTGTGTGTTCCCCAAGAATGCGAGGAAGGTCGGCTACGTCAACGACTCTATCAAGGCCAAGCCCGGCTCCTTTGAGATATCACTTGTCAATGGCCTTTCCGCCGCCATGACCACAACACATCACACTTCTCTGTTCAGCTTCACCTTCTCAGAGCCATCGACCAGCCCGCTCATCCTGCTCGACCTCACGGACCTGCAGAACTCGAGACAAGACAATGCATCGATCTCGGTAGATGCAGACACTGGCCGCATGACCGGCAGTGCACGATTCCTACCATCCTTTGGCAGCGGCAACTATCTTCTTCACTTCTGCGCGGACTTCAAGGGCCCCAGCATCCGCGACAACGGCATATTCGCCAACAGCCGGGCAAGTGCAGACGTCAAAGACCTCCAGATTTCACGGTCGATAAATGGCTACCCCTTGCCGGGCGGAGGCTTCATCCGGTTCGGCTCCGGGGAAGGGCCGCTCCTTGCCCGCATCGCGACTTCCTTCATCAGTCCTGAGCAGGCATGCTCCCATGCGGAAGAGGAAATCGGTGACTTTGACTTTGACAGAGTCAAGAAAGCTGCAGAGGATATGTGGCGCGAAAAGCTCAGCCCTATCAAGCTTGACTTTACAGGCGTCGATCCTGATCTGGTAAAGAACTTTTACAGTGGTGTGTACCGTACCATGGTCAATCCGCAAGACTACACCGGCGAAAATCCGCTCTGGAAGAGCGACGAGCCATATTTTGACTCGTTTTATTGGTACCTGCCTCTTTGCTGCCTGAATGAGATCTCTCGCTGACACTCGTCTAGTCTTTGGGATAGTTTTCGGTCGCAGATTCCAATGGTAGGTTGATGCCGGGCGTTTGTGCATAGCTCTGTCACGACATATCGCGTGACCCGTCCCAACGAACACTTTGCTAATTCTCGCATCCAGCTTACCATCATTGACACAACTGCTGTCGCTCGAATGATCAGATCATTAATCGAAACGTACGTCCATGTAGGATGGCTGCCCGATTGTCGTATGTTGCGTCTTCAACCCTGTCGTTTCGAGTATACAGTTCTGACAATCTCTGCAGGGATGACCCTTTGCAAGGGCTTTACCCAAGGCGGCTCAAATGCAGACAATGTACTTGTGGATGCATACGTAAAGGGCGTTTCCGACGGCATCGACTGGGATCTGGGCTATCAAGCAGTCGTCAAAGACGCTGAAGTCGAGCCCTATGACTGGTCCAACCAAGGTCGCGGCGGTCTGGACAGCTGGAAATCGCTCGGATACATTCCTGTGCAAGACTTCGACTACAAAGGTTTCGGCACAATGACGCGCTCCATTTCGCGCACGCTTGAGTACTCGTATAACGATTTCGTCATCGCACACTTGGCCTCTCGACTGGGTGGCCGCGAAGCAGACGTCCAGAAATACCTCGGCCGCAGTGGAAACTGGCAGAATCTGTACAAGGCAAACCAGACTTCCATGAACTTCGATGGCTCCGACACTGGGTATACCGGCTTCTTTCAACCTCGCTATCTCAACGGCACATTCGGCTTCCAAGATCCCCTCAAATGTGCCAACACCGACTCGTCCGGGTCCGTATGCTCTCTCCAAAATTCCGGCGCCGAGACATTCGAATCTTCGATCTGGGAGTACTCCTACTTCGTACCGCACGACCAAGCCACACTGATATCGCTGTTCGGCGGTCCCGAAAACTTTGTCAAACGGCTCGACTATCTGCACGACCAGAACATAACATACATCGGCAACGAGCCCTCGTTTCTCACCGTCTTCCAGTACCACTACGCCGGCCGTCCTGCAAAGAGCGCTCTGCGCAGCCACTTCTACATCCCCCGCTTCTTCAGCACAACGCCCGCCGGCCTGCCCGGCAACGACGACAGCGGCGCCATGGGCTCCTTCGTCGCAATGAGCATGATGGGCCTCTTCCCAAACCCAGGCCAAGACGTCTACTTCATCATCCCGCCATACTTCCCCTCCGTCAGCATCACGTCCCCCGCCACAAACAAGACGGCAAGCGTCAGAGTCACAAACTTCGACCCCACGTACGCGGCTGTGTATATCCAGAACGTGACGCTGGACGGGCAGCCGTACACGCGGAACTGGATCGATCATAGCTTCTTCACCGATGGCAAGGAGTTGGTGATTACGGTGGGCTCGACGGAGAGTGCGTGGGGCACCCGTGTGGAGGATTTGCCGCCGAGTGTGGGCGAGTATGTGGGCTTTAATGGGTCTGCGCCTGCGAAGCGGATGGAGAGGCGGATGGAGGACGGGAGGGAGGAGGCGGCTGGGATGGGTCGGATGGGTTTGCCGTAGATATCTTGAACAAGCCTCTATTCCCATATCCCTACACGTGTCCTTGACAATCGCATCGCGAAAATTAGTAAGGACCGCCACGTTCAATTCCAACAACGAGGTTTCCTCTGATTGATGTCATTCTATTATTGGAATCACAGCCGCACAATCATCCCGCACACAAACGCCCCCAAGGTCACAAGTATGAAACTGCTCAACACCCCAAACCCATCTCCCCCTAACCATCCTCGAACACACATATAACCCTAAGTTCTCTTGATATGCAAGAATAGAGGTTGACCAGCTCTTGTCTGAGCCGAGGTTGCTACCACATACCCCAGGTACTCCATTCGGAGGAGTTGGAGGGGAAGGTTGCAAAGATCTTCGGCGAGGTCTTCGGATCAGTGCTGACCCGATCATGGACATAACAAGCTTTGAAGACTTTATCTTTGCTGGCTCGACGACGGCCTCACCCGTGTTTCTTCGATTTCTGAGGAGTCTTAGACAGGAGGTGTCAGCTCGGGGTGTGTTTACACATGGCGATATCCGACCTGCAAACATTATTGTGCGTCAAGGCGAAGACTTGACTTGGAAAGTCGTCGCGCTTATTGATTGGGAGACCAGTGGCTTCTATCCTTCATACTGGGAATGCGTCAAGATGACAAACAATTTCCATCATACAGACAATCACGACTGGTACTTGTACCTGCCAGAATCTGTATCTCAACATCGGTATCCCGTTGACTGGCTCGTCGACAGAGTATTGGATATTCATCTTAAGAATAGTTAGTATAGAACGTCATAGATTGGGTGTAATGCGGTAAAAAGGCGGGACATGAAGTCCTCATGATTTTCATAGTCGGCAAGGGCCTACAGTCGAGTTTATATATATAACAGGGCAGAGGCCCGATTAGGCATAGCGCAGCGGGCGGGAGCAAGTACGCTAAATTTAGAACGGCAATCGCCGTTTCCTGACGACCATGAATGCGATTTTGCCGCCTACGTCTTTATAAGTAGACTCTAGTTGAACGTCGGGTAGAGTGAACTCTAGATAAGACAGTTGAGGGTGAGAATGCGCATGCGTGAGTGCTAAGAGCCTTAAGTTCTTAGTAGGACAACGACAGATACAGCGCATACTCATTATACACAAGTTCCACACACACACGTACATACACAGACCCACACCGTCCTACAGTTCAACCAATTTATCTCTCTTGTGCTCTCTCTTGCTCTCTCACTCATTCTTTCCCTTTCCACGGGACCCTGCCAGACGCGAGTATAAGTGAGTACCAGACCAGGGTATCGTACATGTCTCGAGCAGCACGGACGTGCGCATGCCCCCGCTGCGTGGTTTTGATGGTGCCCATATTATTTCTGAAGCAGATCAATCAACGTGCTGCGGTTTTATCACCTTGACGAATGTAAAGGATGCGAAGTGATGCAATGCGCAACTTAAATTTTCCTGCGTCCAGACTCCAGCGGGGGCAGGGCCCCGAAGACGCGTGCTTGCATGCGAATATAGGTCATGGTACATATATATATAAATATATACATCACCTAGCGTAAGTATTAGAGTCCATTTTATTCCTCTTTCCGCGTTTTCTCGCCGTCTCAACCCCCTTCCCTTCCCCGCTCCTTCGCGTGCGCGGATCAGAGCACACACAGTTCAAGACAGTCATGTCGCGGTCCACGAGGTGGAGAGGAATAGCTCCCAAGATTGTAGCAGTACTCGCACTCTACACTGTGCCCTCCGTGGCTATGGGAACCTACGCATTTCACAGATCATGCGACGAGTACCCCTTTATAGAGGAAGCCATGAAAGAAGCCATAGACATGGCCAAGATAGCATATGAGCACCTCCGCACGGACGTTTTCCCACCCGACCTCCTTCCGGCGTTTCTGCGCGTCTTCAATACTTCCCCCTACGGCGCCAACCGTATGAGAGACGTCATGGGCATCGTGAGACCCGTAAAGCAGACCTACAAGGCTATATCCATGTTGCAGCCCATACCCCGATCTGCATGGGATTATGCCGACACCCACATCTACTGCGACGACGATGACCGCTGGAAGCCGCAGGACGACGATAAGGTGTCTCCGGACAATGCCCTTGGGATGGTTATGGTCCCGAACAGCCAACGAAGACCCGATAAAAAGGTCTATGAGGATGAGTCTAGCAGCTTGCTCACAATAGGCACACCCACCTGTCGCTTACCGGATATGATCGCGGCAACGTACCGAAAAGTGAGGCCATCGCCGCCGTATCGAGAGGTGCCGAGCGGGCGCAGCGCTATTACAATTTGCAAAGTGAGAGATAAGTACGCTTCGGCGACGATGGAAGCCCTGAAGCTGTTGGGATATTTCAGCATCCCAGAGCTCGGCATAGACGAATTAACCCAGCTCTTGAGTTTTCGTCTTCTGCATGAGCTTACAGCTACTGAGCCAATGAATAGTATGATTGAGAGTTTCCTGTGTTACGCAATGTCCGTGCGAGAGTGTGGCTGATTATTGCCTTTAGGGATACCTGACGAACGTGCGATTACGTGGCAGGATGTTATCTGGAAACATCCCACAGAAGCGGTGATGAGATCGGCCAATTATGGTAGGTCTGCCGGGCTTGTACTTCGCTATCTTGCTAAAAGGTGATACAGCTTTTTTTGGCCTACTGGTGCTGCTGGACGAGTGGGATTATTTACTGAGTAACGATCATGCTGAATCTATGCAGGGTATCCTAGATGTGAAGAGGCCCGAGAGTGATGACAACGATGACAGCGATTAATGAGAGAGTAGTCCTTGATGGCACGTCTAAACCACACCCGTTCAATAACTTTAATCACTCCTATAGCTAAATGACGTAACTACTCTTTACCTAACATCAAAAGACATGGGGAGTCGTCTGATCTATATTCTGCTAAATATATGAATTCTATAACAAGATTAGATACACTCAAGGGTTTATTTAGTGAGGTTCTTATCTAGGAAAAAGCGATCGGGGACTGCCCGCAGGCACTGTTGACTGACACGAGGACTGTTGTTGGCAATTCGCACTGTGATTGTGGCAAGCTCAACGGGTGGTCGAGATCTTCTTGTTAGAGGTCATTCAATACTGCTGGTAGGGCGGGCAAGGCAAGTGAAGTGTAGGACAGTCGGGGAAAGGCAAAAAAAGTAGAGCAAGTAGTGAACGCGGAGTGTGGAATGAGGGTCCAAGAGAAAGAAGACGTGTACTGATAGAAGGGACAGGAATGCAGAAATGAGAGTACAGAAATGCAAAAACGAGAGAGCAGAAAAAGCGACGAAAGTGATCGGTAACCAGTAGCCAAGAAGAAGGAGAAACAGACGAGCGAGATGTAGGAAGTGATTGGTCGGAGAAAGAGTACTGGGCGGAAGTGGCTGAAGTGGCTGAACGTTGAACGCCACACCGGTGATTATATGCGAGTCAGGTTAGAGCAGCGGCGGACGACAGCTCGTGTGCAGATTGACTCGTGCTGCGGCGGCAGCATGGAATGTTCTTTGCAGGGAGCTATCGAGTCAGAGCAGTAGTACCAGACGATGATTATGACCATCATCGTCATCATCATGAGCGGACGGGCGTAGAGTCAACAATGTCGCTTACAATGCCACTGTCCCATTCGCCTGCTTGTCGCGCTCCCTTGGGCCTCCAAGCGGTGCGTTGTACACCCACTCAGACGGACGAAGCAACAAAAGGCGACGAGGTGCAGGGGCGGCAGCACTAACTCTACGAAAAGGCCAATTATAGGCACCGCGCAAGGGAGAGGCATCGAAAACAAAATGCGCGCAATCATCTGATTCTGATGAAGTGGAGACGATATTCCAGCACGATTAAAGCAGTCCAATCCTTTCAGTAGAAGAGGCCTGAAAGATGACGCTGAGGTGGGCGCCGGCATGTGATAATCGTTTGTGCAGCATCGGCGCGTGTCACAAGGGCAGAGGCGACATGCCCTGGTCTCTGGCCCATTGCATACATAAATGGATCTTTCGGCGGGTCTAGGCGGCAATGCAGCCGCTATTTGGAAGCCAGAGATGGGGAAGAAAAAGGATGGAGATGGATATAAAGAAAGGAAGAAACAAAGAAAAAGAAGGCTCAGAAACAGGAGCTTAGGCATGGAAGTGGAGAAGCATCGCTTGTCAAGATATCCGGATGTACGTGTAGTCGAATCTTCGACGTTTCTGTACCGTCCTTCGCCACAAGTGCTAGGCTGTTGATGGCGGTAGAGCTATAGATGGCAATGCAGATGCAGATGCAGATGCAGATGTAGACGTAGATGCATGCAATGAGAACGAGAATGAGGATGAAAATGAAGTTAGATACGAATCTAACGTACGTATTTAATAATTAATAACTGATAAGTAGTCTTAGATCTGCCACCTGCCTTTGGTGGCTTGGCCCAATTTCGCATTCCGCTAGTTCTTGTTAGGTATAAACTTTCAAGTGGTATATATTTTACCATATATTGGTCATCTCCACCCGTCGGCTCACTATTTGCTATTACCAGGGCGGCAGGGCCAGGGGCCATTGATCGCATTTTCGTTTTCCCCCCCCGGTCGACGCCACAAACACCCGTTCCCCACACCTATACACTTTCCCGTATCTCTATTTGATTCTCCCCGTGACATCCGGAAGCACACTGTAACAACAAACTCTACTCACTGTACACTCATTCCCCTGTCGTCTGCGCCTACATCCCCATCTTTTCCCCGCGTCAGCTAACTACTCCCTGCGCCCTTGACCGCTATACCCTTACCGCTACGAGACCATGGCCTTGAATCGCCAACTGCCATGTGATTCCTTCTCCATGTTGTCTTTAGGCTCGAGGAAGACTACATAAACCACTCTTTGCCCGCTTGCTTGACCATGCTTTCTTGACCCTTACTGTGCCATTCAATTCGCCAATCATGATTGCTTCAATCTTCCTCGCTGCCCTCGCCGCCGTTCATGTCACTGCTTGGCCGCGATATGGCAATTCCCCCTCCAAGCTTGACTCCTACATTGAGTCCCAGCTGCAGAGATCACTCCAAGGCGTTTTTGATAACATTGGTCCTGATGGTGCAAAAGCCCCTGGTGCCCATGCTGGCATCGTCATTGCTTCTCCGTCGACGCTGGACCCTGACTGTAACTCTCACATCTATCCTCACCCAGCCTCAATTGCAACTGACATGTGCCAGACTACTTCACCTGGACTCGTGACTCTGCCTTAACCCTCAAGATGGTCGTCGATGAGTTTCTCACTGGCAACGAGAATGTTGAGCACTACATCAAAGAATACATCACTGCCCAAGCAATTCTCCAGACCGTCAGCAACCCCTCGGGCTCCCTCTCGTCTGGTCGTGGACTTGGCGAGCCAAAGTACTACTCCAACATCACTCGTTTCAATCGTTCTTGGGGTCGTCCACAGCGTGATGGTCCTGCCCTACGTGCCACTGCCATCATCGCTTACGCCAGGTACTTGCTCTCACGAGGCAAGACGCAAGAAGTGAAGAGTAGGGTTTGGCCAGTCGTCAAGAATGACCTTGCCTACGTTGCTCAATTCTGGAACTCCACTGGTTTCGATCTTTGGGAGGAAGTGAATGGTCGTTCGTTCTTTGCCACTGCGGTCCAGCACCGCGCTCTAGTTGAGGGCGCTGCTCTGGCTAACAAGATTGGCCTCTCTTGTGCTGACTGCGACTCTCAAGCGCCTAATGTTCTGTGCCTACTCCAGACATACTGGAACGGTCAGTATATCGTCTCCAACATGGGTGTTTCTGCTGTACGGACTGGTATCGATGCGAACAGCGTTTTGGGCTCGCTTGCCAGTAAGTTTATCATTTCATACCTCAGCAGCCGTCAGTTGACCTCTCAAAGCATTTGACCCTACTGCCTCCTGCACTGATGAGACTTTCCAACCTTGTTCTCATCGTGCACTTGCCAACCTCAAAGTCTACGTTGACTCGTTCCGCCCCGCATACACGATCAATGCCGGTCTTAATGAATCCGTTGCTGCTGCTACTGGTCGATACACTGAAGACGTCTACTACTTCGGCAACCCTTGGTACCTGACCACTCTCGCCGTGGCTGAGCAGCTCTACGACGCTGTCCAGCAATGGCGAGCTCTCTCCTCTCTCACCGTGACGTCTGTCGATCTTGCCTTCTGGAAAGCCATCAAATCTGATGCCGCAGAGGGCACGTACAATGCCGGTACTCAGTCCTTTGACTCTTACCTTTCAACTGCCATGACCTTTGCAGACGGCTTCGTCGACATTGTAAAAAAATACACTCCGATCGACGGCGGGTTAGCAGAACAGTACTCCCGCGAAAACGGCACTGCTGTCTCTGCACGCGACCTCACATGGTCCTACGCCTCCTTTGTCACCATGGCGGCAGCGCGTCGTGCAGCCCTCATTCATTCGTCAAAAGAGCGTAAGCCACTTCAGGTACCGTCCTGGGGCGAGCCAAACGCAAACAAGGTCCCGTCGGTATGTCTCGCGTCCTCTGCTCCTGGAACGTACATCCCTGCGACCAGTGCTGGCGCACCTGCAGGAGCCGGCGGATGCACGCTTACTGTCACATTCAACGTCAACGCCAGCACCTTCTTCGGTGAAAACGTATATATCTTTGGCAACACGACCGATCTCGGTGCTTGGAACACTCAGGATGCGATAGCAGGCAATGCCGCAGGTTACACTTCTGACCGTCCGCTGTGGGACTTTGAGATCGACCTCCCTGCGAGCAGTGGTGTGGAGTATGCCTTTTTGCGTGCGGAGCCGGATGGAAGTTTTATCCGAGAGGACGTAAATAGGACATACACGATACCGCCCTGTGGAGATGTGCCTGGAAATGGCACTGCAACAGTAGAGGATGCGTGGAGTGGTCCTGTCGGAACGCCTGCTGCATAGGTACAGTCAGATTGCAAGTGAATGCTCGTTTGGGAAAACGCGAATATCCTTACATTATTGATGCTGCGAGTAATTTCCCTCATAGAAATCATACTGATGCAAGAATTTAATGCATTTGCTTGTAACATCGGTCTTGGCAAAGACATTGCGTCTGTATAGGCTTTAGAAACAGACCTAACCCCTAGCCACACTCTTGACTCTCTCGTACATCAGAAAGAGTACATTCCATCAGGGACCTACTATCTCTATATGCGCAATCTACTCTACATACTGACAAGTCCTTTTTACAGATGTCTTGGATGCCGCTCCGTGGCTTGCACAGCCTCTCAACCTCCAAAGCGGGGTCAACACGACTAATCACTCATCATTAACCCAAAGCTCTAAATCCTCTCTAATCCTCTGCTGGCGCATCATGTCGCGACTTTCGCAAGGCTTCTCGAATCTATCGCTAACGTCGAGCCTCAGTCGCGAAGCACAAGCAGATCTAAATCGGCAGCATCAACGCTGGGGAGATACATTAGATCGAGCTCGAGCTGGTAACCAAGCACAAGTTGGTCCACATTTTCCTATTATCCTACCACCGGATGACTCTGAAAAACAATCGTGGAAATGCTTGCAGTATGAAGCTTTGCCAACCGAGACATCGATTCGTCTCATACGCATTCTTCCACTTCCCTCCCTACCGCACACTCTCACTGCACTCCATGATCCGATTGTCTGCCAGATAATTACCGTTGATCTGGCGGATAAGCCTGCTTATACTGCCCTGTCATACTGCTGGGGAGATCCACAGAATCTGTTCCCATTCCGTGACCTCCATCGTCCGGCCAAAGCCTGGGCAGCTCCAGCGTTCGAGATCCGGGTCCTCAACAATGAGACAGATTCGCAGCCGATATCTGTAAGCGCCAATCTCTATGCTGCTCTGCTTTCGCTTCGATACTTGGTCACTGAGAAAGCGTTTGGTGTCAACGATTATACCGACGCCGCTGCGTGTCCGTGTGACAACTTTTGGATCGATGCCATATGCATCGACCAGCTCAACAACACCGAGAAGACTTCTCAAGTAGCGATGATGCATCGGATATATAAACAAGCCACTATGGTTAACGTCTGGCTAGGTGGCTCTGATCCTGCGTCTGACATATTCGTACTCATCATGAACCGACTTGTTAAGTTGTTCATTGCTCACAACCAACAGCCTGGCGAGCTTGCTAGCCTTCGCCACATGCGAATCGCAGACGAGGACATGTATAAGAAGCTCAACAAGACTGTTGATGGATATTCCTTCGACTTCAGTCCCATTACCACTGGAGAATGGCTGTCGGTCTTTGCTTTCTTCTCCCGCTCGTGGTTCTCGAGGGCGTGGGTTGTCCAAGAGCTTGCATTCGCAAACAAGGCATTCGCACTATGCGGAACATCTTTACTCGACATTGATGAGCTAGTCATCATACAGAATGGCCTACGCCATACAAACTGGGGCACGCAACTTCAAGCCCTTGCCGTGTACTATATCGACCCCGAACCACATATCCACGATGAGGTCATGGAGCGCCGGTTGCCGAAGAGCAACGTCCCCCGGTTGTTCAGGCCAAGTGGCTCTACTTGGGGAGCTATGGATACTCTCGTTGAGATCTTCAATGTGGCGTTTGGCCTCGGCCGCACGAGTCATTTCCTCTGGAAAGAAGGAGTTTGGGGCCATGAGCGTCGTACAGATTGTCATCCGCACACATTGATGGAGGCCATGGGAATCTTCCACAACTCGAAGGCAACTGATCCGCGAGACAAAGTGTTTGCATTCTTTGGTGTGTCGGAGGAGTTTGTTGATGGCGCAGTGGTATCTGGATTTGTTACAGTGAAAGCAGACTACAGCTATACAGTGCGAGAGGTCTTTACACAGACGACTGTATTTTGCTTACATATGAGAAACGGACTCGAGATCTTAGAAAGAAATGGCCCTCAGACTGAGGAGAATGCCCATAATCTTCCGTCATGGGTCCCAGACTTCTCCTCTCCCGCTCCTTTCAATGGACGCATGCCATGGTCAGCAATAGACGCAGGCAAGGCTGAGTTCAAGGTCAATCTTCAACAAGGTATCTTAAACATTCGCGCCATTCGTATTGGCACAGTCACATCCACGTTCAAGTATGGGTCCGACGTTGATTTAATCTTACTCTCTGAGTTCCTAAAGCCCTTCTGTGCAGAACTGGCATATCCGGTGCCTTTCTGGGACGCCGCCAATCGAGCCCAGTGGCAAAACTTGCGTTGGAATTTACCGGCACCGAGGCCTAAAGGAAGTATAGACATCCATTCGCGCTGGCAAGTCCTGTGGAGGACTCAAGTGCGAAACAATACCAACCCACATTATCCTGCCGACGAAGCCGAGGCCACGATGATGCTCAGGTCCCTGGAGAAATGCCTCTTGCAGGAGATGTTGAAGTTTCTTGACTGGTACGGTCGAGAGTTGGAAGAGAACAAAGCGCGCCTCACTGCAGTCATCGATTTCAGTGGTCGGCGCACAACACCGCCACTTTCAAAGATCCTATACACCAACATGCTGAACGAGACGTGGAAGGAGAGAATGAAGCAGGAGTTTCCAGCCCGTGCAAAGACGATGACCAAGAGCATCGAAGCATTACAACACATCGTTGGAGACCTACGCAACGACGGCCAGTTCAAGTACATACACGAATTTCGCGCAGACGTTGCAAGTCATACCGTTCGAAACCAGCATCCCATAAGCAGCATATTCAACTTTGTAGACATCATCAGCAGCAGGATACAGACCATCACCGGCGAGGGTCTTGACACGCGTCCTTCCAAGATGCTGATACAAACATCGACTAATCTCATGGGCAACGCACCACTAGCAACCAAAGCGGGAGACGAGATATGGCTGATACCAGGCCTCCGATCGCCAGCTATACTACGCAAGGCCGAAAAGTCCATGCTCGAGCGCTTGCTGAGCAGAGGGCTTGAGTATGACTTCGCATTTCTCGGCGCAGCGTATATTCATGGCATCATGCATGGCGAGGCCACAGAGGGCGTCAAGGACGAGGATTTCTGTGAGATTCGTCTGATCTGAAGCCCTGCTTAGCATCATTAGACACCTTCATGCAGGTAGTCTCAGTCGGAGAGTGTAGTTTGAGCAGTAACCTTTGAACTGAAAGGTAAAACAGCAGATTGATTCCGCGAGAGATGGACTTGGTACCGGCCTTGCAGCACATATCACACCATTTCGTAACTCTCTTATCGTCGTCGATGCGGTGGAGCTTCTCGCCTGCTTTTAGGGGACTGGGTCGATACCGGGGAGTCTCAGTTGAGATGATGTGGTAGATCATGGCATGAATGTCGTCACTTGGCAATTGAGTCGCTAGCCCCAGAGGAATCACGGCAGTTATGTGACATACTCCTTTTGGCGTTTCCGTTCAGGTAAACTGTTTTGCTTCCACTGAGATCCGCGGTTCTTGGCAGGCACCACACTACCTTCAGGGCTACGTACGTCTACCTGTGGACGTTATGAACGAATTATTGGCGCCAAGGATCCTCAAACTTGTCAGCACTTGGCAGTCGCATGAGGTGGTGCATATATATCAGCCCAGCCACTCTTCACTTATGCGCTTCGTAACGCTAGAGGTCTTGGCCTTTTGATTAACCTATTGTTGGTAAGGTGTTTCTAATACTGCGCCATGCACACCCGGCTATGCTATCAATAGCGGCTGTCTGCGTCTACAGAAGGACGCATAATGCTCTCCTGATGCTTTGGTGGTGTCTTATCCTTATTTCGACTGCGACCATGTTGACGCGGCCGCGGTCTTGGATGCCGCTTCATTCAGAGGCGGAGTCGTCGGTCTCACTGACACGGCAGTCTTAATTCGCATATAATGATGAGACTTCTCGCTCGGGCACGGGAGTCTCTACATCCTACCCAAGACTCAGTTCAGGTATCCTGCAATACGAGCGGCATCACATCGCTATAAGTGCCAGGCCTCGACATCTCGTGCTGGAGTCATGTATCGCCTCAATCTTCTCTGGCCACTTCTGCTTCAAGGTGTGTTCCTTATCAAATTTTTCGCTAGATTTCTCCTCTGACATACCCAGTGGCAACTACATTTGCTCAGTTTACGACAACATGTTTTGATGGTAATGTCTGCTACCGACTCAACATTCCTCAGCAAACAGCAGACGATGGCCAGGGCGACATCTTTCTCCAAGTCACTGCGCCCACAGCCTTCTCCTGGGTGGCTATAGGACAGGGAAGTGGCATGGCCGGCTCACACATGTTCATCGTGTATGCAGCAAGCGCCGACAACGTCACAGTCTCGCCACGTCTTGGGGTTGGAGAGGTTGAGCCGGTATACACCCCCGACACCCAGCTCACCGTGCTGGAGGGCTCGGGCATCGCAGATGGTGTCATGACAGCCAACATTCGCTGTACGTAGTATCCGCCGTGCCCAGGTCTCCCGCAATACTAACAGGTCCGTTTCTCCAGGTTCCAACTGCGAGTCCTGGTCGGGAGGAAGCATGTCCTTCTCTGCAGCCTCAGCACAATGGATCCACGCTGCACACGCTGGTCCCCCTCTCGACTCAACCAGTCCGACGGAGCGCCTTTCCCAGCACAACGCCGGAGACTCACACTTCGACTGGGACATGTCCACAGCCGTCGGTGGATCCTCTTTAAATCCCTTCGTCGACGCTGCCACTGCCCCATCTCCGTCAGACAACCCTATAATCAACACTATAACAGAACCATTCCCCCCCGCCGTCCTCCTCGCACACGCCGTATGCGCCTGCCTCGCAATGCTCCTCCTCTTCCCCCTCGGCTCCATCAGCATACGCATCCCAGGCATCAAACATGCCCTCTACATCCACGCCGGCATCCAACTTACCGCACTCCTAACACTCACCGCCGGCGCTGCATGTGGCATCTACGTCGCCGCCGTCGACGGCTACGTAAGTTTCTCCTCCATTCCCACGTCTCACAAGCTAACCCTCACCCCAGCTCCGCACCCCGCATGCCATCATCGGCCTCGTCGTGCTCAGCCTGCTTCTCCTCGTCCAACCGCTCCTCGGCATGCTACACCACCGCCGTTTCGCACAGCTGCACCGCCGCACGTCCGTCTCGCACATGCACATCTGGCTCGGCCGCGGCGCCATCACGCTCGGCATCGTAAACGGCGGGCTTGGCTTGCAGCTCACGGGTGGCAACAAGGAGTGGAATATTGTGTACGGCGTTGTTGCCGCGGTGGTGTGGGTCAGCTGGATGGGTGTTGCGGGATGGGCAGAGGTCAGGAGGGTGCGTGGACAAAGTGCTGGAGTGGAAAATAGGGGGGGTATCGGGAAGGTGTCTGGTGGGAATGGGAATGGGCTGGGATCGATGGAGAGCGTGGGATCAGGGAGGGGCATGGCAGCGTAGAGATGTTGGGCTCGATGATGCATGAAGTTAGCGAAGGCGTTTTCATGGGCACTGTTACTGTTATGTACTGCGTAAATTCGTACTTGGAATACTGTACCTGCATAAAACATACAAGGCAGGAAATATACAATCGTAAACGCAACCACCCAACCCATCTCTATCTGTCCCGTATCTCCTCATCTACACTCTCATAGCAACCTCGATTTCATCCCGCTAAATCTTATAATCATCTCTTCCCCTCTTACCTAACCACTCTGAATCCTACTTAATCCTTTGCCTACACATACCTCCATCCATACATCAATCCACCCACCCGAACACACTGCTCTAATCGTCATGTACACAATCCAACCTCCGGGTACTAAACTCAGACAATGCCAATCCTCGTATACAAACCCACCGTCTGACCAAGAGGACTAGCGGAGAGCTAGTTAGAGAGTGCAATTATAATGTTATATAAGTGGTGTCAAGAAACAAGATGCAGTAAAAAATTGGATATCTATTTTGGAGGATAAGCCAAATCTTAGAGATAAACCAGTTATGCATGTCATACCGATGCTATGTTTTACGTCGAGACTCGGAGGTTAGATGGTCTATAATAAGGTCTTTTGAACTTTTGTTTTTCTTCTGAAGATTTCTGTTATAGATATAGATATAGAGAAGAGAATATATTCTAATTTTTTTTTCTCTTTTTGTGTCTCCTAGAAACTATAGTATATTCTTTCTTTTTCCTGTTTCTCTTTATGTCTTATATTCATGTATATGTGTTTTCATAGCCACGTCCGACAAATTCTACAGCGGCTAAGGTATGGTTGACAGACGGAGGAGGAGAAGGGACGAAGAACGTTGTGCAACATTCTTCTTTGCAAGTGAGTTTACTTGCGTGGTATATCGTAGATACTCCGTTCCCGTTCTTTGCACAGCGCATGAGAAGGCTATGTCTGAAATGCATAATTGCACAATTCCGTTTTGCCATTGGAGATCGTCTATGCTCGAACACGAAACTCGCATGTAGCCCAAGCGATTGTTCCCGCTTTTACGGAACATAGCACTTTCTTCCGGGTGCTCGTGTGAAGTTTGCATCTCGAGCACTCTGTGCATATGGTTTGCACAGGGTGCTTGCAAGTCAACTGTCTGCTTGTAGCATGGTTTCTAGCTTGCCACACATGACGTTCGCTTCAGGGAGCATGGCGATAAGCCCGTATTGGCCATCATTTCGTGCACGACAAGCGATAATGCGATACAACGAAAATGAGACAATTTGTAGTGCCCCTTGATGAGCCGCAGTGCCAATTAGTCTTGACTTCGGGATCCATACCACTGTCATAGATATACCTATGCACTGCTGGCTTCCACATCATACTCGACGTCGGTCCGGATGACATACTTGGCTCCTTCAACTACACCTGTGCCTTCGTGAAGCAGCGCATTTTGTGCCTCGCCGTGTGGAAAGACAGCCACGCTGCCCATGATCGGCTTGACAGGATATGCATTGATGACGCCATCTTGTAGACTTGGGATGAAAAATGTCGTCTCGCCACCGCGGAAGTCATCGTTGAGATAAATGAGAAACGTGAAGAGCGAGGATTGGCGAGCGGTAGCGGGGGATGAATCGTATTGGTATGCATCTGTGACAGTGTCAATACCGGATGGTGGCCATGCTCCGTCTGTCATAGAAGAGTCAGCGATGTAATGGTAGTCATGTGACGCGATATAAGTAGGACTGACCGATGTGGCATCTGTATTCGGCGCCTGGTACATATCTGTAGACCCTAAATCGTCGATTGATGCCGCGTACCACCTTACCGCCTACGCTTTCCGGTACGAATGGCTTCACTCTGTCCCACAGTTTGTCGTGAAGCGCCTTGTCAACAATCCAGTAGAAGTTGTGCGCCAGAATACTGGTTTCTTCGCCCTGCGGTCGTAGCGGCGCGTCGGGGAGGAATCCCATTGTTTCGCCTGCGCAGATGATTGACGTGCATTCTTCGGGTGAGAGTACATCCCTGATGAGTCTTAGGTTAGGCACAACCGGATGATTGCGACATTCGGTTTTTGGGGGGTTTGCGAGAGGGACGGCGTCGTCGGTGGAGGCGAATAGAACTGCAGGATGGAGATTCGGTGGTTTACGCGACAAACCAGGGGTAGTTTCGAGGACGCGGAAGCGCGATTTGAGGTCTGCGGGCGAAGATGAAAAGATAGTTTCGTCGGCGATTGCTTCACGAACGTGGCGAGTTGGTTCTGTGATGCCGCGAAGATCCCATGTCTCCTGCAACGCAACAGTACCAGGGGCTCTGCATACTTTCGGAAGATTTGTGTCGGTTGGACCGGTGACTCGTAAGATGGCGTCCAAGACTTGAATCAAGTCGTGATTGGAAGCATTCTGGCCAACAACGGTTTGGTTCGGCACTTCAACATGGATCGATAATCCAGATACTACATCTAATGTCCGGACCCATCGGCACAGTGCACCCAAGGCAGGCGTCTCCTTTCTAATGCGCATCTCAGCCAGTAAGATGCGTGCATCAAGATAGTTGGCATCGGTGAGCGCGGCGGATATCCGTGCAGTGAGATTGCTACCCTCTGTACGTAGGTAGACGGTCAGTCAGCAAATAAACCCATGACATATGAGTACAGGACAAACCTACCTGCCGCAAGCATGCCAGTGGTACTGGCCTGACGGAAACTGTATACCGCCGTTCGTAAGTCCTTACATGCCTTCGACTTGATGACGGCAGGATGCTCAGCAAGCGTCTGCAACGTCTCGACTGCAATCTCTAGCTCTTCTGATGAAATGACCGAGTTGACCCTCTCTGGACCCATATGCGTGTTCGTATCTCCTGGCGGACTTGGAATCCCACCATTTGAAGCATGTTTCTTGGCGGTGCCCGAGGTTGCCAGTGCATTGTTACGCTTGCGCTTCCCCATGTCGTAGTGTCGTCCCGAACCAATGACGCTGATATTTGTATTAAGGTTACTAGATGTGTGCGTAAGTCTTAGGCTGCCACTATAAAGTCAAGAAGGCGAAGCTTCGACTTGATATCACTTGATTCGTTGTTGTTTCGGGAGCAAATTTCGAAGCCGTGCGGGCGGCAGTCACGTGAGTATCAATCGCATATGATAGCTAGTCACGTGCCTGATTCCGCCAATCTTATCTTTTTTACTTTCGCCCTTCTTCATTCTTCCATCTGTCAGCATCACGTTGCCTTTTTCGTGTGCCAATTCCTCCATAGATTTTGGGATGGCTTCTTCTCTCAATCTCTCGAGGAATTCTCTCAGGAAGTGTCTGATCAATGCGCTACCTTTCACATGTCTTGCGACAAGAGCGCATACCAAGATGGCGTCTGCAATTATCGTGTCAGATGCACAAGATTACTCAAGCGCCCAGATAATTCCTCACTCTCACAATTCCCGCGGCAAAGATGTCTCAATTATGGTGACGATGCTGATTAACAACTCTTCGAGTCTCGAGGCAAGAGAAACAGACGGACAGCGCACATATGATAGACTCGTAGAATTGCTCCATGCCAACGAAACGCTGTGATACGAATTCGGATGCATAACTCTCAAATCGCGAAGGACAAGTTCAGGCGGTCTCTTCTTTTGGCATCATGATGAGCAAAAGTATTATACGTAAGAACATTTTGGTAGAGGTACAGTATTGCTTCCCGTCTACATGTCACACTTGCCAGAAATGAATAGCTTTGTGTGTATGAGGAGGTCTAGCTTCTTATCTTATCGTAAATGAATCTCGATATTTTGGGGTATGCACAGATAATAAGTCGTGGATCACAGAGCAAAGCAGTAGGATCATGTACGTGGTGAAATTCTGTTAGGAGAAGTTGCATATTCGGTGACGATTTTCAGCTGGCGATACCTGAAATCATCTTCTCTGCTTTCAGTATGCCAAATTCCTACATGCTGAATTTCCTACATTATTACCTCCTTCGACTGCGAAAGCTAATATCCCAATCTACGAAATTTCAGATTCAGGGACCTCGCTATTCGTAGACTCAGAATCATGGAAATTCAACTGATAAGACGGACCTCAATCAAGACTTTCGATACCACGGGAAGCCAGCATTCCACGATGACCTGGCATTACCTCGAGATCTAAGTTGTTTCCGCCTCTTGCATGTCTCGTTTTTTGCTCTCATTCTTCCACAAGCCCTTGACCATCAGTGGTCCTCCGAGGCGGATAAAGTATCCCGTATCATTTACCCTGGCTGCTGATCGGACACGACGGTGAAGGGGTACCAGGGCCAAACGATTATCTATATCTCTGATACATGGACGTCTCTTGTTGGTGCAGTGTCTGCAGGCCACATACATTCCTCCGTCGGTAGCGTCGATACACATATCTCCCTGCAGGTGTCGATTGATGCACTGGCCTTTGGCTGGATGGTTTATAATGTAGTATTCGGTGATGATCTCCATTGCGATGGCTTGGATCTCAAGAGGAAGAAGCGATCCAGGGCAGAAGGTCAAGTGGTTTGTCCCACCTCGCTCGAGAACAACGAATGGCAACTCTTCTACTCCCTTCTTGTTGTTGACTATGGCGGCGGAAGAATCCATATCCATTGCATCCTTATTCGAGCCAACAAGAGACAGCTTCATGGGTACGGTGGTTCGAGTGTTCTGGAGTCCATAGCTTGGAGTGGACTCAAGGGTTTGCAATCGATATCTCAATGCTTTGTTCTCGGCTTGTGTCTGATCTACCTTCCCCGTCAACATGTTGATAAATTCCGAAGCTTTTCTGATCATATCATTGTTGTTCTGAACAAGGCAGACCATCTCTGCTCTAGCTTTATCGTATTTTTCGGTCGCTCTGGAACGCTCTTCCTGGAGGAATATCTTTGTCGCCGTTGCTTCGTACTGGACCTTCTCTTTATCCGCTATCAATGCAGCAACCCTCTCTTCAAGAATTCGAATCTTCTGCGCCGGCAAGTCGCGAGCTTTTTGCTCGGCAACACGTCTCTTTCGTGTCATCGGGTTAGGTTCAAGTTCCTCACATGGTTCCTCACATGGATAGTGTTGAGTCTGGTTCATGATTACGTCCTGCAGATTATCTGCCATGCTGCTTGATATTCGAGTAGGCAGATGGCGTTGAATATCAGTAATTCGAGAGTCTACTGTTGTCCTGGGGCGGTGGTGTCGGCTCTTCGATGATGACAAGTACGACCATGCAAGTGGATTTGCTTCCCGTTGGTTTTAGTTCCACAGATGGTTGTGTGGTCGAGTCAGCTGTCATTTGTGGTGGAGGTTTCTCTTCTAAAGGCAGCGGTACCGTATGGAAATGGCATTGTTTTCAATGTATTGTTTTACGGAGCCACCAGAGAAACATGCACCAGTCTCAATCTGGACGCTCAGTCCCGATTCGATAAAATTTAACTTCGACGTGTCACAAGACTGTCTCCTTGAGGCATCCTGGAAAAGAAAGAGAGACAAAATCAAGACTGTGTGAACGAGCTTGGACAAACAGAAGACTTAAAGACTTACAGACTTTTAGGACACATCTGTAATCTCCAAATCATTCAGATCATTGGTCTTGGTCAGAAACGGCATACGATTCTACTTCTATGGCACCCCCTAATTCTAGTACATCTATCGTTGTGAATGACTGATCGGCTTTGTCCAAATATTGCCCTTTGCTTGATTGTTACTGGTATAAGCAGTCCTTGTCTGAGTATCTTATATGTGGGCAGCGTAACCACCTTAAAACTCCTTTGTGGGCTTAGCTGACCTCGTCTCCCCAGAAGACTGGTGTGCTCGTATGCCTTCTTCTTTTTCTGAGCCCATTTGTCTACTTTTGTCTTTACGTCTCAGTATTCTTACTTAAGCTTGCACGTTTCCTCTGCATGTTTCTGATGAGCTGTGTTCGTGTCTCTAGGTACTTTACTTGGTTTCTCAGGGGGCGAATCCTATCTATGATGTCTTTGAGTACACGAGCCGCTGGACTGAATAGAGCATCCAGGAAAATAAATCTTGTGCGTTGCTACAGTAGTCATAGTCAAGTTTGTTGAAGTTGAAGGTTGTGTGTGCTGGTTTGACATATTTAAGCTTTATGCGGCCGCCTGTGTTCATGAAATTCACATGTACGATTCCGGGTGAGGACGCTGGCTGATTGAAGGAGAAATCGGAGGAGGGAAGGAGGGACAATACCTCAGCGACGTTGAAAAAACTCATTGAGTTTATTAAAAAACGCTTGATTGTGCTGGTTGTTTGCTGTGATGGTGCTAAGGTCGCAGTGGAGTGAAATGCTGTTTACTCCCGTCACTAGACTGTTGGTCGTCATCGAAACAATGCAACTTCACCTCTATTTACCCTAATGCTAACGTTACTCCTCCAAAATTTAACTTTCTACACCACTACTATCGCACGAGCACTCCTGTAGTCCACTTTGATTTTCTGGGCTATAGCTTCCTTTAAAATATCCTTCCATTATAGCGCCTGCCTGTTACAACGCCACTTGGATGCACAAGAGATCATATAGATTTGACTGCTCTGATCTCCTTCATGATGTCAGCCAGAACAGTCGAGAGGGGTGCGGCAGACAAGAATAGGAAGCTGGACCACCCAGAAATGGTCGAGAAACGGTATACGCTCGCAGATATACAAGAGAGATGTGAGTAGACCGAGCGAAATGTCAGAGTAGATTAACTATAGTGACTGTCTGACACCATATCCCATACACTCAACACTGACGTTGTATACAGCGCCATCACCACTAGAACCGGTCGATACGATCATCAATATACCCCCTGATAATCGTACTCCCGATGATGTACTCATCGAAAAACCAAACCCAAGCCCAGCGGGTCCGACGAATTTCTCCACTGAGTCGAAGATCCTTCTTGACAACAAATCTCTAAATCAGCATGAGGGCGCCCAGTCGATACATGTCGCAGCAGCACCTACAATCTCATTGTCGAAGCCTTTCGACTCCAACAAAGCAGCACCTTTGGATAACAAAAACGGTGGGCCAGCACCAGTTGCGACAAGCAAACCATGTGCTGCACGACCGCCAACCGAGCTTTTGACTCTTCCGCAAATCATTGACCGAATCATGGGCTCCGGCCTCCCCGAAGAGACGATATTTCCTGCCATACGTCGATGCTTCGCCAGGTTGATGAGTGTACCAGTCGAATATATTGATGCGGAGATCTGGTATGCGTTTCAAGGACCCGAAACAAGCGGTGGAGGAGTACAAGAGACGGAATCAACATGGCTACCAAGGCTGAATGAAGTCGAGATACCAGTGGCTTTTAGCATGAGCGGGCACGTTCATGTCGTCACCGGGAGATCGGTATACATAACTTCCGATTTCCAGACACAATATACAAAACATATCGCACTTATTCGAGAGGCTGAGCTTAGTCAATCTAGGGCTCGTCACACAATCGGACTCCGAGCGTCAGATAGAGGTCCAGCAGCAGGATCTTGTGCACACCAGTAGCCATTGGGAGGGTCAAAACAGACGGACCAGACTTTAGAATCTGGACAGGAGCTTTGCGTCTGACCACTTTATCCTTGCAGGGCCTCGGTGTCTGATTGTTTGTTGCGTCATTTTTTGGCAGTTTCTGGTCTCATTTTGACGGCTGTCAACTTTGGTTCTACCGTTATGACAGACTATACTCACTTGCTCGGTATTTAGTTTGCAATAAGCAATAAACACTTCTAATTAGCTAGATTGATGAGTCATTCTTCTGTGAATATGCCTGATGAGAATCCATATCGTTCATCAGCCTTTCAAGATGTACCAAATTCAGGGCTTATCACTAATTATAAACTAGTATGAGACTACGTGCACTGAGTAGGTGTTCTTTTGCCACGATGGTGAGCCCACACTTCGTGATGTGTGTCGTCCATATACAGACCATAATAAACTTGTCCCGGCCCAGCATGACTTGACCTTTCTCTGCATCAGATGGGCGACGACGACAGGTCCAAGTACAAACGTCCGATTCTGCAACTGCATAGCTAGCGTTATTGATAGGTGCTACAGACACCGGTCTGTTATGATTGGAAAGGGAGAGTGGTTCCAAATGCACCACGACCTGAGTATTTCTCAGACCTGTCCGCATTCGTAAGGTCCATGCGAGGGCGCTAGAAGAGGCAACAGCCTTGGAACTGCCGTTCAGCCCCAAGACCCCATCATCATCCATCTCCCTTCTTCATCTCCTCATCTTGGAAATCCATATCGTAGACCGCAATATGACTGTGTCAGCTAATCCTGATCTATTTCCGACCGCCGACCAATCTTTAGATGGGCACACGGATGCTGTTTACAACATGACTTTAACAAACTCCTATCTAATCACCTGTTCAAGAGACACAACCTTGCGGATTTGGTCGCTTGAGACGAGGAAACTGGTACATCCGCCGCTTCAAGGTAGGTTTGTACAGGGTGCATTATACAGACTGGACAGCTATGAAGACTTCTTTCATGATCGCACTGAACTATAATAGGCCATACAAAGTCTGTCCTCGCTGTTGCTGCATGTGTATCGTCGGGCTTCTTCGTCAGCGCTGGCGTTGACGGGAGACTTATAGCGTGGAACTTGGAGACGTTCGAGTGCCGCCGCATGGTCGACAATGCACACACCGACAGTATTCTAAGCATCGCAGCATCGGCAAGCCTTGTTGTTACGGAAGGTAAGGATAAACTTGTCAAGATGTGGGAATCGAAGCGGCTCTGCGAGATGGCAGATTCTAATGACCCCTTGGCGCCTATATTCACTCTTTCGGGTCATATAGCTGCTGTCAACTCGGTCGCGATGACCGATAAAGTTATCATCAGTGGCGCTGGAGATCGAGGTATTCGAGTATGGGACATTGCGACAAAAGCGTGTATACGCACTATCAATGTCCATTCCATGGGCATAACGCGACTTGAAATATGTCCCCTACATAGATACATTGTGTCAAGTAGCTCTGACAACACCATCCGAATATCTGACATTGATACAGGCGAAGAGCTTCAATGCCTTCGAGGGCATACAGAACTCGTGCGGTCGGTGTGCGTCGTACGTAAGACAGGCTCTACTGATTTCGATACCATCGTTTCTGGGAGTTACGATGGTAGTGTCTGGGTATGGAGCCGAAGACGAATGGATGCTAAGAAAGACTCTTGGGTGGTGACAAAGCAATACAAGATGTCGGATGTTCTCCCTCCTTTGGAAAACAATGTGAAGAATAGGGTCTTTCAAGTCTTGTCAGATGGAACAAGATTATTTTGTACAAACGCGTCGTCAAGCATCATTGCGTGGCAAATATGACAGATCCTTGAGCGAATACATTCGACTATAGGATACAGAAAGCCTGAGCGCCTCAGAAGTGATAGCCATAGCTATAGAGGACCAAACCACTCACTCCCGGCTACAAGGCGACCTAATTAATTCGACGTGGTGCACAGCTGACGATTGACTTCGAATGCACAGTTACGGAGGTGTCCGCTTGTGTGAAACACGCACGTACCAGTAGTGACAGGACTAAGGTGGCTTTGTTTTGATCTTTGTGACATTTCCAACAAATCCCTCACTGCGCCAATACTGGCATCTCGACCAAAAAATATCGCAACTTTCACAGTCCTTTCTCAGTCGCGCATCGCCCAACATCAAGCCATGTGCTTACGCATTGACCGGTAATACTAAGGTAGTCTTCTCTCGAGGATACTGAAAAAATGTAGCACGTAGTCTGTCATATTTTTGATCTTACGATACTTTATGTCAAACCCTGAGTAGGTGGGTGAACATGAAGGCATGTGAGGAGAATAAGACCGGGCTCGTTTTAAGCCACATCCCTCGCCGAGACCGGGAATTACTAAATACATTAAGGACCATCTATTCACGAAAGGGACACCTATTTAGCCAATACCGATCCGTCTTCTGAGCCCTATTAATAGTACTTACGGGTAGTGACCGACCGCTCTCGTAAACCACACCTAAATTTGATGGCTGTTGGATTCTCGGTTCGACAATTAAGTCACGCGCGGAACAAAAAGCAATCTGAGCAACGCAGTGAAGACATAATATGCACCGCTGCCCAGATCAAGCGTTTCACGACTCAAACATTGTCCAGGACCAGCTCCTGATGAATCTAAAGACCATATAGTGTTGAGCAGCGATGCCTCGATCTAGCCAGAATCTCACAAAAGCATGAAGTAGTTGCTTGCTCTTTTCGCATTAGCAATACGCCAGAATCTTTCTGTGGAAGTTATTGTGGTATATACTTGGTCAACGCCTATGCAGATTGCGATCTCCTACATCCGTATTGCAAGTATCAGCTCTTCTGCATCATGTTGCACAGTATGCTACAGATTGCTGCGGTGTTTGCTTTAGCCATCAGCACCACCAGGGGTCAAGCTCCATCTCGATACCTATTCATCTTGTAAAACACCAAGCCGAAGGTACCATCTGGTATTCTAATCATGGTTCCAGTGGAGACTCGTACACCACAACTGGTTTCGATGCACGCGCGAAACCTCAGCCATCTTTGGATAACCCTTTGGGCAACCCTTCGAGCCCCGATTGTGCGTCCACTCCAGTCCTTCCTGTCTATCACCATGTCTAAAGTGGATACAGTAACTTTGACCGGTGGAGCGAATTGGGTCGACTTTGTGATCTACGACTCTTCTATGCCTGGCATTGTAGCGTACAACTACGCTGTCGGTGGCAGCTACGTCAATCACACTGCGGCTCAACCACAAGGGCCTGCCAATAAAACCGCTGATCCCGACTTCATTAGTCAGGAGAATACTTTTGAAACGACTCTTAGTCCACACGTGGGGTGGACGTCAACCAACAGCATCTTCATCAACTATTTTGGAATGTGTGTATAGATTCGCTTCGGCAGGCTGTCGCATTAACAATGATACTGTATTCTGACATACAAGAACAGCGTCGATGTTTCCACGCAGGTCTACAAAGGTCGTAATGTCTCATGCGCCGAGTCCATGCTCTTCCCGGCCGATATCGACAGCTACTTCAGACTTCTAGAGAAACAGTACAGTCGCGGAGCACGCAAATTCATTACCGTCCTTGTCCCACGTGAGACTAGCCCATTCCTCGTCTATCTATGTCAATTCTAATCCACTAACAGCGATCCATCGAGCCCCGGTCTTCAACTATGGAGACACCGCTGGCAACGGCCCATCTGTCGAACAGGTCACCTCGTCATGGAACTCCGCCATGAAGAAAGGCAACAGCAAGTTCCAAAACGCACATCGCGATGCCAAAGCACAGATTGTAGACCCTACAGATACGTTCAATACGATACTGAATGATCCAACAAAATATGGTGCTCCAAACGCAACGTGCTATAGCGTTAGTGGGAACCCGTGTTTGTGGGTGGATTTTATCCATCCTGGGCATGAGCTTAATCAGGCTTTTGGGAAACAAATGAAAGATGTGATCAAGGAGATGTTGCCACCGGTTTGAGGATCAAGAGGATGAATTGGTTTACACGAGCTGGTGCGAGACGCTGTAAGGCTTTAGTAGACATTGGCTAAATATAATAGCTGTGTCTCTAGAACCATTAACTGTCCAGTCACAGATATGTCGACACTCTTGCAAAAGTTTACACATGTCGTCGTGACAGGACAATGTTTTCAGTACCCTCCTTGTGTATGAAGCCAGTGATTCATTGCAATGTGGCCATTGCTCAGGCAATCTTTCTCACTATCGGTTGTAACCCTGTCACCAGCGATCGCACTAGCATCATGAAACCCTCTGTTGGGAGTTTACAGATCCGAAGTACGTGGGACAGGTAAGAGTCTACTCTACAAGCATACACACGCCCATGTTGGGATAGACTTTTTTCCACAATAAGATGTTTTCATTCAGGTATTCCAGTTCTCAAACGTATGTATCAGATCATCATCCTGGCTAACCCCTATCCTCGTCTATATTATATGGTATATCTGCCGATAAGAATAGAATTATTGATATATTCGTAAACTTTTCTATCGGTAAGGGTATTAAAGTAGCTTCATCGGCTCATCTTAGTAATAACCTAACTTCCAAACTCAACAACTCATTCTACATGAGCCGTACGAGCAACTAACAAATCCCTGGCTTTACTGCCATCGAAGACATCGCAATTCTAGTGGTAAAGATGTAGTGCCAGTTCTAGTATAGTTCCACATCGCCAACAAGTGCTTGTATGACTTGAACACTACCACGATTTCCCCCTTTTTTTCTCACTAAATAGTGTGCTGATTTTGGAGAAGACTGCACTGTAGTGCTGAATATCCATTTTAGGAAGCCGAAGAAGAAGCAAAGACATTCTAGCGTACGTACAATTTCTTAAAGTCAATACGAGAGTTGCTAACTTTTGCTTTACAGAACGTAAACCTAGCTTGTGGAGTTTTTGAGATGGTATGAATGCAGCCCAGGGTGCCAGACATCCGATCTCGAGTACGAATATTAGATGTCATTCAAAAATGTCAAGCGCGCGGTTCCAATAGAAGGATGCGGTATCTATAACAAAAATCTGGAAGATAAGCCTGAAAAGGCTGCAGGAGATGTTACCTAAACGAATGGATTTCAGCTTCAAGTACACATTGTGAAAATCGGTAGTGTTTCAAGGAAACGTATGATCACCTGAACGTTCATTATTACCGCAAACATACGGTTTCACATAAATCACTCCATCTTACGTGGACACAGTATATTGTGATTATTCGATTTACCCCTTTTTCCTCACACTGTTACGCAGTCACCTTAGTCTTGATGAAAGCCAATGCCTGGCTCCCATACTTTGTAACGTAGCCCTGGTGCGTAGCAGCATCATTTCCAGTACAGCAGTACGGGTCCGGAGCATCACAGTAGCTCTTGAGCTTCGCCGCAGACACACACGTGAATCCAACCGGCCGAGCAGCGAACCCTTGCGCTGCACACGTCCCAACATTATACGACAAGCCATGCACATATCTCGGATCACCCATGAAGATCGCCGCCTTCACCGCGTTCAATGCATTGCCCGAGAGCTGCGCACTGCCACCACCACAGATCGCATTGTCCATGATTTGGCCGCCCTGTACTCACTTTGTTAAGCTTATGCCCGCATGCCAGGATACACTTGGTGTCTTCATGCGTTGTTGGATGAACTTACTTGGCTGTAGCCAACCAAAACTAACTGAGTGCTTGGACACTTCGCATTGAAGTCGTTGACCGCTTTCACTACTGCCGTCGTGCCCTGGCTTTGGCTACTGTCGTAGCTGACGCCGCCACAGCTGGCCTGGCCGCCGCACGCTGGGTACACGATCGCTTCGGCGGTAGACCCTGAGTAGGAGGCGAGGACTTGGTTCACTAGACCTCCAGCAGTCCCATAGCCGGCAGAGGCGGTCGTTTCACGAGCGCCGAAAACATGTACCTTCGGGCAAGATTGGCGAGGCTCAACAGGATTGGCGTTAGCAAGGATGGCGAGAAGGCTGAAAGATGCAAGAATGGACTTCATTGTAGCTGTTCTATGGGGTATATCAGAACTGATGCAATGAGTTGGGAGTTGAAATAAGAGACTGTTGAATAATCAGTGGTTGCAAAGAGCAGGAATGTGCACTCTATAAAGACTTGTGTAAAGCAGGGGCAGTCTATCTATGCACTGATGATCACGCATGCTCAGTTCATTCTTTTAGGCTGAGCAGCTACATGTTCCTCCTGTATTACTCAACATATGTCCTCGTAGCGCATAGAAGCGTCCTTTCGACCGCAAACCACTATATATGGTTTCCGTATTACGGAGGTAGGCACGAGTACCAGGATCCATCGTGACTGGTACAACACAGACGTTCCAAAGAATCTGGGGTGCATATGCGCACCCCAGAAAAGTCACCAGGGGACATACCCCAGTGGCAAGTCCTGCAATTAGGCTGAAGTGAAATGTGGGACCGTGGTAGCGGATTTAGTGCCCGGGTGTAACTACTGGTTCTGGGGTCCTAGGTCTTGTCAAGTGCATTCTTAGTGCTTGAATGAATTCTTCCATATTGATAGCAGTGATAATATTGTCAACTACTGTGCATGTGACTGTGTATTTTACGGCTTTGGCGTTGCTGTTCAGCCGCTGGATAAACTTCGAGGTGCGCGGCTCCACTTGGTATATTGTCGATCATGAGGTCGCCAATCTATCTCGTGCACGAGGTTGGATTTACATTGGTTGAAAGGAGAAAATACTGGGTCTTTGGGATACATATAACCGTCTTGCCCCCTGACATCCCTTCACCAGAGCAAGCATTCTACTTGGCCTCAACTCACATAAGAGCTTCCAACCCAAATATAGTCTATCATGCTGTTTTCCAAAAAATCCTTGCTTGCCCTCGTGGCCTTCATCACCAGCACGTTGGCCATCCCAGCCCCGGAAGCTGGCGAATTGATAGCACGGCAGACATTGACGCAGAGCCAGACTGGCACGAACAATGGTTACTACTACAGCTTCTACACCGACGGTGCGAGCAACATCAAATACACGAACGGTGCAGGGGGCACTTACAGTGCGACATGGAGCAACAACGCAGGCAACTGGGTTGGTGGCAAGGGATGGTCCACGGGAAGTCGACGTGCAGTGAGCATCTCGGGGACTTATAGTCCCAAGGGAAACAGTTATTTGAGTGTGTACGGATGGAGCCGAAATCCTCTTATTGAGTACTGTAAGGCGACGACACCTGAAGGAATGTCAAATAAGGGGACCAAAGTTGACGATAACAGACATCGTCGAGAACTTCGGCACATACAACCCATCCAGCGGCGCGACGCATAAGGGAACTGTAACGAGTGATGGCGGCACATACGATATCCTCATGAGCACCCGCACCAATGCTCCCTCTATCGACGGTACTAAGACGTTCCAACAGTATTGGTCAGTGCGCCAGTCAAAACGTACTGGCGGGACTGTTACGACTGGGAACCATTTCGATGCGTGGGCGAAATTGGGGATGAAGCTTGGGACATTTGATTATATGATTGTAAGTAGCTGAGTTTGAGGCGATACGTTAACGGGTGCTAACGTGGTGTAGGTCGCCACTGAGGGTTATCAGTCTGCTGGCTCTGCTTCTATCACAGTCGCGTAGGGGTGCTCTTGGCTTGCTGAGCCTACGTCAGTCTTTTATGTGTAGGGGCAACATATGTACATACGGGCTAAATGCTGAGCAACGCTTGGAGTCGTGGAAGGGAGAGGATGCAGGTAGCTAGCAAACGACAATATGTCATGAGCTATCAAGTTTAAAGTTGGGGTGTGCTATTTTTTCTCCGTGGATAGTGATTCTTGCAGGTTGAGTGGACATAACAATGCAGCAACAAATGATTTGTGTATGCGCTGCGGTAATGTTCGAGCGTTGGGGGTTGCTAAAGCTGTCATTTGCCATTTGTTCGGTGTTCCTGTTTAAGGTTGACGTGCTTCATGATCCATTGGAGCGCACGTGTGGTTTGATGATAGCAAAATCTGCCAGTGTAGAGGCCTAACGGCATCGAGATGAGAGTGTGGGTGTATCTACAAATCTATCGCAATTAGTAAGTATGTACAGATAAATCTCTTAGGTATGATAGCGCAGCAAGCCGCAGGTCATGCAGGCAGTCCGCGCATAACACCTTCAAATGCTAGTAGTGCTATGGCGTTCGCTGGAAATGCACGCAGGAAGCAAGGCAGGAACCCTCTCCAGTAACCTCGCCAGCCATTCTCTCTGTATATCGTTCGCGCCGCATCACGCCACCTTGGAAACCTTCGCTCTGGACCCAAGGGATCAGTCATGATCCGTTGCTTAACAACATCTGATGGATAGCTCGTCAGCCAGAATATTTGTGCCGATAGACCTCCAGCCCAGAAATTGACGGCCGGTGTAGATATATTTGTTTTCTCGCTCAAGAGGCTCGAGAATATGTCGTAAGACCCCCACCAGAAGAAAAAGAACGAACGAAACAACAATGTAGCAAAAAGGCCGTGGTACAAGCCACTGATACCATGTCCCTTCAGGATCTTCTTGGCGCAATCAATTGGCCCACTGTAGAGTCGTTGCGACTTGTCGGCTGCGTACTGAATCTGCAAGCGTGCTTTTATGTGCTCAACAGGCGCAGCGATGAAGCTTACTGTGGCTCCTGCCATTATACCTGCGACGCCATGGCCGACAGGTGGAAGTTTGTTGTCTATGGTTCGGAGGGTTGGGGTCGTGAAGACGCGCTCGAGAAGTTCGCGGCGATACACGGTCAAGGAGCCAAGCATTAGAGAGTCCATGAACATCCATCCAACCAACGGGGGAGTTGCGCCTTTGTAAAGACCTCGTACCCCTTCATTGCGGACGGTCTGCAGAACGCAGTCGAGCGGACCCTGAAACTGAGACTTCCCGGTAGTCTGCAAGCGAACTTTGACGGTATCGAAGGGATGGCCAACTATAGGAATTTAGCAAAGGGAGTGCTTTCGATAGCTACAGCTTCAACATACCTGACAACTTTGCTATCCCAGAGAAGACGCCAGCAACAAAACCCTTGTAGTTCTTATTGCTACTTGCAGTAGTCTCTAGATTTGCAGGAGAAGCAGAGGTGGCGCCGTGGGATTTTGAGTCCCTCACCGTCGAAGACATGTGGACTTAGTTTGACGACGGAAAGACAGCGAGCGAGGCATGCCGTCTGTATATAGGGTGGTGTTGTTGAGGAGATTGGTCTACAAAATATGTATGACCGCAAGAGAAGAGTGGTGATGCCAGCGATAAACTTAGGCCGGGATCGGCGGTTGTTTGCCTTAACACCGAGATTATTCAGCCTCAGCCTTCGCGATCGGCCCGCTCCACTGCTTGACATTGACTGCATCATCGCTTTCACTGCTAGGTGGTTTGCAGGCCCTTCAACTTGTATTGTGTCTTTTTCGTGGATGCCAGGAAAAACTTGAAACATCTTCGTTTCATTCAGTATTTCCTGTAATAATCCCTCCAAAGGTTCTGCACCACTCTATCCTCTACCAGCATCATGGCTGCACAGGAAACATTGGATGCTGTCAATCCCAATCCAGAAAGAGTCGTCGCATCTAAAAAAGGTGCTTCGCCATTGGTCAGCCTTACCCTCACTGCTAACATACAGCAGTATGGACGACTCTGATCACAAATACGAAATATCTTTCTGGGCTTCTTGCCCTGGATTTTTCGTTGAAGAAACATAAGTCGGCCTACCCTCTCGTTGCTCTGTACACAGATGAGTTCCCAGAAGAGGGTCATCGAGCCCTGGACGTCCGAGGAATTCCAAAGAAGCATGTCACGTATCTACTGCCGTCGGCCACAAAAAGTTATGACAACGATCCACGTTTTTACGACTGCTGGAGTAAGCTCACGCCGTTCTCGTTGGTGGAGTATGAGCGTATCGTGCAACTCGACAGCGATATGCTCATCCTCCGCAATATGGATGAATTGATGGAGCTGGAGCTTGACCCTCCGAGCGCAAAGGGGACTGGAAACCGAGTATTTGCAGCAGCACATGCATGTGTTTGCAATCCTCTCAAAAAGCCACACTACCCAAAGGACTGGTACGTGTGAACGTGTCAAACCAATCCTCTTCAGCTAATTCGAGTCACCAGGATACCAGAGAATTGCGCCTATACCGCCCAGCATGGGACGCCGGAGAAGGCGCAGGTCGAAGGAACATCGTCCTTAGGTGGTTTAGGCATGCCCAACGGAGGGCTTCAAGTCGTGAATCCCTCGGGTGATATCTATCAACTTATCCTCGATCAATTGACAAAGGACTCTGCTACAGCAAGCTACGAATTTGCTGATCAGTCGCTCCTAGGAGATGTGTTTCACGGCCGATGGGTGTCACTACCGTACATCTACAATGCTCTTCGCCCAACTCGCAAAGCGCACGTCCATGGTGCAATTTGGCGAGATGAAAGCGTGAAAAACTTGCATTACCTCCTCACTCCCAAGCCTTGGGATGAGAAGCCAGGAGAGGAAACGGATGAAACGAACGAGTGGTGGTGGGCCGTCAATTCGGAGCGTCTGAGGATCGAGAAGGATGCAGGGATCGATGATGGCTTTTGAGGCTGTTATCTCAAACATTGTGAGAGAGCGAGGCGTTGGTGGTGGTGGTGGTGCAGGTTGACGTTGCGGTGTTGCGTGGCTGCATGTAGTCGAATACACGACAGGGCAGGGTCCCGTATAGGTAGGGAAATGCTTGGCAGGGGTTTCGAATGCTACGAACCACCGAACATGAACAAATCCGCCAGCTTACCATATACTTTACCACCCTGAATGAACATATGATGACTGTATCTCAGCTTCTAAATAACCTGTACATATATGAATCTCCTGTTTTCAAGGCTTGGTTAATTCGCAGATCAAACGGCAGTGGCTCCGAGGTGGCCGCGCTAGTGTCGCCCCTGCCCCTATCGCAAATGATTAAACCCGTTGCCCATGTCGTCCCTCCACCACCAATTTACTATCCGTACTAATCAAATCTCCTGTCCCACACTTGCGCACCGCTTCAAAATCATCCTCTCTTCTTGTTTACTCGCACTCTGTTCTCCATCTGCTTCTCGTGTGCGCTGCGCCATTCTCGAATCACCTCGCCCTATCAATCACCCTTGTCGCGTCGTTAAATCTCAGACCGCATCCTAGCTCCAACAACCGACAACTCCCCCCACCTCGAACCTCCTACAATCATCATCCGCCCAATACAATCGCCTAGAAATCATTCAAGATGGGTGGACAAATCTCGAAGATGATGAACAAGATCTTCGGATCGAAGGAAATGCGTCTCTTGATGTTGGGGCTTGATGCCGCCGGCAAGACCAGTAAGAAGCTCGATAGGACTGCGCGCATGCGTTGAGGTCGGTATTGATTGTCATGCAGCAATTCTCTACAAGCTCAAGCTTGATCAAGACGTCACCACAATTCCCACCGTTGGCTTCAACGTCGAAACTGTCACCTACAAGAACACCAAGTTCAATGTCTGGGATGTCGGTGGTCAAGATAAGATTAGGCCTCTATGGAGACACTATTTCTCTGGTATGCGGGAAAGCATCCAGCCTGGAACGGGTATAGACTCAGCCTGAGATACACATTCTCCTGGTGCTAGTCGAGCCCTACCAGTGCTGGTCTGAAAATGAGGCCAATGCTAACATGAACCTGATAGGCACTCAAGGTCTAATCTTCGTGATCGACTCCAACGACCGCGATCGCATCGAAGAAGCTAAGACTGAACTCACGAGAATCATACAAGACCGTGAAATGAAAGATGCCCTACTATTGGTATTCGCAAACAAGCAGGACATTTCTGGAGGTATGGTATATCCCGCAGTGTAGATTATCATAGTACTGATCTGGTGACAACAGCCATGAGCCCCAAGGAAGTCTCAGACAAACTACAACTTGATCGCGTCGCCAAGGACCACGTCTGGAAGGTCGAGCCGAGCTGTGCGACCACTGGCGAAGGCATCTTCGAGGGCCTTGTAAGCATCACTCTAAAGTCCTCAACAAACCCACGTTCTAACACCACCAGGCATGGCTCTCGAACAACGTCAAACTCCCACCGAAATAGACGCACCTCTACGATCACAACGACGATTCAATGCTACGAGTTTCTTGCATATACCCTTGCTTCTCACATTGGCACCCCTTCAGACCTTGTCTTCATACCTAATTTTCTGCCGTAATTGCACGGCTTCTTTCTCTGGGAGAAGAGAAGCATTGACAAATAATTCTCTTATAATTATGAGGCGACACTCGGCACTGTTTCGTTCCATCTAGCAGCAATTCATTCAAGAGGTGGAACTGTATTAGTAAAGCGGCATCATGAGGAGTTGATGACTTGGCTTGCATGGCGTCGGAGATACTTCTCCGCCTTCAGCGAGGTCAGGTGTAATGCTCAGACGAGCGGAGGGAGAATGTTGTACTACAATCATAATGCCTAGAAATGAGGAATAGATCCCTGGAATCATATCCGCTCTTGCAGACACAGGTGCCCGGATTCTTCACATTATCCACCATCCAGGATACACCTAATTTTATCATGAACAACGTTGTGGTGGAGTATTGTGATTTGACGCATCAAGCGCCTCTAGGCGAGGGCCTCCATCCTCTTTATGCTATTTACATACTCGCGTAAATTTAACCATGATATTTATAGATTCGAGATAGACTGTCCATCAAGCTCGCAGAAGGCCTTGAAGGTGACAAAGGATTCACTGTCGCTGCTTTCGAGGATGACTTCGGCGGTTGCTCCGACGAAGTAGACGTAACCCGGCTTAATCTCCTCTTTCGTCGGCCCAACAGCGATGGTGCCAGTCCCAGACGTGCACAAGATGATACTTGGGCCTTCTATAGGGTCAAATGTAGCCTTTGCACCAGATTTCTTCAATTCTGTCCGAACGACGCTGAACTCTTCGATTGGTGGATCGTATAATATTGAGTCTGATTGCGATGAGTAGGCGGTTGCGTTGAGAGTTACATAGGGAAAGTCCGTTGGTGTCATCTTTTGCTCGGATATTGGTGCATACGAGTACGTCAGCATGGTGGTCAAAGTATCGACGTCCTTGAACTTTGGTGTGAAGCCTGCTCGCACAACATTGTCTGAGGAGGCCATGCACTCGATAATGTCCCCTGAGAGATAGGCATGAATGTCGTCGGCCTTCAGAAACATTGCTTCGCCGATCTCGAGCTTGACATAATTTAAAAAGAAGAGAACGAAAAGGCCAATATCATCCGCAAACTGAGAGTTTAATCTTTGGACTAGATCGGCAAGCTCTTGGCCATCGTTGGAGGGGCCACCTTCTCCGGCGAATTTCGAGCCTTCCGACTTGGCTGCTTCTTGCAATTCCTTATTTGCCGAGGTGATGGCATCTTGACTCGCATTCATCAATGCGGTGAAGGCCGCTTGTAGAGCTTCTTTGTTGGCCTTGATATCAGATTCGTTGTCTGAGGTCTCCTTTCCTTTCACTGTGCTCTCGAAATTCGTGGCCTTCTCCTCGCCGACCAACTTACGTAAAGCAGGAACATTGGTCAAGAAATGTGTGATCTCCGCCAAAGGTCTAAATCCGCACAAGCCGTCGAATGGAGTTACAGCTATCGTCATTTCGGGTTTGTGGTTGTCATCTGGGAGCAATCAGCACTGTTAAGACGTTGGGTCAATGAAACCTACCAGGATAATTCTTGGAGTCTGTTTCATGTAGTTTCTCTGCAAGCTTCTTGTTTGGATGTGCTTGTATACTCAACGCCTTGTTGATAGAGAGTACCTTGAATAGGAAAGGTAGCTTGTCTTGGTATTTCTCGCTGATACTAATGGACATAAGAGCCTTATTTTCTTGAACTAAATCGAGGAGAGATCGTTGCGTATCGAGGGATTTCGAGGGATTTGAAGGATGTGTTCCCATCCATAACTGTTATATGTAAGTTTCTATGTACTGAAGAATGGCGGGGCTTTTGTGCCTCGGCGTATGGCTTATCATCTTTGACAGAGAAATCGCTGGAAGGCGTCGCTGCGGCAAACCTAGCAGCAGCAGAATCCTTTCCAATCTTCCCTGTATAGCTTTCAGCATAGTCTATGCGATTGGGAACAAGAGCTACAAACCCCACTCATAGCTATTGACGCCTGTGCAAGGTTAGCCATTGAAAGGTCCAATTATGCTCCTGGACTTACCACATTGCAGTCGAATGAGAGGTACAGGAAGAGGCATGACGAAGGGCTTGATGATTGCTCAGGGCGTTAGGTACAAGGAGAGAAGGAAGTTGAAGTTCATATGATCTATGGATACTACTACATAGTGGGGCAGTGTCATTCAAGGAACTTCCCCGCCACGCCACAGATCCCTGCAGCTGTGGCGGTGCACCCAAGATTCATCCGTTTCGGGCTTTAGCTGTCGCCATCATCGCTATCCACGACTCGACGTCAGATCTCAATACGTGACCTTCCAAACAACGACTCAACCAATCATACACACATATCCGACTCACAGTCGGACTGTACGATCCAAAGTCTTGCTTTGGGCTTTATATTCCAGTGTTGGTCATCTCAATCACGATGGCGGCGCGTAGCCGACCGCGCGCGGGCCAGGCGAAAGACGATGCCGACGAGGAAAGGAGTTTGTGGAATCAGGTTCGAGAAAATGCTAGGAAGGGCGACAGTCTCATGGTAAGGCCCCCTTCTGATTTGTTTGATTGTCCTCACATGACACAAGGCTGAATCGAATGCCATATCCCGACGCATAGCGAATCTCGCAGAGAAGCAGAGTGCCGCAGAAGGTACGACATTCAAGATAAACACTGCCCAGGCTTGATCTTTTAGCTCCGCAATTCAGACCCATATGCTTGTTGGAAGCTATTAACGCTTAGCTAGAACGTGGCGATATACCATCCTCAAGAACAGACCTTGAGATCACCGACTTACTCCGTCAAAACATATCAATCATCGAGAAGCTCCAGTCCCTCGTTGGTGGTGATGATTCTGATCCATCTGATGACCTTCCAATCCTGAACTCACTTTCTATCCTCGCAGCTCTACGTGGTGCAAACGAGCTCGATGCCCCACCCATGAAAGTATCTACTTCAAGCTCTGGCAAGGCCGGGCGTGACCGCATCAAACGTGCCAAACATGAGCACTCAGCGAGCGATGACCGTGACAGTCTTGCTGCTGACTCACCGGGTGGTCCAAGTCCGAAAGTAATCATTACCCACAAAGGGGATAGATTCAAGGGAGGGAGCAGTCGGGCGGGAAGTGTGCCTGTAGTGCGCGAGCCAAGCGTGAAGACGGAAGATATAGACGAGCGTGAAAGCTTGAAAGGTACGCGGGCCCGATCTTCTTCATCACTGAGTAGTGTGCCGGAGTCGTTGAAGGAACGCAGTCACTGAGTGAAATCTCCACGTGACCGGATCCGTCGACGACACGGTACAGCAAAAGATCTTTCGTATGTTGATTCACTTGTAAACATCACGGCATCTAGCGTGGAGCTCTTGGCGTCTTCGGGAGATTTGTTCCTTCAAATACCTTTCTACCTCATGCAATGCGTGAGGGCTTCATTTCATACCTCTCCTTATGCTTTCACTCTCCTTCCATCTCGTCAATGTGTTCCAAATTATCACATTCTTACCATCTTCTCCTCTATATGATACTTACCGCTACAGCAACGACACCTAGCACACCCACACTCTCATCTGGCTCTCTCGATGCACCACGTCCTAAGCTTCACCGCGGTACCGAGGTATTCTACCGCAACAAGGCGAAAGCCGTTGAAGGCGAAGGCATACTATGCAGTGTCACTGCTGTGATAGGCGATGGTAAGCAGCGACGGTACGAGATCATCGACGCAGACCCGGAACCTCCGACACCTCCGCAACCATATAGGGCGTCTGTGAACCACCTCGTGCCGATACAGCCCGACAATAAAGGACTCGGGAAGCTGGGTGCTGGAGCAGCAGTGCTTGCACTGTACCCACAGACAACAACTTTCTATAAAGCTGAGGTAGTGAGCATGGAAGGGGAGGTTGTGACGTTGAAGTTTGAGGGCGAGGAGGAGAAAGATCGCGAGATGGCTGTGGAAAGGAGGTATGTATTACCAGATACCGGAAAGTAAATTTTGCATATTTAGCTTATATCGAATATTCGATGCATTCTTATATCTTTTCTTCATGTTCTCTTCTTTTGGAACGGCGTCCTGATCACCCAAGTCCTCTCCTCTCTATCATTCAAACAAATCAACGAGCACATTGCCCATCGCATAACCACTACACGTCCCACTATACGCCCATCCAAACGAACGAACGAGTTAACACAACTTCAACGTCCAACATCTATTCCCTTCTTCATGCGGCCAAACCAAGTCTGCCATCGCATACGTCGCGTAGCTCGAGAACAAATTCATCACGAACTCATTCCATACCAAGAAATTTGGCATGCTGACCGCAGAGACACAACTCGCTGCCTTGACATCCAACCCTATTTGAACCCATACTGCCCCTCTATAATCGTTTCCCAAGCGACATGCTTACTCTGTAGAAACGCGCACGTAGAAGATAACCCTCGCAACGAAACGCGTGTACATGCATCCACCCAGCTCGCAACGCGCAACTTCCCTCTCAAACACTCATACGCCAAACTGTCGACGTTTAGTTTGACATAGAAGATCGACGCAGCAAATACATAGGACCAACATCAGACTACAGAGAGACCGCACTACATGTCTAGCTCAGCGCGATCTAGCCCGTCAATAAATCGCCCTCCAGTCTTGCTTATTGCGAACACAAACGGGATGGAAACTACATGGAAGAACTCAGGGTAGCTGTAATACATAATATATTGGCACATACGGGCCTTAATGCTTTATTGGCATTTTCAAACGACTAGGATTAGCCGATACCTCACTGCAAGCCTTCGGGACCATATCGAGCTAGAGCAAAAGGGGAGAGGGAGAAATCAGGAGTATTCGCGTAGCACAATATCGGCATTCAACAAGAACCAGAACTTAGCGCTCAGGAGTGGAGTGGAACAGGCTGGAGCTAGAGTGGTACTGCGGCAATGTTTGTACATATCGTATGGGAAGGTCGCAGCTGAGAAATGGGTAGTGAGGGTGGCCTTGTAGTAGTCATATGCTTTACTTCTTCAGGCGTAAGCTCCGGATCATATGTAGTCTGATATGAAAACCATGAATAAGTCCAGTGTAGTGTGTGCAGTATCCACAGCACAAAAAACGACGGCAAGCAACGCTGACGCACGCTCTGTTAAACAAATGCCCAGGCGAGACTAATACCTGGATTTGACCCAGCTGTATTCACTCACATCGTACGTGAGAACAAGATAATAACAGAAATGTACATGCAATGCAAGTCATGCATCGCTGGGAATACGTTTATATTCGTCTGTTGATAGTGTAAACAACTGTCGCATTAAGACCAAGCGCCGGTCATGTGTAAGCTCGTGAAATCATAACGCCGCCCGATGTGTTTTTGCGCGCAGAACAAAACACACGAGGGTAAACCTAGATAATACATTTATTCGTCATAATGGTAGACCTGCGACTTCCGTTAGATCGGACATTCGAAATGTATGTTGACGAACTTACGAAATAATTCGGCAAGCCCCAGGACTTCCAGCCTAGTCGGGCGGCCATCTTGGCGAAGCCTTCCGTTTCAATGAGATGGTAGAATGCGAAGGGCGGGAACATTGCTCCATCACGATGCACGTCGGCCTTGACGAGCAATGCTGTCCCACCAACACCGTCAAGCTGCATCACCATGTCTTTACTTTGCGATTCGTCATTGAGCTTCGCCATTAGAGTTCGATATGTGGGCATTTCGGCGTATCCTTCCAGTAGAATATCGTAATTCGCCATTTTTGATCCCATCTCCTGTGCGACTTCGCTGTCTACCCAGTTGTTGTAATCATACGGCCGCACCTCCCACGTACCCAGGTCTTTGTCAAAATGTCGTTGGAAGCAATTAGGCACTATGATTGGTTTGTCGTGTCGCGCGAGGTCTTGGATGAGGTCCGGAGGAGTCTCTATGATATCGGCATCCAGCCAGAGAACCCAGGACGTGGATGGTCCTAGCGTTGTGAAAAGTAGTGAATTCCGCGCTTTCGCCATAGCGGCTCTTCTCGCCTTCTGGTTCTCCATCTTGTGTCGCTCAGTTTCGACCTGCGACACTGGGCTCTCTGTGTCTTGTCGCAAGATCGTGATACTAGCGAATCTTTTCTTTTGGGGACCTGCCTGTGTCTTTGCGACCTGAGCTTGTAAAGCTGCTGTCGCCGCGTTACCATCCTTTCCTTTCGGTATGATAAACCCCAGCGATATTAGGTCATGAGGATAGCTCAGTTTCAATAGATTTTCCCAGTACTCTTGATAGAACTTTGCAAGTGGTGTAAGTATTAACACTGTCTCCCGGTTCTTTAGTGGGTCGGTCGATTGTGTTGCATTGTTCATGCGATAATGTACAACGGGTGGAGGTACTATCGGTCCCTTCGAATTCGATTTGCGAAAGGGTAATGACGGTGGTGAGCGGTCGCTCGTTGCGGTTCCCTGCCTGCCCATAACTTGCTTGGTCGGTAATGGGGATGTGTCGTCGCCAGAGAATATGAGATAGACTAGTCCGATGAATAGTGTTATAGCGAACACGTACGTGATTGGACTGGTCCGCCGAAACTGCCGTTGGGTTGGCATGACGAGCCAAACGTGGTGTAGGAGAGATTGAATCGCAAGTAAAATGTGTAACAACGACGCAGCAGCGCTGGTTCACGTTTTATGCTGATGCATATGGTACTAGTCATACAGAGACGTCTCCAGGATGTGCCTGAAAGTTTAAGGAGTGTATCGCAGTGGGCGGAGACAGCAATTGTGAACCGCGAAAATGTGGATTTGAAAAAGCCATGTAGCAGTAATACATCGGACCTACGACGCAACACCGAGTTCTTCGGTCATCCATCGCGCTAGCCGGATCTGGATAGAGGCCTGCTGTCTCTTCCAACGGCGCTTCACTTGATAGGCCAACCAGCATATCACAGTACAGTTGGCAGTGGTAGCTTCCGTAGCCGATTGCTTTAGTAATTACTATAGGAATGAGTATCTGGAAGACTTCCAAGACGATGTAGTGCACCAAACAGACTCCTTGGTCTTGACACTATCTCCAATGCGCCACCTTCAATGCCACAGCCAACATCTCGATATTCACACTTCTTGAATGTAATTTGCAGGAACACTCTTGACCTGCCCGCCCTTCTCTATATCCGCCCATCCGTCACCTATGTCCCTAGTTATCAGTACGAATCGTTCGCCTTCGGCGATAGAATGCTCTGCATCACTCTGCGCCGAGTAATCATACATGGCTTCTGCATACTTTAGCTTCTTCGCGCCACGTTTAGGTGCAACCGCTGGGCCTTTCTTTTTTGTTCCAGGTGCATTGATACTTCCAGCGACAGAGATGGACGAGTTCGAGTAGGTCGAGCCAGGTCGTCCTGCTGATACAGGAGTCGAGGGTATCACTTCAGCGTATGCCGCAGGTACAAGGCCCTCCTTCGTTCCAAATCGTACTTTCATCCAACCAGATCCATCTGTGATTATAGTCAGTGTTATACCAAGGCTTTAGTAGGTATTCTCACCATCCGGTTCTAATATAATTACCTCTTTCCCGTCCGGAACGAAAATCTCCTCGTCACCAGTACCCTGATAAGCATACAACATACGGGCTTTTGGATCGGATGACCTTGGGGGGTCCGACGCACCGTCTGCATCTTTGATATATTGTGAGGGTGGAGGCGCGAGTACCCGGCGTGGTGCTCCAACAGTCGGTGGAGCCCTAGGGGGAGCACTAGGCTCATGAGCGTCGTCCTCTGGTGGCAATATACCTCCTGTTGCAGCTCTCGGGGCATTCACCGAGTACCCTGAACTTAATGTGTTCATGGAATTAACTGTGTCAGACCTCCGGATCGTCGACGCCTGAGATTGTGGTTCGGAAGCACCATTGGCAACCGGAGTAGCGTGAGCCGCCTTCTGTCGTTCATCTTTAATTTTCTTTTTCTCTAATTTGTTGAGTTCACCAGGACAGTCCGCTGGCACTTTGAGTTCACATTTGCTGTGGCACGTGTACCCACAATCACTGCAATCAAATCCTTTAGCAGACAGACCCCATATTCTCTCGCCGCATAGATCGCAATTCGTAGGAATCTTGAATGTTTGAGACTTGAAGTTGTGGTTCTTTGCGCCAATACTGACATCACCGACGGCTGCCGTGATTGTTAAAACTTCCACTTCAGCTGTGCTCTTCTGACGTTCGACGTCATGCATTGCTTCCTGAAGTGCAAATATCGAGCGGACAACTTCAACCTCATCACGCTTGTCTTTGCCTTCTCGAATGAGCTGCCTGACCTTCTTCCCGGCCTCAACTTCTCGCCGTTTTGCATCAAGTTGCCTTCGGAACTCTCCCATCTGACCCTTGCTTTTCAGTAGGACATTACGCAGGAATACAGTCGCAGGCTCATCTACTGCCATCAGTCCTTCGTCAAGCCAAACAGGGCTAGGCTCGAAATTCATGTCCGCTGGCTCCTCCCAGGGTGCGGCGTTGTGACGTACAAACATCATTGAATCCAGGAGGGGGTTGTTGCGTGGAATTTCAGCAGACAGGTGTTGTAGCGCTTGAGTACTTCGTGAGAGTGTGTCGGTCTCCAGTTGTGCTGCGGTTGACCACAATGAATTCAGTTTCGCTACTCGCGTTTCTGAAAGGTCTTGCAAGCTCTGCTCGTGCGTCAGGAATGAGCGGAACATGACTATTCATCTTGCTTACATCAAGAAGTTCCGGTACGTATTCATGGTAATACTTTTGTTTCTGCTTGTTGGTTACGTTGATTTGAATCAAGTAGGTGTTCTATTTCTGGGTGAATATTATGGCTCGTATGTCGATCGTGGGAAAGGTACCTTGATGTTATTCATCTCGCCTTGTTGTTGATCGTAGGCGTGACGTGCTTTCTGCTTCCCATGGTCGAATGAGCTATCAATCTTCTTCCGTCGATTCTCGACTTCTTGGCACACGCTGTCATATTTGCCTTTGCTCTTCCTCAGATCGCTATACGAGCCGTCGCGTTCCTTTTCTAACTTCGCAGCGTATTCAGCATGATACTTTCTGAGCTCTTCATAGCGTATAGCAAGGATCTTAAGGGGCTCGGCTATGCTCCCGATCAGCTGTGTCGCGAATTGATCATGCTCTGATGCCCGTGTTTCCAGTGTTGTAAGTTGTGTAGCCCATGTCGTCATAGAGGCACTAGAACGAAGTCAATGCAGGTCTATCCACATGATGTTGCGATCCCACCTCTCTAGTGAACCAGGTGTTACTGTAGGCGTCTCGCCAACGCTGAGGGTGCTGGTCTTCCGTGCTTTCTTCTCGAAGTACTTCTTGGCCAAGGTACTCAGTTTTTGCGAATACTCCTTTTCTATGGCGCTGCGCTCGCGGTAAAACTGTTGGATGTCTTCTAACCATGCAATGCCGTTGGAGACCTATACACATCTTCCGTAAGCATCAATAGCTGGCAGTATGTGCAAAGTGAGTAGACCATCAGTATAGGGCGAGCGTACCCAAGCATTTACAGGCTTGAAGCCATCCTGTCGTTCTTCAGTCAGTGTTCGAATTCACAGTCTCGCACACGCTGGCAAACACACCTTCAACTCGGCACCAAAGCTAGGTGCAATATCGAGCTCAGCCATAACGGTTCGGTCAAAGAAGGACAGGGCGCAACACTCAGAGGTGTGTATCTGACTTCGGCCGAGGCATGAGACAGGCCAGAAGCGTCATTTCACGGAGTGGATATAGGGCAGAATGAATAGTCACAAAGCATCGCAGGGTTTGATATGGCGCGCGTTGTCTCTCCACTATCACTACACGCAGCCGCAGTGCCACTCGTCTTGGGGTCGCCCCTGCGCTGCCCTCGTGCTTGCTAGCGGGCTGTGGCTGTGACTGTGGCACCCGCACCACAGCCCTAGCGCGGGGTAAGGAAGCGCCAAGAGAGGAGCCGCAGCTCCAAACAATAAATAATTGGATTTACACAACTTCATCGAGGGCGGTCAGGATCACTGTTCCCCAGTTCAACTTCTCCTCAACGAAACAATCGAACACCCACCACTTGCACACTATCGCCGCTACCGTCACCGTCGTCGTCTTATCCAGTACGCAACTTGGCTCAATCGTGCTCGTTGTCCGTGGTCCGAAGGGCAACATCACGCAACTCTTTCGCGCAGACTTGGGAGATTGAATCCTCCCAAGAACTCACGACATGTCGGCCGAAATTCCCACAGAGTCTGCTCCAGTAGCCACCGCATCTGAAGCTCCCAAGAGCGATATCTCCGCTGCACAAACTGATGGCGCATTTGCCGCGCCGGGCGGCGATTACATTCAAGATCCGGAATGGGATGTCCAAGTGAAGCTAAAGGATCTTCAAGCCGATCCAAACAACCCTCTGTACTCTATCAAGAGTTTCAATGAGCTTCAACTGTGAGTCTTTCTGTCGTACTGCTCAAGGAACCTTGCCTAACAAGTTTCGTTCCAGAGCCGAGCCACTTGTGAAAGGCCTTGTCAAATTGAGCTTCCGAAAGCCATCCAAGATCCAAGAGCGCGCGCTCCCACTGCTTCTGAGGGACCCTCCTACCAATCTCATTGCACAATCTCAGTCTGGAACTGGTAAAACCGCCGCGTTCGTACTAAACATGCTTAGCCGGGTCAAGTTGGACACCATCACACCACAAGCGCTTGTACTTGCTCCAACGCGCGAGCTTGCTGTTCAGATTCGGCAAGTCATCCAGAGCATGGGAGAGTTTCTGCCAGGTCTCGTGGTCCAGAACATCATTCCAGACCCAAGCAAAAAGGGCATCAAGTACGAAGCTCACATCTTGGTGGGCACCCCAGGCTCAGTCGTAGAAACCATCAAGAGGAAATTGCTCGACACCAGACAGATCGGGATTCTCGTATTAGATGAGGCAGATAACATGCTGGATATGCAAGGAATGGGCGATCAGTGCAAGCGAGTCAAGGTGTAAGTCTACCTACCAAGTGATGCCCACGAGTGTGAGATTAACTTACATAGTGCTCTCCCACACAAGCCTCTCCAAGTGGTGCTTTTCTCGGCTACCTTTCCCGAGGAGGTCATGAAATATGCCAACCAATTTGCTCCTAACGCCGACGAGATCACACTAAAGCCGAGTCAAACCGTCGTCAAAGGAATCAGACAGTTATATTTAGACTGCAACAACCTTCAAGAGAAGTTTGATACCTTGCTGAAGTTCTACGGTCTGATGACCATCGCCTCATCGATTATCTACGTCAGAACTCGTGCAACTTCCGCCAGTCTCGCCCAGCGCATGATTTCCGAGGGGCACGCCGTTGTTCAGCTCAGTGGTGAACTCGAGGGTCACGAGCGTGATGCGGTCATGGAAAAGTTCCGAAGCGGTGAGGCAAAAGTCCTGATCACCACAAATGTGCTCTCTCGGGGTATCGATGTACAATCAGTGACCATGGTCATCAACTACGACATTCCAGAAGACAAGGATGGAAGACCCGATCCAGAAACATACTACCACAGGATCGGACGAACAGGTAGATTCGGACGTGTAGGCGTTGCAATCAGCTTCGTGCACGACAAGGACAGCTGGGACAGACTATATGCTATTGCCAAACACTTCGATATGGAGCTTCACCTGCTAAATACCGATGATTGGGATAAGGTCGAGGATGAAGTATCAAACATGATCAAGCACAACAGAGCTGGCGCGTCTATAGAGACGATGCAGAAGGAAGGCACCGCAGGTGCATCATAGATCCATGCCGAGACGAGGAGATCCATATGAGAAGACGATATGCAACAGACGAACCCGTATACCATTCAATGATGGATATGTGTCAACTTGCAGATGGAAAAACACATTGCCAGCAGCAAAAGATGTTAATTCGTAGATACCAATTGCAGCATAGGAAAGGTGGAGGTTTTTGGCAATTCAAAACGGGGAAAGTATGGCATATAGCCTTCCAATAGCAAACTTCGTTACCTTCGCGCACGCGTCCTTTATACTGTCAGGGCTTTCCTCACCTCTACCTCTCAATCGTCCGAGTGATCAAAGCACGTGAGGGTTGGTCAGTCAGACTGCCCAACGAAGATTACTACTTGCCTGACGGTGATCACGATAAGACTCCGTAGTGGAGTATACATAATAGTTGTCTTCGTGAGATGTCAGATCCACATTTTTGTTGCAAAGTCCTTCAGTTAACGGTAGGCTCGCACACTCAGCACGCACGGGTATGTCATTACTAACTATATAGAATGTATCTCCCTCATCTACTAATCTCATGATCGATTGTCGAACTGTCTTCTCATGGATTTTGAATGGTCATTGGCCAGGCGCCGCCTTCGTGTGGGTATACGCCACTTTCCAAATGTCTTCGCCGGGATCCCATAGCCCTGACCCGGGCGTATTATCGCACTGCATCACCATAAACGCCTCAATCTCCTCTACTATAGAGCCTGAGATCTGCCTCGCCCTCAAGGAAGCCCAGCTCGCATCGTCCCCCAAGTAGACTGCCAACCCAAATGAACCCACCATCACTCATCTCAAGTCTCAAAAGCCCTCGGCGCAATGACAACAACGACGACAAAACTCGCCACGATCAACGCCCCTGCAATAGCCGCTACAACCGCCACACTGCCCCTGGCTGCCGGGAACATGCCTCGAATGACATAGTGCTGCGACTCGAAGTAGCGGTGGAAGCCAATGAACAGGATGATGATGCTGATGCCGATGAAGGTCGCGCCGAGAGGCTTGCCGACGCGGCGCAGCGGATCCGAGGGCGAGGGGTAGGGGTTTGGATTTGTGATGGAGGTGTTGAGGCGGAAGAGCTGGGTTATGGCGATGCCGATGGAGGCGAAGGAGAGGGAGGTGCGGAGCCAGGCTAGGAAGGTGCGCTCTGTGATAGATAGTCAATGTGGATGTCGTGGAGGCCGGAGGATGTTACGTCGCGGGGCGAAGAGTAGGTCATGCAAACCCGATGCCCCCATACGATGCTCGACACAGAGACACAGAAAGGAGAGATATGGATGTGAGTACATACCAAGCGCCAAATGATCCCTCGCCACACTCCCCTTATTCTCCAACTCCACACTCCCATACTTCTCCACCATACGCCTCCACCACCCCCCTCGTTCCTCTTCTCCGTCCGCATCCCCATTCGCGCCCGCGCCCCCATGCCTCTTCTTCCGTCTCCTCACGCCTCTCCTCGTTTCCAGCACCTGTTCCCCCGCATCACATCGTCCGCCAGGCTGGTCAGCCCCGGGAGTTCCATAATCTCTTCCAGGCTTCCTCGCATCGGGTCCAGCGTTCCGCTCAGCCTGTATAATGGCCGTATGCTCATCCGCTTCACTCTCACTCACGCCCCTCTCGATCCCGTTCACCGCCATCGGGACATATGGCAGCGCCTCGTGCTCGCTGACCTCGTCCTTGAACGCGACCGTACCGCTTCTAGCCCTGTCCCTGCTGCGCACACGGGTTCCCTCGCGCGTGCGTTTCTTTTTTAGCGAGCTCCTGCGAAGCGTGGGCGAGGTGGGCGCAGACGAGGACGTGTGCCGATCTGGGGCAGTAAGGGGAGAATTGGGGGTTGTAGCGAGCGTGAGAGAGGCTGTCTAATGTGTCAGACGATTAATTACCAGAGTCCGGCCTTGGAGAAGAAGAAGAGGAGAAACGTTACAGGCATTGGGAACTGGAGCTGCAGCTGTAGCTGCAGCTGTGGGGTCTGTGCTAGGTGACGGGTCGCGCGCGCGGACCTGCGACGGCGCAACTGTGGGGCGGAGGACGTAGATGAGGCTAGGATGCTCGTCTTTGGGTTGGGGGCATGTGTTCGAGGCTGTCTGATATGCCATGGATAATTTGGCAGATTGTTTCTGAGGATACTGAGGAGCGGTCGTGACTCTGAGACCCTGCCCTTGGGATCTGGGGTACATTAAGGCGGTTCGGCTAAACAAGGTTGAGCGGATGCCGTATCATGTGGAGTCTACCTGCTTTCGGGCGCCGTAATGTTCCTCAGCATGGCGAATAGTTATAAGTAAAAAGCAATATGTACAAAATACTACATTTATACAGACAGACAGGACCAAGTGGGTATTTACGACCACTTTCATAATCCCCTCAGCAGCATATCTATCTGATCCACGACCGCAGCAGCGTCTTCATCCGAATATCGCTTCATCTGCTGCTCCGCTGGACGATTGCCTGCCATTCGTTCTCTTAAAAGCTCCGCCAGTCTCTCCCTACGTCGCTTCTCAGACGAATACACGCGGGCGTTCTCCTCTGTGGCCCAATCATCTCCGTGTAGCATACGTCGCCGTCTATGTCTCATACCAGGCTCAAACGTTTCGAAATTAGCCTGTCGAATGAGATCATCGTGCTCTGGTGACAGGCCAGCGCGCTTCGCCGAATCTGTGAGAGTTCTGCGAATCACCGACGGCTTGAACTTGGCTTTCTTAAGCAACCGTATACGACGAAGATCTTCCTTTTCTTGTTCCTTAGCTGCTTCCAATGCAGTAATATTCTCTAGCTCATCGAAACTGGGATCGGTGATTCCGCTTTTGGCACCACCGCGGCGCACATATTGGTGCTGATTCATTAGAACTCTTCTCGGTCGACTGAACGAAACTGTATGTCTATTCACTTTGGGCTTGGTGGTCGTAAGATACTTGCGAAACAGCTGGCGAATTCGTCTATTTCGCGAGAGCACGGGATGCCTCGGGAGTCGCCGTCGACGGAGGCTGTGAGTACGGTTCTTTCCTATCCTGTAATGGAGAAACAAGTTCTGAGGCTTATGGGCCGGAATTCTTCGGATCCTAAGACGATTTTTCCTCTTCAAATAACCAATGGGTTGTAGACGTACATGAAGGAAATCATCGGCTGCGTTCCAACGCGTATAGGGAACGTCGAGCTTTGAATATGTTACTGTGGGTTGCATTACTCTCTCTTCAGAGCTCTGGACATGGATTGCCTTTTCTGACAACGCAGAGAAGCGATCAGGATGAACTGTCACCTGTGTAAGTGCAACATCCTTACTTTCAGAATACTGTGGCACTTCGTCCACCGTGCTGGGGACCGTGCCAAAGTCCAATGACCATTTCGTTGTTGGCACAGCTTGCGATGACGGGGTACTGTCTCCTGTCAATGCCCTTCTGGCCACCTCCTGCTGTGATATAGGAGGCATAATGAAGAATTGCAGGTAGTCACCAGGCCTGAATGTTGCTGAGGCGTTTTCATCTTCGCCTGCAAGATCTTCGAATGAGAATTTACTCTGCTTCGAATCCTGACAATCTCTATCAGAGTCGAGCATTCCAAGGGGTTTTTCATCCATCGGCAGCCTCTGGATTTTGTAGGGATCGAGAGACAGTAGCCCAGCCTTGTTGCCCCAACCACCTCCTCCGCTCATGACTCGATGTAATGATGCACCACGGTTGAGTGCGCGCATGATGTGGTCGTTCCAAGCAGTGTGTCGCCAGAAATCCACGAAGCTCTCTTCCTGGGTGAGTGCGATTTGTGTGATCGCTCTTCGACTACGCCCATTCAGATATCGATTATAGGTAGAGACTACGCGTAAGGCAAAATCGGCTGGATATGGATAGAGCAATGCCCAGATTGAGACTGAACAAGGATCTGTTCGCGTCACGTCGAAAAACTTGTGCACGCCTTGCTCTACGTGAAGCGAGGCCGGGATAACCGAATTGTGCTTGTTCTCAAGTCGACTGATGATGTTACCCATTACATCCAAGATCTTGAGAGACCCGGTCAGAGGTAGTAAAGGACATGCCAGCGACGTTGACGAGTTCCGACCTCTTCCAGAAATATCGAACGGCCAAAGAATTGAAGCACGTTTTAATTCATGCTTGATGGATACGACTTCGACTGGCGCCGAACTCTCTGGTTTCTTGATAGTGTATAAAGACATTGTGTATTCGTAGCCATTCTGGAAAAGAGTATTGGCGAGGGGAACGTGGACTTGGATATTCTTGCGAGGGCTTCTTCTCCTTAAGGATTCATTCATATGGAAAGACAACGTTGGCGTGGTTGCTAAGTCTTCAGGAACATCGGTATCGAAACGGTCCAGCTGTGATAGACTTGTGCTGGAGGAAATGTGTCGCGAATCCATGACGGCATAAGATATACCATCGAGTCCGTCTTCTAAAATCGGAGGGGCGCGTGATGGTGGGCCCATTTCGTAGTCTCGTGGTTCCGCAAGACGATCCACTACAGCCACTAGAGTCTTAACAACATCGGTACTGTTCAACATCGAGTGGTTTCGAAACAATCGTTCCCGAAGTATCTGCAATTCCTCCACAAGACCTTGATTCAGGGCTTGTGCATAACACGGCGTCAATAAGAGTAGGATTGTGGGCGAGCCCACGAAGGAGTTCGATGGTATAGCTGGAACTTGTCTGAGTAGATCTTTTAGCGTCTGCGATATATGATCAGCTTTATGTGGGGCAGTACGCAGCAGATCAACTTACTGTGGCCGTTGCGTTCTGAGTTGTCACCATGCCGTAAGTCCCACAATGCTCCACGGGGTGAGACAAGCTCACAGAATCATCGACTTTGACGTATCGTGTTTCGCCGGATGCTGGGTACTTGTGAATTCCGGAAAATGGCAACGTCGACTTCTGCACGAGCGGAACTTCAAGAGGTATCCTTCTGATAGAAATACCCTTTTCCTTCTTCTTCTTAATGTGACGTCCATGTCCGCCATTCGGTTCAGTAGACTTTGTCGAAGAAGGGATCGTGGGCGGCATTGCGCTCTGCAGTGCCGGGATCGCAGAAGCAATTCTTCTGATGGGAACCGTCACCTTCTTCTTGACGCGACGTATCACGGGTCTATATCTACCATTCGGTTCAGTAGACTTTGTCGAGAAAGGGACCGTGGGCGGCATTGCGCTCTGCAGGGCCGGGTTCGCAGGAGCAATTCTTCTAATGAGAACCCTCTTCTGCCTCTTGACGTGACGTATCACGGGTCCACACCCGGAAGTCGGCTCATTGATGTTCGTCTTCGGCGGAGAACGGGCGATGAAGCGTATAGGTAGCTGCGAGCCATTGTGGACGGCGTCAAGGAGTGTGGTAGAAACATGGATATATCTCCGGGTGAAAAGCGCAGCATTATGCGACGTGTACAAAGCACATGGCTTCAAAGCGCATAGCATCGCCGTCTGAAGCGTGGTGAGACCTCAGCATTAGCATGAGCGTCGTCAAAGTGAAAGAGGTGCTTCCTTCCGTCATGAACATAAATGATTCGGCTTTCCAAAAGGTTCGGCCGTGCAGTACTAACCTGATCCATCAAGAGGACTGAGCTAACCCCAAGTGGGAAGCTTGCCGACGACAACTCGACTTTCCAGTACATACATCATTCACTTTGGATCTTGAGGTGTTCCATTGCGGAAGGACTGCGAGAGCTCTTAGTACTCGTCTGAATCATGTTGTAGGAGGTTGTTTACGAAACCGTGCAGTCGTTCATTCTCTTTACTATTTTACCCTCCTGCTAGTATTACCCCTATCACACGCGACATATAACGATCGCATGCTTAAAGGACTTTAGGTGGAAGACTTATATACCACAGCAAACACTATTAGCTACTACAAGTGCTTGAGATCTGATGCCATTCCAGGAAAAGCATGAAGCTCAACCCCTTGGTGCTTGTAAGAACATAGATGTTACCTTCATATAGCTTACGCTTAATAACAAGTAGAAACAGTCCTACAACCAAACCATCCATATAAAGTCCACCGTCAGGTTATCCAACGCTAGCATAGAGCTTAGTGCACTTGAGATCATCATATGGGCCCGTCCAGCAGGGGCGATACAAGCAAGTAGGAAGGTGCTTGTGTAATGGCTACTTGTCGAACGAGATACCTGTAGTCAAAGGGGAAAACGCTATCTAGACCTCGAATGATACCATTCAGCTAGCAACTGATACCTTTGTCGATGTGATGACGGAAGGAGCCATGAAGATTTGCCGTTATCATGTTCCTTGTACTTCGGTTTAGGCCAATGGCACTACGAGACTTGATCAGGGTCTATAAATACAGTGAAGGTAGATAACACACAAGACCAATTTAAATGCTGTAAAGTGTATATACTTAGTCATACTCAGAAACGCCGTTATCACTACAGTATAAACAATAAGCCCGCTCCATGCATCGCCCGCAGGAGATACATTACAATCAACTACTCTGATAAAAAAAGCTTTTGGCTTTCTACTCGTCCTTGAGCCACAAACCCAAAGCATCTCTCCGACTCTGGCTGGCAGGGTCCAGGTATGGTGGCTCACCGATGCCTACAGCACGTTGGCCGAAGCGGGGACCCTGTCCAGCAGTGTCCATTGTTGCGGTGTGGAATGTACTTCGGTTGTCCCAGAGAGCTGATATATGATTAGGGATATTTACGGTCAGATAGTGTGAAATGGGAGAACATACCGACATCGTTCGGCCCATTCCATCGGAACCTTACTTGCGCATCATGGTTCTCGAGAAGGTAGACTTCGAGAAACTCGTTCATGCGATCGCTTTCCAGCTTCGTTAATTCATTGAAACGAGGACGCTGCTCAGCGTGGCCGATACCATATAGCGCCTTCCAACCTGTTACTGGGTTGGTGCGAACAGCGGGATGCGTAGCACCGAGCGTTGAACCAGCGTTAAGAGGGTGTCCACGAGGGTCGGTGTACATGTCGAAATTCCATACCTTCATCATTGGTTCAAATCCGGGGTTGCCGAAGTGACATGTGAGACCCTCGAGAAACTTTTGCCATGGCTCGGAGAAACGGTCGTATAGTTCGTAAGCATTAGCCCACAGAGTGTCACCGCCAGTAGGACCAAGTTTTTCCAAACGTAGGCATGAGTAGTCAGCTGGCACCTTCTCGAAGGCAATATCGCTGTGCCAGTATGCAGTTTTAGCCTTCTTCTGCAATAGTCTGTCCTTCTTGAGGGCATCATAGCGGTGCTTAAACAAATGCGCAGTCTCCTCGGAGCTAATGGTACTGATTTCCTCGTCCATACGGTTGTGATATTTTTTGTCATAATTGATGCTCGGATGGATGTATAGCTTAGATTCTTTGGGCTTGTTGACGAGTTCTCCCATACGCTGAACGAGTTCTTTCTGGGTCTCGTTGTCGGCATTGTCCTGATTACGGAAGAAGCATACGCCACGCTCAGAAACTAATGTTAGATTAGTAAAGGAGTGCGGGAATTTGTTTTGAAACGTACCAGTAACAGCAAGGTCACGAATGAGGTCGTCAGAGTTTGGTGCTCGTAGCAGTTCCTTCAGGTTAATGTTGGTATACTCACGACCAATCTGTGGAGTGACTTCGATGTAGCTGTATCCGTCAAGATTTCCTTGATACTTGGTCGGCTCGCGGATGAGTCCGCTCTTGCTCTTCTTGATTCCATTGATCCCTTCTGGGACGAGGACCGGGGTCTCAATAGCCGACGGTGCCATGTTGTAGTGCCTTCCACTTTGTCTGATGTTGAAGTGTATCTGTTGAAGGTTGCGTTGTAAAAGTTGGGAATCGTAGTCTCTTCTGAAGTTTGACTTGAATTTGATGTTATAGCTTAAGCCAGATACAAGAGGGGACTGCCCAGCATTTAATATACATAGCTTGGCCGCCACTTTTGCTCCTATCGTATAAAAGAGAGCAACACCGAAGCCGAGCCCGCCAATTATCCTGGTATGGTAGAAACTAGACCTCGAGGATCCCAAAACTCTATTCATCCTTTGAATATCCCGAGGAGCTGATTGGTGATTATGTATTCCGTATTCTGATTGTGGAAAGACGCGAGGGGCTCCGAACGAGAATAACTGCGAGACACGAGGCCATGGCTGGTGCCGCAGAAGACCAGCCGTTACACCACATAGTGGATGGCTGAAGCTGGTATTAGCAACTGGAACGAGCTTCAGGTTGCACTCATTGGTGGATGGATTAGATCTGATAAGATTTATGGGCTGATCGTCGTTATTCGCCGTTGTTCCACGTGTGATCTGCCTTGATTCCACGGAGATTTAACGTCGTGAAGCTTGGGGGCCAACGGGTGCACCCGGAAGCAATGCCTCGGAAACTGAGCACTTTTCAAGTTCTTGATATTTTCGCACACTCCATTTCGCGGTCATTGATCCTTTTGCTGGGAATTCTAGTGTTGCATTGGTTGCGGTTCAGTGTCTGAACACGCCAAAGTACATCCAGCGCCGAGACAGACTTTGTGGGGCTCTAACGGTTGAATCGAAGCTTCGCCCTCTTTGACAGCTTGGCAGAACTTAGAGCGGAAAAGTCAAGAAAGCCCCGAGTCTCACCTGTTCGCGAGATACGAAAACAAGATATGATGACATTCAAACATGCTGTCGTCGGACATGTTCAGCTCAGTATGACTACAACATTTCTCCACATGCCCAATAATAGAATATGTTTGTCCCTCAAACAACAAAGTAGGTGCTTAGCCCCTACAACTTTGAGCTGGTTTTGTGTCTAAAACTGTCAGCGATGCTCTAAAGTCAGAACATTAATTTGCGCTCGGATGATTACTGCATCCTGCAACATTCCAAAGCCTATGATGAAACATCGCCTCTATGACTGTCTACATCATATCTCGATGGCCGTGAGTGTCAGAAGAGTCTATCCGTCTTTGTCAAGGTCCAAATCTCAAAAGCTTGGTGACATGAGTTAGAAGCCACTATACTAGTGATCCGGATTGGCCGTGTCGAGCCATACAATTTGTTCGAAGGTCAGACGAGCAGTCGCAAGGCTGAGAGGTTGGTCCGCTAGCAACAAAAGAGTGCAATCATGGTTCATGTTGGAGAAGCTGGGGAAAGACGAAAAGCTCCGTGGTATGTCGGCAGAGTGGGGCGTTGATGCCGTAGCGATTCCGGAGCTGTCTAACCACCTACGTCATAAATCCGTGCAATAATTTACAACCGCCTTTGCGCGCATAGTCGGATGATCTAAATGTAGAATCAGTTCAAGCCAGGCGAATGTAATACTTCAACGATACCTAGCAGGCTAGCACGGAGACGCACAGAGTATGTCTAACAGATCATTTTCAATTTAGCAACAAATACAAGCAAGTAAACTGCCCGACTTCTCCTCCATTGAAATCAAGAATAAAGAGTGAATGCTCCACCTACTGGCAGAGTGGTAAGATCTTCAACTGTGAGCATGTACTATGGACGATTGGGCATACAGATAGTGTAGTTGGCGACCACCGACAAGGAGAGATTCTGTCTGGCTTCAGACACCACTTTTGTCGGAGGTTGAATATTTCTTGCCAAGATGTTGACATGGTTTTGCATGCATATTGTCGATTTAGGGCTTCTTTCGAGCCTGTGTGGCCTGACAAGGCTTGATGTCAGCACTGTGTGGGCGGGCTCGCGCAATGCTGGACGATACCAGCGGATAATGATGTACGATCCAGTCTCCTGCCATGATCGCACGTGATGGAGATGACGCCTCTTAAGCTCGAGACCAGGTACGTCCAGTGAGCTTTCGAAGGCTGATTGTCGTTGACGCAACCGGTATTTGAGCCAAAGCTCGGGCGACTAGGGTCGACACCACCATTTGTTACGGTTCCATGGATTCAGGAGAACATTGTGGATGCTTAACAACAACGCCATCAGTCATAACTCCCGAGTCCAACTTGACTTTGGAATGCTGTCGATATGCTTCGAGCATCGTCATCGTCGAATCTGCCATTGCCTCCGCGAAGGCCTGGTCCTTGAAAGCCGCCGGCTCCATCGTTGCGATTGCTTGCCTCGACAAATCTCTTCAATCGATCAGATTGGCTCAGGCTGGTGGGCCTGTTGTAGTCATTGAGACTAAGGCCTGCCAAACTGACTCCGCCTTGACCAGGAGCGCCAGTGGCATCAGTGACTTCGCTTGCGGCTACTGACTCACCAGCGACACTGCTGGCTACGCCGTTGCCTTTTCTGGATCCAGGGACGCCTCTTGAACCTGGGAGCGGCCAAGCTTCACCAAAATTGGAGAACATCTGAGGATAGTTGGAGACACCGACGCCACCAATAGCAGAGGAATGGACTGAAGAGACATCATCTGGAATGTATCCCACGATTGAGCCGTTGTCGTACTCTTGCCTCCCCTTGCCATTTGTGCCACCTCTAGAGGCAGCCATATTGGCAGCCTGATAGGCCATCTGGTACCGCTGGGGTCCGCGATAACTTTGCTTAGGGCGGGAAAACTGAAGAAGTGAAACTTGCAGGTTCGAAAGCGGGCCTTCAACAAGACAACCACGTTCCTTAAAGTGCAGTAGCAAGTAGTGCCAGAGAGGGTGTTTCGAGAGAACTTTTGGGTTGCCGAGAATGACAAGACCATACTTGGCACGAGTAAGGGCGACATTGAGACGACGAGGATCGCTTAAAAACCCAATACCTTGGTGGTCGTTTGATCGAACGCAGGAGAGGACAATGAAATCCTTCTCACGACCCTGGAAGGCATCGACAGATGCAACCTCGACCTCTTTGTAATTCTCTTTCTTGAAGCTTCCCGTGGCTTGCATGGAGCTGACAACAAAGCTGCGCTGACCCTCATACGGTGTGATGATACCAATCTCCGATGGTTGTACACCAGCCTTAAAGAAACGTGTAACGATCTTTTCCACATTTGAGGCTTCTGTACGATTCAAGTAGGAGGTTCCAGACGCCGAGATCTCTTCATTGCCGAGATTGGACCAGAACATCATAGGCGCATCGATTATTGGCCACGGGAAGTCGACCTCACGACGAAGACGCTCTTGCTCGTTCACACCGTCCTGAAGTGAACCTTCGTAGAACATGTTGGAGGGGAATCCCGAAAGGCAAGGGTGCATGCGATATTGCACTTGGAGTCGGATGGGAACACAGCCCAATATAACAAGTCGCTCAAAGAGAGATTGGTTGAGGCCAGCTTTGGCCGCCTTCTTATTCATGATGACGGGTCCAAGTTGCTGGTGATCACCTACAAGAACGACTTGCTTGCAACCCAATACTAATGGGATCATACATTCTGGTTCGGCAGATTGTGTAGACTCATCAATAAGCACAGTCCTGAACTTGAACTTTGCAAGACGGGGATCGCCAGCACCGACACACGTACAGCAAATGACATCAGCGTTCGTAAGAATCTCGCGTTCCGCAGCTCTCGTGAGCTGCTTAAATTTCTTCTCATCCTGACTGGACAGCTCACCAAGCTCGTTCTTGAGCTGATTAAGCTTGTTGAGTTCTACGTTGGTGTCATTCATGCGCACCTGCTCGTGCAAGGACAGGAACCCGATTGATGATTCGACATCTTCACGGGATTTGGCTGTGATTCTCACTGTCTTCAGCCCTGTCAAATGAATACGCTCACAAAGCTGATCGACAGCAACGTTCGAAGGCGCACAGACAAGAACCTGTCCGCCGTTCAGTTTTGCAAGGTGGTAGATGATTGTAGCAGAGGTAACGGTCTTGCCAGTACCAGGTGGCCCTTGAATCAGACTCAGTGGTTTTTGAAGCACACTTTTGACGGCATTAACTTGAGATGGATTAAGCTCTGGCAGGCCTGGCACGTTGAATTTCTTGGGCAGTGTTGTCTTCATAGGAGCTGCGGCGACATCATGACCTAGGAGACGGTGGAATATGTAGCCTGAAACGCTCATCTCGTCCACTGCGAAAGACTTCATAGCGTGCTGCATACGGTCGAACGAGGTCGCCTTCCAAACGTAATCCGCGCTAAAGTTGTGTGTACATTCTGTGGGCACTGACTTGTGATCACCTTTCGTGCGTAGCTCGATGCTGACTTCGTCTGACTGATTGTTCGGGATCTTGATGACATAGCCGACTCCTTCCCAGTGTGGTCGAAGTTCTCCAGTGTATCGAAGACGCATCTCATCACCGACTGCAAGTTTCACATCTCCAAGCTCTAACTTTGGTAAGACAAAGCTCGCCAAGTGCTTATTGTTGAGACCCAGGTCCCATCGAACAATGAGGCCATCTTGCGATTGCGACTCCTTCAATTTTCGGTCGTAGTCGGCTTCGATCTTGACAAGGGGGCCAAAGACATTCTGGTATTGGAACGCGTCATCGTAGCGGAGTAGCACGGGTGCTGGCTCATCGTCAATACCAGCTCCCTTTTCCAGATCGGCAATGGTGGCCTGGGCATTATCCTTCCACAATTCTTCCAGTTTGGCGATCATTTGAGGGCTCAGGTGGCGCGCGCGGAGTTGCTCTTGGTCAGTTGGTGCCGCAACAAGCCATGGTAGGAAGGACCTGTCTTCAATCAGGGGTTGCCATCGTGATGTATCCCATGTCATGTCCTTTTGGGAGGGCATGGCAGCGCATGGTTGACGACAAAGCAGAACGACGACCGTATCGGACTTTGCAGGGATGAAGCCTAGTAAGAAGACGTTTTTTATGCCGCAGTTGTAGCACTCCAAAACTGTATCTCCCAGTGAGGAATCGGGGTGAAGCTGGACCTCCTTATGTCTTGCGCGGACGAGATGGTTGATGATATGGGAAGACGACGTATTGCCGCGAGCGCTACAGAACCACTTGTTGCAGGCCAAACATTTGACAACGCTCTGTGAAGCATGGATCCCACAGTATCTTCACGAGGTGTTGTGTTAGCTAAAGGTCTCCCATCTGAAAGTACCTCAACTCACGCGCATGCATGTGCCGGTAGCTCCACCTCTTCTTCAGGCTTAACTCTGCCTTTTCCATTCGTGCCGTCGACAGCCATACTGGCCATACTTTCCATATCATCATCGTCGAAGACATCCGTTTCTTCATCGTCGTCCAGCCTCCTTCGGCGACCGGCAAGGTGACTCCGACCAAGATCCCCATCTAGTATGCTTTCATCATCACCTGCGTTGATGGTGGGTCCAGAGTCGGAAACTAGGTGGTTTCCTAGGTGAGTGAAGGCGCCTTCCATTGCACAAGATGGCTTGACGGCGCTGCGCCAACTCTACGAAGAGCGATTTTTTGGCGCTTCTGAAGCGATGATTGAGTAGGTTCCTCTGAAAGAGGACGGGTTTGGATTTGTGGAGCGCCAAAGGCTCGTAGGGTTTAGAGATCAATATCTGAGTCTAGTATCTCATGTCATATCGTCCAGGACGTCTGGCTTCTTCGTGTTGCCAGGCGGTGGCGGCGGTGGTGGTGGTGGTGAAGTTTGGCGATGCGGAGGTAAGTATTCTAATGTGCGGGTGCGATTTCGACCAGTCCGCCGCACTTGCCCTGGGTTCAAAACTCTTGGCATCAGGCTCTTCGAAGGAAAAATTCTAGATCTTCACACACCAACAACAAATTTCACACCGTACGACATAGAACATGATTGTAGGTCAACTGCCTTCGCAAGAGAGTAAAATAAATCTGACATTTAATCACAGCGACGACAAGCCCGTGAAAGGCGAGACTACGTCTACCGGCGAGCACTGACGCTCCGTGATGCGGAAACGGCAGAGAGAAGAGCAGCGTTGAAGGCATCGCTAGCCAGCGGCAAGCCTCTGTCCAAAGATATCGCAAACGACAAAGATCTTCGTAACGATTACAAGTTTGACGAGACCATAGCCGACCGAGATGCACAGGAAGAGCTCGGTCTAGACGACGAATACGCACACCTGTCAGGCGTGGTAGATCCTAGAGTCCTCGTAACCACATCCCGCGACCCATCTTCGAGACTTGGAGGGTTTGCAAAGGAGGTCAGACTACTGCTACCGACTGCGATCAGATTGAACCGCGGAAATCTCGTACTGCCCAATCTGGTTCAGAGCGCAAAGAGCTCTGGACTGAGCGATGTCATTCTTTTGCACGAGCACAGAGGTACTCCAACTGCCATGACGGTATCTCACTTTCCCCACGGACCTACGGCATCTTTCTCACTACACAATGTTGTACTTCGCCATGATATCCCCCAAGCCTCGCGCGGTACCGTCTCCGAGTCGTATCCACACCTCATCTTCGAAGGCTTCACCACCAAATTAGGGAAGCGCGTCGTTCAAATATTGAAGCATCTGTTCCCGCCTCGTGAAGGTACGGCAAAGGTTGGTAACCGTGTAGTGACTTTCAAGAATATCGAAGACAGCATCGAAGTGAGGCATCACGTCTTTGTGAGGACCGGATATCAAAGTGTTGAACTTGCAGAAGTCGGGCCTAGGATGACGATGCGGTTATTTGAGATCCGTGGAGGTACTCTGGAGAACAAGGACGGTGATGTCGAATGGCATATGACACATTACACTCGAACCAGCAAGAAAAAAGACTACCTATGAAGGCTGGTATGAGCTGGTGCACAATCTGGAACTACCACAGAGGCGAAGACGCCGACAAAGGCCACCACCATAATTATTGCACGAATCATGAACTGCAGGGCTCTTGGCCGTACATTCTGGAACAAACCTTATCCAAACAACAACACATACCACTGTGTCATCCGCAATCCTGTAGCCCCCCGGCCACCGGACACCTACATTTGAACGCCAGGGTGTGCATCAGATTCGAAAAGGCGGCTAATACTTCTGTTGTCGAAGGCAGCCATGAAGCTTAGCCTCCACGCACCACCTTTGATGGTCCAAGAGCGCACCCACCAATCTCGCCAAACGAGATGGCCGCAGGAAAGCATGTATCAGACGTTGGAGGTAGACCACTTACCTATTCGGGCCACGTATGATTCAGTGCATCGTACCAGCGTCTCCGGAGCCTCACCTCGTAGAGTTCCATTAGGTGTCCTTCATACTATATCTGAAAACTCTGATTTTTCTTCAAACTCTGTATTTTCTGGTCTAGACTCCCAAGTCCTTCTCTCGTCTCATGTGCCCGTTCAGCAAGGATATTCCGTCTCCTTGTTCCCCTCCCTGTTCAAGGTCTAACCTCTCGCGCATTATACTCACAATACCGACACCACTCCCTGCGGCCAAACGCGCAACGCTCTTCTTACACTTCGTATAACGAGACCGGCGCCAGTAGATGAACACGCATCCGCCAGCATGCGCGCCGACGCTGGCGCACTACCACGGACTCTACCACTTCTCTGCAGTCGCCAAGTTCCCCCTGTGAAGTTTTTCTATACGGTAAATTACACATGTCAGCACGTCCCTTCGATATCTGGTCCACTACTCAAGTTCCCGCGCGCCATTGACTCAACGTACCACGAGGGAAGCCCGCGGGATGCTGAGCGAAGTTCTCGGGTCCCGGAATATGGGACGATGGGACCCAAGGCAGGACGCCGGCGAGTACAGTGCTTTTGTCGTGCCTGGTATCATGACAACGACTCCTTTTGATGCCTTATAGAGGCTGGGCGTACTCAAAGGCACACGGGGTCCCACAAACCTGTCTTGTGTGCGCGCAAGACAACATCTTGACCTGCCTGCTCTCCAGGCATGGCAAATCGAAGTAATCTACACAGGACACAATTTGTTCCGAGCGCGGTTTCGGACTCTTTGCGCGACCGCACCAGCAGTTAAATCACCCCCTTTTTTTTTTCCCCAAAGTTTCAGGTCTGAAAGCGCGACGCGATATTAGGACGTCTTTCGTACAGTGACATTTCGCGACACGTCCGCGCTCCCGATTGAGTTTGCCCATTGCTTTCCCTCGCGCGACCTTTCTCCCCCCCTCCCTCCTCTTGGTAAACATGGACCACCACCAACCAGCCAGCCCGCCAGCCTAGGCTTTTTGCGCAAACTCCTTTTCGTCGGGCCACCGAACGTTTCGTCGTCGTCGTCGTCTCTCTCGGAACCATGCGGCTCGGAATAGGCATGGCATCCCCGCCCGCCGCGCGCAAGGCTAGGGGGGGGACGGAGAACCCCATCCCCGTACCCAGGAACCCAGGGCGCGCCGTTCGAGAAAAAGGGCCCCCCCCCTTCCCTTTCTCCCATCCTGCCTCCCTCCTCCCTTTCTTCCTCGAATAGTAGCCAATTCGCAGGGTGGCTGGCTGGCTGGCTGGCCGCAGTAACACAGACACACACGTCACGTCGCGTCGCACATTGTTGCAGGTCGCGATATGTCGTCCCTTTTTCCCCCGCGAAATCTCCTAAGAATAGCTCACTTATTTTGCTCGGTGGTAGCACACAAGTTTCAACTGCTACAAAGGGAGGGAGGGAGGAAAATATATGAGGCTGGCTAGTGGTAGTGGTGCAATGATCAACAACGGGGGTAAGGTGGGATTTTATTTGGCTGGGGGTCCGGGGGGCGAGCCGGGTGTTCGACGCACGATGACATGATTGCCCCCATCAGCGACCGCCGCGGCTGCCCAGTCCTCTAGTACACTCTAACTGCTACTAGGCTAGGCATGTAGATAGGTACGTACTACTACTTCCACTAGCAGTCTACCCTCTACACACCCGGCGGCCGGTACACTAACTGCTACCACTACTAAATAATTCCCAAGAAAACTTAAAAAGAATCTTCCCAACCCCACAGGTAATTTAGGCTAGTTGGTTGGTTAGTTGGTTAGTTGTTTAGGCAGGGCAGTCTTGGGGGAGAGGGGGGGCCGGGGGGGAGGCGGGTGGATGCTAGGCGCAAGGTTCGAACGTTCGAAGCGCAAAACGCTAAATGAGGCTTCTAGAAGGGGGGCGGGAGATTTTTAAGTTACCCGTTTCTAGAAAAGAGAGAGAAATGAAGGGGAAGGAGAAAAGCAAAAAAAAGTTGTCGGAAATCGAAAACGTACGATGCATATGGTATGGGTTAAAACTCTCTGTGTTTTTTTTTGGTTTCCAATTGTTTGATATTTGATTGTTTAGGGACAGGGGGGGCCGGGCGGTGATTATTCGTTATGGGACCCACGGTGTGGGAGTTGGTTGTATGTGTATGTGTGTTTTGGTGGTGAGATGTGGGGATTGGGATTGGGATGGGGATGGGGGGAGAGATGGGGCTGGGTGAGGCGGGATGTTTCGACGATTCATGTGGGGAAGTAAGGGATGATGCATCCAGGAAAAGGGAAAGGAACAAACCATGGCTGGGGGATTTATTTTCCGATGGATGGATATGATATTTTGGGATGTGGCTGTGCTGTGTGCTGCTGTGTGTGCTGCTGTGTTATGGCTATCTAATATTATAATGGAATATAAGATGTTGGAACTAAGAATAGGTCTGCTTGTGCTGTGCTGTGCTTGCTTACTGTCTAACCGACCATCTAACTTGATGACTTTGGCAATCATATGTATAGATAGATGTAGTGTCTATAGGGTTTATTGCTTCGCTCGTTTAATGGGTATAACGGGGACTTTGTGTTCTACTAGGATTAAAAACTCCACTTGCGCTCTTGTATGTATATATGTATGTATATAGACATGTATTAGGGGTAGGCACTTGTACCATACGATCTCTACTTCTATGTATATGTATGTATACATACATACAACCCCGAGGTATAAACTATCCTCTCCCCTCGGACTACATCTGTCTAGCTAATAGATAGATAGATATAAACTACGAAGAGGTTCATTCGTTAGTCTATCAATCCATCAATGAAGTAGTCAAGCAGTCACGAAAAGGTCAAAGTATAGTGCGTATAATAGTGGTAGTAGTAGGTAGTGGATAGTAGATAGTAGGTAGTAGGTAGTAGGTAGTAGGTAGTAGGTAGTAGGTAGTAGGCAGTAGGCAGTAGGCAGTAGGTAGTAAGTAGTAGGCAGTAGATAGTATAAGTATATAGAAGCGAACTACGATATAGGAACATGATAACGAATATAACGATAATAACGACTACAATAATAATAATATGGTTGGTTCGTTAGTCAGATGGCAAGGAAGTATAAGTGTAAGTGTAAGTGTATATATACTATACATATACCATGCATGTTAATTGTCATTGTGGTTACAATGCTGTACGTGTATACACATCCATCTATCTCCCTGTAATCAATCTTCCCTACCCATCTATTCATCTCCCTCCCTCCCTCCCAATCATCTACCCATCCCCCTCCCCATCCCCAATATACCCCTTACTCTTCACGAATACTAAGTTATCCGTCAGACGTCGTCAAAGGAGGAGGATAGGCCCTGACCTGACTTCAACCCGACTCGACTTCAACCCAACCTGTCATTCCTTCAACCCAGACTTTTAACCCTCAAGCCAGACCAAACATCCGTTTGACACCCGACTTATCTTTTAGATCCGACTCGATTTCATTCATTCCAACACCAACACCAACACCAACTCACCAACTCCAAAACTCCAAAACTCCAAACTCCAAAACTCCTTACGTCCCGCCTTTCCGCACCACACACACAGTCCACACCCTTCCTCACCCTTCCATACACACACACATACATACATAAACATACCCATACAAACTCCCCCTTCTCCCCGTCTCCAACCCCCCTGACTCACGACCACGACCACGACCACAAAAACAACCCACGCCTCCCCGGCCCCCGCCTCCGCCTCCCCCGCCTTCCCTTCCCTCTCCTCTTCGCTTCCCCTTTCCCCCGGCCAGCTCTTCCCCTCCCCGCCAGTCCTTGCCCCGCACACAGCATAACGGCGTAGCATAGCACAGCACACTATCACAGCACAGCACAACGGCGCAGCGCAGCGCAGCACAGCAAAGCAAAGCACAGCAATCACCGACAAGGATGAATAGACAGACAGACAGACAGACCCAAATCAATCCATCCACCTTCCACGCACGCACGCCATATACCACAACAACACACAACACAACAACACACAACACAACAACACACAACACAACAACACACACAAATCGAGGACGTGACTGACCCTAAGACGTACTAGACAGATAGATAGATAAATCAAGCGAGCGAGCGAGTGAACCGGAAAAGGTCAACAGCCAAGAAGTAGTAGTCACAGTCTCACACGTATACAGCTTCAAATGTCAAAATGTCAAGAACAAGTAAAATCGTTTCAACAAACTCCACAAGCCCATTGTTCAAAATGCCATGGTCGTTTTTATAATATATATATAAATGTATATATGTGAAACAAACACACACATCCCATCATCATCATCTAGTACAAGGAGCCGCCACCAAACCCCCCTTTTCCCCCAATCCTTGTCCCCACACCCCGCCCCCTTGTCCCCGTCGAGAGGGGGGGCGTTCAATCATGGATATTGGTATCAAAAAGGAAAAAAAGAAAAGAAAAAAAAAAGACAAGGAATACAATACGCAGCCAGCCATTACTGCTTGGCTTGGCTGTCGCGCCGACCCAGAATCCATGTCCCATGTCCCATGTCCCATGTCAGAGCGAGTGATAATACAACGAGTGAGCCTTCGAGGCGTAATGTGTCTATAGTATGCATGCGAGTGGCCAACACAGACAGGAGATTCGTCATGGGCTGTGCGTGCGTGGTGAGGAAAATATTGGAAACAAGTAACGAAGTGGATCCATGTCTAGATTTGGTTCAAGAGCTTGATGTCGAGGACCTTGTGCCTCAAGAGGTAGAGCTCGAGTAAAATTGCAGCCACTTTCTGTAGCGGGCATCAAGCCGGGTATATGAGAGAAAGGGAATAAATAGATAAGAAAAAAGGGCAGTAGACGAGAATAGAGTGTGTTTGTGAAACTTTTTTTAGCCCCGGCTGAACGAAGAGTCCGTATCAGTGCGGATCGTGGTCGCGCGGCTGATCGGGAGGGAAGGAGTTTCGCAGTCCCCGCGCGGCCGTGACTTGTTCCTTTTGTTTTGCGAGTTGGATCTGCTTAGCACTCGACTGAAGATGCCTCGATGGCCGGATCTACCGTCAATCGAGGGCGAGTTGGGGTTGCTGTCAAAGTAATTCGTCTCGTGAATGGGCACGTGATCAGCCTTTTCAATCTTGCAGAACAGCGTCGAGAAGAGGTATTGCTCGCCGTTGGTGTTGTACAAGGGCAGATGGCGATAGCCCTCTTGCAGAGTGCTCAGCTTAGCAGTGAATATTGCAAGCGGCTGGCCGCTGGTGTTCGCATTCGTGCCATCCGGCGAGTTCCACACAGACCACCGTACGAATACGAGGCTGGGATATTTGGTCTCCAGGGTCATGGTGATGTTTTCGCTCCAGTTCGGGTCGTAGCCGTTGTTGCCGACTGGGCGGGTTCGCTTGCGAAGCGGAGATCCAATCCCCGAAATGCCGTCCCGAGATGACGCGTCGAGGCCACCTTCTCCACTTGCGATGCCGCGCCGCTTGTCGTCTGCGCAGAACATCTCAAACTCGACGTACGGGTTGATGTTCGTGTCCGTGCTGACATTATAGGGACGTGGAAGCTGCTGGGCCGAGATGATGTTGACCGAGAAGCTGACTTGTTTCTTGGGCTTGTTCTTTGGGCCGGCAAACTTCCCAAGAAAGTCGCTATCCTCATATCGAAGCTCGGCAGGCTTCAAGACGTAGCCAGAACGATCGCTGCCTGTAGCGAACATGGCGTCGTTGATTTGACGTCCCACATCGTATGTCTGCCAATTGAGAGCGGCCATCTGGACACCCTTGCGCCAATATTTCAGAGGATCAAAGTTGGACGAATTGATGCGCCTGGGCCCCGGATAGACCCGCATCAGGTGCAACATATTGTGTGCCTCAAGGAGTGCCTTGCTCTCAGATCCCGGCTTGCACCGTGCCTCAAAGGTTCGCTCGCCAAAGGAGAAGATGTGATTGTAGCTCTGTGCTGCCGGTGACTTGAAATCCGTAAACTTGAGTCCCTGAGTGTACACGGCCAGCTCTCCAAGGACTGATGCAATCTTGCTGGTCTTCTTTCGTGCTCCCTTTTCCGACTTGAACGATGGCGGGCTGTCACTGTCATCGGCGGAACTGGCCAACGTCAACTGGGTTCCTGCCGAGGTAGCTGCTGATGTTCGGGGCGAGGAGAAGAATGAGGTGGTGCGCTCGGGCGGGCTTATCGATGTCGGGCTGGCGGCCAATGGGGCGTTTGGAACGAGGCTATTGTCCATCGCTACAGGCCTTGACCATGGCGAGCTGAAGCTCCTCTGGCGCCTGTGTGGTGGGGCTGACGGGGTTAGGATGGTCTCCTTGATGACTGGCATCTCGCGTCCCTCGAGCGTCTTTGCAGTTTGCGGCTCACGGTTCTCGACTGCCGACTTGACTTTGATGAGGATCTTGTTCCTCAGCCGTTCGGGAGAAGGCAGTTCGTCGCGGTCGTCGATTGGGCGTAGTATCAGTGCGTCGCCAAACTCCCTCTTCATCGTTTCAGTCATGACTGCCTGTTGTTGCTCATTGCAGTGAACCTCGAGTGAGATGATGAGTGGGTACGGAGATGCTACAAAGGCGTATTTGTTGACAACCTTGATGCATTCAGCAAATGAGCAGCTCGTCGTGAAAGTGCGGCCATGGGAGACTATCGGCTTTCCGTCACTGCCATCCCAGCAGTCGATCTCGATGCACCTGCATCCTCTTTGAAGCGGGAGAATGTATGCGTCAGGGCTAGATTCGCCAGCGACCTGTCGGCCAAGAAGGTATGTGTTGTGCGAGCTCGAGACAAAGTACTCGTTGAGTGGGCGATCCAACGTGTATTCCTTTGGTGGCGGCCGGAGTATGGAGTTGTAGGAAGAGGTCAAGAACTGTGAGAAATGTTGCCACGACATCAATGGCATAGACTCGCTTGCTCCTTCACTCTTCTTTGGAACGCGCGAGCATTTCGCAAAAGCCTCATTCCAGTGTTCGAGATTGGCGTCCACGTCAACTTTCTGTATGTTGCGGAGAAAGGAGAAGAAGCTCGCACGGTCCAGTCCTTCTTGATCCTGACCCTTGATCTCACGGTACAGGCTCTTGATGTCCTTTCTGTCCTTGAGGCGCCGCACAAATGCCAGGAATTGTGATTGATCCAGATATCCAGAATTGTCAGCGTCTGCTTTGTCAAAGTGCCAGCGAATGGCATTCTCGGTAGAATTGATGTGAAGTTTGCGACAAATTTGAAGAATGCTCGGGTAGTCAAGCTTCTCCTCGGACTCGTCATGCGACGTGCTGCCAAACTTCTGATCCATCGTATTGCGCCAGAATATCTTCGCGCTCTTCTCTGCAGTGCCGGCGAGGCCTGCCATGAGGTCGATGCGACGTCGCGACACCGAGTCAAGTGTGCTCGTCCATAGGGTGAAGGTGGCCTCGTCAGGGGCAATGAGGTGAAGGAATTTCGTCTTCTTTCCTTTGGACCGGTCGCCGTCGCAGGAGTATGTGATGGTGAACCAAAACGGTTCGTAGGCAACGTCGACGCCGCACTCCTCGCGGAAAGATCTAGCTTCCGCGCGTGTTCGAATGTCCTTGATATCGTCGATGAAGAATTGCTTGGTTTTGGAAAAGACGTCCCACGAGACCTTGGCCAAGACTTCATCCAGACAGAATCTCACATTCTTTCTCTTCTTCTTCGTGACCTTGGACAGCAGACTGCCAATCTGGAGTCTCGAAGAACGTACTGGAGCTTCGGCGCGCCCTTCTGGTATCGATTGCATCATTGACTTTGGAGCAGTGATGCCGAGACCGTTCAATTGCGTGGTAAGGGGTGAATGTTCACCGCCTTCTCCGTCGTCACTGTCCTCGTCATCATCATAGTATTCCAGCTCCAGGTCAGAGATCTCATGATGCTCCGTGAAGCCTCTGCTGTCGCGTCTCCTTCTCATAATTGTTGGACCCAAGCTATTCTCGCGTTGTTGATTTGTAGCAGAGCCCCGACGACGAGGCATTCTGGCGCGATTCGAGATTCGGCGGAAGAGGTTCCCCTTGGAGATGGGAGCTTCGGAGTGAGCGGAAGGAGAGGCGGCAGGCGGTGGTGACACGGCGGGCGACTGCCATGGTTCAGGCAGGGTGAAGGAGGTTGGTAGAGAGTGAGGGACCAGATCCGAAGGCGCCGGGCCCTCGGGGGAGGTTTGTAATGAGCTTCCCATGTCTAGCATAGGACTTGTTCGTGAAGACGGTATGCTTGTAGCGGAAGGAGGCTTTGTAGCGAGAGGGATTGCAGTGATGAATGAAGTGATTGAGGTTGGGTATGGTTGTTTCTTAAACTGTAGTAGAGCAGCATTCTGCAATGACTCTTGCGAGGCAGGTAATAAGGTCGGTAGATTCATGATTGTGGGTGTAGTCGTGGAGCACGGAGGCAGACAGGCTGCTGGCTAAGAAGGGCGTTGAGACATGACTTTTTGTATTTTTTGGATTGCGAATGAATAGTTGGATGAGTCGCAGCGACAAGACCAGCGAAAAAGAACGTGGCAGCTCTTATGGGCTTCAGAACATGGTACAAGGATTGGCGTGGTATCGGAAAGAGTTTCAGAGAGGAGGAGAGCTGCTGCTGCTGCTGCTGCTGCGGAGAAGCAGGCGGGATTGTGTGTATGCAGGCAATGGCCTAGTGACGGCAGCGTTGGTGATGAGCGAGAGAGTGAGAGAATTTGTGGTGGTGGGCCGACACGATGTCGCGATGCACCCTGCAGGACTGTACGAAAGCGGCAACAGGATCTGCTTTGTCGTGAAGCGGAATGAAGGACGTGGATTTTTGAAACCGAAACCTGAGCGTACAGGTATTCACCGGCCGAATGGTGAGGGAGAGTGAGTGTGTGTGTGGTGACGGCAGGAAAAGCCAGGATATGAGCAAATGAGCTGCAAGGACGGGCGGGCGGGATGTACAGCGGGCTTGGTGTGGTGTGGCGTTTCGTTTGAAGGCAGTGTGTGTGGAGGAGGGTGGTGCAGCAGTCCTTTGAGCAAACACTGATTGAGGTGACAAGAGACAGTGGATGTTGAGGCGTTTGTTGTGAACGAGACACGAATTGGAGCAGTATAAGGAGAGAGAGAGAGAGAGTGTGTGTGGATGGATGATGGAGAAATAGAATAAATTTGGGAAGTGTGTGAGTGAAATTGGGTAGAAGTTAAGAAAAGGGAGGGTCAGTCTGAGAGAGAGAGAGTTAAACATGAGGAAGAGGTCATCCTTTACCCCCCCCCCCCCCCCCCTCCCCCTCCCCCCCTAGCCTTTCTCTCACATACACACTACCACTACAGTCATAGCCACCCTAGATCCCTTCCATGCCTCTCCTTCTTTTGTCCTTCCTGGGCCCCGTCGAACGGCCATGGATTGTGTGTGTGGACTGTGTGGAGTCGTGTGGACAGCGTGGACTAAGTGGACTATTAAGGTATACGTTGTCTTGTCTTGCTGCAAACAGACTAATTAGAGAGGGCCAGGAAATCAAAACGGCTGCCCCCCCTCCCCTACGCCGATACCCCAATACGCCAATAACCCCCCCCCGGTCTCGCCGCCCAGTTTTGCTGCCTACCCACCCACTTTGCAGCCCACACCCAGCCCGTTTCTCGCCCGTTTGTCGCCCCGTTTTGCTGCCCGTTTTGCTGCCCACTGTTTGCCCACTGTTGCCCACTGCAGCCCACTAAAGCCCACTAATCAATCATATGGCCCGCTACTTACCTACCTACTACTATGCCCACCACCGCCCACCACCGCCCACTCTCTCTCGCCCACCGCTGTGGTCTTGGGTCTTGTCCGTCTCCCTAGCTAGCTAACGTCCATCCATTCATTCATTTATAACCCCAAACCACCCTATTATCCCCGGTTCTTTACCTCCTCCATCACTGTAATTAATTAATATATACATTCATCTCCATCCCAGTCCCATATATCTCCACGTCCACGTCCATCTCCACGTCCGGATCCGGCTTCTCCGCCTTCCCCTTCAACGGGCCTGTAAATCCATTTTAATCCCGATTCCAATCAATTCCATCAAATTGAGCAATTATCAGCTTGGCCCTGTTGTATATATGCTACTGTCTATGTTACTCTGTATGCTACTCTGTATGCTACTCTGTATGCTACTCTGTATGTTACTCTGTATGCTACTGTGTATGTTACCATATACCTATGTATTATAATAATAATTCTAAGCAATGGCATACGTAAATACGCACATCATTACACATCCACGCACATACATACAGGCACAGGCACAAAAACACACAAACACACACACTGCATCCCATACCATGCGCCATACCGCACAACATCCTCGCCAATTCCTGCCCATCTACAAAAACACACTCACACACACACACACATACAAACAAGGACCTCATCCTGCGCTCCGTGTGTCCGGCGTGCGTGTGTGCACCTTATACATATGACTCAGTACCCTAATTACAATACAGCAAATCATTCTACCAAGAAAAACATCACCACTTTCTGCGTTTCACACCATCACTAACAAAAAAAACACCAGCACTCGCCAATGCGAAATAGTCTGCGCTGGCCAGCTAGCTTAGCCTTGTGTGATACATATACAAAATTTTAGGCTTCACCGCCGCCCAACCCCCCCTCCCAAAGACCCCGCGAGACTGCAAAAGCGGGACTCTAGAACAACGTTAAAATGACTGACGGTGATGATGATAATGATGCTACATTACTACTACTACGCATCCGGGGAGGATAGGAAGGCCGCGTGCGTGCGTGCGTTTATTACCGTCTTTTTTTTTCTTCTTCTTCTTTTACTTTCCCTCTGGGTGATAGATGCACACTCTGGACGGAACATACGCATATGTATTGTCATTCAAAGAGAAAAAAGAGAGAAAAAAATGAATTGCTGGTGTAATACAGGGCACCTTGACAAGGCAGTCGTCGTAGGTGTGCCGTATTGTATTATATGTGTGTATGTATGCACGTATGCATGTATGCATGTATCTATGTAGGTAATTAGCCGTTACCAAAACACGCAAGCAGCTGTAATTTAATTTTAGTGCCTGCCTGTCCCGCGATGCACGTAATCCCCTTCTTGGGGTTGAGGAAAAGCCAGCCAGCCATTCTCGTCCTTCTTCCCTCCCAGCCCAGGCACAAAAAAAAGCAGCATTCTTTTAATTCCTTAAACTTCGATTCCAAAACAGAAAAATTCGACGAAACAGGTAAACGGCTCCCCCTCCCCGACTACTTAAAGTACTGGAGTGAGAAAGAGTGAGAAAAATTGTGGACTCTCCTCCCTATCATTCCGCCCTTGCCTTTCCCTCCCCCCCTTGCCCGTTGTCCGTGTGTGGGAACATTTTTCGCTTTGTCCACACTGAAAACTGCATTCCGGCATCCACGTCTCCACTGTGCCGACAACGGTGACTGTTCCTCGGTGCATCGCATCAGCATCATCATCGTCATCAGTCCACTCGCACGCACACCCGCTCCACCGTGGCCTGATTTGGATACGACCAGCACCGTAACAAGAAGAAAAAAAAACATTCCGGTGGCCGTAAGGTTCAGCTGCGTCAGCCCGTTGAACCTATAGTGAGTAACACGGTCCGTGTGTGGTCTGTCTGGCCTGCAGTCAGACAGTCAGTCAGTCACTTGTCGCGGCAGACTAGCCGTATTATCCCTGCTGAATTTTTGCTCGTTTCAGAAATTAGAATATCACCAATCCAACGTCATAGCCTCGTGAGCCCAGAGCATACCAGGGGAGGGGGACCAGGGAACCAGGGGAGGGGGGGGGTCAAGCCAATTCCCTGACCCCTGTATAGCCCATGTCTTGGGTAACGCTCTTCCCGTGATGACTGGTACTTACTACTTCGCGTCTGTGTTCCATAATTAATTATTCTTATTCTTCCTAAATCGTAAACATCTCCTCCCTTCACTCCCCCAAACATCCAACGATGCGCTCCACTTTCATTCGCTGCCGTTGTCGCGTTTCGCCTGCTGCTCTGCGGAACCTTGTGATGTGACTTGTCGCCTCGACGCTCGACTACGGGCTGTGCTGCTACTGCTGCTACTGTTGCTTTGTTACTTTCTGTCGACCTTAGAGGGGGGTGTTTTTTTTGGTGGCCGTCCATAGCAAGGGCGGTGGGTCCGGAAGCTAGCAAAAAATAGGAGGGTGGAAGAGGCTGATGCGTGTGCTGCGTGATGCGTGATGCCCAAAACAACATATCTTCATGTTGCACAGGCTGCAACACCACCAGTGTCCACCGTATAGCCTTGATGACCTGTCTCTCTCTGTTTGGACAGACTCACGCCCCGCTGCAGCTCAACAGCACTCGCCGGCGCCGGACTCTGCTCAGTACTTGTCATCTGCCAGAATCTGGCTGGATTAGGCCATGTACTGCAGCTTGGATTGATACGCCTGACGATTTAGCCTTGCTGGCTACGTGCATGCTTCCGCAACGCAGTCAGATTCGGCGCTGTTGTTGTTACACCCTCTGGAAATAGCAGAATGGACCGCAGCAAGCGCGGCCAATCTGACTGGCCAGCCTGCTGCTTAGACGAAATGTTGCGTTGGTCAGATAGGATGCGTTTTTTGTCTGCCAGCCCATCAGGCCAGCCAGCGCAGCCAGCATGGTGTTTACTCCTGTTGACGATGATTTTCCTTCCCCTACGCTGCGCCGCAGTCGCCAACACCGGCAAACAAAATAGATGGCGTTTCATACCTGAGCCCGTCAGTCCGCATTCACGGTATAGGCTCGTGGGAATATGTGGGCCAAGCCAGGGGGTTGCCCAGGTCCGGCCTTACACCACGTTTTTCTCGCTGTTTCTGCTTGCTGCGCCTACGCCCTCCACACACACACACACAACCACACCCACACACACACAAAACACCTCCACCACACCCTCCTCCAGTTGTTCCCGCTTCCATCCGACGGCTGTCGAGCCTCTCCGCCCGTCCAACGCGCCCGCCAACACTAGGCAAAAATGGTTGCACACCCAATTGCCTTGTTGACGTGCTCGACATCCGGTGACCATCTGGTCCAGAGTTCAGGGCGCAAATGTGATGGCTCTTACTGCTGCTGGCTGCTGCTGCTGCTGCCTGTTCGTAATACCACGGCATATTAGATGTGTTGAAAAGGCAAGACTCGGACAAGGGTCTTTTGCATGCATATAGACATTGGCAGGGATAGGCATGCATGGTGGTGCTGCGGCACGCTGCCCTGCCATGTGCGGATCCAAGGGAATGATCATCATGAATGTATGTGTGTGTGTGTGCTCCTGAAGCTGCCGTCAGACGCCTACGACCCCAGAATGATCTCAGACAGAGGCTCAGGACCTCCTCATTGGGGGCCCACGGCCGTGGTACGTTATACAGCACTCTTCCCGAGCCGAAGCCGGCATATCGTGCTGCTGCTTGATATGTTGCTGCGACGCGACGTTTGAGGAAACCGCTCTTGCCATGGCCGGCAGGCTAGAAAGCACATCCCACGCTATTGGCAATCAATGCTGCATACTGATGAAGGAATGGAGATTGAAGCATCATGCGGTTGCGTTGCGTGGCGTAGCGTCGCGTCGCGTGTGAATGCTGTAAGACCACACGGCCAGGGAGGATGCAGATGCAGCAGCAGAGCGCTCATTGACGGCACAAGGAAAGCCGAGTACCAACTAGTACGCACTACGTACTATGGCAGTATGACTGAGTGAATGAGAGTCTGGGGGGGTCTGATGAGAGAGTCTGAGAGTGAGAAGCTGGCCGGCTGCTTCTGCCAGTCTTCTAGAAAGCAGCAGCCAATCAGGCCCATCTCCCCCGCAATCCGGCCGACACAGTTTTGTCACGCGAAACCGCCTGGCGGCGATTGTGCGCAGAGAGCGTCGACGGCCCTGGAAGACTGCTGCAGTAGTAGGAGGAGCCTGGAGGGAGGGAGGTTTGCGGTCCAACCCGTTGTCAGCCGTCGTGCCTTGGCGCCCCTAATTGGCGAGCTTGTCTTCCAATTGTTGCCCTCCTATCATGCCTAAATCCACCGCCATTCATCCCATCCCCACGATAGACAACTCCATCCTATTCCTTCGCTACCATCAGATGACCCGTCTGTGACCGACGCGTGATGCGGCGGCCAGATACTATGTATGAGCGGTGAGAACGGCATCCGCGGCATCTCCAATCATGGCTATGACAGCCTCTCCGAGAGCCTCATTCCTCCTGTCACTCGTGATGAAATCGTCGCTTCGTCTCTCCGTGCCTGTCTCCAATCACACTGCCCAAGTACCACTCGTCCCTTGTACGGTGTACGTACCTCCCTGTCCTCGGAGATCCGCCGGCGATTTTCAGGCCATGACAACGCAGTCAGACGGGTGCGCAGCATTTCGAGCCGTCTTTCAGCTCTGTGATGATTGTGCAGCATTAATCTTCGCACGCACAGTCAATGTGCATTGACAGGAGCAATATGTATGTACATAAGTCATCCTTCGATTTGCCATGGCCCTGCAGTCCCATCATTCTGGTAACACTGGGCCTGTGTCGTTCTTGGCCTGTTTGATAGGTCATGATGCGAACACCTGGATGTCTTGCATGCATGCAGGCGCACCTCATCCCAATCCGGTGAATCTGTACGAGCGCTGGCAAACCGCTCTATTTGCTCTCGATATCGCCTGCAGCCTCAGTCGATCAGTTGCTTCGGAGTTGGCAGACCTAGCATTCTGCATCTTCCGCATCGCGGTAATCCTCATATTGCCATAAGAGTGAGGCGACCAGTGTCCATAAGAACAAACAGTCTTGAGATTTTGTGTGAGCTAGCTAGGGTGGAGCTACCTAATGCTGGGTGTCTGTAGACTGTAAGGCAACAGTCACAACTTGCATGTTCCCCTTCAAAGTGTAGGAAGCGACACAATCCGACACTCTAGACATGGCAGTCGCAAGATTTGATCGAGTGGACGAGCTACAGCACGCTAGCATTGTCCCCTGCCTCAGTCTTCGATGTCATCAAGATCATTCGAACCATCCCTCAACGGAATGTCAAATATCGATCGAGTTGCTGTCCTTATCTGTGCCCTACAAATCCTCCTCTTCTGTCTTTAGATGGAAGCGCTCGTGCCGCGGGGTTGATACGAAAACCGGGGCTCTCTCTGGTGCTCACGAAGTCTGGAGGCTTACAGACAATATCCCGCTGCCCGGGCGTCCGTTATAGGACCCCAAGATTTTTCTCGAGGCTTGATGAGAAAGAGCTGAGATTCTGTCGCGGTAGGATGGTTGAGGCGCTCCATGTGGGTGCTCTCGCAGATTTGCTGTTCGGGGTATCGTCTTCCGGTAACGATGCCTTCTCGTATCGCCGGGATTCTAGCGCATATGGCGCGTCGTCCTGTGAGGCATGGTTGTACATGGAGTCGGACGCGATCACGTACATTCGTTTCTTACTTGTTCTCATGGCTGACGTCGAGACGAGGTCATATTGCTGTGCATGCCTTGCATGCATGTCACCATGAAAGCAGCCCAAACTGACCGGCGACATGTCGCTGTCTTCTTCAGAAGTGACGATCATTCGTTCGCTTGCAGAAGGTGATAGAGAATGGGAGATAATTGATCTCGCTGCTTTTACTACTGTTGCTCCATCCGTCGCCACTACACTGTGGTCCTCCACGTCAGTTCCTTCAGCAGAGTCGGTAAATGATCGATCGCTAAAGACAAATTTCCTCCACACCTCGTCGCCAGTGGCAGCACCAGCTACTGCTAGGTGGAGTCGCGGACTGTCTAGTCCTTCGCTCTTCCGCCGGGGACATGAAGGCATTGCCGCGGTTGCCTTTGGTGGTGTTGGTGATTTGCCCATGTCAGGATATATCTGATTGCGGTGGGTCCGTTCACACCAGCTGTCAACGAACAAAGACGTGGAAATAGACTCAAGAGGCTTGGCCGAGCATGGAAGACTGCTTGTTGGCGAAGAATCCTCAGACCTTTGACGAGAACGTCGAGGCGAGGCTGAATGCTGGGAAGGCAGCGCCAGGAAGTCTCTCCAGTCAACATTAGAGTCGACCCGCGACACGCTCGGGGAGGCATTCTTCAGTGGCCTCGCTGAACTGGACGGGAAGTATGCACGTACAGGGCCATGCAAATGTAATTGTGGTCCGTGGCCCACACTGTCTAACACATCACGCACACCAGGGCCGTGAGTAATTGAAGAGTTCAACTTCATCCGAGGAGGCTGCAAAACTCCCCTGTCACATTTGCGGCCAGCATTCCAGGTTTCTGCAGCTCGATTAGACACGTCGTCTCCTTGCTCGCCCAGGATTCGACAACCTAAGCCAGGGGTTGATACTGGAACAGGTGAGAACGCAACTTTGGCATTCTGTTGTGATATATCACTTTCTCGGTAAAAGTTGGATGTTCGATCAGCAATGCACGGGCTCACCATGGACCTTATCTGGTGATTCTCAGTTGTCGGCTCAGCATCTAGCAGCATGAGATCGCTTCTAGGACTGGTAGTTCGCCGACAGCGCTCAACTTCTGGGGATTGCCAAGGGAGTGCATCAGGCCCGATGCGGATGCTGATGTCCTCATCGTCTATGCTGCCTGGTGCATATTGAAATTGGGGTACTGAAAAGTGGATCATTTCTTCACAACTGAGGCCGTGCCGTGCTCGCATATTTACCGCGACCTTTCTTCGCTTTCCTACCCTGCTCTTCTCTCGACGAGAGCGAAAGTGCATCTGCAGCGGCCGGCTCGGAGCTATTCCTACCCAGTCATCCTGTTGAAGGAGCCTTCGTCTTTCGTCGTCGAAATTGCCATCGTCAGCAGCATGCATATCTTGTGCATTTCGATCTGGTGGGTTCTGGTCAGTGAGGCGAGCATGGGGGTCATACAGCTGGCCCTGCTGTTTGAAGGGCCGCTCTACATGCAAGGTTTTCTCTTTCGATACAGCTCTTTCCCGAAGAAGCTTGGGTTTCGGAACTTCAGTTTGACTGCGGTAATGATCAAGATTACGTCCAAGATACCATTCCGTGCTTAGGGGCGTCCTTTCAGTTGGACGCTCATGTATGGCGTCCAGATCTGGTTTGTCACGCCTGTGAGGTCGGCCTTGGTAAGCCTTGCGGCCGACAAGACGGTCCTGTTCTGCCTGTGCAAAGCTTGGAATGAAAGGAACTGTTGGAGACGCGGTGCTCTGTAGCTGCGCTCGGACGCGTGCAAAATGCTGCTTTTGTCGGCTTACGACCGTGTTCGTGCTGTTCTTAGAATGTCTTTGCAATCGTCCTCCAGTCCAATTCATATTGCCAGCGACACTGCGTCAGTAGCACACATGTTTGTCAACGTGAGGTTGGAGATTGGGTGACTGGTGAACGAAGGCGGGGTCGTGACGACTGCCTGAGACGTCAGGAAGGAACGTCCTCTGCAGCTGCCCTTGCCTCATATTTTGCCTACATTCTCGGATCAGCTTCGATCTGTCAGGTTGGAAGTCGAAGGACGTATGTCAAGGCATTAAATAAGTCTGTTGCAGAGCTTCTCACTAATGTGAGACTGACGGCTTGAGCAAGCACGAAGCGCTCCGACCCACGCCAGAGGTACAGCCCAGCTTCAAGATTGAAGAAGAGATCGAGACGGCCAAGTAAGCTTGCTATCAGGAAGAGATACTTATGGAATCTGTAGACAATGGAACGGCTTCGCGGCTCAAGCGTTTGCAGAAGATCAAGAGCTTGGAAAACGAAGGGTCGTCGAGGACTAATTATGCTAAGAGATTCACTGCCAATCGTCTGGCCAGGTCAAACATGATAGGGCCCTTGTATTCAGCCGCAACATCAGTGTTACACAATACTGATGTCGAAGGATGTGGGCATTGCGCGCATAAGACATCTACCACTCTTGAACATGATTCAAATTTCGCTCAGAAGTGGCATCGTTTCAAAGAGTATTGGGCTGTCTTGGAGTGTATGTCGAAGTAACACCAAGGTTCAGCCTGGAGTGGACTGAGATGGACTTTTGTAAAGCACATCAAGTCTAAAATTCCATGACACGACAGCATTTCCTGGTGGTTCGATCTTTGTTTAAGGGATCGAGCAATCGGCAAGCTGCGAATACTTCCTCTCCAACATGCGCGCGAGACTACATATCATCAAACCTCTGGTTACCGCTAGCGTGCGAGAATGCTCGGCGGTGAGCGTAGTCAGCAATTATCTCAAGGCAGGATCTAATGAGAGCATATCTCCGAGATGGTAGTATAGCAGTGTCGCGCAGCAAACCGGCATATCTGACCATTGTCCAGGGTAGAAGGTCAAGAGCGAAACCAAAACCAACAGAGGAACTACCATATTTAGTTGTGGAGCTGTAGGATGATGTGTAGGTGCATTTTGTAGACGGCATAAGACAGTGATAAAGTTTGGTCATATGACGGAATACGGTCGCAACCGAGCGTGGTAGTCGAATGGATAGAGTGGGCCATTGCAACTTCTGACAGTATTGCCGGAGGGAAGCGATGGCGCGATACAGGTAAGTGTTCAACAATGGTTGAGACGACAGGGCTTGGAAGCACGGTGATGTCAAGTCGAACAACGGTGTGAGATTGGCGATTCAGAGTGGTAGGATGAGAAGGATGATGGATGTTGCGGCGGTGTTGTTGCAAGATATGAAGCCTGATAAGGTTGTGCGACAATGACAGGCAGCCTCGTGGCTATTGTGAGTGTGGTCGTTGCGGCAGGATGGCATGTGAAAGAAGGTTCTTTAGTCGCTGCTTATCACTTACCGGTCGGGTGGATGATTGGCTTGCGAGCGGCCGCATCCGCATTCCACATCACACACACACACATATATTTGCACGATCACGATCTCGATCCGAAACAGACAGGTGGAAGTAAAGGGGAACTAATTAGGTGCAGCAGAAGTGGATCCGTGACAAGCAGAAACGACACCATCAAGCGGTGGACAGCGAGCGGCGTATAGCGTCGCTGGAACGGTAAGAAGTACAGCAGGCGATGATACATATGGCAAAGATTGAGGCGAGTACCAAGCTTTGACAGTGCATCCGGCCGAGAGCAGGAGAGCAGCAATCGGGTGGAAGAGATTTCAGGGGCGTCGCTGCAACCCCCAGGGGACGGTGGAAGAGAGATAGATGGATGGATGGATGGATGTAAGATAGATTGTATGGAATATGCTCATTGTGATGAAGTGAATACCGTGTTATTGATTGGTGTATCTCACAGCTCAGCTACATCTACCATGCTGGCTAATACGTTCCTGCCGGTACAGTACGCGACTACCTAATACAGCTGCAGCGTTAATTATTGTTATGATTGTGAATACTAACGTGTGCGGAAGGAGCGGGCGGTTCGCCAATCCAAATTCAAAAGTCAATCTCGGATCGTCCCTACCTATTCCAGCGAGGGATGCCATGACGTCATATTGCGCACCCTCGTCTCTCGAGTCTGCCCCACTATTAGCGCGTCCCGTCTGTTATGGGAAGGATCCCCTCACTATTTACATGTTACTGCCTCAGGCCCTCAAGCTTCAAGTCTCAGTTCACCAGCAGTATTCATATTATCATTGTTCTGGATGGAGGAAGATGCAGAGATGAAAGTATGCATATCAATCTTTTCAGGCACTTCTCACGCCCGTTTATGATTTCTTATGCCGCTCTTGGCGCCTGCTCGCAGCTGAGGGTCCCACTATGGCTACCACTAATATCCTCTCATACAGCAGTAGTATATGGCCCCCCTGACCAATCACCAGCCCCAGATTTGCCCATGGTTTTTGGCTGCGCGCACTGCCGATGACGAAAGGGTATGTAATGCCCTATTCTTATGATGTATGATGCATCATGTTGTCGTGCCTGTCCTGCCGCCTTTCACACTTGGCCCCTGTCCGCTTCCGGTCGCCACTACCACCAATCCTTCCTAGCCCAACTGTCTATTCCCTCGATTGTTGATGCTAATCCTGATGCTCCCACTGATTCTGATGCGATGCTGCTACGGATTCTGATACTGGGGGCTGGGATTCTTCTGATAATACCGCTGCCGTTGTGAAAGTCATGTTTACCTATTAGCAATGCTGCCAGATATATAATCCCTCATTCCCTTTCTTCTCCTATCCGCCCTCTTCCTCACATCTTTACTCTACCAGGAAATTCGGAGTCAGTCCGTCCTCACCATTCCACTTTTATCCACTTTTTCGCATCCGACTCGAAACCAGGACCGTCCTGACTTCTGCACGTACACATCCATTCACACCCGTGCCACGCCTCCTGACCTCCAGCTTTGAATAAAAAGCCACCGCCGCCCCAATCTTCCCTCGAACAGTACCCCCGATCTTTACTTTGAATAGCCTCTAGTCTCTCCCTGAGGCCAGCCCACCAGTCGACTCACCTACGGAGCAAACTCTGCATTATTTTCACAAGCCCACAGACCTACTGCGCCTACAAAATGTTGACTACTTCCACTGCCGTACCTCAGACTGAGGTCAAGCCCCGTCGTCTTAGCAACGTCGACGCTGCTATCATTAACGCTTCAAACCAAAACATCGATCAAGGCCCAACTGTCGTTGTTCCCCCAAAGCACCTCATGGCTCCCTCAAACGCACACGAAGTCGCCTCGGCCATGGAGACTGCCAGGCACGAGATCGAAGACGCCATTTCCCGCAAAAGCACTCCAGGAACCCCACAAGAGACCATCGTCACTGACAAATTCGCCTTCGCCTTCGATATCGACGGTGTCCTTATCCGTGGCGGCGAACCAATCCCAGAGGCTGTAGAGGCCATGAAGGCTCTGAACGGTGACAACGAATATGGCATCAAGGTGCCATATATCTTCGTTACCAATGGTGGCGGCAAGACCGAGCAGGAACGCTGCATTCAGCTAAGCAAGCAGCTCGAGCTGGAAGTGTCTCCTGGCCAGTTCATCTGCGGTCACACTCCCATGCGGGAGATGGCCGAGCGCTACAACACCGTTCTCGTCGTTGGTGGCGAAGGCGAGAAGTGCCGTGAGGTCGCCGAAGGTTACGGCTTCAAGGACGTCGTCACCCCTGGAGACATCATCAAGGACAATGCCGACACCACGCCCTTCCGGATGCTCAACAGCAGCGAGATTGAAAACTCCCGTGCCCGCAACTTTGGCGAGTGCGAAATCGAAGCCATCTTCGTCTTCGCCGACAGCCGTGACTGGGCCTGCGATCAGCAGATCATCCTCGATCTTCTCATGTCGAAGAACGGCCGTCTAGGGACGCGTTCCGAGACCTTTGACGAGGGTCCCCCAGTCTACTTCTCCCACAATGACGTCGTCTGGAGTACATCCCACGACCTCACCCGCATCGGCATGGGTGCTCTGAAAGTGTCCCTTGAAGCCATGTTCAAGGCCGTAACCGGAAAGGAAATCAAGACTACCGCATTTGGCAAACCCCAAATCGGCACCTTCCAGTTCGCAACCCGTCTCCTACAACAATGGCGCAAAGACACACACGGCATCAACGCCCCGCCGGAGACTGTGTACTTCGTCGGCGACACCCCCGAGAGCGACATCCGTGGCACCAACCTTTTCAACGAACAGGCCGAGAACACCTGGTACTCGATCCTCGTCAAGACGGGCGTGTACCAGCCCGGCACCACCCCCAAATTCACACCCAAGGCCACCGTCGACAACGTCCTTGAGGCTGTCCGTCACGGCATGGACCGCGAATACAAGCGCCAACTCTCCCAACTCGCAAACGGCTCCGCCATCACCGAGGAATAGACAATTCCCCCTTTTCATCCCTCTCTCTTCCACGTACGTCTACGTCCACTTGATCTGGACACGCATCGACCAGGAGTTTTTTTCCCCCGCTTCTCCATTGAAACATTTACAGGCGTTATAATAATTGGAACTGGTCGTATTATGATATCCTCACCGCATCTTTCATGAAGCAAGATGCGCGTAGTATGCGAGGTATACAGGCAGCATGAATCAACCCCTACACGGCCGAACAACATCGACTGCATAGACCGGATATAAATGCATGCATGCTGGATAGAAAGTCATGACGGAATACAATAACAAGAACAGAACAAGAACAGTAAACCCATCACGAAACCATAGAGATCTCATTGCATTACACGGGTAGACGATGCTGTTGCGCTGGACTCGATGACTGCGTTTCTTGGATATACGGGGTTTTCCTTTTCTCACTGCCTCTCCTTTTCTTTTGTCCTCCTTCTCCTCCTTCTCGTCGTCGTCGTCTTCTTTTGCTAGATAGATGGATAGACAATCATCGAATCGTTCAAACATTACCTTTTGAAACTACTTGACTTGTATCTGCTACGAGCTTCGTGACTGCTCGTGTTTCACTCTGCCTCCTGTGTTGCTGTACTTTTCCCACACTTTCCTCCCCAGATCTCCCAAGACTTCACCACCTCATTGACCTTCAGTTCCCCAGAACTCATCATCTCATCGACCCTCAGTTCGCCAGACCTCATCAACTCATAGACCCTTAGTTCCCCGCACCTTACCTACCCCGTCTGCACCATCATCTCCCCTGGTCATTCCCTCATTCCCCCATACCTCGTCTCCTCAGGATTCCCCCATACCTCGTCTCCCCAGAATTCCCCCATGCCCAATTACCCATGCCCCATTACCCATGACCCATGACCCACGCACATCCATCATCCCTCATCCAACTAACATCAAACTATCCACCTCACCCCAATTCGCACATCTTTACCACGTGAAAAAGAACAAGTCTCTGATATGTCTCGTCTGTTCCTTTGCTTCGCTCCCTTATAGCTATCTTGTTCCCATCCCGGCTCAAGTGCCTGTCTCCAGCTTGAACTCACGGGGTACTTGCGGTTTGGAGACTTGGGTGCTGGATACGTGCCTGCAAACTAACCTGTGATGCTGGTTGTTGGTACTGCGGCCGTGGTTTGCGTATGTGTATGGTGTGAAGTATTGTTTTGTTCGTGTCGGTGTCGAGATCAGTGTTAGTTTTGTTCTGTTGGTATCAGTGTTAGTCTCAGTGTCAGTGTTGCTACGCGTGTTATCTTGCTAGGATGTGGGTACAGTGTCCGTTAGTAGTTGTTGGAGAGAGTGGGGAGAAGAGACGGGAGGAGAGTGGATTCTTGTTACGGAGTTTATGGTTTGGAGTATATAGTTTGAAGTGTATAGTTTGGAGTGTGTATAGTTTATAGTGTATGGTTTGGAGTGTATGGTTTGGAGTGTATGGTTTGGAGGGTATGGTTTGGACTGTATGGTTTGGACTGTATGGTTTGGACTGTATGGTTCGGAGTGTATGGTTTGGAGTGTATGTTCATCTACTTTGCTCTGCAATTCAAGCTCTGAGGGGGGGGGAGGGGGATGTATGAGTGCACATCTCGCTTTCTTTTGTTATCTGGTACTTGTCAGGGCGGTCCTCTCGTCCGCCGCCACTGGTGTATCGCGTTCCGCGGTTCCCACGAAAGTAGTTGTCGTTTCCGACTTCTTTTTCTTTCCGAGGATAGCGGTTCGACTAATACTGTCCTTATAACGTTCTGCTAGAAGGGGAGTCGAACTTACTCTGCTTATAGAGTTCTCGCTAGGTCTGTGACTTCTGTTCGAGCTGTTCATAAAAGGTATCTAGATCTGTGTTCGATCTAGGCTCCTCTATACTTACTCTAAATCTCGGGTTAAGCTTATTCTAAGCTTGAGCCATTATAAGTGCTTCAGACTTTAAATTTGCTTGTTTATAAGCTCTAAGTACCTTCATGACATAGTCGGTAGTGCTTTGGCCTCTATATAGGTTCTCCGGGCCATAAGTTATGCCTTAGAGTCTTTTTAGGGCGGCGCTTGGGGGTGTGGAGAATCTCTTTTCAAGTTTCTCAATCCAGCGCTCAAGCCCATCTCCGCTGGTCAGACTTGACTTCGTGGCGTCGCTCAAGCACACAGCAGGCAGTTTCTACATTGAAAATTTGGCGCGGAAAGGGGTGTGCTGGTTATTTTTTCGTAATATGTGTATATATGTGCGATTACTACCAAGATTATACCTGTAATAGACTTAGACTTAAGTGATGACCGCGAAGAGGGGATCTAAGGGATGGGCAGTGAAACCAAAAGTACGTACCAAGACTTACGACTTTGTCTTATATAATCCACTCGAAAATGTACATGATATAGAGCCATATACCACCCATCCAAGAAGTCAGAATCAATAGACTAGCTACTACATAGATTCTGCATAGCAAGCTTAACAGGGATAAACTAAGATATTACACACATGTTCATGTATCTAGAGTAGAAGGCATAACACGAAACTTCTCTCTATACTACTAGACACTCTAATTTACATATACCTAAGTAGTTAGAATCGATAGATTAGCTACTAGATAGATTATATATACTATAATTTAGAGGCCTAAACTAGAATATTATCTAGGAAGCTATTAATTTTAAGTTAGTTATATAGAGTAGAACTTCTTCCTATACTACTAGTTATTCTAATTTCTATTTATCTAAGTAGTTCGAATTAATGAGTTAGCTACTAGATAAATAATATATAGTATACTTTATAGCCCTAAACTAGAATATAACCTAGAAAGCTATTAATTTTAAGTTAGTTATATAAAGCGAAACTTCTTTCTCTACTTCTAGATATATTAATTTCTATATATCTAAGTAGTAATAACTAATAGACTAGCTACTAAGTAGATTATATACTAAATATTTACTAAGTCTAAACCAAGATACTATCTAGCTATTCATATATTTTACATGAAAGTAAGAAGGGAAAACGAAATTATATTCCGTGCTATTAGGTATTCTAATTTCTATATATCTAAATTATAAGAATCTACTTTCTTCGCCTTTCGTAGTATAGATATAAGTATAGTAGATTATAGAAACCGGCAAAGGGCTTAATAGATAACACATCTCTAAATACATAACCTCTAATATCTCTAATAACTTCATCTCTTAAGACTAGTCTTAATCTATACATATAAAAGAAATCCTAAAAAGCTACTCTATATAGCAATTAATATCCATGCCTAACCCGTAAAAACATAAATATATCCATCTAGATATAAGAATAATACTACTATCATATCCTTAAAATCCTAGTATATCAATATTATAACTACTTAGTATATCTCTATACTACATGAAAGCAGGAGGAAAAGAGGGATTGATAGGGATGTAGTGGTATTACTAGCCAAAATGAACTGCGAAAAGTGTAGATGGGTAGTTTTAAAAAGCGTGGGTCTATGTAAGAGAATCCGTGTATGTGTACGAGTAGAACGTGGCTTTATAGTATATCGATCTGTAGGAGCCCGTATAACTTTCAGATGGCATCGGAAAAGGCGTGTTTAGCAGGTTATGTCGGTATATACACTCACTCGTGGAGAGTAGAACATTAGCATCACGACGCTCAGAATACTCTAGAACCTCTAATGGATATAATATAATCCATACCTCAAACCTACGAAAACAAGACATATTCACGCCTGTCAAGCCGATCAATAGCATACTCAACCTCAAAATCACACGAGAAGCGCTGTTGAATATCACAAATCACGACGTTCAATACGGGCAGCAGCTTTGATATCTTCCATTGGCTATACTCTCCCACACGCCCTACTTCTTGACCAGCCTCTTGTGGATGTAGAGGCGAACCAGCTCGCCGGCTGCCCGCGCATCCTCAAGGCTGTCGTGCCCCTCCGCCCCACCCATCTGGATGTCCTTTTCCAAATGTAACCGCGCGAGGCCCTTCAGGCTGTTCCTGAAGGGGAGACCCCGGCTGTGCGGAAACACGAAAGCCGTGTCCACGATGGTGGGGTGGCAGAGGCGCAGGGCGTGCAGGTCGTTCTCCAGGCCGTGGCCTATGAGGGGGGTGGTGGTGGTGATGAGCCCGAGGAAGAGAGCTCTCGCCTCTGTGAGGCTTTCTACGATGACGAGGTTCGCAGAATCCGTTAGATCCTGCGGTGCCGACGGGGTGTATGAGGGGGCCGAGGAGAACTGGTCTCCTGTCACGCCAGAGAAGCGCGTGTTGAGGTCGAGTACGGCGCCGCGCGGCCGCACGAGTACGTCCAGGATACACTCGCCCAGCGGCCACGATGTGGCAGTCAGACGGATGAGTTCAAGCCCGTAGGCGGTGTATCCCATCTCGCAGTCGAAGCAGACCGCGCGGCCACCGGGTGCGTTGGGGTTTGGTGGCGTCTGGATGAATGGTTCAATCAATGCAAGGCGCTTTGCCTCGCTGATTTTGAATACGTGGGTTGCTGCAGACGTGCAACCTTCCGAGCCGATTACGTCTTGACAGCAAGACCACCTCATCTCATTCGATGGCATTAGTGATGAGAATTTCGTGACGGGCTGGGATACCTTCTTGCCATGGTGATATACGCACTTGCCGCCTGTTGTGAGTGATCCGTCTTCGCGACGGTCCGGGAATGCTTGGAATCGACAGCCGCACCGGTTGCAGATTTCCCAACAATTAGCAGCCTCAACACCCCTTCGGGCTTTCCCAATATCTTCTTCTGTAGGTACAGATACAGTATATCCATACTTGGAGCATTGTTCTGGCGACGCGATACAGCGACTGAACTTATCAGTAAGGAGTTTCACCTCTTCTGCAGGAGTCATCTCAATATCCGCCATCGTGATGGGAGGTGAGCCCACGTCTCCAGCACTGGCATTGTCATCCAAGCTCTTTCGCTGCGTGACCCAGTCCCCCAGCTGCATCTTCCTCAGAGCTGTGATCCGGAGTTTGATGACATTCTTATAGACAGACTTTTGGCTGCCACTCGCAAATCCATATTCTTCATCTAGGGCCCATTTGATAAGTGTCTGATCCGAAACTTGGAGCGCCTTGATCTCGGGATCGCTGTTATTCTTCAAACCGTCATTCAGTGTCTTGTACGAAGCATATAGAGCTTTGAGCAGCTTAAGTCGTAATCCGTGACCTTCGGGAGCATGTCCCATCGATATGGGATTCAGTTTCAATTCGTGTCTACGCCTTGCTTGAAGGGCGACGAACTCCTTCACTTCTTCAGACATAGGCGGATACTCATCTCGAGGATCAACTTGAGCAGATGGCGCACCACGTGATGGGGGTGAGACTGGCTTAGTCTCTGTCATGAGTGTATGTTTCGAAGATGATCCTACGCTTGGAAGCGGGCCACTGGCAAGCACGAGAGGCTTTACACTTCGCTGGTCCATACTATCACCCTCCAGCTTTCTGCGTTTGCGAGAGTCTGTCTGATCTGGAGAAGTCTGGTGTTTAGTTGTAGCTGCAGCATCAGGCTGCTGTCGATCAACGAAAGAGGGTGTTGTTGCTGAGCTCACTTGCGGAGCTGCTTGTTGATCGTGATGTGTACTGTGAGAAAAGAGACAATTGGGCAGATTGCAGTGTGCAAGTCCCTCTGGACAGATGCACGGAACCTCATTGTAGAAACCTTTGGTGCTGGGAAACATGGTCTTGAACGTGATTGAATGTGTATGCTACGGAGATCTTTCAATTAGCATTGTTGTAGGGACTAATATGGATAGAAACGCAGGAGCTTATAGGGCATAGTGGATCAACCACATTGATGGTGCAGGCTGCGCCAGGTGACCGTGAGGTCTCGACTCTTACCGTGAGAATTAGAATTCGTATATAAGAAGCAGGCTGTGCTTTGTCTTCCAAAGAAGAGGCGGTACAGTCCTGTGTGTTGCTATCGTATCGTCTTGTAGATCTCAGTGAAGTTGTTAAGGTTCGCAGAGAGTTTGCAATTGAACTTGACCAGCGGTTTCGTTCGCGTGTAGAAATCTGAGCTCACTGGCTGACAGCGACGAAAGTTTGATCTGTAGCTGAATGATCACAGCGAAGAGAGCAATATCCAACCAGGTAGATGCTGGACGACCAGGATGAAGGTATATGGAAGCTTGTTACAGATTCAAGATCTGCATGTGAAGTGCCAATTGGCAGTCTGTCATGGAACAGGATTTGATCTTCGTACTTGTAACGATCCGGCAATTGTAAGGACGATAATGACAACGAGACGGCAGTCAGACTTCTCGAGTATTATCGTTGGCTTGAACAAAAGAGCCAAAAGAGGAAATGTTTTGTGATGATGGTGGAGTCTGCGGGCTTGGAGACGGGAACAGATTAAAGTGTGTGGCCCGGTGCTATTTTTGCGGTAAAAGAGTGGGAACCCAAGTAGAGCCACCACGCCATCAGCTCTCAGCCTTACCGAGTGCAGGATAAGCCCCCAATTTCATAATTGGCGGACGGACAACTTAATGGCCCCGACATTCCGGCTCTCTTAGAACTGGCACGGAGTCAACGTCACCATCTTTGGCCTGCTCGGCCGTCTCGGACCAGTTCTGGACTGGCAGTCATCATCTCTGCTCTACTATATATATACACTCTCACGAATCCCTTCCTTATGCGACTTCGCCTCTATACACTTCGTCTCCGGTCTCATACACGCACGATCACCATAACATAACCTCCACCATGTCATCCACGGATGCTCCCGTCGGTCCGCCTGGCCATCTTTGTGTCCTGGTTCACGGGTTAGTCTATCCCCAGCTGCTTATCCCTTGCGCCCAGGAACATGCTCGCCCATCGAGAGCCTGTATAAGATCTATATCCTCAGGGCTCGCATGACTGACTTCTCCTCCAGGCTGTGGGGCAATCCAGGGCATCTCAACCAGCTAGTCTCCGCAATCAAAGACCAGTTCGCAGAAGAGCAGCTCCATGTCCTCGTCCCGAAGACCAATGCCGGAAATTCCACATACGACGGCATAGAATTAGGGGGCGAGCGCGTCACGCAAGAGACCGAGGCCGAGCTGGACAGACTGGCGAAGGAGGGACACAACATCACAAAGATCAGCATGATAGGATACTCGCTAGGAGGCCTAATAGCACGATACGCAGTCGGCCTGCTATACAGCAAAGGATGGTTCGAAAGACTGGAGCCAGTGGTGAGTAAACCCGCCAGTACATACAAGAAGCGTCTATACTAAAACCTCAACCAGAACTTCACCACCTTCGCAACCCCCCATCTCGGCTCCCGCACACCTCGCATCGGCGTCTCCAGCAAGATATGGAACATGCTAGGCTCACGCACCCTCTCCGTCTCCGGCCGCCAACTCTTCCTGATCGACCGCTTCCGCGACACCGGCCGCCCGCTCCTCAGCATCCTCGCCGCCCCCTCCAGCATCTTCATCCGCGGCCTCAAACGCTTCAAGAACCGCTCCCTCTACGCCAACATCATCAACGACCGCTCCGTCGTCTACCACACCGCCATGATCACCAGCACAGACCCCTACGTCGACCTCGACCCCTACACCCCAAACTACCTCCCCGGCCTCGCCCCCATCCTCCTCGACCCGTCCAACCCGCTCACCCTGAAGCAAGACCGCACCCCTCCCACCTTCTACGCCCGCAGCCAGACCTTCGCCGCCCGCCTGCCAATGTACATCTTCTTCACCCTCTTCCTGCCCGTCGGCGCGTCCATCTTCCTCGTCAACGCCGCCGTGCAATCCGTCCAGTCGCAGCGCCGCATCCGCGCCCACGATTCCGGCTCCTCGTTCGACTTCTCCCCTTACCGCATCCCGCTCCTGGCCTCGGCCAATCATGCCGCCGAGCGCGTCTTCGAGCGTGCTAACAGCGTCCACGGCGAGGATTTCCTGCCGTCGTCTGTGTCCAGTGCCAATGCCGCCGCGGCGCGCGAGAAAGCGTATCTGGATGCGGAGGCAGCGAGTGGTGATGACGATGAGGCCTCGGAAGGGGGTGCAAAGAAGCCGCAGTTCCCCACGCTGGCGCTGCATCCGGAGCAGTTTAGGATGATTGATAATTTGGATCAGGTTGGCTGGAGGAAGTTTCCTGTTCACATACACAAGGCGACGCACTCGCACGCTGCGATAATTGTGAGGATGAAGCAGAGCCGGTTCGACGATGGGAAGGTCGTCATTAAGCATTGGCTGGATAATTTTGAGTTATAGGTGCGAAAGGGGAGGAAGTATGGTTCAGTGATGTTGTCCGGCAAGGGGCGGCATGGGGTTTGTGGCAGCATTCTTTAGACTTTGGCTTGTGGGAGTATGTTCGAGCATTGAACGGTTGCACGCATAGTATTGGCGTTCTTTTTTTTTTTGGCGAATATGAGCATTCTGGCCGTATCACTTGAGATCATATGGGCATAGAGGAGCGGAAAGCGAAATGCTGATAGATAGAGCAAAGCGGGCGTAGAATTTCCTAGAGCCGTATAATATTTTTCAATAATCAAAAAGAGTTTTACATTTTTCATATTGAGACAGATATGCTTGCAGCCCGTCATCCCCTCTGCGTAGGAATCTATCGTATCTATCTAAACATCAAAAACACCACCCATACCGGCCCTCACATGCACCAAATCCACCCTCCATCCCTTCCAATCAACCAGTCCCCGCTTAATCTCCCTCACCCGCTCCAATCGCCGCATATTCTCCTCTTCCTGCGCCCGCTTGAACTCCTCCTCGTCAAACGCAAACTCATCCCCGTCCTCACTGACATGCCCAAGGCTCTGCTTGCGCACACTGCTTCCCCTCCTCCTCCCCCCTCCAACCCCTGTGCTCGAAAACGCCTTAATACCACTATTAATTACATCCGTCAGGCTCGACGACCCCCGCGTCACCCCCGGTCGCGCCGCCCGAGGACTCGCCCGCCCGGTCAAATCGACATCGTCAAACGAGGTATCCGCGTCGTTGTCGTCGTCGAGCCCCGGCTGCAGCTCGCGCCGCCGGTCACGCCATACGCCGCGCCGCAGCTCTGCATTTTCCTCCTCTAATTCGCGCACCTTGCGCCGCAGCGTCTCGCGCGCTTCGTCGACGAGCTCGTCCACGCTGGTGCCGTCGTCGTCCGTGACACCGTGACTGGCCGTGCTGCGCAGCTTGCTGTTCTCCCCGGCGAGAAACGAGACGCGGCTGCGCAGCTCCTTTGCTTCGCGCTCGGTCTTTGAGAAGTCGCGCTGGCGGGCGGCGTGGGCAGTTGAAGCGTCGCGGTGGAGCGTGGTCAGGGTGGAGACTTTTTGGTCGAGGGTGCTGGCGCGTTTGGATGCGGCGTCGGCGGTTCGTTGTGATGCCGCGAGTGAGGCTTCGAGCTGGGCGATTTGTTTGGTCAGAGCGGATTTGTCTGTGTCGCTGGACTCGGCGCGCGTGGATGCAGATTCGAGGTTTGTGCGTAGGTCGGCAAGCTCTTTGGCGGTGGAGGAGTGGGCTTCACGCTCTGTACTGAGGGCATCCTCCAGTGTGGTGAGCTGCGAGCTTAGATCGGTGTTCTTGGATTCGAGCGTGGAGAGTTGCGTGTGGAGATTGAAAAGCTCGAGCTCAAGAGAATCTATGGTGTTGGCTTTGGAGGCCAGTTGTGAGGTGAGATCGTCTGCATTCGCAGGGGACGATGTGGAAATACGGCGAGAACGAGAGGCCTGCGATTGGAGTTGAGGGATTTGCCGTTGGAGTGCGGTGATCTCCGTCTTCTGTTCGTAGAACGTGTATCAGTACTATTTTGAGAATGAGAGTGAGAATGAGCGTACCAGGTTCTCTATCTCGTTGTCCCGTTCGTCTGCCTTTCCAGCCTTACTTTTCAGCTCTTCTACCTCACCCCTCGCCTCCCGCAGCTCCTCCAATTCGTCTTCCGTCTTTCTCCACTTCTTCTCGTGTGCCTCGCTTTCACTTTGAAGTTTTTTGTTCTCCTTCTCCAATTGTTCGATGCGTTGAGCCTGCTTGCGATGTATGTCCTGTGCTGTCTCGCCAGCTGGACTCTTCATCCCGGTATCACTAGAGACCTTGCGCGTAGTGGATATTGATGCAGTTCGGCCATGGGAAGGTTTAGATGTGTCTTTTGACACCTCGTGAGGCGCGCCTTCGGCTTTGGAGGCATCAATGGCTGCAGCTCCAGGACCGTCTGCACCATCATCCTGCTCATCAGCTGCAGCTTCGTCTTGCTTCTCTGCTGCACTTGAGGCTTCGGCATCGGCGTCTGCCTTTACTTTATCGCCTTTCTTCTTTGCCCCGCCTTTCTTGTTCTTCTGCTTCTTCAGTTCCTCGAACTAAAATAACAGCCATTAGTTAGCGATCTTTAGCACATGGCGGTTCGTCGCTGCACTTACCCGCTTCTTCGCGGCGGCGAGTTTTTCCGCCTTCTCCTTGTCCTCTGCTTCCGTCATGTCGCCTTGTATAGATAATGTGGGGGATGTTGACCAAGGAGATGCGACGTGTGTCTGGAGGCCCTAGCTTCATCTCTATGATATATCCGCGGCTGATCTGTGTCACGTGACATGTATCTGCACGGGCTGTGAACGCAACATGGGTGATCAAGTCGCACGACGAACATGTTCTTTAGATGGAGGCGTGTATATAGATGTATATTGTATACCCTCCGAGATTCATTCAAGAGGTATTTAGCTATCTAGCTCTGCCTATGAGATTCTGCACATTCATAGCCATGAACATGCATTATGCAACACAATCCAGTTGCATACGTTCCAATGTGGTCCACCAAAATAAAGCTGAGTGTGAAGGGAAATCATAACCTATCCGGCAGCAGATGACAGCGGATGCACAGAAACGCCTTTAAAAATCCAATGAAATGGCAATGTATTCATGGTTTCATGAATTGAGGTGCATCTTTCGCCCTCCAAAGATGCGTCATGTATCTGCTAAGACGTCGTATCGGTGTTTTCTTGGTCTTCGTTTCCTTGTCCTTGAGATCCATGTGCGCGGATTGAGGTCGTTGCTCGATGTTTAATTTACTTCGCTCTCCGAACCCCGAGCTTCGCTCTATCAGGCGGGAAAGACTTGCAATACTAGATCGCTTAGCCCGTCGTTGATCCGAGCCGCTACTATGTGTCGAAGAGATTGAGTAGGCCCGTGAGTTGGATTCGCGTTGCAATGTGCCGAAATGTCCGGTTGACCTGCTGCTACTCGTGAGAGAAGGTGCATCATCCACCGACATTCGCAGCTCTGGGCCTGGCTCTCCGAATTGTGAATTGAGTGTTCGGTTGTCCGTAATGGATGATGCTGCAGTTCCAAGCCTGGGAGTGTCGAGAGAAGACTGACTGCGATTGTAATTCGGCGAAGAGAACGAAGAGTTCGTGACAAATGTATCGGGCGTGCGGAGTGGGGGATCTGGAAGAGGAAGTAAAAGATTCATTTGTGGATGGCGTTGCTTTGGGTCAAGCTCAGTAGGAGTGATCGTAGACTCAGAGGAGTGGGTGAGTGACGAGGTTCTTGGCTCTTCGTGATCCTCAACCACTTCGACCGCACCATAGTTCGGATTACCAGGCAATCGAGACAGGCTTGGCAACAGCGAGGAGTGTGTCTCTAATACCGGTGATGGCTCGTCGATCGCAGGTTTCTGTATGCGGAGGCCGTCATCGAAATTCCATTTGATGGCCGAACCAGTCGCCATATCCGATTCCACAAGCTGAATTCCGACACCTCTGACATCTTCCTCGTCCATGGGCTCCTTGGCATCGACTGCTCCAACCTGCTTATTGATACCTTCACCTACGTCTCTCTCAGATGCTGAGGTGATACTCGCTTCTTCCTCTGGTTCTTCTTCCTCAAAGACATCGGCCATGACATTCGTAGCGATAACCGTACTTCGGGCTTCGAAGGGTACAAGAGCTGGTGCACTTTCGGTGCGGCGATGGTTTTGCTGCAGTCCATTCAAGAAGGTGGCGCTGTGTAAAGCCCGGCGTTGTCCACGAGCGCTCACGCCCCAACGATTTTCAGCCTCAAATGGTCCGAACGCAAGATCGAGATCGATGATTGGGCTTCGAGCATCGGTCTCAGGCGCTATGTGCTTCGGTTTCCATGTCGCATAATCCGTCTGTGTCCTGGGCTGAGCGGTCTCGATCTCCATGGGCGAGACAATCGTGACAGTATTGTCCGCATCAAAATCCGGGGTCATCTCGGGTATAAAGTCGGGCAAGGCCGGCACTGGAGGTATATCATCGTGAGAGCCATCCTTCAAGCGCGACTGTGGTTTGGACTTTCTGATAATCGAATTCGCCCATGACTTTACCTTGCGTGGCTTCCGAGATGTTTTCGGCTTTATGGCTTGGATTTTTTCGTCGTCCCCTTCCGACAAACCGTTTGCTGAGTCTTTTGTGGGCGAAGCAGGCGGAGTCTCAAGACTGACTGCGGGAAGCGAGGGATCAGAGCAGCTCGTGACAAGTTCGTGGTTGTCCAATGTTTTCGAAGAGAGATGAAAAAAACTGCGCCTTTTGGGCGTACCGGGTGATGGACTTGTCATAGATAATGGTGAGTCAGGAGATTGTGGTAGCAAGACTGATACAGGGCGCTTGCGGCCTTGGAGTCCTCCACCAAAGCCAAAAGTTCCCTGCTTGAGATCTAGAACAGCACCAGCCGTCTTTGGGCGTACAAGGGCGGCTTCGGATTCTGGCGAAGCACCGAGGGTTGGTCGGTGCCTGCGGCTAGGCGGGCTTGGAGCACTAGTGCTCGCAATAGATGACAGACTGTTGGTCACAGAATGACCACGTATTGTAGACATTGAGCTTTCTGTCTCTGAAGAGATGGTGGATAATGGCCTAATGTACTCCACTCTGTCAGAGAAACCAACGCGTGCCCTGGAAGGAGGTCTCCGAGGCGATGACTCTGGATCGTCTACTGGCGATGAAGTTTCATCCGTAGAAGTTGATTGTGGGACTGGCTGGGACACTGCCTTGTTAATTTGTGATTTATCCCATGAGCTCGGGTCACTCTCCAAAGGAGTCGGAGGCGCGCTTCCACCATTTGTTGGTGTATGAGCATGGCCAGGTATCATTATGCTGCTAAGATCATGGCTAGAGATGGCTCCTGATCGTCGATGGGCATGGCCTCGGCGTCCGGCAGGAGGGCCTGATTTGAGTCCACCGATGGGCGTTGGCAGGATACCATCGCCTTTTGTCGGACTTGTGCTCATCAAACCAAGTCCTGCCCTGCCATCGCCACCAATAAACTCACTTCCTCCTCGTCTATGACTAATATTCATACACGATGGTGAAGTGGGCGTAGTAGGTATAGATGCGAGAGGCGTAGTGGCCGCTGACACGGTGGCCGTATCGCCAGCAGGATTGAAGGAGAAGGTCGGCAGTAAATTTGCCGACTTCCCTCTGTTGTGACTGAATCCGCGCCTGGCGGTTGCTGGTGGCTGCAAGGAATGTGGTCTACGGTTTGCGACGGGGACAGGATCGGTAATGGATGGTGACGACGCGGGTAGTGGAAACACGAAGTCAGGATTGGGAAGAAGCTCCACAGGACCGTTGTTGGTGTACAACGGTGTCCCAATCGTCATTGTCTCCTGCGTGGTCGACATTGAAGCAAAACGCGCCATGTTGCAAGGAACCAACGGATCTTCTGGTTACTACAGACGACAGTGCCTTCTTAGAAGTGAGGTGTCTCGACGAAGTTCCAGGGAATGTTTGTGAGGAAGTCAAGTTTTAATTCTCACAGTATGAATAGGCGGCTCAGTAAGAGTATTCGTGACCGTCTTCCACGGAACGCAGGAGTCGGTAGGATAGGAGCAACGCTAAAGAGACGCAAACGCAATATTCATTACTGTAAATCGCGATCGTCAGTTACTTGTCATAGTCTTGACAGTTGAACGCTGGCGATACCTACAAGCAACGTAGATTCAAAGACTGAGGGAATGCAAAGGGAACCACGAGCGCAGTAAGATCCAGGCGAACGTCGACAGCCGATAAGGAATGACAGTAATGAACGGACGGCGACGAAGAAACGAGTAACACTTCTGAGAGCGTACTCGATATCTAGGAGCCTGATGTAGTGGAGAGGTTGGGATGGTAGCGGTGGAGGAGGTGGTGGTGGTTAGTGGGTGGTGGAGGATTGGCGGGAGGGTGGGTGAGGAAGTGAAGAAGACGAAGCAAGGAGAGTAGTAGATTGATGCGCTGAGGCCATTAGACAGACAGAGACCGAGAGAGAGAGACCACAGACCTTGGACGGGCAAGCAACGCTAGCGCAGGACCCAGCGACCAGAGCGTGAGATTAGGCCGCTTGGCTACGTGTCCGCCGCCCAGATGCAGCGAGGGAATAGCGGGTGCTAGGCAGCTAGGCAGCTATGGTTTAGGGTGTTTAGGGTGTTTAGGTGCGCCAGGGTATTACTGTAGGTGTTAGGCTGGCTGGGCTAAGCAGGATGAGGAAGCAGTACCTGGACTAGGCCAATTTGTGCATACAGAGAGAGTGTGAGAGTCATTTCGAAATCCTTTGGTGCTGCCTCTGCCTGTCCGGAACAACACGCCAGCGAGAGCAATCTCAAGAAACTACAAATGTATAGCAAAACCATCCCTCCCACTGCATCCAAAAGTCCGTCTTGCTAACCGTCAACAGCAGGAGAAGAATTGCTCTCGTCTTCCGTACGCACACGCACAGGGACCGACCAAAATACACACAGGCCGGACGCAAGAACAAAGAATGCGTGGGTCTTGTACCAGCTGTAGTGTCACCCTCATTCCTCAACCCGTCGCCGCCTCAAGGGCGTCCAAGGAGACAGAATCGCAAGAGATCACAATGACAGACAAGCCAAGTCCAGGGTGTCCCTCGGACAACAGAGCAAGTCGCAATCTCAGGAGATGGCCCAGAAGCCGGGCAGTGAGCCAATTGCAGGCAGCTGGCGCAGCAGCCGTAGCTGGGCTTTCGTAGATCCGAAATCACCAATGATAAAGCCTCCAGCCACGCTTCTTCATTTCCTGCCATGCATAGCATACCGTAGCGTACAAACAGCTAGTACGCTCTGAAGGAGATTGTGGGGCTTTCAATTGCTGCGTTCCAAGCTTTGCTCTTGTTGCGTGGCTCACCACTCTCCACGGACTGCTGACTACTGGTGCTACGACGACGACGACACCCACTCTCTCTGCAGCAAAAAGTCTCCGCTGCGACCTCAGCAAACCTCCCTATCTTACAGAACGTGCCGTGTCGACCCTATCTCGTGTCCTGAAGATCTCGACCCGTCGCAGTGCTTCGAGCCGCCCGCCATCTGCAGGCTACTCTGCCGGAACAAGGGAAGGCAATGACTAGCATTGCGGAGACGTAAAAACCAGCATGCCATTCTTTCGTGTCACGTTTGATCTTGGCGACTGTATACCTCACTACATAAGACCGCTTATCCATGTCTAGCAGTTGCTCCTGGCCAATCATTTCTTTTATCGACCCAGACACGAACGGTACGCGACCGGTACCTCCGCAAAGCAAGGACACCAGGTTTAACGACTACGCGTTAGAAAAAAAATATTCTAGTTTGGTACACAATAGAGGCGTGGAAAGACTTCACCCTGCTAGAGACTTGAAAGCTGAGCGGTTGCGTCGCGGAAAACATGACTTGTGCACAGCACTCAGCAAAGATGCAACAAACAGGAGAGTCAAGTCCTGAATATTGCACTGGCACTGCAGTCGAAGCTTGGACACAAGGCTTGGGAGTTTCGAGCGTAGTTGATCCCTGATCAACACTTTTCGCTTCCTTCCAGCTCCACTTCCGTGCATTGGCTTTCCCCTCTCTAGATCCTGCGCCAAAAGAATGGCGTTGGCATTGCTATCTTCGTCGTCAGTTCTGAGCGATTGGTTACCGGCAGTGGCTAAGATCTGACTGTATACTCAAACTTTATCAACTCCTATGTACTGGCAGGGGTCGCAGATCTTGTACACGAACTCGGCTGACAGAACAACAAAAACGTGCCGTACACCAGCATATGCAATCAGCCATCCATCGTGGTCTGGATAGGTCGGCGCGAAGTGCTGTCAAATGGCATGTTCTCCTCACAAACAATCCTCAGTCACATTATTCATGTACAGTTGCGCCTCCACAGAGGCCCATGCCCTTTCATTTGTTTTTTAAGGACTCAAGGACCACGCCTCGCCTCGTCTCCACGTTTTGGCTTCTGGACGCCGCTCATTCCCCAAGTCTGCATATTGTTTGACATATTGCTTGATCCTAGCCCTGTGCAGCCTCGGAAGGAGAGACTTGCCACATCCTCCTACATACGTCGGCACCATCATTGAGATTTGCATCTCTTTAACGAAATGCCACCCCGCAAACACCATTTAAACCTCCGGTCTCCCCAGAGATCAACAAAAGGTCTGTTATTGACCCGTCATTACCCGGCAGAGTTGTAATAATGGTCCAGTCGGCACAATACTAAACGGCCAAGTGGTTGCCAGAAAAATATAGAAATGAGCCAATATATGAATTCGCAAAACTACGAAATACTCATTCCCGACCACAAAATCAACCAATAGATTCGGACTGTCAGGTGGAAATCCAAACCTACCGATGATGACCTGCCAGTGTATTTCAGTGTTCAAAACAGGAACCGCCATGCGATCATCGCAGCAGCAACTGCGTCAAATCACTCGAATCCTGTTCGGCGTTTTAATCGTCTACGGTGACGCTAGTACCACCACTGCAGGTACCAGTCTGTCAACCCGCTTGTGACGCAACGCACCACCGCTGTCTCACCATTCTCTGGCGACCTCGTGTGGGCTTCCGCTTGATGACACCAGGTGCCTAAGATCCTCATCTTCTCCATGTTGTGGTACAAAGAGTCAGTGCGAGCGGCTGCCACTTTCCGGTTGCACGGCGCTCCCATAAGCAAGCTCGAGGCTCGGATGTTAAGTCTTACATCAAGACCTTGAACACGTACGTCAGTTCATTCTTCTCGCCGACTGAGATCTGCGTAGATACCGTTTCCCTTCATCGGACTTGTACGACATAGCTTTGTTGTTACTAACATGGCGTTCGACTTCCTAGTTGGTACGTACGCGATGCAAGAAATGACCGGTCACCTGATGATAGACAATTCCACCCATCTCGTTTGTGACACAGGTCTTCGAGTGTCTGTATAGTACTTTATCAATGACACACTTCAGCTGAACTGAAATTCGAGGAGTCACAAACCAGACATATACCATCGGGGGATTCACTAAGCAAGATCAAATGCAGCAGTATTATTCACGAACATAGTATGAGCTTCCTAGGCACATTATCCTGAGCGCTGTGGGAATCGTTAGAATTGCTACACTACTAGAAGAAACATATTGTACGAATCTCCACGCTTTCCCGCATCGGCGCATCCTTGGGACTCGTCGGATCAACGAACGCTGTATGCCCAACGAAACGCGCCCGTCCATCCATCGCCGAGTCGAATGTCTTCAGCAAGATGACCTGGTTGGGCGACATACGCGAAAAGTAGTACCATTTATGCTTGTTTGAGTAATTTAAAACGTAGTTCTCCCCCGTGCGTTCCCGATATCGCAGGTACAACTTGAAGAAATCTTTGTCTTCGCACGATTCCACGTCACACATGGCTAGCGGCCGCTCCTCGACGACACGATTGATCGGTTTCCACACGTTGATGAAGGCGACACGGCGAGACAGGAGGTCTTTGGACTCGTCGGGTAGCAACTGCTCGACCCGCTTTGGGCCAGATTCGGCGGTGTAGTCGCAGTGCACAAGCATGACAGGAGAGCGCTGAGACGTATTCTTCTCGTCGGTAAGCGCCTTTTGTGAGTTCCGCTCGGAGCGTATTGTGTGATCGAAAACAAGAACACGCGTTGCGCCCAAGGTTTTTTCAAGAAAGGAAACAACGTCCGGGTAGAATTCAGACCGCACAGCCTCATCATTCTCCCAGTCGTTGGAGTAAGAGGTATTGAAAGAGTGTAAGGAAAACCCGTTTTTGTCCAGGTGGAACTTGTCCCATTGCTGCCAGCCGTCCGTCACGGTGATTTCGCGCGCTAGGTCCCCTGGTTCGTGGATGTCTTTAGCCTTCTCGTCCTCATAAAAGTACAGCTCTGTGAGCCGGTCTACAGCTTTTGTGTAGTTGACAGTGGTACGTACAGATGGAGGGCCGTTAGGGAGCAGGGCCTTGTTCACTGCACCCTGTGTCTTCTTCCACGCCTCGAGCGGCTCAATGCCCTGCGTGTACCAGCGTTTCAGGTTCGGGTACTGGTCAAGAGGCAGACGTTGCGCAGCGTAGAGGTGCATGGGCGAGGCAACCGCAATGTCGGCAATGGTAGGCGTGTCGCCTACGAGGTACTTGGTCTTGGACAGCTGGGCCTCGAGGATGCCGGCGTATTTGCGGAACTTGGGCTCCTCGGCGTCAATCACGGCCTGATCCGGGGTTGCCTTGAGCAGAGGCTTGGCCACGAACTCGACAAGGTAGACGTAGCAGCTGGGAAACCACGCAGAGGCTTCCCAGAGCAGCCACTTGTTGACCTGGGCGCGCTGTCTGAGGTCTTTGGGATAATATGCATCGCTCCCGGCTGTGTCGGCGGCGTACTGGAGAATCGCATTGGACTCGGTGATGGTCAGGTCTCCATCCGTCGCCGCGGGCATAGTCTGCATGGGATTGATCTTCGTGAACCAGTCGCTCTTGTGCTCCCCCTTGAAGTAGTCGACATTGGTTGACTTGTACTCGATCTTCATCAGGTCGAGGCCAGCGAGCACCTTTCGGCTGTTGACCGTGCACGGATCCAGATACAACTCGATACCCATGTTGACAATCTTCAGACTATGGTTTCAGGTAGGGTAGGGTGAGGTATTATTATTAGAAGCCTTTGTGAATGATCTGCTCAAGGTTAAGCAACCACAAAAGAAGTATACCGAGACCCAAGCCCCTTCCCAACCCTCAAACCAGACCGCTGAGAGGATATAAATACACATTTCGGGAACAAGAGCTTCTACCCCGCCTTGTCAATCCCCCCCCCCTCCAAGACAATTCCTGTCGCCCGATTACGAAGCAGGACGGTTTCCACTTGTCGACATACAGTACACTCCGGAGCGATGTGGCGTATGATGGTTGGCAACACCTCGGGTGGACACCTGCGCAGCCAAGACGCGTATGACCTCACATCCATCTATCTGTCTGCACAGCTTCCCATGCCCAGGGCATTTTAGAAGATCTGCGGGGTCTGTCCCCATGACCAATTTGCACGAAGAAGACAATCACATCTACTTCCTTACTTCCTACACAGCTGCGCATAATCCAGTCCTGTCATATTACGAAGTATAATGCCCCCTCCCCATCCATGTAATGTCTAGACCCAACCTATATTCATGCCACAACCCCCACCACCCTCGAACAAAATCATGATAACCACCCCCAATGAGACATTACAGATCTTGAAACATCAGCAGTCTTCTGACGGCATTACGTGCATGCTTCCCCGTCTGCCACGTCCAGTCATAGATGCAGATGTCTGTGCAAGCAAGCATCCATGTCCCGCATGGATCCCCTCCTCTCTTCCCGTTACACCGAGACTAGGCTGGATACGGACACGGACGCTGATATGATGTGATGTGATGTGATATGATACCTATGCTCGCCTGCTTGCCTTCCTGCCTGTCTTCCTGCCTGTGGTCCTGCCTTCTTGGAGCTTGGATCATGAGTACAAACCCAAACACCAGACCATACCCCGCGCAGAAATAAACATGATACATACGCACATGTACATACCGGTGTGCGTGCATGCATGCGTACGTATCCGCGTCCCGCCTCCACAGCATAGTAGAGAATAGCGAGATATGTGAGTGATGAACACGGGGTGTTTGTTGGGGGGGGGAAGAGGGTTAATAGATGGTTTTGAGAGGAAGCGTTTTCTATGTACAGAGTCCTAGGGGTCGTTTTAGTGGCTTCGGGTAGTGAAGTGAGCTTTCTTCAAGACGTGTGGGTATTGGGACAGCTGACGTTCGGCGCATGGAAGGTAAGGTAGGAAACGAGGTTGGGGGGGGGGCGTCTATTGGGTTTTTCTGGAAGCAAGCGGCATGGAAGAGGTCAGGTAGATAGGGGTGAGCAGCCTAGAGGATTGGTCGGGTTGTTTTCAGTCTGGTTCACTGTTGTCAGGAATTCAAGTAGTGCCTGATAACCACCTTCTTTGCAATCTGTCTTTTGATGCAGGTATCTTCAGCGGACGTATTTGAATTTCAAGGCAAGATTTGATCGTCACTTAGACGGGGTTGGAGGTCTTTCATGCATCATGTACGTATACTACGGGTGGTATGGTATATAGGTCAATTTTCAATTACAGTATGGCCTCGACAGCGTAGTAAGGGAGATTCCTCGACCGAAGTTGCTTCTCTACTCGATACAAGCTACCAGAATCTTTTCAAAGTCACCGCTTGTCTCGCTCTCGATGCGTTTCCGTAGCGTCTTTCCATACAGCTTTATGAATCGATCCTTCACAGCATGCATGTGCTGTCGGTTCCAATGCATACGGACAACACGGTTCATGAGCATGGTGTCCCTGGTGCCTAGACCCTTCATCGTTTCCTCAAGTTGAACTGCGTCCGATTCCACTCTGTCAACGGCACGGTTGACAAACAACATTAGAGTGGCTTCCATGTGTCCGGAGAATTGCTTCTTGATCGCATCGACCAGCTTCTGTGAGAATTGATTTTGAAACTCATAGGCGATGGCGCGGACTTGAGCGTCATTCTTGAGTAGCAAAATGTTGCAGAACTGTACTTGGTTCTTGATGCCAGTCATAGCATGTCGAAGCGCCTTTGCATCCTCGCGAGCTTGATGCAGATCGACTGGAATAGAATCCTCGTTACGTCGCGCACTGATGATTATCATGAACATCTCTTCCGTAGCCGCCGACAAGTCGCTTCTAAGGTTGCTCTCCAAGGACTTTTTCTTTGTGCCCTGATAGTGAGCTTTGATAGCGTTCATGTCTGCATTCGAACGTCCCACCAGCACATCGTCAAGAGCACTCTCCTTTGTACCTATGCCTACCAAGGCATTGTCAAGAACCTCAACATCATGCGTTAGTGGACCTTGTACAATCGCAATGAGAGTTTCCAGGGACTTTGACAGTTTCCCGAAAACAGCATGAGCTTTGATATCTAAAATCAGATAATCGTGAGTCTGGGGATCGCCAGTCTTGGAATCGCAAGTCTTGGATAATTTTTCGGTTTCGAGGCGTTGTTTACATTCGGTGTCATAATCTGCCCGAAGCTTTGCGATTTGTAGTGGATCCAGTTTACTTAAGGTACCGATCAACGCCTTCTCGTCGATGCCGATACTACCACGTAAGGCCTTGTAAATGATTGGTAGCTTAACTGTCATTTCATATGGTGCCATCTGCCCCTGAATGTATCCTAGCGTGGGAGGAGTTGGCGCTCCGGGAGGTACTCCCCATTGTCCCTGAGGGGCTCCGTGTTGTCCCTGTAGGCTGTTAAAAATCAACACGCGCGATGGGCTGATACCATCTTACCGGAGGAGGAACACCATAGTAATGGCCTGGTGGAGCCCCGTACGGCTGTTGCTGAGACGGAGGATACTGGCCTTGCCCCTGGGCAGGAGGTGCTTCGTACTGTGCCGGCGGAGCGTATCCTTGATGTTGGCTATAGCCTGGTTGCACGTATTGACCTTGGGGTGGGCCTGGTGCATATTGAGGAGCTGGCGCATATTGACCTTGAGGATGAACAGGCGGATATTGAGCCTGTGGAGGGACTTGCGTGTATTGAGGCTGTGGGGGATACTGCGAGTGTTGACCTGGCTGTTGATATCCTGGTTGTGTATAAGGTTGCTGAACGTACGGCTGTTGATTGTACCCAGGCTGGGGTGGATCTGAATGTTCAATTGTCACTCACCAGAGGCAGTGGTATCAGAAGGACTTACGGCTTTGGGATGGCGGATAACCTGGATATCCGCCTGGTGGCGGATACTGATGAGACATAGGTCGTCTGAATGGTAGTATAGAATGATGTTGAAATTACGACCGTTATGTGTTAGCAGGCGGATTGAGGGAATAATGTGTCTGGAAGAAGGCTGAGATCATGGACAGTTGCTTAAAGCTGAGTGAGCCATTGTACGAGAAACAAGATGGACTGCAAGTGCTTATAGTGGGGGCGGCTGTGTTACTGCCCCGCATGGATGGATCGCACCCTTAACTTGTCGACTCGTCAACTGTGGCGGTGAAGTGCACTGCAATAGGCTGGTCAATCGGATGGCATGATTAGCTCGAAAGGCCTAGTGTAAGTGCCAGTTGGCATAATCTGCTCTGTAAACTGGTGATGTTCGTATGAGGAGATCAGTAGAACAGACGTCATACTCCACAACTACAGTCAGAGCCCATTCGATGCGACAGTATCAAAGGGCATATTTTCAAGGGCGAACGAATGAATCCAGTGCCCTAGTCCATCCAATAGCCGGTAGACAGCTTCACAGTACAAGTCTTGGACAGTAAGTTTCCATTCGGGGACGACCTTGAGCAAACGTTGTGAATATTCAAGGCTGTGAGGCTGTAGTCCCGCGTATTACCTGCGCCACCTGCGCCACTTCCACCTATCTCACCCACCATAACTACCATCACAACCAATGAGACGTCCAGCTTGAATTACCGCCATACTGTATGCACGCCAAGGCATAGAACAAGCGCCGTCCCTGACCGTCTCTCTCAGCACGTCAGTCGAAGCTTGAAAAGATACTTGGACATCTGGTGGGAGTTCCTGCTCTCTATGTGCAAATCTCAATCCTTACGTTGTGGTCTTTGCGGTTTGGAGCCTCATACCGCGACATTGTCACGATCTTCGGATAGCTTCATGTTGAACTACATGCCTAGCGCAGCCCTCGAGCAATGTGGATAATATTCCAAGCATACATCGCTACCACCGTGCTTTAATCAACTTCGGCTCATAATGGAGGAATTCCCACACGATCCAACCCTTTGCAATGAGGAGGAGTCGGTGCTCACATTTCACAGCGACGACAGGCTCTGTATTTACTGTTCGAAAGCCATTGAGGGAATAATCGAGCCAAATGAGGAGCCCTGGGAAATTACCATGGGTGCCTTCGATCAACTAAGGCATCCGAACCGCAGGGCCGCCGGCCCAGCAATAGGGTATCTTCACATACATCACGATGGTACTGTGCGTACCTTGCGGCACGAGAGGCATAAATGCCCAATGTGCTTTGTTGTGGAGGGATACTTGTCGCTTAAGATTAAGATGGGAGGACCCCAGTGGTCTTTAATAAATGATGGACATTATCGTATCGTCTTTCAACAACACCTAAACAAGTTGGAAATCGCCCTTGAAATCAGAATCGACGCGCCCCCGCCCCCGAGCGATCGCATGACTGATTGGAGATTTAAAACATTCATTTACGACTTATATGTGCTGGAAGAACCCAACGACCCTTTTTGGGAATCCGACGGAGGGTTTCAAATTCGTCCTAAGAACGTGGACCGGCCTTGTTTTCACACAAGATTTAATACCCATCCTAGTTCCGATGCAACGTTCAACGAAGTCAAGGTCTGGCTCCAGCAATGCAAAGACCAGAAGCTCCATCCCCGTTGTCAATGGAAAATGCAGGAGCTTCCAAAACGTATCATTTATCTTGGCATAGAAACGCCGCCCGAATGGGTATATCTACATGACGGATGCGGCAGAATCGAAGAATATGTGACATTAAGCTATTCCTGGGGCTCATCACCGCCATTCCGTACCACTTGCGATAACATAACAAGTCATTTCAATGGTATAGCAACCTCGACTCTTCCAAAGACGCTGAAAGACGCAGTTCTTATCGCATCCCGTTTAGGCTTTCGCTATATATGGATAGATGCTCTATGTATTGTTCAAGACGATAAAGACGACTGGGCTGAGCATGGTCCTGTCATGGCCCAAATCTACAGCAACTCCGCACTCACAATATCGGCGACGGGTTCCGCAGACTGTGAAAGCGGCATATTCACTGATCTAATGAAATATGGCACAGAAATCGGATCATTCCGCCATAGGTCAGATGTAAAATACCGTCGCTCGGTGTTCTTCGACCAACGAAGGGACTTCGGAGGGCCCGCTGGTCATCTTTTCACGCGAGGCTGGACATTCCAAGAACACCTCGTCTCACCTAGAGTCTTACATTACACAGGCTCTGGGGTAACGTGGGAATGCTTCAGCATCTTCCATCGGCAAGGCAGCCCCGAGAACCTGTTCCGAGTCAATACTTCAACAGAGTCAGAGTGGGCAACGCAAAATGCCTTATACAAGAGGATTGCCGAGCCACAATCGCAGCATACATTCGAGAACTACGTGAACAGAATGGAAGCATATCACAAATGGCATAAGTGGGTTGTCGATTTCTCCTCACGCGATCTCACGCATGTGAATGATAAGCTACCTGCAATGGCCGGAATCGCAGCCCATTTCTCTACTAATATGCAGAGCACTTACCTTGCTGGTCTGTGGAAGGAAAACTTCGTAAGTGATCTGCTCTGGGAACGCAGGTCGCTACAGCTACAACACCATACCGGGATTGCACCGTCTTGGAGCTGGGCATCGGTCTCTGGGTGGCTAGACTATCATTTTGACAGCTTTGAATATGTACTGACAGGGTCGCGGTACGACATAGCGATTTCGAGCGTAGATGTACAAGAATCTGTTACCGGGTCGTTTGGGCGCGTAACCGACGCACGAATCATAACACATGGCTGGCTCCAGGAGGTAAAGCTGGTCCGGCTCACTTTCCTTCGTAAGCGCAATGAACATAGCGCTGAGCACGGCTTCGTGGAACGTACGGACGTCGCGTGCAAATTGGACCACCTTGAGGATGTCAGTATGGAGCCCATATGGTGTTGGGCATTGCGAATAGGATTGTTTGTTCCAACGGGTCTACGCTCCCCTAACGATGCTCGCATTGCAATGCTGCTCCTTGACAGAGTCGGTCCGCCGCAGGACAACACATTTAAAAGAATTGGGTTAGCATATACCGTGTCCTGGTATGATGACAGAGGCCCTCCTCTACCGGAGGACATTTGTGTTTCAGGATCCTGGCAGAAAATGGTGTTGATCTGAGGATGATGCTGCATTTGCCTCCCGTGTTCGAGCTGAGCTGGATTCTTATAGACTCGTAACCTTAACCTCGGAATGTATGTACAGCCAGCGCAGTCCGTCCGGCTCGGCAGAGACACAATCCCAGGAACCAAACATAGCGAAGAGCGAATTCGTTCAGATCCATGTTGCACATCCCAGCATTCAGACGACGGTTATGGGCGCACAGCATGATGCACACACAGCCACTGATTTCATGTCACTCCAAGGGCGTTGAACAGCCTCCTCAGGGCACAAAAGCTTATCCTGACGGCATGTTTCACGGATGACAGAATGGAGAGAGACGATGTATAGAAGTGCCGAGTCAGTAATGGCTTCTTTGGTAACAGAACGTTCACGACCATTCTCCGCGGTCGACACCGTCGCTCATCCATCCATTTATCCATCCATCCATACGGTCACACCTCTCTCTGCGCTTTCACATCCCCATTCCCGGCCTTGAGCAAAGTCGCAACTCTCCACAAACCAGTGACACAGCAACATCACCATGGTTATGGCGAAGAAAGAACAACAGAATCATGAATCGCCATCCAGACAAAACCCCCGGTCAAGTACACTCCGGAACGACTGGGCCGCCGCCGCCGCCGCCGCCGCAGCGGAGGAAGGAGAGACTGCGCCACGTGTGTGGACGGGCAACACGGGCAGCAAGCTAGGGAGTTTTACCAAGCAGCCGATAATTATTACCCATCCATGGGAATGGAAGATCCGGAATATTACTAAAGGGCCAAATCTCCTGGCTGGCGCCGCCACAGACATGGCGCATAGAATCATATGCAGCCCTTCCGAGGCTCGCACACATACATGCACGCATACATATTTCGCAGTCAGTCAGTCAGTCAGTCAGTCAGTCAGTCAGTCAGTCAGTCAGTCAGTCAGTCAGTCAGTCAGTCAGTCAGTCAGTCAGTCAGGCACAGCCTGCACATTCAACCCGTGTGTGATGACTTTGTGATGTCTTGCTTTTCTGCTGCAAGGGACGGACTGACTGGCTCGCTGGCTGGCTGGCTGACCGACTGACTGGACGGCCCAGATCGCCTGCTCCATCCAGACATCCAGCCTTGTGCGTTCCAAGGGATCGTATATGTACTGTATGCATTAGACGTGCCTCGGTGGGGGGCGTCCGTCGTCGTTGTCGTCAAACCAAATAATGCCAACAACAATCACAACCCTCCGTCTAAAAATACTCCCAAGCCAGCTGCTAACCAAAGGGGTGAGAATCCCAGACATCATCTGCCCTCCTCCCTTTTTCAAACATCTGATGAGGCATGTCTGTCTGATGGATGCAATGTGCTCATCACAGCCGATCATGCATGCATGCATGCATGCATGCCGCACATCTCGTGTTTCGCAAACTCCAGCCCTACCAACAACAGCAACAACAATAACAACTTCTTCTCGCCGAAAATAATCCCCCGCAGGACAGTAAGGAAGGATAGGAATAGGAATAATTATGGCGCTAATGGAGCTTGCCATGCCCACGCTTCCGTCGCTTGTTTTAGTTGGTTGTCTCGAAGGGGTCTTGCAGCGAACTACTGTAATTACTGTCTGGCAATACAGTACATACCGATCCATGGGTGATGTAGGTCGCGGTATGCTAATTCGGTACCTTAGTTAATTATGCAACGGGGCAAGACGTCAAATGGATGGGGGCTGGGCAGGCAGGCAGGCAAGCGGGCGCGCGGGGAGGCTGTGCAGGAGGGAGAATTGATCGTCTGAGTCGATACGAAACCGGCGGCGGTCGCCTTGCTGAATGAACCCACCGGGACGAGGATTGTCTCATGTACCGATGTTGCATGTTGCATGATAATGCACAGCACGACGATGAACGAAGACTGGGACGATATGGCAGCAGAGCAATGTCACATCGTCCGAGACCCAGACGAGGCTTCTCTCAATATTGTTGGGAGGCAGCCGGAATAGGCAAAGGATAGAGGTGTGGCGTCACGCAGCGTCTAGGCCCTAAAGCAAGGGGAAATTGGGACGCGTTGATAGCCCCCCATGGGCGCAAGACCGAGACCCCGTTTTAGCCTCATTTAGGCGCCACCCACACCTCAATAGCGCTCCGTTGCCCGTTGCGTTGCTTTCCTATACTACGCTTACGCTTTACCTGTCTACCTTATCCACGGGCTGCCGCTGTCCCGCGCCTCCTGACTCAGCTCAGCCGCGTGAGGTCTGCTGTCGCCCTGTGAGTGTGTGATGATATCTATGGAAGCTGTCGCCCACCCCCTTCTCAGCTGCTTCATCTTCACATATTAACAACAACTACTACAACTCCCATTCACACCTTACGCCTTTGTTTTTCGGCTCCTTCTGCATATTCTATCCACTGTCGCTTTCTCACACTACTATCTCCCGGATTTGCTTCGCTGCATATATCTGCGAGACACCACCGTCGTTTTCTGGCATCATCGTTGTTGTGTTTGCTTTTCTCAACCTTGCCCCCCTATCGCTTAACACAAACATCCTAGCTATACCATACTACCATGGCTCTGCGTTACTCGACTGCTGCCCTGGCAGCTCTCCTACCTTTCGTCTCCGCACAGACCTTTAGTGCTTGTAATCCCATGAAGAAGAGTGGTTGTCCAGATAACCCCGCTCTACCCCAGACTTTCGAGTCCGACTTCCGCAAGGGCGAGAGCGCCTTCGATGGCTGGAATGCTATCGCTGGACAGCTCAGCTACCAAGGAGATGGTGCTCACTTCACCATCGAGAAGCAAGGCCAGTCTACCACTATTCAGACTGATGGCTATGCCATGTACGGTCGCTTCGAGGTCCGGACGAAGGCTGCTGCGGGTACCGGCATCGTTTCCAGTATCGTTCTACAGTCAGAGTCCCTGGACGAGTTCGATTGGGAGTTCCTTGGCTCGTCTCCCAATGAAGTCCAGGTCAACTACTTTGGGTAAGACCTACCTATGCCATACTCATGTAGCATCACTCTAACGATCCACACAGCAAGGGAGACACGACCACATATGACCGTATGACTCGCAACCCTGTTGCCAATGCCCAAGCCAACGTTCATACCTACATTGTTGACTGGAACGCCGAGCGTGCCGAGTTTTGGATCGACTCTACCCGCGTGCGTGTCATCACCCGCGCCGAGGCCAACGGAGGTGCAAACTACCCGCAAACACCCATGAACCTCCGCATCGGTATCTGGGCTGGTGGTGACCCAAACAACGAGGAGGGAACCATTGCATGGGCTGGTGGCAAGACAGACTTCAGCCAGGCGCCTTTCACGCAGGTCCTTGAAAGCATAAAGATCACCAACTTCAGCCCCGGCAGTGCATACAAGTGGACGGACATGAGCGGCAACAGCGACAGCATCGAGGTCGTTGGTGGCGATGCGGTGCAGTCTCCAAGCAAGCCGGATGAAGAGGCCCCATCTTCCACACCCACTCCATCTGCGGCGCCTTCATCGTCCGGCGCAGAGTCTTCATCTGCTCCTGAGTCTGCTGGCCCGAAGGAATCGGCCGCTTATGCCCCTGGTGGTCTTGGTGGTGGCAATGGTGGTGTCACACAGCAAGCCACTACTCTTGCACCTGAGGCTACCGCAGTCGTCAACTGCTCAGCGGGTGCAACTGATAGCTTCTGCCAGACCGCGGCCGTTGTCACTCCTGCTCCTACTCCTTCTGGTGCTGGCAATGGCGGTGCCGGAACCCAGCCAACTGGCACTGGTGCTGCGCCTAGGGCCACTGCCATCGGCGGTATCGCTGTCGCGGCTGGTGTTGTCGCAGCTCTTCTTTCATAGAGCATAGATGTTCGAGCTAGAAGGATGGAAGAGGTCTTTATTTTTTTCTGCTGTCAGAGTAGAGGTTGCATATGTGGTGTTGGGTATCTGTCTTTTTCCTCCGTTGATACAGATCCGGAGATGTATGAGTATCATCAGAATGTGAGCATCTGCTTTAGACGTCTAATATCAAGTAGAACATGTTATGAGTGTGAGACAATGAAAGAACTTTCGACAAGCGGCGTGTGATATGGCTCCAGTGACAGTTCGTGGACTCGCGTCAATTGTATGTGATGGGTGAAGAAGCGGGGCACCTGTCCTGTTGATGGATGGCAGCAAATGCTGACTCGGACGGCGTTTCACTGCTGCAGCCTGAGGCAGAATTGCTCCGCGGGGTAGGCTCACGGGCGTACTTGTGGCTTATTAAGCGAATGCTGGCTGGCTGATGTTAGTGCAAGTGAGGTCGATCAGTGCATCGGAACAATCTACATACAGGTCGCCTGACTGTTATGTACAGTATGAGAGGCATATCTAGTAGTAGTGTTTGTGTTTGTGTATGTATCGCACAATGAACTCTGTCACTTTTCCTGTCCTGTGCAAGCTCGTGTATTCAGTGCGGCGACGGGCACGGGCAGTAAAACACGTTCTGTAACTAGTTATTCCTCTTTTCTACACAACACTTGGAACTCAGATCTGGCCGGCCGATCCCGGAGCTTGGTACATGTCACAATTTTGATTAATGGCCAATGTTTTTCGATTGGCACATGCTCGAAAGTCTTAGCTCACTCAATTCATTAACCTATGTTATTACTCAAAACTTGAGATCTTACAGATAGTCCTCCACGAGTTAGGCCAAACGCCCCCATTTTCGGTTCTCTCGGTTTTTATATCAATACAATGTTGTCTTCCTTGCCATAACTTTATAAACCCGATAATCTCTCATTTCTTTGACGACCTACCTGGGCATTCCTTCTCTTTGCCCCCCCCGGCTCTTTGATCGCCTCGTTACCCAAATCATATCCCGCACTCACTATCCAACGCAAATTTTGGATCTTACAAAGATGTATCAGAGCGCATAGCTCTGATTCTAGCTCACCATTGCAAACTCTCTCTGAGGACGCCCCCACCACGAATTTCAACGTCATTTCCAGGTGCAGACAAACCGAGCTATCACACGCGCATCCATAACTATACCTCCGCATACCTCCGATCCTCTAGTCGCAGCGTCGCGACACACTTACAAGACGTCCAGTCTCCACTCCGATCTGGCCGTTATTCTTTCACTCCAGGACTGATATTTCTCTTTCCAACACATTCTCATCGCCTTCATACCGGTCTTCGCCAATTATGAAGCCCCAAATACCGAGACTCGAAGACTTTGGCATCTCTCCCGAATACGGTTTCCTTCCACCCGAATTGCCTCTGCTCCGCCTACCCAACCCGTACTATGCACAATGGGAGGCTGTGATTAGCAACCTGCAGGGTCTGGTGTTAAGCAAACGCCTGCGTGAGGTTGTACTCCGTCTACCAGTCCTGTCCACCGAACATCTCGAAACAGATTCCGAGTGGAGACGTGCATATGTAGTACTAGCATTTCTGTCGCATGCTTACATCTGGGGAGGGGACGTTCCGAGTGAGGTAAGTGCATTGCCACATACTGTTTGGTTGCATTTTCAAGCAGAGCCCTGAGATCATGGATTGACCAATGATGTAGATCGTACCACCGCCGATCTCGCTACCCTTTCTGCAAGTTTGTCGATATCTGGAATTACCACCCGTCGCAACATACGCCAGCGTAGTCCTGTGGAACTGGCGACCGGTATTCGACAACGAACCTATCGACACTCTGTCCAACCTCGCTACACTCAACACTTTCACTGGCTCTCTCGATGAATCATGGTTCTACCTTGTGTCCGTTGCCATCGAGGCCAGAGCGGCCCCAATTCTCCCCATGATGCTTGATGCGATATCAGCAGCTCGTCGTGGAGATACATTGGTGGTTACAGACTGTCTTCGTGACTTCGCAGAGCGACTCGACGAACTCGGCACCTTACTACAACGCATGTACGAGAACTGCGATCCACATGTCTTCTACCACCGCATTCGCCCCTTCCTTGCAGGCAGTTCAAACATGGCCAGTGCCGGCCTGCCAAACGGCGTCATGTTCGACACTGGTGTAGGCCCCCAGTCCTGGGTCCAGTTCTCCGGAGGCTCCAATGCGCAGTCTTCCATCATACAATTCTTCGACCTCGTCTTGGGCGTCGAACACCGTCCGACTGGCGAGCGTGCGCAAGTCTCCTCACTATCGAGTACATCACCCGGAGCCCCCTCTGCACCGCCCGCCCCATCCAACAACTTCATCCTCGACATGCGCAAGTACATGCCGGGCCCACACCGACGCTTCCTCGAACACGTCGCCAGCATCGCCAACATCAAAGACTTCGTCACCACACATCAACACGACCGCGCGCTATGTACAGCATATGACGCATCGCTTGCCATGCTCCGCGCCTTCCGCGATAAGCATATCCAGATGGTCAGCCGCTACATCATCGTCAAGAGCCGCGAGACCAGGAGCCACGAGCGCAGCAGCAGCAGTCTAACAACACCGCCCGCCAAGCTCCCCCAACAACGCAAGATCAACATCGCGAGCGCGCTCGATCCGACGACTGGTCTCAAAAAGGACGGGCTGCGTGGCACGGGGGGCACGGCGCTCATACCGTTCTTGAAACAGGCACGTGATGAGACTGGCGAGCCTGCGATCGATGCCTGGGCAAGGAGACTGCTGGGTGATGCGCCGACGGTGGGCAAGACAAGCTTCGACTTTGGAGGGTATAGGATGGCGAAGACGAAGGAGAGTGGAAGTGGTGAGATGGAGGTTGTTGGGCTGGCTGGGACGTGGAGTGTGGATGATAGCGAGGGCGGTATATGCCATTGGTGAAGAAGAAGAAAACTTTTCGTTCCAATGCAGAAAGTTACGTCGCAGCCGCAGACCGTAAACTCGTTCTTAAGAAAAAAACCTGGAAGACAGAAAAAAAAGACACGAGGTTGGGATACGGGTCAGGTATACATACACACACATACCCAGCCGACTTTCTTCGCTTTGGTTAACGTTGTACATAGACATGGATCTCACGATACGAGCGTGCGCGCCTCTGGACACCCCTCCTCTTTGGGCGATAGCGGATTGAATATGTGTATATATGTATGTATGTGTGTATTGGGACAATGGCGCTTCAATCTGTATATATATAATCACCCATTCTTATCATCTTATGACGAGGTGAGTCGATAGCTGTACTATTATGTAAAAAAGAAAGATAGAAAGTAAACAACACATTCAATGCGAAGTCTAAGGAGGCGTCATGTGAGAACGTCAGATACGCTAGATAGATGTATGTTGACTTTGCTCTGTGCCTGGGGAATGGAAGGAAGGAGCGACTCGGCCTTTGCTTCGCACGAAGTTGTGCAAACAAAGCCTAACCACGTTCTTGTGGTGAATGTGAAACTGATTTGAATTTCTTGTTTGATGAGGAATTATTGTAATCTTCTCCTTCTATCAAGCAGTGAGTTACTAGTAGCACTACTGCAATATGGATTCTTTTTTCGGACACGTTGTGGCTATGTAGTGTTCAGAGCAGGCTTGGTTTGGTCGTGCCCGTGCAAGTGCAGCTAGGATTTCAGGTAGCTTCAACGACGTGGAGGTTTTAATATTCTTTTGGAAATCGGAAATACCAATGAAAGGTTTTAGATCTATGTGTGTGTTCTGCAACGCCGACTTAAGAACGGAAGTACAACGATCTTACAATGGATATCCTACAAGAATGTACAGCGGGCGACAAGCGCGCCTTGCGCCATCGCACCAGATGCATGCATATATATGTACAACGAACAGGCCGCCACAGACGCGCGAACAAGCGCCGATCCAAGCCCCTTCAAAACAACCGATTCTCCTCCTCCTTGGCCCTGTTCTGCATGAAGTTCATGCAGAGCAAGGCCGACGCGACGCTGACATTGAACGAGTCGAGTTCGATATTGACCCGGTCGATTGGGGCTGCGGTCGTGATTGAGACACGGTTCTGCGCCATCCTGATCATGTGTTTGCTGAGCCCGGTCTCTTCGTTGCCCAGCATCAGGATCGTCGGTCCGTCCTGGAGCGGCGTGTCGGGTCCTCGCTTGGGCTCGAAGGTGATCCGCGGGAAGCCCTGGTGGACGTCTGCTACCATGGCTGCTGCAAAGCAGTTCCAGCCGCTCTCCTGGCGGCTGCGCTGGATCAACGCCTCTGGGTTGTCCACTTTGAACAATCGCACTGCTTCGAGGGCTCCCGAGGATGCCTTGCCGGTGATGGCTGAGAGAGGCGCGGAGCGGCGGGCGTTCATGATGATGCCGTCGACGCCTAGGAGATAGGCGGAGCGTAGGATAGCGCCGAAGTTGCCTTCGTCGGCTATGCCGTCCAGATATAGTAGGAATGGGTATCGCCATCCATTGCTCTGATACACGTATCTGGTTTCTGTGCCGTTGACATCTTGTTCCTCTTTCGTTTGGGGTGCTGGGACGACGTCGAAATGCTCGTCTTTCAAAGATACGGGGCCGAGATGCGAGATTGGAAGAACGGGTAGTGGCGAAGTTTCGAGTATGATACCCTGTTCCGTCTCGTTAGCTGGAATCGCAGTGGTGCTTATGAGTGACTTACGTTGTGCGGTCGGCCACCGGAGAGCTTATACATTATCGAGTCATATTCGAAGCCGCAATTCTCAATCCTTGCGCCACGCATAGCAGCCCATCTGGTCAATGCCTCGTGTTCCTCTCCCCTGTCCTCTGGTTTGACGCGGAGATATAGCCGGTAGATCTTTCTGCGACCTGATTTCAGAGCCGCAAGCACGGCCGAATGACCGTACAAGAATTGCGATGCAGCGGTCGTGTAAGGAATCCGCACCCAAGGAGGCAAGGGCCTACTGTGTTGACGATCTTCCGGGGCCACGTAACCCGTTTCTATTGTTTTCGCCGTGGGAAACTTCGTCCTGTCAGGCAAGCTCCAAGAGTCGTTATCGCGAGGTCTCTGGTGGTGGTATGTGCTTCTTTCCGACCTTCTGATTCCCTCGGGCTTATGTGCTGTGGGACGGGGTGCTCGTTGATATCTGTTCCCATCGCTGTAATCATTCGCCGTCCTCGACCTAGATGTATCATCTGTCCGGCGTTCTCTGTAAGTACCCCTTGCGCCATAATCAGGTTTTGGGTATCTGTCCCGCCTTCCCTCGTCATCTTGCCGCAGAGCTCGGTGTATGGCAGTGTACGTCGATGCAGGTCGCTCCCGTGATGCTGTACAAAATCGATATGCTGAGCATGCCAGGTGAGGCGATGGTGAGGCCCGCGCGAGCATACTTCAGTTACTCCGATAGTCGTCGTAGTTGCGCGCAGTTGCGTATATGATCGCAATGAGCGAGGAGAACGTTCAAAACTCGTGTGATCATTGATTGTCAAGTAAGATGGATATCGTTAGCATATTTAGTGCACATTTGCAAACATAGACATTTAGGACGTGGTCTTTAATGCAGTGCAACGGACATAAATTTTGGCAAGCCGAGCGTGCACGTCCCCCAAACGCGTCTCCAGAGCGGCCTGCCGTGACGATCAATGGATGAACTTCGCGTTGCGCTCAGGTACGCGACCAACAACATCAGGTATAGCACATTTGATTGCACTCTGCGTGTCCTCGGCGCTTGCGGGCATAAAGCTGAGTGCAGACCTACGGTCATATAGATTTCTACAGTATAGTACGTCTTCAAGACCCTAGGAGGTCCGACTCAAGAGCTACACTGACAAAGTTACAGCCTCATCAATGTAGATTTTCTGCACGTCCTCTTCCTCGCGCAAGCATAACTGGTAGAGCTCTGTAGCTGTCAAGGATACATCCCCCGAATATGGTCAAACGAAAATCGTACCGCGCGGCCAGCGCAGTCCAGCCAACGTCGGCTGGTACGTCGCAAGTGGCAGTAGTCATTCCAGACAAACCGCCTCGGTATCCGCGACGGTCCTACAAGTATTACAAGGAGTCGGACATAGTTCGTAAGGTACTGAAAGAGAATGAGGGGGCGGACACTGTAATGTACGAGGTTCAATTTGAGGATTACCATAACGAGACTGTGAGTTCACCTTTTCGGCGAGTAGACAGCCATTCGGTGAAGTTGAGAAGCATTTGCTGGCCTGTCAAAGGTCGTCTTTCACGGTCTCTCTGAACCGTATCCCTGTAGAATCTGCCTCTCGACTGTCAACTGCTTCACCTAGACCTTGACCGTACTTTTCTGACCTAAAACCCTAGGTACCATTCGATCGTCTCCTCGGTCTTGAAAACGGCGAAAAGGCTTTACAAACCTTCCAAGAGCATCCTGATACTGAATCACTGGACGAAGATTCGGATATAGACATGAAATTACGAATAACCAACAGGAGGAAAAGCCCCGAGGAGGATTTCTCTGATGGAGAAGGTTTCGATACAGATGATGGCAGTAGTGACCTCGATCCAGTTGTTCAGAAGCGAAAAGGCCGACCTGTTTCGACAGAGCACTATAGAGGGTCTAGAGCGGGGCGCAGAAAGAAAAGGCGCGCCGTCGACTCTGATGACGACTCTGAATTCAACAGTCGACGTCGGTCTAGGAGAACCACCGCGTCACGGAATACCAGATCTTCAACAGTGGCATCAGGACCAGCTCGACGTAGTACTCGCGCGTCCACGGCAATAGCTATTGACGATTTCGAAGACGACGAAGACGAGTCTTCATCTGGAAGCGAAATGGAACTGCTTCGATCAGATGTAGCACCACGCCGAAAACGTCGCCGGCTTGGACCGGGTCGTCAACAATTGCTTCGCAAGAAGATCCCAAAGGAAGGGACTCGAAAGTCAGATCGCGCAACAAGACATCAGACCAACATGCAAGAGGCAGGCCTGGAGGATGCGTATCGGTCAGACTCCTCTGAAGACCTAGCAGCACCTAAAGCAATCACGAGTGTTCGAGAATACTTCCAGGAACTGCCAAGAAACTCAGAGTTCAGAGGCCGTCACATCATGCATTGCGAAACATGCGGCAATGGAACCTCTGCTGGGCCCCTGATTCATTGCCAAGGCTGTATCCTTAGCTACCATAAGCAGTGTCTTGGTCCCAGAAACCAAAGAGAGCATTTGGTAACGAAGATCGGACACCATGACTTTGTCTTGCAATGCCGACGTTGCGTCAATACTGCAAGGAAGCGCGAGCAGACAGCGCCAGACTTTGCAAAGTGTCAAGCCTGTAACGAGGTTGGCTTATCGTGTATTCCGTTTCGAGAACGCAAAACGCCTATGCAAGAGCAAAAGGATCGCGAGAACAACCACGGCGAAGACCCTATCGCTAACGTCAATCCCAAACTCATTAATAATGTGAACAATGTCATGTTCCGCTGCAACAAGTGCACCCGTCCTTTCCACTTCCATCATCTCGAACCACGGTCCACCCATCATATGGATATAGACAGAGACGATGAAGAAGCAGCGAGCGAACGCTATGGCGAGTATTGCCGTGACTGGCTGTGTAAAGACTGCGTGTCAGCGAAGAAGGTTGCTACGCTGATAGCGTGGCGTCCTCGAGATCTGGACACTTACCCGGCTGGACTTGGCGCTGAAGACATGGACGAAGACGATATTGAATACCTCGTCAAGTGGGATAATCAGTCCTACTTCCGAGCTACTTGGATGCCCGGTCCGTGGGTTTGGGGAGTCACTGCTCCTGCTATGCGCAAGGCCTTCCTCAAGCGAGAAGACGGGCCCAAGATGCGAACAGAAGATGCGATTCCTGAGGAGTTTCTGCGCATTGATATTGTCCTGGACGTGCGCTACACGAGTATCGTCGACATCCGGACCGAGGAGATCGATAAAGCCCGTGTCAAAGAGGTCGACGAGGCTTTGATCAAATATAAAGGTTTGGGTTATGAAGATGCTGTATGGGAGAAGGTCCCCGAGCCTGAAGACGGCGACAGATGGGTTGACTTCGTGACGGCTTATAACGACTGGGTCTTGGGCAGATACATTCACGCCCCCAAGCAGGGCCCTCTTAAGATCCGCCTGGAGAAACTTCGAGCACAACCTTTTGCTAAGTTGGAGAAAACTAAGCAGCCGGAGAATCTTATTGGTGGTGAGCTCATGAAGTACCAGGTAGAAGGTCTCAATTGGCTCTACTACCAATGGTATTGTCAAAAGAATGGCATCCTCGCTGATGAGATGGGGCTTGGAAAGACGATTCAAATCATTGGCTACATGGCGACGTTGGTTCAAGATCACAACTGTTTCCCCTTCCTGGTCGTTGTACCAAACTCCACTTGCGCCAACTGGCGAAGAGAGATCAAGCAGTGGGCGCCTTCATTGCGCGTTGTCACGTATTTTGGGTCTTCTGCCGCTCGCAGTATGGCTTACCGACACGAGATGTTCCCCGAGGGAAGCAAGGATCTTCGCTGTCACGTTGTGGTCACTTCGTATGAGGCTGCCATTGACGATTCCAGTAGGAAGTTTTACAGAAGTGTGCATTGGGCAGGTCTGATCGTTGATGAGGGCCAACGCCTGAAGAGCGATAAGAGTCAGCTTTACAATGCACTGAACTCTCTTCGTGCACCTTTCAAAGTACTCCTTACTGGCACACCTTTGCAGAATAACGCGCGAGAACTGTTCAACCTTTTGCAATTCTTGGACGACAAGTGTGATGCGGCTGCACTTGAAGAAAAATATGCCGAGATGAATAAAGAGAACATCACTGAGCTGCACGCTCTCATACGACCCTTTATCCTCAGACGAACCAAGGTCCAAGTACTTACTTTCCTCCCTCCCATGGCACAGATCATCGTTCCTTTGACCATGAGCTACCTTCAGAAGAAGCTTTACAAGTCTATTCTAGGCAAGAATCCTGAGCTTTTGAAGGCTCTGTTCTCGGCTACAAACAAATCTGTCAAACCAACTGAGCGGGCGAATCTCAACAATCTCTTGATGCAACTCAGAAAATGTCTTTGCCACCCGTTCATCTACAGTCGAGAGATTGAAGAGCGCACTGAAGTAGCGGCGATTTCTCATCGAAATCTGGTCCAAGCTTCTGCAAAGCTTCAATTATTGGAGCTCCTCCTTCCGAAACTGCAAGAACGGGGCCATCGTGTCCTCATCTTCAGTCAATTCCTGGACATGCTCGACGTCGTCGAGGACTTCCTCGATGGCCTGCAGATGCGCTATCAGCGTCTCGACGGCACCATGGGTTCGCTGGAGAAGCAAAAACGTATTGACGAATTCAATGCTCCAGAGTCTTCTTTATTCGCCTTTCTTCTGTCAACTCGTGCGGGTGGCGTTGGAATCAACCTCGCCACGGCTGACACCGTTATAATTCTTGACCCAGATTTCAATCCTCACCAGGACATTCAAGCCCTTTCACGTGCTCACCGTATAGGGCAGAAAAAGAAGGTGCTTTGTTTTCAACTGATGACCCGGTCCAGCGCTGAAGAAAAAATTGTTCAGATCGGGCGAAAAAAGATGGCCCTAGACCACGTCGTCGTAGAATCAATGGGTGACGAAGACATTGAAGAGAAAGATGTGGAGTCTATTCTAAAGCACGGCGCTACTGAGCTGTTCTCTGAGGAAAGCACGAACGATATCAAGTTTGATGACGCTTCCGTAGACAAGCTGCTGGACAGATCACAGATGGAGGAAACGAAAGCAGGCGCGGAAAATTCAGCAGAGTCGCAATTTAGCTTCGCTAGAGTGTGGGCAAACGACAAGGGTGCTCTCGCGGAGGATATCGATGTGCCAGACGACGAGCCAGAACAAATGCCGGATCCTTCTCTTTGGGAAAACATCCTGAAGGAACGTGATCGTATTGCCGCAGCTGAGGCTGCAGCGAAACAACGGGATCTTGGAAGAGGCAAGCGTGCTAGAAACGTAAGAAGGAACAAATGTATGGTGAACGAATGCTTACAAGGTGCCAGACCATCGACTACACGCTTCAAGACGAAAAGGCCGAAGCTGGGGACAATGCGCCTTCACCAGCGAAGCCAAAGCACCGAAAGAAGAAGTCCGCGAATGATAGCGATACAGACTTCCAAGCCGAAGGAAGCAGTGAGGAATCCGGAGAGGAGGAAATCGGGGCAAATGATGGTACTGAACACTCACCCAAGAAGAACTCCGAGGGGCAAAAGAAGAGCTCGGGTAAGAAAACCTTTTCTTCTCCTAAGTCTCAAAAGTCGCCAAGTAGGATTGGAAAAGCGACATTCTCTGTCCCTACCATAACCATTGATCTGTCCAAACCGTTCGGCATGTTGAAGGGGCAAAGCAAGCCCAAGGCAGTCAACCTGCCTCAAAGCCCGCCAAGATCAGCTGCTAAACATCAAACTCTTGGAAATCTCGCGAAAGTCTTGCCGACCACGCCATCTGCACGGCCTCTCGTCGACTTCCCTGCGGGGGAGATTGTCGTTATTGATTGAAGACTTTGATGGTTCGCGGCTTGATCTGGCCGGCCTTTTCTCCTTTTGACCCCTTACCCTGTTCCCCTTTCTATTCCAATTCCCTTTCAATTTCACGTCAATCTTCGATCACACGGCGCTGACATCATACAAAGTCCATAAATTCGAGCGTGTACGAGTACCTACAGTTCCAAACCCCGACGGCATGCTTCCGTATCCCCCCTCCTCACAAGCTTGCCACGCATGTACCAAGATGCATCCCAAAGGGGCATGTCCCCTGAAAGTTGCAGGCGTGGAATACTGCGGCCTTTGCGGACTGGCACATTATGGTATTCAACGGGTCTGCCCGCATTTCCACAGCGAGACACAAGTCCGCGAGATGCTCCAGGCCCTCAAGAGCTCTGGCGAGCCATCAAACATCGTTGAGGCTGCAACAAAGTATCTTCGAGGGTTGAAAGGTAATTTAGTACAAGAGAAAAAGAAGCGACGAGAAAAGGCCATGGGCTTAGCTACTGGGGCTCTTGCAGCGAACGTCAAAGGCGTAAGGCCGACAGTTCCTGGACAGGTTGTAAATTCGATGCAACCAGGCGAAAGCAACGGGCACCTTTCAGAGGAGGCTAGAGCTCATTCTCAACAAATACAGAATGGGATCAATGGAATCAATGGTACTAACGGTAATATCGACGATGACAGCGTTGCGTCAGCACTGATGGGTTATCTTGGGCGTTGATTTTGTTTACGTCGGGTCCATTTTAGGTTTGGTCTCGGTTGCTTCGGAGTGAACGTTGTGCTGGCTTTTTAGATCTTCTAATCTCGGTCTTCTCGGCGGCACTTTGGATTTATATACCTATTGCGAGATACTCAGGATAGTGGAGTCCATGCGATGTCTGCAGCTAGCACTCGCACAGCGCACCAGTACAATGAATGCACAATGACCTGAAGTTAACTCAGCTCGACCATGTTGCATCGTATCATCCATCCAGACACCGCTGTTCTATCCATGAACACGAGCCAAAACAGCATTGTTCGCCGCCTCATCGAGTTTCTCACCTTCACGTATATCCTTTCCACTCTCTCCTGGCAGTCATTCCCGATAATGCTACTTCTTCCCTCCCTCCTCTGACCTCTTCCCGCAGATATAAGACCGACATATAACCCTACATACTCGCAAGACAACCCCGACACAACATGCGCACCACATACCCTGCCAATCTGACATACTGTCTCCTCAGTCTCACCACGCTCCTCCTTCCTTTCACCAAGGCTTATCCTCGGCCTGGCGCCGCCACGTACACGACGAAACCAATATACCCCCGTCTCAACACAACATATGCGCGAAGTAATGCGACTATAGCCTGTGGACCCGTGCAATGGATGTGCGCTGATTCGACGGGGCCATGCCTGTATGGTGAGTTGACGGAGGCATCGAGGAGTCTGTTTGGGGATCAGTGGATCGAGGATAAGCGCAGGTTTCGTTGAGAGTTGAGTAATTGGAATGGACGGGGTTTGAGGCGGATCAGTAAACTTGGCTAGGTGTTCGAGGCGGATGGAAGAGTATTCGGGGAGCTGGAAGTTGGAGACTGTTGGGTAGGAACTTGAGCACGGCGAAACTAGTGGATCTCCTGGCTTTGACATATGTTATATTATGTCTTCCTTTGGAGGTACGATACGTCCTCAATAGCGACGTTGACAACATTCATTCGTCGCCAAAATGTATGCATTGGTAAGCACACGCAAGGAGGGATCGCGAATGTTAGACTAGTATTCGTTGTATGACATGATGTGCTTTTAGAAAGAGACGACACTGAACTGTTTATGCAAAACCGAGAAGAAGACAATTTCTAATAAACGCCATACATGTGAGTGTCAAAACACCTTGCCGTAACACGTCCAGTCGTGATTCGTGAGTCATGAAGCAAAACCTATCAACGGTGGCGTCCAACATGTTTCTTTGCCTCCGTGTTGACTTCCTTCCGTCCTGGATGCTCAGGATTTCTTTGTTGGTGCAAGATAGCCTGCTCGGCAGCGATACCAGCGGCCCAGATTTCCTCTGATCGCGCCGACTCGTCCTTGCTGCTTCCAAACATGCGTTGATGGTGCGTATGCGGGATGATGTTTCGGTCCTCTTCTTGCATGATCAGCATGCGCTCGAGTCTGGGGATCCTGTTTGTTCCGTCACGGGTGGAGGGTGCTGTCTTGTCCGGGCTCTCCTCCCAGTCGCCTTCGTCCAATGAGACACCGTTTGCGACTACGGCGGAGTCGTCGACAAGCCCGTTGCGCTCGCAGAACGCCATCCAGGCTTTCCAGCTGTCGTCTTCGCGGAGGATTTCTCGATTGCCCAGCACTATGAGACCGTGCTTCGCTCTGGTGAGTGCCACGTTCATTCGCTGGGGTTGATTCACCAGGCCCTTTGAGAAGCTGACGTCTTGATCCAAGAACCGCTTCTTGGACCGCGTGGTGCAGATTATCACGACTCGGCTTTCCAGGCCTTGGAATGCCTCTGTCGGTCCTATGTTTACACCCCACAACTGGTACGGGTTCTCTCGTATTGTCTTTCGGAGTAGTTTTACCTGCGCGCTGAAGGGGCTCATTATGCATATATCTTCTTGTTCGACCAGCTTGGATTCTACGAGTTTCTGTGCATAGTTGCAAGCAAGTCGAGCCTCACCGAGATTGTACCATCCACCTCCATCTCTCTCGATTTCGTCTGCAAAAGTATTCGGGGCGAACAGGACTGGCCACTTGCGCCCTTTCCAGTGCTCCCAACTCATCAACTTCTCCGTGTCCTTGGCCTCAGGCTCAAGTGTATCGAACTTGAAAGTGTCAGCGAGTTATGAGAGTAGTGTATTCTCATCAAAAGTCTTACATAATATAACGAAGATGGGAGCGCAAGTATGGAAGGGTGAGACCGGTAATTTCTAATCAAATTCGCAAAAGGGGGTCTGGTGATTGGAAGGAGGTTCTGAGTCAAGATCGGGGCAGCAGATCGTGTATTACAACGGGCTAGAGGATGATCTTGATACAATGAGCGACGGAATAGTCGGGCAAATAGACTGGTTCGAATCTCCTTATGGTGGGATGCTGTGCGCGGCCCTAGCTGATACTCATCTCCAGCCATAATGAACTGTGGCCGAAATTCCAGAGGCATAGTAGTGACTGGTGAAGCAACAACGGAGAGAGGCACCAACGTTTCAGGCTCAGTAGCCTGAGCAGCCTCATCTATGAGAAGCGCCGACCAATGTAGACGGATGCTCAATTTTTGGCTTTTATCTTGGTCAGGGTGAATGGCAGAATTGATGTTCGATTGTAGATTGTACAGATCCCTATTAGTCACCTTGGCCGAACACAGAATCGAAGCATCGCGGCATGTCGTCACAATAATGCGAGTATTCATGAGAACTTTGAAGCTTGGCAAACCGAAAGCATCGTCCAACGAGAAGCAATACATGAGGATATTGTTTGGGACTTCGGCAAAAGTACGCGCAGGAGAGTTCAAGCGGAGTAGCTTCTCGGGATTGAGATGGGGTGCCAGTCGTTGCAGAAGTATATCTGCAGCCGCATCGGAAGGAGCGCATACAAGTATTGACCCGCAGTAAGGGGCCTCGAGGAGTTGGAGAGCAGTCTCCACTAGAGTTTTAGTCTTTCCAGTCCCTATTCAAGTTGTGTAAGCTAGTAAAGATGCCCACCTACTTCGTAACTTACCTGGCGGGCCAGAGACCAGGTATGGCACATCGCCGTAGTCATTCCTGGCCATCGAATGTATTGCCCTAAGCTGCTCAAAATTAAGCGAACGATCGTAAGTGCCTTGTTTGAAAGTGGGACAATTCAGTTCGGTCTGCTGCCTACCGTCCCCATCATCTGGAAACAGCATTGACTGTATCCATTGCCGTCGTGATGTTGACTGTCCATCGGTGCTCGACATAGTAGCTTGAGGCGATATAGGCGAAGACTGAGCAGATTTCTTATTGAGTCTTGCCGGTGGCTTTGTCGTATTCAGGCCTGTAACTTGAGGATTATGATAACATAGAGGTGCCTTCAGATCTTCCTGGATTGACGGCAGTAATTCTGCTATCGAGTTGAAAAGTCTGTGCTGGACTGGGAATATGACGTTGAGTCTCAAATCTGGCGCAGATTCTACCACAAAGTTACTGACCTCCAGAATCAGAGTCTCTTGAGCGCGTAGGACTGTCTGTACACGTGCGTTATGCTGATAGCCGGTAAATCCTGGAGCATATGAATTGAGAGCGCCAGGATGGCCCTGTTCGCGGCTCTTCAGCCAGCCCTCCATTCCAAGCGGCAGACCTGTTGCAGAATTCAGTCGCAACTGACGAACGTAGATCAAATCACCCGGAAATAGTAAGGGTTCATCTTCTCTCAGACCAGGTACTACGACGTGTATCATACTTTGAGCCCCCGTTGGCCCTCCTGTCCAGGTCGCTGTTGCAGGATGCGCGTAGAGGTTCTTGGCATTGCACTGTTTTTGAAGTGCATAAAGCTCTTCCTGGAGGTAGTGCTTGAAATACATCTCATAGTTTTGCATGGAGACAGCTGGCGGTTTTGTGGAATACTGAGTGTCATCATAAAGATTTGTGGTAGGCGGGGTTGGCGGTAAGAAGGCACTTGCTGTGAAGCTATCAATGTAGAGTCGAAAGTTGATCTGTTTGTATTCTGGCACATCTATAACAACGGCCGGTACTGAGTTGATGATTTTGAGAGTGTTAGGGACGAATGAATGGGCGTATATGTCGTAGCCCCAGTCTACATCTCCCTCGTTGTGAATTTCTTGTTGTTTATTGGAACTCGAGACTTCCCTGTCAGGTACAGCTGTTGATGAGGCGCTGGCGGATATGATAGCATCAATTTCGCCCTGTACAGTACTGGGCTTTGGAAGAGGTGTAAAGGTTTGCTCAACATTGTTTGGGGTTATGATCGGAATGGCTTTAGATCGTTTGACTTTGTGACCGCTTGTGGTGGCCATGAAGAGTGCCAGGTCCAAGTTCAACGCACTGTAGATTATAATATGTGTAGCAGCGACCCAATAGAGAGGGAAAGGAGTGAAAAATAGTATAGTGATGGAGAAGTGAAACGTGATGATGCTATGTGATTTTGACGCCTCGCGCTTTGTTTGTTACCGCTTAGTCGTACGCGATCCATTATTTAGGCCTTGTAAGCCAGGCATCAAGATCCGATACTCACCGACTTACAACATCCTCTTTGTGGGAATCCCCGCGAAACATAATTAGTAGGGATCCCACATCCAGATCTTATTTCCACCATGTTTCCACCGTGTACGAGGCAGCATATACCAGTCAGTACCTGGATCTCTTACTGACGATGCCACAGGCCTAAGCAACGGTTCGGAATTTATGATCTCGCTTCAAGGATACATGTTGCTGCCTTGCGGTGGCGTCAAGGTCAAGGCGCAAATATAGCCGCCTAAAGCACCACCTACTCGGTAGGCATCAACCTGGAATGACACCTACACGGTGACCGTCCTTCAACTCGATCCGTTTGATGGGTAATATGACTGTCTTTAAAGCTCGAGAGGCAACGGCCTTGGAAATACTTCCACTTGAGATATTGCAGGATATCTTCCTTAGGACACACAACATCGATTTCGCGTTATGCTCGCCAAGAATCGGAGCACGGCTATCGAGTAGCTACTGCTACCATTTAGTCTGCTACAAATACTTCTACGAATCGCTTTCAGACTATGCTTCGAGGCGTTTCTATGCATGGGAAAAGATTGACATCTCACGGGTGCGAGATTTGCAAGGCCGACTCATGAACATGCGATGGATGACACCAACTTTCTTCAAAGGTTTCCTTGACTACATGGAGACGATATCGACAAGTCACTTGCACACCGTCAAATGCTGCTTAGTCCATCTCCGTATCCCTGTCAAATTCCTTCGTGGCTCTTTGAACATGGACAGAATCGATTTTTTACAATTCCTATTAGATGAGACCCCATTACGTCTGGACTGGAACTGCACAGAAACCCGGCTCGCACTATCTTCTGCTAAAAAGAACGCCATTCTTCAGAGTAATACTGCAGCTGTCATGCTGTTCGTCCACGAGAGGCGCCTAGGAAAACCCCCTGATATAGACCTCATTCGATTCGCCGTGTTGACTGCCGGTTGCGATCGCACTGTTGTCTTCATGCTTATGCAAGCTGCTCGGAGATGGGGATTGCGGGTATGGCAGGACGAGGCAATTGATGAATGGGTCAGGCAAGCAAAGATCGATTGTAATCCGAAAGGGGCCTGGTTAGAGCTAAAATTGCTGGAATTGAGAGGCCCGGGTGGGTTTCCGGACCCGCATACGGGGAGTTACAGCCTCCCGGGAGACGAGCTGTTTATACCAGACACTGATATAGGTGCGTCGCCGCATGTATACACGACTATGTAATGGAAAGACAAGACTGACTGCAATAGTTCTGAAGTCGAAGACAAATCGATTTGCGTACAGCGAAGCAGCGTCCTGAACCATGCTGATCAGAGACGACCCAAGTGGGAAAGGTCACTACGGACATCAATTTGATCGAAATGTTTATCACTCGTGAGGAAAAACAATTTTAGCATACATCGTGGAACTGCCGAGTGTTACTAGATACTCGAATGATATGATTTAGGCCTCGACCAGCTCGTGAACCTCTTCATGAAGAGTAATACATGCCTATCATAATACATTACAGAGGCCTCTTATGTTTTGCTTCTAGGTCGCCCTTCAACGTTAGGATTACGCGTTACATGGAAAGTTGGGAGACGAAATCGAAACGAGATAGGACACTGGACTGACATTCCTGCCGATACCTCCTAGTCCAATTCTTCTTCGAAGAGATCAACTGGCGTACAAGTGATGGGTCTCGAACGCAAACTCGCTACGTCGGACGGCATTTATCTTTTGCGCTGGATCCTCGTCAATGTCCATGTAGCTACCGCAGCACGTGTTGATTACACATTTACCGCAGTTTATAGAGCATTATCGCATTAGCATTATCACATCCTCATAAGCTTGATAATCAAGCAGACTCAGTCTCTGGGACTTTCGAAGTCACAAGACTCCGATAGTAGCCGTGCAAGCGCCTCGAGATGTTCCTGATCCTCTCTATCAAAACCATTCAATTCTGCACAATCAATGTCAATAATAGCGACGACCTGAGCATAACGTCAGCGTGATTTTCTGACATTGGTCCAACGCTGGTCTCGTTACCTTCCCTTGCTGTATGATTGGTACTACAATTTCGCTCTTTGTGTTGCCATCACAAGCTATATGACCAGGAAACTTCTCCACATCAGGGACCAGCTGAGTCTCTTTCGCTGCTGCTGCTGTCCCACAGACACCTCTACCAAACGAAATGACTTGACAAGCAACTTGTCCCTGGAAAGGACCAAGAATCAACTGGTTATGGTTCTTTGGATCCAGAACATAGAAGCCACACCAATTGCTAGCACTGGAAGGCCTCGGTAATGACAGAAGCCCATGATAGAGAAGTGATGAGGCATTGGAGAGATTACTGGTGTGCTTGTCAGGGGAGATTTACAAGAAGACGCGACGTTGATGAGACAGCGACGTACCAGACCTAGATAGAATTAACATTGACGATAGTACATAATAGAATATACACACCCAATTTCGTTGACCTTCGAACAGAGCTTTCCCTTGCTCCAGTACTTGAGCATATACTTCAGATTTCACCAAACCAGCCGCAAACGAGGAGGCATCTGCATGGACCTTTCCAGATTTAGAGAGCGACCTCAGTGGTACGATATACATTAATTTACCATGTTGTCTGGAGATCTAGCACTATATAAAGCCGTGTATGTTTTGACGATTGATCGATTGATTGGATGGATGCGTTTCTGGGCCCGGGACCAGACCAATAAAATCGCAAGAAGATTAGATATCTCGAAAATCTCTCAAGTTAATGTGACGAAAGCTACGAAACCTAGATCTTAAAAGAGAAACTATGTACAGCAGTAATCCATATGTGAAAAGAGAGATTCCCCACGAAAGCCCATTATGGCGACATGGGCTGGGTTCCCGCGCTATCCTTTAAGCGTGCTAGACCAGTGTACTCCACAACGCGTCAATGAATATCACTTTTAGGGTCGCGGCGCGTTCTGCAATAGCAAGCACATCGCGATCACGAACCTCGCTGCAATCCTACCGTCTCCTATCTACGCCCTCGATCGCTCCACTGCCGCCGAAACCAACCCATAGCCTGACGCAACGATTGTTGCTCGATCTTCTTGAGTGTATACATTGGAACGAAGTCAGCCGCCTAGCGGGGGCGCGCTGTTCCCATAGCCGGCAATATGTTTATCAAGCAGATCATCATTCAGGGTTTTAAGAGGTAAGCATTGTAGTCGCATACTACAGGCGATGCTGACAGACCCAGTTACAAGGAACAGACCGAGATCGCACCCTTCTCTTCACAGAGTAACGTTATAATTGGCAAGAATGGCTCCGGCAAGAGTAATTTCTTCTCGGCAGTTCGTTTTGTGCTGGGCGATGATAAGACCCAACTGAGTCGCGAGGAAAAGACTGCGCTTATGCATGAAGGTTCCGGGCAGAATGTGTGGTCTGCATATGTCGAAGTCATCTTCGACAACAGCGACGATCGATTCCCAACCGGAAAACCAGAGGCCATCATTCGTCGCTCGCTTGGCTTAAAAAAGGATGAATATTCCATTGATCGCAAGAACTCTACAAAAGCTGAAGTCATGAGCCTTTTCGAGTCTGCTGGCTTTTCTCGATCGAATCCGTACTATATCGTTCCGCAAGGTCGCATCACTCAACTCACAAACATGAAGGATGACATGCGTCTCAGCAAGTTGAAGGAAGTCGCGGGCACCCAAGTTTACGAAAATCGCCGACAAGAGAGCTTGAAAATTCTCAAGGAAACGGAGAACAAGCAGGGTCAGATCGATGCACTCCTCGCCACCATCCGCGAGCGGCTGGAAGAGCTTGAGCAGGAGAAAGCAGAACTGACTGAGTACCAACAGCTTGAAAGGCAACGACGGATACTCGATTATACCTTTCACTCTCGTAATTACAAACGATTTTCAGAGAAGCTTGAAAATTTCGAAGAGAGAAGGTCTATCAAGGCCGCTGAACAGGAAGAACGAGTTCAACAATTGGATCAGATCAAAGAGGAGCTCGATCACGCCCAGAGGAATATTCAATTGGATTTGCAAAACATCAATACGCTCAACGACGAGAAACGCCAATATGAGAATGACTACTCAAAAGTTAAATCGGAGCAGACACGAGCGCGACTTGATCGGGACAGCCTAAAAGGTGAGCAGTCTGAATCCGACATAGCTCATCAAGAAAGGGCACGAAAGCTGCAATCTCTCACCTCGAGCATCGCTGCGTCCGAGAAAGAGCTTAGGAGAATCCTTCCGGAGTACACCAAAGTCAAGGATCAGGAGGTCGATGTGAAGACTCAGCTTGAACTGGAGCAGAGCACACAACGAAGGCTGCGTGGAAAGCAGCAGTACACTAGCAAACAAACCCGAGACGCAGCTCTAACGAAGCAGATCAACAGCATTCAAGGCGATCTGGGTAACCGTAAGGCTACCGCCATGGAAAACCGCGACCGCATTGCCTCGTTAGAAAACTTGATATCGTCCTTAAAAAGCGATATCGAACAAATAAATGCAAACTTAGCCAAAGGGCAACAAGACGCTCAAAAATACCCCGAGCGAATCGCTCAACTCGATCAGGAGTTGTCTAGCCTAGAGGATGAAAGGAGGTAAGTGTAGCATGTGACATGGTCCGAAAAATGCTAATAGCGCCATCAGATTACTTCTGAGAGAGGAGCACCAGCTTCATAACCAGATCAAGACGTCCGAACATGATTATCAAATCGCCCGGGAGAAGATGCTGCGACTTGCAGACAGGAACGTAATCAATGGTATTCTTGCTGTTAGAGCTATGAAGGCTCAAGGAGAAATAGACGGGATTTATGGTGTGCTCGGGGAATTGATCACAGTAAAACAGCATTACGAAGTCCCTGTAGAAGTCATTGGTGGACAGCAGCAACTCAGCATTGTCGTAGATACGGATGAGACTGGACAGAAGATCATCCAAAAGTTGGCACAAAGCAAAGCAGGCAGAGTGACTCTAATCCCTCTGAATCAAATGCGCGACAAGGATATCAATCTCACAAGAACTGCCGACGCCATGCCCGTGATGGCCCGACTAGAATATGATCCGGCGATTGAGCGCGCTGTACAGCATGTCTTTGGCAAGGCCGTCATATGCCCGGACTACCAGTCAGCAGCGGATCATGCAGCTAAAAATGGTGTCACTGCAGTCACTATGTCTGGGGCACGATCAGATCCCCAGGGAGGTTTGACTGGTGGATTTGTTGATTCGAAGAGAGCTCGCATTGGGGTTCTCCGCGAAGAGTTAGAGAAACGGGAAGCTCTTAATGTGCTCATAGGAACAGAGAGAGAACTTAGAGAGAGAAAAGAAACTTTGTCTCAACGCATAACACAGAAAAGAGGCGAGCAGACGAAGGTCTCGCTTGATCAAACGAGAGCTGAGCGTGGAGATCGGGCCTTGAGGCAAGAACTACACGCAAAATTGCAACAATTACCTCAGCGTGTTATTGAGTTGGATGCGAAGAAGGCCAGACAAGAAGAGGATGATGGCGATTACAACCGACTAGATGACGAGCTCACCAACATTCAGACGGAACTTGCGAGTCCCTTCCAGCCGAAGCTGTCGAAAGAAGAAAGCCGACAGCTTGAACTCCTCAATACGAGCATACCGAAGTTACAAAAGCAGTATACTGACATGAACACACGCCGAAATGACCTCGAAATTACGAAGACGAACCTCGAATACGAACTCAACAACAATCTCAGGCCACAGATGACTGAGCTGGAAGCAGACAATTCAGGCTCTCCCAATAGCGCATTTGGAACTCAATCAAAGCTGGCTGAAGCCGAGCGTCGCCTTGTCAAGGCAACTGCTGATGTGCGGTTAACAAAAGCTCAGATTGAAGAATGCAACAATCAGCTTAACGCTGCTAATAAAAAATTGCAAGAAGATCAACAGGCCCACGCCGAGAAGGAGCAAGAGCAGGGCGCCCTCAAAGAAGATATTGACAAGTACATTAGACGCTTAGCCAACATTCATAGTGAACGCGCACAGCAGGAGCTCCTGAAGAAGGGATCTAAGCAAAAACTTGACGAACTTGGGTCTATACCAACATTGTCCGCCAAAGAGCAAAAATACAAAGGTTGGAATGATAAAACGGTAGGTTTTCTCCCCCTAACTTTGTCATCATTGAAACGGAGCTGAATTCCGTCATAGCTCGATGAGGAAACGAGAAAAGTCAAGAAGAAACTCAAGAACTACACGCATGTCAACAAAAAGGCGGTGGAGCAATACAACAACTTTACTGCGCAACGTGACAAGTTGACTGCCCGTTACCAAGAGCTAGAATCATCATATGGGTCCATCCAAAGTCTTATCGAGCATCTCGACCATCGGAAAGATGAGGCACTGCAGCGAACGTTCAAACAAGTCTCGAAAGAATTTGCGTGGGTCTTTAAGCAATTGGTACCGGCAGGTCAGGGACGACTCATTATCCAACGACGGACAGACCAACAGCTCCGTCGTGCCGAAGAAGATGGCGAGGGCGAGCGCACTGGCAGCTCCGGCGTGGAGAGCTACACGGGAGTCGGTATTAGCGTCAGCTTCAATAGCGAGCACGACGAGCAACAAAAGGTCCAACAGCTTAGTGGTGGCCAGAAGAGTCTATGCGCCCTAGCATTGGTATTTGCCATCCAGCGCTGTGACCCAGCGCCGTTCTACATCTTTGATGAGATTGATGCTAATCTGGATGCCCAATACCGTACTGCAGTGGCGAAGATGATCAAGACGCTGTCAGAGCCGAACGAAGATGGCACGGGTGGTGGTCAGTTCATTTGTACCACTTTCTCGCGAGAACTGATTGTGGACGCGGACAAGTGTTATCTCGTTACGTTCTCAAATAAGACGAGCTCTGTCGATGTGGTCGACAAGGAGCTTGCGCTGCAATTCGTTGAAGAGCAGCAAAAGAAGATCGGGCAGTAAAAGGGTTTGTTTGATTTCAACGGTACTGCAGGCGCGCGTTCATGGGGCATGTCATTTTCAGCGGTTGTCCCAGATGCATCATTAGACCGCACAGCTTGTGTATCTAGGTGCATTGGGATATGACAGGAACATTGTGGCGTTGTTGTCTCTGCGGCCTCCTATTTCCAGCTACATATGTCGAAAGAGGCCAATGTATGAGTATGATGCTAGATACCAAGTGATGATTTCTCAGGGCAGAAATATGGCTTTATGGACGATCAGATACGTTTCAAAGTCCTACTTACAGAGTTCCTCTTATGTCTGAGCCGCAGACTCTTGCTCTTCTGATGTGGCAGAATCAGTGATTTCCCGGATTGTTGGGCATATTTTGCACGGTCATTGAGGGTGACCACGGAGGAGAGGGAGTCGCTGTTATGATCGTGATAACTTGCCTAACATTAACCGGTCGTTGTCTTCTTGCTGTTCAGATTACTGATCTACGATTCCAGTACATCCAGCAACAGAAGTGGTCCCAAAAGAAGTTTAATCATCGCACAAGAGGCAGCAAGAAACAAGAGCGGTGGCTATAGACGACCAAGCGATGCTTCAAGAGGTAGCAACAATGTTAGAACACCCATGCTGTGCGCCTCCATGACTTCTTTGCTATTAAATGGTCCGTTGATTTACTGCTATTCGGTCAATACAACATCCTTGTCATTTACTAGGTTTATCTCGCTAAGCATCTTCCCCTGAGGCCCCTTTTCTTGTATGGACATGGCTTTTTGTTCTGAGACTTGCAGTGTGCGTAGAACAGCAGCGTCTCTTTTCGACACATAGGATGTTTTCGAATGATGATGATTTGGAAACTCAATTAATATACTATGTAATTTCCTTGCTAGGTTTGAGGTGCTGGTATCGTTCCAACCCAAGGTAGATTAGCATTAAGATATGAGATTGATGGAGCCGCATATCCTAGTTCCAGACGAAGCTCATTTCTCGACAGAAACCTCAACAGCACCATCCTCAAGCTCGACAACCCTCCTCCTCAACGTTGTCTTCTGCGTACTCGCCTTGCGCGGGTTCGGCGCTTCAAAGATCTCATCCAGTTCCTCCAAGGTGCGATCCTTAGTCTCCACGAAGAAGAAATAGATGAATGCAAATTCGAACACGTCCCAGAACACGAAGAAGATGTAGAACCAATACCGGATGTTCTTCAGCGCGATCGGCGCTGCAAAGGTGTTCACGAACCCGGCACAACCAGCCGTGATCTGGAATACACCCATTCCCTTGGCGCGCATCTCGTTGCTGAGCACCTCACCCGGGTAGATGGGTTGCATACTGGTGAAGGCAAGTGCGAATACGGCGCCGAAGATGTAGATGAAAGCGATGCTGGCGCTCGATGCGGCCTTGTTGGTGGGGTCTTTCTCGTAGCCTGCAGCGGTGCCGGCGGCAATGGCGAGTGCGACGGCCATGCCCATGGTCACGCCGAGTAGCATCTTGCGACGACCAACGACGTCGTGTAGGCGGGCGCCGATCATGGCGGGGATCCAACCGGTGATGGCGTAGATGATGTTGAGCAGAAGCTGGGTGTTTGTGTTTGTGATTCCGACGGAGCGGACGAGGGTAGGAAGGTAGTAAGACACAACGCTATAACAGTCAGTTCTATAAACCCAGAAGCTGTGTATTGGAGAAAGGGGTGGCGTACTTGTTTCCGCTGAATTGTCCGAACCAGCTGAAGGCAATGCACAGCATGAGTCTGTATCTACGCGATGGAGACTTGATGAGCACGCGCAGGTCGAAGAAGGTACGCCATGTGAGCATCTCTTCAGATTGCATATTCTCTGTCATTTCGTGCATTTCAAGGGCGACAAGTGGGTGTGAGGCGTCGCCGTTGGCGTGGAGTTCTGTGAGAAGGGCACGAGCTTCTTCTGCGCGGTCTTTGGCGACAAGCCTAGATTTTGTCAGTCTTGATCAATATGAGAATAGGGGTAGTGAGACGCACCATCTGGGTGACTCTGGACAGAACCAGATGCCGAGACACACGATTCCTGGGCAGAGCATCTGTAGCCATAGTGGTAGGCGCCAATTGAGGTTTCCACTGTTTGATAGATTGATATTTGCGCCATAGACAGTGCAAGTTGCAATGATAGAACCCTGTCAAATTCAGCAAAGTACCTATGTAAGTAACTTGTAGGGATCTCACCAGATAGTACAGTGTGTTGTACATGCCAGCTACAGTCCCACGATACTGTGGCGGTGCAATCTCAATCAAATACAATGGTGCCGCAGTAGTAGCGAACGTTGAGAAGAAACTCAGCAGGAACCTTCCTCCGATAAAGGCTGGCAACGTTGGTGCGACGGAAGTGATGATCGTGCCGACGCACACACCAAGACAGCCGATGAAAATGGGCAATCGCCGACCTTGCCAATCCGCGAGCCAGACGAAGAGTGCACCGGTCATCTGTCCGATATTGAAGATGGCAAATACAAGGCCTGTGCCGGAGTTGCCTTCGGGTGGTAGATTGTAGTAAGATGTGTAATTCGGAATTGCATTTATGGAGCCCATCAGAGAGCCATCGTAACCTGCCCATTCGTTAGTGGAGTGTATAGAAATTGTGTAGGAGTTCACTCTTACCATTCATTGTTGAACAGAGATAGACTAATAGACAGCAGAAGTATAGACGCATGTAGCCCTTGCCTCGTGGGTTTGGCTTGTTCTCCTGCATCACCGCCGCAAGATTCGAGTCTAGAACATTGACAGTCTTCTCCTCGAGCACCTGCTCGACGTGTTTGTCGTGTACGGTCGCCATCTTGTCAAACTCCATCGTACAATAGTCGTTCTGTTGATCGTGTATCTCAAAGTCTGATGCCGATCATCAAATGCTACGATGAAGAAGCATTAAATATCGACAAACGAGTCAAGAAGCGATATACTAGTCCGAATCAGTCACGGGGTTTTAGCAGAGTCTACAAGAATCCAGAGCGCTCCTCTGCCACGAGGCGTTCGGTGGAGATATTTATTTTGCGGAGAGCAAAATGCGGAGACAGACTGGGGATGAATGTTGAACGGCTGAACCGATAATATCAAAGTACTAACACATATTCGGCACGGAGTGGCAGCTCCGGAAGCGGCTGAGGACTAGCACCACAAGGCTGCAGTTCTCTATACTCACACAAGAACGTGACCTTTTGGGAACGAGGACGTAATTGTTCAAAAGAAGACCGGAGTGTATGCTCCTAAGCTAGTTGTGTTTTCTATACAACCAGCCACGTGAAATTTGAGGCTCACGCCTCGTGGCGTAACGCCGTTTGACATCCTAATTGAAGACCGGATCCGTCCTTCGATGACAAGCTCCGGAGATGTAAGGCTCAACATTAAACGGGTCCCAAATATAGCGTCTTGCCATATGACGCGGGTAACATGTCTAGTTCGGCGCAAGTCTCCGCACTGTTTGATATTAGTTGACGGGCAGTAGACTCATATAGTCCTGGCAGGACTGGGCAATCGTGAACTGTTGTTTCCCATGTCATAACTAACATCGTGATGTCCGGATTCCGAGGCAAGCTTCACAAGATCGCGCTAGCTGGAATCGTGTCGGATTATAGATCACCGGCCCCTGTTAGGCTTAGCGCTCGCTCGCTGCCGGCCTCAGATCGACCACGCGGTGTTGCAGATCTCAACCACACCGTTCACACCATCCTCATGTAGCCCTACAGGCCGAAGAACCTGAGTCGCCAAACTACCTTCAGTCGTCAAGGCCCATGATGAACGAATCGCCATGTGAGCGGAGAATACTTGTCCGCGCTGAAATGCGACAGCCAGGAGTGCTGATAGATTATGGACATGACTACGACACACCGAAGCGCGACACTCGGGGAGGAGTTGGTCGCGATGGACATGACTACATACGCAGCAACGTAGCAGTTAGATGGGTTTTGGTCGCGTGTAGACATGTCTAAACACGCTGTAAGTGGCAATTGGATAGCAGACGGTAGGGTGTGGACATTATTACTCGCGCTATACACGCTACGTATAGCACCGTCTGATCTCCCGTTGCGAGGACAAGACTTTGGGGCCATGATTCCGTAGTTGCACGACATAACGACGCTGGACGGGAGATCGTCGAAGAGATATAAATATGAGGGTGAAGAACTGAAGAAGATGGATTTTATTCTACAAGACACGACAGCGACTATAGCAAGAACACCTGTATCTTACTCAGAAAATCCAAATATTCAGATTCATCTCAGACAGACAACATGAAGTTTCTCGCGAGCCTCCTTGCACTCGCTGTTGCGCTTCCCAGTGCTTCAGCATTGCCACTGGAACAGCGAGATATCACTACCAGCTGGGCAGGAGTCAACTCTTACTTCTTGCACGCTTATCAAAAGTACTATCTCATTTGGCTCCGCGATTTCTCCTAGAACACAACTGACATGACACAAGGTCTGATCGCATCGCTGTTTTAGACGCAATCAAAGCGGCTAAACTCAAGACTGTGCGGATATTCATTTCTCACACGTATGCCAACAACAAGGACACCAACTCGGTCGAAATGCCCGACATCGAGCCCGACGAAGTCGGCGAATGGGACGACACCCAGCTCAGAGCCATCGATCAACTCATGGTCGAAGCCAAGGATCGCGGCATCAAGCTCATCATTGCGCTCCATGATCGATACATGCTCGGGTGCTGGGGCTCCGACGCCTACGTCTCGAAGTACAAGCTGCCTGCTGTCGACTGTGGCACACCCGGAGCCATCAAGGACAACGACGTTACATGGTGGTACCAGGACCCATCACCCATCTACGACTTCGAGAATCGCATCGCGCACATCCTGAACCATCAGAACTCCCTGCTCGGTGGCAAGGCATGGAAGGATCTCAGCGATTACATCTTCTCCTTCAACATCCAGAATGAAGGCCAGGGGCACCTGCGCAATAACGTCGCGCCTGCGCCCAACTGGTGGTGCGACCGCAGCAAGAAGATGCGCTCTATCATGGGCAGCAGCAAGATCCTGGTCTCGACTGGCGGCGGCAACGAATTTTCTAACTCTGACATCTCACAGAACTGGGCATGCAACACGCTAGACGTTGTTGATATCCACTCGTACAACGGTGTCGACGGTTTCAAGCAAAACGCACCAACATCCCTGAACCGTGCGAAGAGTGCTGGAAAACTGGTGCTGTTCGAGGAGTTTGGCGCGATTGGCGACTCCAAATCGAGCCAAGTCCAGCAGCATATTGACGTCTTCAACGGACTCAAGGCACCGTGGATGATCTGGCAGATTAACAAACCGGGCAAGGGAAGTGCTGATTTCGAGTTCTGGACTGATGAGGCGACATACGGAGTCGTGAAGACTGGGGCTGAGAAGGCACTGACTTTGACTGCTGCCCAGTCTTTTAGGAATCTCTGAGGTTAGAGATGGACTTTCGTTTTTGTTGATACGTGATATGATGCACATGATTAGTTGATGATTTGGTAAGACTGAGGCAGATGTACATAAGGGGCTTCGAAGCAGAGCACGTGTTGGGCTTGTTTCGGAAGTATATACAATGAATTAGTGACAGAAGATGCGGAGCTGTCTGCAGTGTACTTACCGTGTGAGTTGATGAACCACTATCTAGAGAGAACCGTCATAGCCCACAGTCCCGATGATTATCTTCACATCAGTCCTTGTGTTCCTAAATAAAAGAAACTCTGGATAATACTACACAAGAGAACTCCAGCTGCAGCTCATAACGAGAGAATATGCGCTATAATGTGATTGATGGTCAGATTTACGCAATCTACAGCTAGAAGAAACTGGGATGTCTTCTGTTCGATAGACGATATATGAGCTTTGTGGTTGGGACAGACAGTGGTATACCTTGGCCGAGGCACAAAATCTTGTGTGCAACACTGCCTTAAAAGATGTCATCCTCGGAAGGGAGCAAGACTAGGAGCTTCTAGGCAGATTTAAACTAGATATTTCTCTGCTTAATGCTAGACATATCGTACCTACAATTACGGAAAGTAGCGATATGTTCACATTATAACAAGAACATCTGAGTAAATCACTGCAATAGGACTATCACTTTCTCTTATGGAGCGTATATATTACAGTCACCCAGCAGAGTAGAACAACGATACTCTCGACTTAGTATACTCATCACGCAAGGCAAAATGGTAGAGATTCAGGATAACGCCAATTAGGTAGAAGTTAAGTGAGTATTTGCATTTGGTGGTGGATGTCACACTACAAGGGGCTTGGATAAAGTGAGATCTCATATAACGAGAGACGGTCAGATGAAACAGCTAACGATGAGCAAGGTATATCCTATGGAAAGGCTCTTAGCAGCAGCCCACACTGCTGTTGTAGGTCCGAAGATCTTTGTTACTTCTGAATTGGTATCCAAAAAACGACTCCCTCAGATCCGACAGTCATGGGAAAGGGTGACTAACAGTGCTATACATAGCTCTTCCAAGCAAGAAGAGGTATCTACGTTCAAGATAGGCATTCGAAATATAGGCATATCATGTGTGAGTATCATCCATACTATCAACCTCCTCACCCATCCACGATCACCACATCACACGCAGAAGCACGCATGTCAAGCAAGAGCGCATATATTCACACTTCCAAAGACGCAACGTACTGCTAACCCCGACTTGCTCCATACATTACAGAACAGGCCCGCAAACTCGACGCCCACACCACCCCCGGGCTCCCCCATCTCCACCTATATCCAACAGCCCGAACCCTGCTCTCCCCCTCCACCTCCTTCAGGGCCGCCGTCCCAGATACAGTACAACAATGAGCGACGCTCTAGGCGCCGCTCGCGCCGCCCTCCTTCTCAGCACCGCGCGAGAAGGGGTCGAGGGGGGAGCAACCGCTGCCCTGAGGGCGTGTTGGCGGACCAGCGCCGCGACAGCAACTCTCTTCTCGGCGAGGAACGCCTCGAGCTCTGCATTCGTCAAAAGACGAGGGCGCTTGCAGGGCGATGCGTCGCGAGGGGCGGTGGATAGGAGGCTTGTGGTGTTGTCGTCGGAAGTGGGTGAGGATGCGTCTGTGGTGAACTTGCGCTTGTTTGAGAGTGGAGAATTGGTTTGTTGAGGCATGTTGCCTAGTAGTGTTGGAGAAGAGGGTTGGTGATTGAGGAGAGGTTGGAGGATTGATGGAGATTTGTAGTTGGTTGGGAAGTCAATTGATGGTATGACTTGTGAGGATAGTGCTGAGGAGAAAGTCGAGAGGTGAGAGGGAGATAGGACGGCCTTTTATACTGGCAGAGGAGTGCAAAATGGTGGTGGCTGGAAAAATCTCTGAATGGGGGCGTCCTCAATAGCGAATGTCTCAATAGCAGGCGATCAAATGGATGACTCGACAATAAGGTGGAAGTGAATCAAGAGAGCGAATGAGAGAAGACCTGGGTTGCGCTTGGACTCCGTGAACAGTGTAAAGACAATAAGCGGTCCCGCTGTGCGGTCAAGTGAACAAGTGAACCTCACTCAATCCGGCTTCGAATTGGCGCCTTATTCAAATAGGTACCAGAAGCCCGGTCTCTACTATCTCTAAAACACTCTATTGTATTCGCCGCTCTCGTTAAGCTGCTCTCATCCTGAAGTCTCTCAGCCCCCTGAACCTCAATCGATACAATTGCTGCTAGAGCTCTTCCCTACTGTCCTTCACCAATATCATCATCAGAGTGGCATTTAGTACCTCGCTTCCTATATCGATGTGGCTTCCAATTGAATAATGTGCGTAATGCACCCAGTAGGACTTGCGTGTCACACGCAGTGCATAGATGCTTATGGCACACTCTCCAGGCCTGTCAGTGAGATAGTTCTTGAACGGATTCGTGATATGAAGAAATCAAGGGTGTAGAAATTACCCCGATAGTGAGCTATGGGTAACATAGTTTGGAATTGATGTGATCGTCTCGTAGTTTGGCAGCGGCTTGACTGGTGGCCCACCCTGCTCAAGAGTAGATCGGGAAGCTTCATTGTAGCTTATGTGCTCAGCTGAAGGGGAGGGTCAATGGATGAGGGTATGCACCAAAGAGGAGCAGTGATACGCTATGGACGTGCCTCACAAGTGGAGATGTACTAACTGTATATTGTGACATGTAGGCAAGATAACTGGACGAGAATGGCAGTAGATTCTTCTTGACTGTATGCAGACAAGCAATGGATATTTGATCATAAAAATGATATAAGAACAAGGAATGAGATGACGCGAGACATGATCTAAGAATCGGTATCGAACGATGGTAAAGATAACTCTATATGCATACCTCCGTGGATGGTTTACACTAGTGTTATCAATAGAACACTGTCACATTAGCTGAAGTCATCTTGGTGGCTACATTTCTACCTAGGCTGATGGGTAGAAGAAATTACCGCCTGATGAGTAGTACTGGCCTGAACCATAATTAAAATATCGTGTATACTCATATGAACTGATACTCGAAGATTAAACAATATGTTGACCTCACAAAATGAAAACGACCCGTCACCTCGCCATTGCTCAGATGATCGCCTATACCGTGGTCGTATTGAACTGCTGAAGTATCAGATATACCAATAACCATAAAGCAAACGAGTCCAATGTAAGGATTATCTACCTAGAAGAAGATGAGCCCACGAGCCGCGATGCTGGCAATGTAGGGCTTAGAGAGAATATGTATGACCCGCAGGATCAGGCTCCGTCCCAGCATCGTAGTGGCCGAAGAAAGTTTGGTATATATTTTGCGGTCAGTACGTTCCATGGTCAGTTCTGTGTCCAAAGATTCACCCAGATACAGCCGCATATGAAAGCCTAGTATACACTACCCCCGACAAACATGGTCGCAAAGGGGTCCTGACTCAACATGTCATCAAGAAATGAGTACTTTTGGTTCTTGCCTTGAAAGTGACGGAATTCGTCTGTAAGCTGCACGGGAGATACCAGCCACTGTTATGATGCTGGTTCGCAGGCATGTACTATGACAGTCGTCGTCAGGACTCGAGAGGACGTACTTCAGGCTGAAACTTACTTATAAAATGGTCCTCTCAGCACGTGAAACCGTACTTCTCTTCTACATTCGTTGGATTGGCCACGATATAGAGCTATGTAAACGTTTTAGAAAAAGTGAGCGCTAGTTGCAGGCCACACTCGTTACGTTTCTCTAATACTTTAATGATACATGGTATTTCGACTATGTCTGAAGAAAGCTAATCAACTGTTAAGAACTAAGTGTGTGGACGATGCTCATATCGAATTGACCTTTATATACTACCGAGAGACGAATGGTTGTGAGAAAGTCTGGACAGCGCTGTGCAAGCTATATCAATCTGCATCTACTCAACTACGCTATCAGACGAGTGAATTTCTGAAAATGGATGACCGTATTATTTTGATACCGAATATATCACGACACATGTTCGATAGTCATTCACGTGAGCTCTACTACACGAGCGCGAGAGGGACATCAGATATCTCATACTTCGCTGCGTGCATTTACAGTCCATCTGCATGACAGTCAAGCTCCCAAACAAGCTTCTTTTCTTGTGGAAAAGGCAAATTCCCCTCCAGTCCCCCGTTCCAGTGCACAAGATCCTGTACAGAACTCTCTAGGCCTTGAGCAAGGAGGACTTTCACTGTTGGATCCCAGCCACGAGCACGACGCTTCTCGCTGAGCACATTGCGGACCCCATGAGGATCATCGGTCCATGGCATGTAGCCTTTAGATGCCTCGCCACTGGTAGTAACCGTATATTCATCCCCTGAATCATGTCAACCATAACGAGACGCAGCAACGAAAGTTGAGCATAGGGGCTTACAGTCCATAGGAGGGTCAATACCGGAGACTGTTATGGATTTTTTAGGCCAGCGTATAGCATTCGCATGAAGCTCAAGGAATCTACGAGCCTTAAAGGCGTGGGTCACTACACGTATGCTCCCAGGATATCTCCCTGTCCTTTTGCGAAATGCGATGATGGAGAAGAGCAGATTCTGGTAACTGTCTGTGGCATGTTCTTCAAGTAACAACGTGCCCGCCGTGAATGCTTGCTGAGCATGGCTTCTGACCTCGTCTGAGGTGTGTAGTAGTGCATGATAGTAACTCTCTGATTCGCTTAGCTCAGTAATGTTGCGCTTCGTTCGACCTCCTGATATTACGAGGATACTCTTGTTGCGCCAAGCACCTGTGCGAGTCATATTCAATCCTGTTGTAACATGATGGATGAAGGTTTCGTGCTCGCTCTGCTTAGTCGCAGTACTCTTCTGGAAATGTTGGAGAAGCCAAGCGATCTCATCATATGGATCTGCGTCCGGCGTAGAACGTGAGCCCAGGTATATGGCGTGGCAGCATACGATTACAAGGTTGGTATACGTTGAAAGGTCCGGTGATGAAAGCATTTTGTGGTACAAGCGCCTCAAGGCTCACCATACCTGGTGCGCCTGAATATGCAAGGCTCAAGCAGATGACCACAGAGGACTGACAGTCACTTACATGCTAATACTTACCTAATATTGTGGCTGGTAAGTCGGTGTAGTCTTTGCGGCGTAGCACGGCGGATACGGATCAATGCAGTGTAACAATGGCACACTGTTCCACAAGTAGATGCAATGAACGATGATGAAGAGTCTTCCATCCAGCGGCACATGTGAGAGAGAGGAAAGCGATTAACAGCGGTATAAGCTTTACAATGGGATCTTGGTAGACGGCAGAGCGCTTCGGGTTGAGCTGAGCAGGCAACAAGGAGAGGTTTGCGAACTGAGAGTAAGGCTACGAGGCTATGAGGCTATGAGGCTATGAGGCAGTGAGGCAGTGAGCCAGCAAGACAAGGCCGCCATACCTAAAATGGTTTGGGCCATAGGCGAGATTGTAACCTTTGACTGGTGGATACACTGATATAGGACCACAAGTGGTGCAGACGAAGCTTCAACCGCGTGTTGGCGGCTGGAGTTTGAGTTTAAGTTCCTATGAAGCGTTCGTTAGAATCAGGGTCTACCATTCCGTCAGGTCCGCCGACGACGCTGCCCCAAGACACAAGAATAGAAGGGAATATGCAGATCGCTCGCCTCAAGGCTCTGCTCATGCTCAGGAAAGGGGCAACAGTAACTATTGGGTGGCAAGGCTCAGCATATTATCTATCATTCACCCGGCGATATTCCATGGTGATGATGAAGAAGAAGATGAAAGCCATCTGCAAGGATATGAGCACGCATTCGCATTCGCATCCAAGTCCGCAGTCGATTACTATCGGAGGTAATCTGGCGGCTAGGTATAGACGATGGTATGTAAGTATGATGTGACTAAAATAGATCATGGTGGCAGCCTAGTGAGTCCAGTGCCAATACATTGCGGCAGACCAGGGCGCCACCTTGGGAACAGTCCGCAGCATGCAATAATATGTACCTAAAAGCCTTTCCAACTTTGCCGCGCGTGAGAGGAATAAAAGATGCCGAGTGTTGCTGTGTGAGTGGGGCGGCATATGTAGCCCCCACAACGAAGCCTTGGGGTTGTAATTAACTGCTATGTCTCTGGAGCTACCATGGATGTCTCAACGCGAATTGATCTTAATGGTTATGATCGGGTGCAATCATTCACCGAGGCAAGAAGAACATGTAATAATTAGCTGTTTATACCATAATACATGATGAATACAACCAGAACTTCTAGAAGGCTAGTAAAGCGTAAATGAGGAGCGACATGGCTGGCACGACGATTGATTGGCCCTAATCGGTGGCCGTGTACGCGCTGAAACATGCGTCTTTTGGGTCTCTCTGGGCCCTGTTAGGGGGGGGCTTTGGGGGCTTCTGGGCTGTCGTTTGGCTGGTTTGGCTTCCCTCACCCGCCAACAGCAGCCCGGTCCAGCTCCCTGTCCTGCCCTCCTTGCCTTGCCTCTCCACTCTCCCCCTGCTGTTTTGTTGGTTGCACGCAGCCTCGCACGCTCATACTGTAGTCTGAGTCCCTCAAAGTCCTCACGCGCTGTCAGAGTTTCATCAAGGCGCAGCATCCTTAGCCCACACCCGATCTGCTTAGCGCTATTCCTGCCAGTCCTTCAGCTCCTCCAAAGCTGATCAGCCTTTTGCTGACTTTTCTTCTCCCTACGACCTCAGGTCTTGTTTCGCATCCCCTTTATTACATTATCCTCTACCTACACACTCGCTCTGCATCTTTCGATTCATCTCTTTTTGTTTTGCACCCTCTGACGATCTCGCCTTCTCCCACTCCTCCTTCAGCCTCGTCATGGCGTATCAAGGCCAAGGAGGTGGATATGGCGATGGCCATCGGCTGAACGACATGCCTCCCCAGGTATGACTTGCTTCTCACTCTACTATCACTGCCTTTCATTAATTCGTACGCAGAGATACGACCAAGGTCATCATTCCAATTCAGATGACGAAGAGGTTGAGCGTTCCCTTTTGCACCCGAATCCCACTGGTGTAAACCCTGGTCCGTTTGACGACCCAGGCTACCACGCTCCTCACTCACCCCTCGGGGACCACCGTCCTGGTTCCACGTACAGCTTGACCGAGTCCTATGCGGATGGCGCGAACACTACACGAGCACCTCCGTATGGTGGTTATGCGGAGAACTACTCGAATCCTGATGATCCATCCAACGCGTATGGTGTACCAGGCCGCGCACCTTCACCTTACAACAGAAGTGACACTAGCTCAACTGAGGCATGGAAGCAACGTCAGAACCCTGGTGGCCCAGCTGCACAGGGCGGTGGTTTGAAGCGTGGTCAGACCCGTAAGGTCAAGCTTGTCAAGGGCCAGGTTTTGAGTGCAGACTACCCAGTCCCAAGTGCCATTCAGAATGCCATTCAAGCAAAATATCGCAATGATCTCGAGAGCGGCAGTGAGGAATTCACACACATGCGATGTAAGTATGGATCAACGTTTGTTCGCGAATCTTCTAACTCAATATAGACACCGCTGCGACGTGTGATCCCAATGAATTCACGCTGCAAAATGGATACAATCTGCGGCCGTCTATGTACAACCGCCACACCGAGCTTTTAATTGCCATCACCTATTACAACGAAGACAAGGTGCTTACTGCGAGAACACTCCACGGTGTCATGCAAAACGTCCGCGATATTGTCAACCTCAAGAAGTCCGAGTTCTGGAACAAGGGTGGTCCAGCTTGGCAAAAGATTGTGGTAGCCCTCGTGTTTGATGGTATCGATCCTTGTGACAAAGGCACTCTCGATCTGCTTGCCACTATCGGCATCTACCAAGATGGTGTCATGAAGAAAGATATTGACGGCAAAGAGACAACTGCCCATATTGTTAGTACTGGATTCACTTCAGAGATAAAATGCTTTACTAAATCGACCTCTAGTTTGAATACACGACTCAGCTGTCGGTAACGCCGAACCAGCAACTGATTCGCCCTCATGACGATGGTCCTACCACACTCCCGCCTACGCAGATGATCTTCTGTTTGAAGCAAAAGAACAGCAAGAAGATCAACTCCCACAGATGGCTGTTCACTGCCTTCGGTCGCATCTTGAACCCAGAGGTCTGCATTCTGCTGGATGCTGGTACTAAGCCCGGGCCCAAGTCTCTCCTTGCCTTGTGGGAGGCTTTCTACAACGACAAGGACCTTGGTGGTGCTTGTGGTGAAATTCACGCTATGTTGGGTAAAGGCTGGAAGAATCTCCTCAACCCTCTGGTTGCTGCGCAGAATTTCGAGTACAAGATCAGTAACATTCTCGATAAGCCACTGGAATCATCCTTTGGTTATGTCAGTGTGTTGCCTGGTGCTTTCTCGGCTTATAGATATCGCGCTATCATGGGCCGTCCATTGGAGCAATACTTCCACGGTGACCACACACTTTCCAAAATTCTAGGAAAGAAGGGTATCGAGGGTATGAACATCTTCAAAAAAAACATGTTCTTGGCCGAGGATCGTATTCTTTGCTTCGAGCTTGTCGCCAAGGCCGGTTCAAAGTGGCATTTGACTTATGTCAAAGCGTCCAAGGGTGAGACCGATGTGCCAGAAGGTGCTGCTGAATTCATTGGTCAGCGTCGTCGCTGGCTGAACGGTTCCTTTGCCGCCAGTATTTACTCGCTCATGCACTTCGGTCGCATGTACAAGAGTGGACACAACTTGATTCGCATGTTCTTCTTCCACGTCCAGTTGATCTACAACGTGTGTCAACAAGTACTCTCATGGTTTGCATTGGCTTCTTTCTGGCTTACCACATCGGTTATCATGGATCTCGTCGGTACTCCTCCGGATGTGCAAGAAGGCCAAACAGCTGAGACAGCCTGGCCTTTCGGTAACACCGTCACGCCTATCCTGAACACGGTGCTTAAATATCTCTACTTGGCATTTGTTCTCTTACAATTCATTCTAGCGCTTGGTAATCGTCCTAAGGGGTAAGTTCAACGTTGTCCTTTTTATGATGTTCGCTGATCATTTCCCATAGTTCACGATGGTCATACATGACTTCGTTCGTTGTTTTTGGTGTCATTCAGTTCTACCTGATCATCCTCTCCATCTACTTGGTCGTCCGAGCCTTCACTAATCCAAACGCCGAGCATTTGAATGCAGAGAATGCCGGTACGCTCATCAAATCGTTTTTCAGCAACACCGGGCCTGGTATCATCATCATTGCCCTCGCCGCTACATTCGGTCTGTACTATGTTGCTTCCTTCCTTTACCTGGACCCATGGCATATGTTCACTTCATTCCCGCAATATCTTCTCATCATGTCGTCTTACATCAACATTCTGAACGTCTACGCTTTCAGCAATTGGCACGATGTTTCCTGGGGTACCAAGGGTTCTGATAAGGCGGACGCACTTCCTTCAGCCAAGACTGAGAAAGCGAGCGACGGAAAGCACACAGTCATCGAAGAGCCGGATCTTGCCCAGGCCGATATTGATAGTCAATTCGAATCAACGGTAAAACGTGCCTTGGCACCATACATTGCGCCTGTGGAAAGCACTGAAAAGACACTCGAGGATTCGTACAAGAGTTTCAGAACCCATTTGACCACTTTCTGGATCTTCTCTAATGCACTCCTGGCTGTTGTCATCACTAGCGACAACTTCAACAAGTTTGGTTTCTCCTCTGGCTCAAGTGCCAGAACAGCGCACTTCTTCCAGGCTCTCCTGTACGCCACCGCCGGTCTCTCTTTGATTCGATTCCTTGGATGTCTCTGGTTCCTGGGCAAATCAGGTATTCTTTGCTGCTTTGCCAGACGGTAAGCAGGCAGGAAACGCATCCCGTCGGACCTTCCCAACATCTACAGTTGAAATTAAGGGTCTAAGACCATGTACTGGCTGGCCAAGTGGCTTTAATGATAAAGCGAGACCAAAAACTGTAATCTTAGCTAGTTGTGCGGCGTTTTGGGCACCTCTGGAAGTTGTCATTTCGGCTGATCTTCTTTTGTGTAAAACTTCATAACCGTAGATTGGCCGTCACTTCCTTCGTTTAAATTTATCTCGCTCGAGGCGCGGACTGCGTCGCGAGGTTACGATCCTAGTCACGAATATATTCATTTCTTATTAAATATACGTTATCCACGTGACTAGGCAATACATATGCATGCCGCGCTCCACTGTCTATCAACAAGTTTCTGATGAACCTGAGACTCTAAACCTCAATTTCACGGAATTTCACGGACCTGATCGACTATACGTAGCATAACAATGAGCCGAAACGCTCTCTCCATTTCCTACGATCAACGCGCACTGTATCCTCAATGTCTTCAATCAGACCATTCTTCTACGTGCCATACTCGATATTCGTTTATAACATTAGCGTTCTATATCTCACTTTGTCTTGCACCAGTGACGCCAACCGCTCTTTCGTGTCCCGTCACGACGCAATCCGTAAAGGAGTAGGCACAGCGATCACCGACAATCCAAGCTTGAATTGCAGACTTCACGGTGTCGGCGGCTACGAAGGGGAGGGACTGACCGGACAGCCGCAACCGATCATTCTTGATGCGCACTGCAAGTGGAAGCTCGGGAACGGGAATGCAAATGCACTAAAGCTGGCGAGCACGGGACAAGGTAAGTCACGATGGATTTTATATGTACAGGAACCAATTGAGGACGACCAAAATGCCTTGGAGAAGGTTGGCGGGTAAGCATATCAAGATCAGCACGTGTGGTTGTCACGCTGAACAGGCGGGTGCTCAATTGGATTGGATGGACATCCTGGCTGCGTTGAAAGAGGACGGAATTCGTACTATCATGACTGAGGGCGCGGGAAGAGTTATCAATGATCTTCTCGGGCTACAGTTATTCGAATTTGGTCGACTCGGTGATTGTCACGGTTGCGCCTGTATGGCGTGGGTATGGTGGTGTCGTAGTGTGTCCAGAAAGGAGGGTTGAGAGCGCGATTCCGGTGCCGATTGAAAGTTTGCGCGAGGTAAAGTGGACGCCATTGGGCGAGGATGTGGTTCTTTGTGGGAGTTCAAAGAAATAAGCCTTTCTCGCCGAAGGTGGAATGCAGGCGAAGGGTGATCTCATATATGCATTCAACGCTGCTTATCGGCTAGCCTATGAGTAGTTGGGCCGACACCTGGCCGGGGTGGGGCGCGAGGCACTCAGAGTCCATCAGGCAGCGAAGTCATCGATTGCGACCACGTACTTTTGACATCCAGCTGTCCTTCTCCTCCTCCGAACACCTTGAGGTTCCCTAAGTTCTCTTACTCCTCTCCTTAACGTCTCCTTGTAATATCAAGCGCAAGCTTTTGCGTCATCCTTTCTTACCGTATTTGCCCGCGTCTATCCTAGTCAAACGGCGCCACCATGCTGAAGATATGGTCTATGGTCAGTCCCTCCTCAAAGCTGTGCTCTCGCGACTCCTAGCCTATTAAAGATGAATCTTGCTGACTTAAAGACCAGAAACAACAGCAGCAGCAGGCTGAGACCGCTCAAGCCGGGCAAAAGAAGAAAAAAGTCACAGCTGCCCAGCTTAGGGTGCAGAAAGGTAGAGCATCCCTCCCGGTCCACACTACACTACACTAGACCAGATTATTGGAGCCAAAAGAGCGACCTACGAAGATAAATCTGAGTACTGATTTTTATAGACTTGTCGGAACTGTCGCTAGGGTCTACGATGCGGACTGAATTCCCAAACCCTGACGATATCCTCAACTTCAATCTCATTATCGATCCGGACGAGGGAATGTACAAAGGAGGGAGCTTCTTATTCCACTTCGCTATCAATCAGAACTTTCCACACGACCCCCCGAAAGTCAAGTGTACACAGACAATATACCATCCTAACATTGATCTGGAAGGCAACGTCTGCCTGAACATTCTGAGGGAGGACTGGAAGCCAGTTCTAAACCTGAATGCCGTTATTGTTGGTCTACAGGTGAGTATGCTTTACAACTGCTCGTCTTGCAAAGACTGATCTACCTAATTTAGTTTCTCTTCCTCGAACCGAACGCATCAGACCCGCTTAACAAAGAGGCTGCAGAAGATCTCAAATCAAACCGAGAGGGCTTCAAACGAAATGTCCGTACTTCCATGGGAGGAGGCTCCATCAGGGGACAGACTTTCGCTAGGGTGCTGAAATAATGATACCCGGGACGTACTGGTTCTGCATTTTCTACACTAGTGTTACATAGGATGGTGGTGAAGCGTGCATATTTGGATTTAGCAAGCATGTGGGCGTTCTATGGTGATAGCATGGTTACCATATGATACTGTACGTCGTGCGGAATGATGGCATAGAGAGGTGATATGCGTGCATAGAGGTGGAAGTATTAGACGATGTAGAGGGTGTAATGAAACCCGAAACACTCAAGACCTTCTTAAATATGTTATACTTCTTGACAGAGGTTTGCAGTGTACCGAAAAGTCCTATCAGAAATGCTGCAATATCTAATGTCACGTGCTTATTATGATGGCCGGGGAGCAAATCGCATCTCCGGCACACCGCCGACATCGCTCGGCTGGGCTCTTCCCCAGATGGACCGTGCAACTTTTTGCTTTGCTCTGATGAAAACCGTCCGACATCCACTTGTTCCCAGTCATCCTCAATTGACACTTCTTTACCTCTCCACTCCAATTTTTCCCATCTCACACATCCCAAATCACAATGGCTGCTCCTCGCTGTGCTAGCAAAGCTCTCCGCGCCTCAGTGCGCCAGTTGAGCTCACAAGCTCCAGCTGTGCAAAGACGCACTTTCGTTGCTGCTACCAGTGCTGTCCGTGCTGGTGTCAAGGCTGCTCCCAAGGCTGCTGCAACTCCATTTCAGCAGACCAGAGGATTGAAGACTGTCGACTTTGCTGGTACCAAAGAAGATGTTTATGAGCGTGCTGACTGGCCGAGAGAGAAGCTCTTGGTAAGCTACTGGTATCGATCAGGGACGACGTCGAAGTCTAATTGGTGACTTAGGAATACTTCAAAAATGATACACTTGCTATGATCGGTTATGGCTCCCAGGGTCATGGCCAGGGTCTCAACCTCCGCGATAATGGTCTCAACGTCATCGTTGGTGTACGGAAAGACGGTGCCTCGTGGAAGGAGGCCCAGCAAGATGGCTGGGTGCCCGGCAAGAATCTCTTCGATGTTGATGAGGCCATCTCAAGAGGTACCATTATTATGAACCTGTTATCCGATGCCGCGCAGAGTGAAACCTGGCCTAAGATTAAGCCCCAATTGACCAAGGGCAAGGTACGTGATGAAAAGTTATAGCCAACAGGCCTATTAGCTAATATTGTTGATAGACCCTGTACTTCTCTCACGGTTTCTCGCCCGTGTTCAAGGACCTCACCAAGGTTGATGTACCCAAGGATATCGACGTCATCCTCGTCGCGCCCAAGGGTTCCGGCCGTACCGTACGTACCCTCTTCCGGGAGGGCCGTGGTATCAACTCCTCCGTAGCCGTCTACCAAGATATCACCGGTAAGGCTGAGGAGAAGGCCGTCGCTCTTGGTGTTGCTGTCGGCAGTGGATACCTCTACAAGACGACCTTTGAAAAGGAGGTCTACTCCGACTTGTACGGTGAGCGTGGCTGTCTGATGGGTGGAATCCACGGCATGTTCCTCGCTCAATACGAAGTCCTCCGTGAACGTGGCCACTCGCCGTCTGAGGCCTTCAACGAGACTGTTGAAGAGGCTACCCAATCCCTCTACCCCTTGATCGGCCAGAATGGTATGGACTACATGTACGCAGCCTGCTCGACCACTGCCCGTCGTGGTGCCATCGACTGGAGCAAGCGCTTCAAGGATACTCTCAAGCCCGTTTTCAAGGACCTGTACGACAGTGTTGAGAACGGCACTGAAACCAAGAGGTCCCTCGACTACAACAGCCGCCCCGACTACCGCGAGCTGTACCAGAAGGAGATGGACGAGATCGCAAACCTTGAGATCTGGAGAGCCGGTAAGGCGGTCCGCTCTCTCCGCCCTGAAAATTCCAAGTAGATGGGATGGTCTCGGTCTAGGAGGATCAGGATTGGCCATAAATTGTTAAATCGTGGCATCAGTTTGCGGTGTCATTGGCATGAAGATTGAAAATATATCTCCTTATGTAGCTGCCTTTCAGTAGGCTTTGAGCTTTTAGGTCACGGACGGAGGCGTCTCTTGTATGTATGTATGTAGATACCGGCTGCAATTTGAGCAAAAAGTTTCTTAATATTCGTTGCTTGCGCAGGTCGTCGTAGACACATATCATCGATCATGCTCATCAATCACAACCCTAATCCCATTCGCCGTTATCGCCAAAGTAAAGCCGTCCCTAACCCTGCCCGGCCCAATCATCTCAACATCAAACATTCCCCTCTCCACCACTTTTGCTCGCAATTCCCGCTCTGCGCGCGCCTGTGCCAGACTCATCGCAACCGCAAACGGTGCCACCGGCCGCCTGCGTATGGATAGGCGAACAGTAGCATGCGAGATCCAGGACCCGGGCATGACATTTCGCATCGACACACCATCAGCATTCTGACCAGTCACCGGCACAGCCCAGGTCGTCGCAATCACCGGACACCCGAACTGCCCACCAACGTCCTTTAGCGTGATGGCCAGCTCCGCGTACGTCGCCCTGTTGTCATTCTCATTCCGATTCCCGCTCTTCACATCCGGACCTGGCGATTCCCTCGGCATCGCATCGCCAGCCGCTCCGTCGCGAGCTACGTCTCCGCCCATAAGCCGCGCCATGTCCTCCTCCGCACGCACATTCCAGAGAAACGTGCTCGCACTGTCGAGCACAACGCTGTGCAAGCGGCGCCGCGCGGATTTGTGGCGTTGCAAATCGAGGAGATAGGCCGGCAGGGCGCGCAGGGTGGAGATTGTGCTGGCTAGCGACTGTGGGCGGAGGATGTGCACGTGTGGGAGCGAGGTGGCGAGGATGTGGGACACGGAAGCTGGGGAGAGGGGAGGCAGTGGCTGTGTTGGTGACGGTGGTGGTGGTGTGGTGTGGTGTGAGACGTTCGGGTTGGGGGGAGGGGATGAGCGGATATCGGTGGGGGTGGCATTCGCGGCGATGTAGCCACGCATGACCTGCGCGAGTCTGTTCACGTTGAAGCGACCGTCTGTATCGATGATGATGATGGCGCAGCCCAGACCGTTGAGCGTGTGCGACTGGAAGGATTGCGGGAGAATGGCGAGGGTGGTGATGAGGTAGAGGAGGTGTGTTTTGCCGGAGTGCGAGGACGGCGATGAGATGTCTATGAATGGTTGCGGGGATGGCTTGATTGGGCGGCGGATGGGCGAGTGCGGTGGTGAGCTGGAGAGGAGCGCATCGTGAGACTGGATGACTGGCGGAGGAGGTATTGGACGTGTGGTGTTTACGAGGGCGTCAAGGGGTGGGATGTTGAAAAGTGGCGTTTGGGAGGTATCGGAGACGACTTTGAAGACGCGGAGGAGCTGGAGGGCGTCAGTATGAGGATATTGAAATGTTTTGACGTAGCTGTCTGGTGATGGAAGGGAAGTGTGCCGTAGATAGATTGAATGGTTGAAGGCGTAACATACAACTGTGTGCAAGCCTTCGCTCTCAACCTCACCTAACAACCTCCTCCCCAATTCCTCCGCACTCATCTCGCCCTCAGACTTGCCTCAAACCATAAGCTTACACCTTGAACCAAGCACCAAGCTCTTCCGATTCTCATCCCTAATTCAACATATTTCTCCTGTGCTCAGCGTCACAATGCCACTGGTCGAACCCTTCTCCGCACAAATCCTGCCACAGCGCATCAACCAGACATTCGACGGCAAGAGGCGCAAACAGCCACTCGACCTATCACAGTGTCAGTTGATGAAGATGATCCAGTACAATTGCGACGTCGAGAACAAGTATACGCCTAAGGCGGCCGTGACATGTCATGAGGTCCTGCGGGTATTTCGAAGGTGAGTCGAGGCTCGAGGTGTGAGCGTGGTCACGGGATTGAAAAGTAGAAACTAACAAGGGGGACAGATGCGCCAACGGGACCACAGTCGAGACTACGGCTTGGGAAAAGGAGATAATCTAGCGATTCACAGACAATGATGAGTGTTTTTAGTGTTTGCTGCTGCTACCTGGATATGGCTCGTTCGTGCACTTGATTATATATATATATATTCACACACACACACACACATATACACATATATATATGTTCCAGCACGAAAGAAATGGTACGAAGCTCACACCGCAGATTTGGTTATGGAGGTCAGGGATATCATTGAGTCCCAAGCTGTGATGCTATGGCAAAGTGGGTACTTCTTATGTACTGATTGGTATGCTTGCAGATGCCTGTGTTTACTTCATATCAATCGTTGCGCTGACTTTCTCCAGTATTTTGACTCGTAGTTAACCATGACAGGCCCACTAAGCTTCAACTCATCTGAACTCTCCTTCTGTTTGGGTGGTGCAGGAGGAGGAGGCTCTGGTTTAGGGTCGGATGCACCGTCGAAGGAGAACTCAAACGAAAAGTTCATCTCCTCTTCTTGCACCTTCGCTTTGTCTCTTTCATTCACCCTGTTTTCATCTTCTTCCTTCACGGCCGCTAGAGTGTCTTCCCATATCCGTTCCCGTTCCAAAACTCGGATACTCTTCGTTCTTTTTTTCTTTGCTGTTTTCGTAACAGCCATAAGCTCTCTTAGACCCCTTTCGGCTTGTATTCCTTCTTCATTTGCTTTATCGCGTAGCTTTTGTGGATCCGTTTCACGGAGCACTTTAAGTTCTGAAGCCTTCCAAGTCGAGGTGTCCGGGAAGCTGGGAAAGTGCTTTGGTATGTAAATTCGCTTCGCCTTTTCAGCAGCGCCAGAGAGTTCGGGGCCTAGGACAGCTTCAAGATCTGGTGGTGACTCTTCTGCAGGTAAAGGAGGTGGTAACTGTGGTAGTGTGATTGAAGGAGGTATATTATGTCGGAGTTGAGGTAGGAGGTCGTGAGGTTCGAGGTTCTCGCGACTGAGGGCTGCGACAAAATCGGAGGGAAGCGCTTGTGTGCGCCGCGCTGATAGCATCGATTGCCGTATATGTCCGCAGAAATGCAGCATGTCTTATCTTAACATCAGTGGATGCCATTCAAACAGTGAGCTCGAATACTAACACTCCTCGGCTTCCGCTCGGAAAGCCTCAAGAGCAGCTGGTGTAGTGCTATCAAATCCAACTGCCTTCAGTGCGACAGATATTGAGCGTATTAGCTGGGTCCCAAAGAAAGCACTATCTTCCAGAGGTAGTGGTTCTGGGAGCCCTGGCTGAGTATAATGCAGCGTGTGATGAACAATCTTGCGTCGCTTCTGGTTTCCCTGTGATACTGCCGCCGCCTCCTCCTCCTCTGGGAACTGCCTCTTCATTCCAGCCATGTTGGAAATTCAATTTCGTATATGGTGTCGACAATCTTAATTCAGCGGGAGAATGAAGGTAATGTGACGCTTTTGTTATGATTGTGGTGTATCACGGCTTGAACATAGTCGGGATTCTGTGGAAGGTTGAGAGCGGTGGAGGTATTAGAGGTGGGAGGAGAAAAGAGAGCCACGATGGCTCAGTGGTACGTGACAGAGCAGCAGGTGAATAAAAACCTGTGAACAATAGGAACTCTCCCGGCGCGTTACGCAGTCGCATCAAGTCAAGATTGCGCACGGGCTTAGTTAATGCTTCATGACTAAGCGCTTGGTCTTTCCAATCTGGTTCTCCCACTACCAGCAAGAAGCCAACATCACTTCGTCACAACCGCTTCCATTGGGTCTTCGACAGGCCTCAGACGATTCAATACCCTCAATATGGCGATTAAACCTATCACTGGCGTATGTATTGACCTGCTCAAAGCTTCTATTGAGCTGACACCCATGCTAATTGTCATCTAGATGCTCCGAAGGGGGCTTGTCCTCGATCTCTCCGTCGCTCTCGGTCAGTAACCTATCTGAAGTTCAAATAGAATGTAGAAGTTTCAACAAAGCTTGGGACGATAATATAGTATCCTGGGTTCTAACGAAATAATAGGTCTTGGTACTGCTTCCGGATACTACTGGTGGTACGGTACGTAGCGGCGCCCCAGCGCACCTCATCGACAACGTCAAAACTCGATTCATGCTCATCATTGATACAGGTTTCCACATCCCAATCGTCCGTAAGCGCGACGCCTACTACAACAAGCTTGAGGAGGAACGCAATGCTGGGATTGGACGATGAGACTGTGGCGCTGGTGTCGATGATTGCGAATATCATAGAAAAGGTCGCCTTTGTATCATATACTCAATTGGTCGCGCAACCTCCACCGACTGTATAAAAATCTCATGCACACGGTGAATGTTATAAATTATACCGTGAATTCCATTTGTCTAGCTAGCAACGCACTTCGACCCCTCCCCGGCTGACTGTCAAGTATTTAACGCCCTTATATGGCGTGACGCCTGCCCCTAATCCTCGACTTTTCTTGGTGTCTATACTAAGACCATTTACTCGTATCCCACTTGGAAGCCATCCTTTGACCTGAAAGCTGATTGAAGTTGAAGATGGCATGAGTACCTGGTTCATCTTCACTTTCGCGAGGTCTCTCTCGTGCATTCTATCTTGTGCTGATTTGGATGCTGATGGCTGGAGCGTCGATGCTTGATATGAACCAGCATCAACCTCTTCGTTGTATTCCCAGGTGTCATCCCTGATCTCCGCGACTGTATCATCATGATCCTGCTCGCTTTCGCCGACAACTGTGCCAGTCAATGTCGCAGAAGTGAGACTCACACCAGTCAACATTGCAGTAACTTCTTTGGTATGCAACATCCAGTGAATAGCATCCGATCCAGGAGAGTATTGCGCCTCTCCTCGCGACGCTTTAAGTTCTGCAATGTTTCGAACAGCGCTAGGTAACGAGACAAGTACGCTTACCTCCTCGACAGTCGGATGGCTTGACGTTCCACCTGTACTTGATCCGAACGCCGGAACAGCACGAGGTCCTCTAGTTGGGAACCCAGTTCCCAAAGATGTATTTGCAGTGGTCGATTGTATCATCGACTTGAAGCGCTGCGACACGTTGAGTTTGATCTCGAAGTCTGAGCCTAATGGACCAAGACCTGTGCGTACATCAACAGTTAAGGGCAGATTGACATTCTGTGGCTGTTTTGCTGTCAGGGATGACAGTGTTTGGGGATCGTCACCTAGAAGATCGACCTCGTACCCAGCTAGGATGAACCGTCCATCAGGGGGAACGAAACTTAAGGTCCCGGGAGACTCCTTCCAATGAGCGAGCCGTACACATGGGTGGAATGCTGGAAGAGCGACGATGTTTTTCACACCTCCAGGTGCGGTTAATGAAAGCAGCATGTCAGGAACGCCAGACACTTTAGCCGTGAAAGCGATGGTTCCAGCAGAGATGGCACATAGATACCGGCCCGAGGGAGCGATAGTGACATTGAGCGTTTCTACAATATCAACATATAGCTCATTGCTCGTGTGGCGGACATTTGCTCGTCGCCACGGTACGGGCGAGACTTGGTTCGTTACTGGGCGATTCAATTGTGGCCTTTGTATGCCAAATGAACCCGTGGAAGAGGCCGTTAATGATGGCGAGGCGCTACCATGACCATCAGTCAAATCATCCACATGAAACTCTGACTGCTACATACCTGGGCAATCCAACGCTACCCAAGAACTTATTCGTCCACGTGGGTAATTCGACGACTTCTCGCAGTGCGTTCGGCTCAGTTGTGGACACAAGTCCCCCATCGCACATCTCCTGTACTAGCTGTGCCACTACATCATACGATGCCTCGAGTTTGGATGCCAATAGGGGCGATCCCAGGAAGTCCTCTAAGGCATCAACAACCCGATGGATGAATTCTAAGACCAGTAGAGGTTCAACGTCCGAAGAACATGCTGCCAAAAACAACAGGCGATCTTGAATCACCGAATACACTAAGGATGATGGGTTGGTATCTGGGAAAAAAAGAAGAGAAGGACGTGGTGTCGGGTGAGCAAGGTACAGCGGCAGCAGTACTGTTGCGGGCGGCGGTCTTCCCCGATACACTTCTTCCAGGATCAGGTCGTTGTGCTCATCGAAGATATAAAGGGCCTCGATGGCGCTCATGATCACTTCGACGATGCAAATCACCCATCCAGTCGGCCTCCAGGAGAATGTAATGGATAGATGCAACTAGGTAGTGGTATGGCGTTCAGCCGATAGGCTAGGATAACTGTGGGGTCTGAGCTTTTCACTTGAGATGAAGGTTTCCAGGTACAAAACATGCCCCTCTCATGACCCCACTAACGCTTGGGAGGCAGGTCGTCCTACCAATGCCCCGCTGTCATTCTTCACGCCTCTTCGTGCCGTTCCAGCTACCTTTAAAACCTTTCTCTTGTTCTACTGCTCTTCGCCAACACTTTCCCTCTAATTCTTACAAGCTCGCGAATCGTCGCCCTATCCACAGTTCGTCGCGATTCCTCGAAGAAGACACCGTTTGGCCATATATACACAGTCCATACAAAGACATGACACCCCAGCTCGAACCATATTTCAAGCAGGTGGACGGCCTTGCAGACCACTTCATTGAGCGCCTCCGTCAAGCTGTGGCTATCCCTTCGGTATCCGCCGAAGACGAGCGAAGACCAGATGTTGTCAAGGTTCGGCTCCAAGCCCCCAAAGCTGTATCTAGCCGACTAACATGAATCAGATGGGACACTTCCTTCACGAGGAGCTTAAGAAGCTGGGGGTGGAGACGGAATTGCGGCCTCTCGGCAAGCAGCCACACAAGGAACACCTCGACCTTCCCCCAATCGTGCTTGGTCGGTACGGTAACGATAAGAACAAGCGTACTATCTTGGTATACGGACACTACGATGTACAGCCCGCCAACAAGGAAGACGGATGGAACACGGAACCTTTCGAACTGTCAATAGATGACAAGGGTCGTATGTTTGGAAGAGGTAGCACTGACGACAAAGGCCCTGTTCTCGGCTGGCTGAACGCTATCGAGGCTCACCAGAAGGCTGGGCTTGACTTTCCCGTGAATCTGCTCATGTGCTTTGAAGGAATGGAGGAGCATGGGTCCGAGGGTCTGGACGATTTCATTATGGAGGAGGCCCAGAAATACTTCAAGACCGCCGACGCTGTGTGTATTTCAGACAATTACTGGCTCGGAACTGAAAAGCCATGTCTTACATACGGTCTTCGTGGAGTACAATACTACTCCCTGGAAGTCAGCGGCCCAGGGCAAGATCTTCACAGTGGCGTCTTTGGCGGTACTGCACACGAGCCTATGACAGATTTGGCAAAGATAATGTCAAGTTTGGTTGACGTGGATGGAACTATTAAGATCAAGGGCATTGCTGAGCAGGTCGCCCCAGTCACTGATGAAGAGAAGGGTCTCTACAAAGACATCGCATTCACCATGGACAACCTATACGAGTCTCTTGGAAGTAAGACCGGTATCTTCCCTGATAAGGAGCGTACGTTGATGGGCCGCTGGCGATATCCGTCGTTGTCGCTACACGGGATCGAGGGCGCATACAGTGCCCCTGGCGCTAAGACAGTGATCCCCGCCAAAGTCATTGGCAAGTTCAGTATCCGAACGGTTCCTAACCTCGATATCGACGAAGTCAACAAGTGTGTTGAAGAGCACGTAAACGCCGAATTCGCCAAGCTCAACTCAAAGAACACCTGTAAAGTATTCTGTCAGCACGCTGGAAAGTGGTGGGTGGCCAGTCCGAAACACTGGAACTTCACTGCCGCAGCTAAGGCTGTCGAGAGCGTGTTCAAGGTCAAGCCAGACTTGACCAGAGAGGGCGGCAGTATCCCTGTCACCTTAACATTTGAGCAAGCTACTGGCAAGAACGTACTTCTTTTGCCAATGGGTAGTTCTACAGATGCTGCCCATTCGACAAATGAGAAGCTGGACCGATATAACTACATCGAGGGTATTAAGTTGCTAGGCTCATATCTTCACTATGTAGCAGAGGAACCCATGAACAATTAGGACATACAGAGCATGTGAAGTCGCTACTTCCACCGTACAGAATAAAGCTAAGGCATGTATTAATACAAAGAATACATGACCGTACAGAGCAGTCAGTGCTTCGCCAGATCTCTATGTAAAGCCACATGCACAAGTCTGCACAGCAATCCGCCCTCTTAAAGTACCATCTATTCAGTAGTCTCAATCTCTTAAGCATCCCTTCTCGCCAGAACCCTCCTCTTCTCCCTATCCTCCCTCGCCTCCCGTCTCTTCGTTCCCCATTTCTCCGCATCTGCCGCCATCCTCGCCTTATCCCTCTTTATTCCCTCGGGGCTATTATGCACCAACGCAACTAGGAACGGGCTACAGTCAAACTTCCTCGCCAGCGCATTCCTTGTCCACTTTAGTGGGTCATCCATCCGCAACCTCCTGATCTCTGCAACCTGCTCCGCATTTAAGTGGTATTTCTTCTCATAGGCGTTCCCGGTAATCTGAGGCAAAGGGCCCTTGCGCGTTGCTGAAGCGGCCGTGAGTGGGTTTGAAGCGAGCAGTGCACGACGAGGGTCGCTACGCGGTAGGAATTTGAGCGGCGTGTGGTAGATATTGGGCGTAGAGGATGGCGGATTGAAGACGATATGGTCGTGTGGAATAGAGGTGTTTGAGTGTACGGCGGAGTTTTGGAGTCGCAGGGCTTTCGTGTGGCGCCGCGTAGTTGCTGCAGTACGTTTGGTGGTTTGTGGGAGAAACGAGGGCCGTAGGAGAGGGCGTAGGGCGAGAGTGGTTGTGGACAGGCAGGTTGGCACCTTTGTTATTGACATGTTGATGAAGATGGAGAGACCTGTGGTGCAGAAGGTTTCGCTATTGCATTATGTCGATCGAGGCTTGGGGATATGCTCGTGATAGTTCGTATAGGAGCTTGAAAGTTTGCGGGAGCGGAAGCCGAAGTCCTCCTTCGGGTGTTCTTCGGTACTTTCGAAGCTCAAACACCCGACGTCAAATTATGCTAGCATTTAATTCTTCCCAACAATTATTCTCATACTGATTTATTTGTTTTATGCATCTACTTGAAAGCTACCCGTCGCTGTTCATAGCTAGCTACTGACGTTACGGTAGAGCTCTCGCAACATGTCACCCGTACTGAAATGCCACGCAGAAACTCACATCAATGCACCTGCGAGTCTTGTATATTCCCTCCTCACCGACCTATCCCAATGGCCTGTTTGGAACGAAATGGTTCCTCAAGTAACAATCGCGTACAGTCCATCAGCCGATAGTGCGAACACAGATATGCGTATGAGACTCGGTCAGCGTCTCCAGTTTCATGTCCGAATGCCCATGTTCGGCGTCAGACGTCATGTTCCTGGAGGATCTGTTGAAGAGATAGTTCGGCTTGATCCTGCTCCAACTGATAGTCCCAGCCGTGTCGAATGGAATCAACGAGGTATTCCGCAGACCTTACTCCGGACGAATCGCGTCAATATCATCGAACCATCTGCCGAAGTCGATGGTACATGTACATATACTTCTTACATGACCTTCGATGGTCCGATGGCGTATTCAGTCAAGCTATTCCAGGGCGGATCATTGCAGACTGAAATCGGTCGTTGGGTTCACAATTTGAAGAACGAAGCCGAGAGACGATATCAACAGTCAGAAGAGACAAAAGAACCTTAAATCTCTTTACGTTTTGCCGTAGGTCTTCATCACGTGCTGAAAGGTGCTCACGAAGTCTGATTCATGTACCTCGACATCATCCGACTGCCAACTAGGACTCTTGAAACTCGCGCCAGACTTCTCTTCTCCTCCGCCTTGTATCTTAAAGTATCCAATATGTTTTAGACCGGCGATATTCTCGAATCCTTTACATTGCAGACCCGGCGGCATGATATCGATAATGGTCGAGCCTTCCGGCATGAAGATACTATGCGTCATACCAGCTCCATGGACACCAATGAGCACTGTCGTATTGCTGATGACTTCCAACTGCTCTCCAAAAGACATTTCGGTAAAGTCCACAGTATCGATCGTTGCATCTGGGTATTTCTGCGCGATTCCAGCGAGTAGTTGATCTTGGTGAACAAATCGTCTATTGCCTTTGCGATCCAGGAAGGTGATCCTGACGTTGTGATCGGTGATTGCCTTATCCACAACCTCGAAAGTCTTGAGGACACGATCACTGAACGTCTTGACTAGCTCCGACTGCCAACAGTTGAGCTTCTCCCAGTCACCTTGCCAGATCGGATTGCTTCCTCCAGACAGTGGAATCACCACCTGCTTAAAATACCCCCTCTTCTCAACATTCATATTCGCATATTCTTCCATTCGCAGCGGCTTCTTTCCACCGCTGAACACAGTCCACAGATCTGCATATGGTTCCATCTTGATATGTGAATCGACAAAAACGACCTGCACATCATTTGACTGCGCAAAAGCCTCGAAGCCGAGCGTGTCCATAGTCAGCCAGAATGACCAAATCTCTAATAACGAGTGCCAGAGATTCCCTGGTAGCTCACGCTTAACAAGAACGACTGTGCCTCCGCGCTGGCTGGATATCTGCTGCTCTTTTTGCTCTGGCGTGCCGATGCGAAATGTCTCTCTCAGCACATTTGGAACTCCTGTATCGTACATATATGTCGGTAGTCTCGAGAGAGCGTCTGGTGTACAGTCGAGGTCGAAGCGTGAGGTCGTTGCGTCGAATCTTGCGCCTTCAACCACGCAAAATGCATCCCGGCGACCGTGAGTGATCCCTACGTCGTGGCACGCAAAGGTCGAACCAACGTTCTGCGTCGAGCACATCTGCGTTACCGAAGACCGCAAAGCATGGATGTAGGTATGGTTGAATGCTAAGTCGCACCACTGAGATATTCCCTGATCTAATACCGCTCCGTTATTAATGTACGTAGGGATCTGCTCTCTGTGAATGTCGACTGAGCCGTTCACGATTGGTGCCGATTGAGGACACGGTATAAGGTGGCCGGATGGTACCACTCTGTCGTGACCTCCCACGATGGTAGTAAAGACGTGTATAAAGCCATGGTGCGAAACCTCCAGGACAGCGATGCATAGAACGAAAATAAGAAACCCTCGTACCAATTGGGAAGGCGATGCGCGGAACAACATATCAGCAATTCCAATGCAATGGGAATAAAGACGATGACCAATACTATTCACGACTTTCGGATGCCGATGATCATATACATACCAGCTTTGAGAAGCCATATGTTTCGCTCAGCCAAGTAGCGGGACGACTCGAATTCCAGCACAAGGACCTCCATTGCGCCCCATAAGCGCCTACGCCTCTCAAGTTCCCGCACTCATCCACATGCGGGTAACATTCTAAGGGCTTACTGCCTCATATGGCATAGGTACGTTGGACTTGATGCTATAAAGCTGTGCCATAACTCTAAGCAACCTAGACCAAGGATGCTAGTACCTGTTGAGGCTCACTGGGGCCGTCATCATGGGCGCAGAGTGGTATTTTAGGGCTTATGTTGGAGTTGGTGTTTTCGTGGGCTATTACTACGCGGCATGACATAGGTAACATTTGCGTTCTTCGTGTCTGATCTATTTAGTGAGATTTACGCCACGTTGGCGCCCTTGTCCTTACCCTGGCAGGCTAAATATACCTCACGTTCCGAGGACTAGTCACTTTACGTTAGGGTCTCACTAGCTTAGCTGCATAGATCTAGCGTATGCACAGGTCTGCAAATAAGTCGACCTGAATACGAATTCTTATCCTTGTTTTCAAATCTACGGCAAGATGTTCCATACTTGTATAAAATACCAACAGTAATTCTGCTTGCTAAAGGGCTATTGTGGTCGCCTTCAGACTTGGCTATGTTCACAATCTAGAGTTCCTGGTACGGCGTTGGCGCATCAGACTACGCCCCGGAGGAGTTCAATACCACTATCTCGTCGCACGAGACTTTCCACCCCAATTATTATATATCTAGTCCAGTACTACACAAGCACGAGAATTCTGCGAGGCTGATGGCTCCGATTAAAGACCTCGCCTGAAGAGGTCGTCAGAAGATATTAGTTTCTGCAGAGACTTCGATTTGAGTTATTGGTTCTCAAAGCTGTGTGAAAACCTAAACGATATGCCACTTCGTCATGTTGAGCAGCATCCGAGCTGTGCAATGGTCCTCTTGTACGAACCGTAGGTTCCTAGAGAGGATGGTAGGACCGCCCTTCGTCATTCCTCTGCGACAGTATTGCATGACGTTGAAAGCCCGTGGTTGATCTACGTATCAAGCATGTTGGTCGCATGAAGCGCACTCCAGACCTCACTCGCAAGTGCTGGTGACTGGAAGGCGACGCCCAGTTCCTGACTGGTATACCAGCTTGCGCGGTCCATGTTGCCGCTTCCTAATATGACCCATTCCTTGTCGACAATCGTACATTTTATATGGCTTTGTACAGGAACATTCCTCTGGGCGTCAATTGCTGAACCAGGCTTGAAGAACCATATCTCTAGCGTGCCTGGGATCTTGAGACCTGCCTCTGGATCGCGCTGTGAGTATGCTGCTTGGTGGGCTTTATACCGTTTGACAAGCTTCTTCAAACATCTTTTTGTCGTAGTTCCTGCCGTGACAATTTGCTCTAGGATCATAAGTCGTGCTGAGGTAACAATGGTCACATTGACGCCACGAACCAGTGTGGCTAGAAGAGCTGACAGCACAGGAGGTGAGGTTAGATTGGGTGTTTGTATGTAGATGTCTTTCGAAGCTTTCTCCAGGAGACGTAGTAGGAACCGGTTCAGCGGAGTCTCCGGATATGGTGTCACCGCCTGTTCCGTGAAAGGACTCCAACTTGGGTTCCGTCTATGAGGTGATGGTAGAAAGACTGTCAGCATGGAACGTGTATCTGTCACACGACGATGGCAAAATTTGGGATGTAGATGCTCTTGGCTAGTGAATTCTGGTATTTGTCTTGGTAGATCGAGTTGACCAGACTCTCCAGGCATAATATCCGGAAGAGGATCTTTACGTGCCCAAAATGATTGATAGAACTGCACAAATTGTTGCACGACAGGGCCTGACAGCTCTATGCCACCTTCGAACCAGGACTCCCAGCTCACATTACAGCTTGGCAACCATGCAGTCTTGCGGTCAATGATTACATATTTAGGATGCATGACACTGAAGGGAAGGACGAATATGCTTTTGATCTGTAAATCCAGTCCAGGTAGTTCCTGAGGTGGAGGCAGATACAGATGCGATGTCCATTTGTCTTTGGGCCAGATCTGACCGTCCAGTGAGGTTGTGTGGAATAGCTTCTGAATCAATGATAAGGATGAGAATGCGATCCGAACACGTATGGTAGCTCCTAGGATCTCAGCTTTTCGGGAGAGCATTCGTAGGGCATGACTGAGCTTCTCCTGGGAGTTAGACTTGGCCCAAAAGCAGGTGACGAAGATGACTTCATGTTCTGCTGCTTCGATATATGGTGCTATCGCATCAAATATATCTGCGCCTGTTCCCAGAACGAAATTGTGCGCTGTAGATGTTGTAACTAGGGCAGTCGGATCAGCAGCGAAGTAGTTTGGGTCATCTCGCTGGAAGTTTTTAGAAGCGTCTAGTAGAACAGACTTCCAGTAAGCTGTAGGGCTCATAATCAATCAAGGCTATACAACGAAGAACCCGGGCCGCTGGTGCGAATCATCAGTATCAATGATGAATTGGATGCATCGGCAAAGGAAACCTGAAACTCGAGTTTTTGGCCCAGGTAGGTCTAGCTCTCGATCCCCTGATCAGATCTTATCTAATCAGGTCGGTACCATCATAGCCCCTCCATTTCCTACCAGTCGTTTCCCCATGACTCTAAAGACCCTTCTTCCTTTGCTTAAACGAGACGCTGACAGCTCGAGCGAAGTTCTTGACACCAAACACTTGATTATATACCACCAGTAACCCAATCCAGATCCAGCGCTCAACTATGCCTAAGAAAGCTGCGGGCGAAAACTCTAAAAAGGCCGCAGGCAACGCCCGCAAAGCCGACGCCGCGGCCGCAAAGCAAGCGGAAGCGGACAAAAAGGCAGCAGCCGCAGAAGCCGAGCAATGGTCTAAAGGCTCTAAGTCTAATTCCAAAGCGTATTCCGTTCCAATCTGCTTCTAGATCCCGACTTCCACTGAAATCCATATAGTGCCGCAGCAGAAGAGAAACAAGCTGAGGCTCTGCGCAAAAAAGCCGAAAAAGCAGCCCTTCTCGCTGAAGAAGAAGCCTCACTTCCCTCCAAGCCCAAAGGCGCCGGCGCCAAAAAGGCAGAGAAGAAACCCAGAGGCATAGATTCGGCATTTAGTGATCTTGACGGTCAAACTTCAAAAAAGGCTACATCACTCAACGCAACCGGCATTGACAATGCGCTTGACGCGCTATCTCTGACGTCTAACACCAATGAGAGCATAGACCGGCATCCAGAGAGGAGATTCAAAGCAGCATATACCCAGTATGAGGAGCGAAGATTAGAAGAGATGAAAGATGAGAAAGGACTGAGGCGAAACCAGAAGATTGACCAGATACGCAAGGAATTTGAGAAACATCCAGACAACCCATTCAATCAGGTCGCAGGGAAGTTCAACAGTACGCGGGAAGAGTTAAGGGATATTGCGGCGGGTGAGAGGGACAAGACAGAGAGGAGGCTTGGAGGGCAGTGATGTCATTGTGATAGCAAGAACCATTCTCGGCTACCAGTATGGCCCTGACGGTTGTCTTTAGACTGCATGTTCTCCGTGAAATATGCTAATATACCGGATCTGGTACTCTGCTTCTCATACAGCACACGCTTCATAAGAGACATATTTGGAAGCCTGAGGCAGAAAGTGTGGGCTAGAAGAATTGGAAAAGGTACATCAATTTGACTCTTGTTCACGCATCTAGAAAAATCAGACAATTGCTCTCTAGGTTCACGACATGCGAAGTCGTCTAGGTCGTCGCCCAGGTATCCGCACACGTCAACAAGAATGGACTATGTTGTACGTTGACACCAACAACAATCGACAGTATGACTAGATGATATGACGGTATCTTTTGGATCTCCGCCTGTATTGACAGCATGATACCATAAAATGCTGTCAAGTAAATGCAAAATGCTGGCTTTGACTAGAACCAATCAAGTCAAGAAAACAATTCTCGTCTGCTGGGTAGCAAGCATGAGTGGAATAGAGTAGCCGGGTCCCAATAACAGCATCACGCGACTAGCAATGACACGATGAGACAAGATAAACATATTCAGTTCCTGCGGCACGTTTCGCAGCACTCATGTTCTTCATCCTACAAGAGACTGCAGAAACGCTATTGGTGCTGTAGAAGAGGGCCCCTGTTAACAACATCTGAACTCCACCTCCAGCTCAACTAAACGACTCCCTCCTCCTTCGCCCTCCTTTCCCTCTGCCTCCTTGCTTTCGCCGCCGCTCTAGGTGAGAAGATCCTCCTCAAACCCAACCATGGCGTATTGACCGGACTCTCACCTGTGTAGATGAAGGCATCATACAAGAAGCCACCAAACGTACAACCACAGAACGGCGCCACGATCGGTACCCAAAAGTAATAGCCCCCTGCAGACCACACCTCAGATCCATAGCCCACCGCGTAACTCATCAATCTTGGTCCAAAATCACGCGCAAGATTGATCGCGTATCCAGTCTCAACGCCGAAACATGCGCCAATACCAAATATGAGAAAGAACAGCGCGAGGGGAAACCATTTGTCGCCCTTGCTGCCGCCCATGTTTCCATTATCCTTGAGTGCAAATATGACGAACATGAGGACCGCACTCGCGATGAATTCAGAGAAGAACTGACTTGCTCGGGTCAAGTATGCTTTAGGGTAAGTGCAAAATATTCCTGCGGTGGCAGTTGAGCTGGGTGGCACGGTGCGAACGTTGTGGCCTTCGAAGTCGTTTATTGCGTTGATGTAGTTTGCGTATACGACGCCAGACGCAACGAAGCCGCCTAATAATTGTGCGAGCAAGTACAGGGGAAAACGCCGCCAGGGAAGTTTACGGTAAAGGCACGAACAGAATGTTACGGCTGGGTTCAGGTAAGCACCGCTATCTCCTGCGACATATATGCCTAGCATGATGCCTATACCCCAACTGCGTGGTCGTCAGCATGATTCAATTGGCATAGAGCTGTTCAAATGAGTGATTAATGAGATATCAGCTAACTAACCCCCAGGAGATTGACTGATACGACCCATAGCCGTTCCCTCCAGGTGCCGTCGTATCGCCTACACTTAGCAACACCTGCGCGACGGCCCCGTTTCCAAAGAGTATCAGGATGAATGTGCCCCAGAACTCGGCAAATGGCTCACGCAGTGTCAATTTGATCTTGCTCCATATCAAATGATTATGTGGCTCTTCGTCGTGCTCGTCGATGATGGGCACGGTCGGGTGAAGACCCAAGCGCTGTCGTGTTTTCTGAAGGGTCGGGAGTGATGAGGCTCTGCTTTCTTTGCGTGTGACGAGATCGAACGTGGATGGCTGTTGTGTTGAGATGGTTTCGAGGTGTTGTGTATGACTGGGTGAGGGAAGGGGAATGGTAGTGCGGGAGTCATGAAAATAGGTGAAAGGGGCCGACTGAGTGCGGTTATAGTGATAACGTTGATCGTGTTGAGGGCCTCTCGGTGAGCTCTGAGACAGTTCTGGCTCATAGTCTTTCTGTGTATATTCCTCTTGTGTACTTGAACGGCGTGAGAAATGTCGGTAGTATTGCTGATCACCGAGTTCGTCACCGTCAACAGCACCGGGGGCTGCCATGTGAGGAGTGGATTTAACAGCGATGTTCCCTGTCAATCTGTGGAGCTATGGGTCAAACGAGTCAGTAATGGGAATTTCGAGAATAGGACCATCGACATACGGCTTTCAAGTATGCTATAGTCACACAGCAGTGCACTGTCATACGATATCTCTGGCATGCGAGGACCGGGAGAGGAGACTTAAGTATATAAGGGGCGCAATCGCCGTAATCAGCCCTAAATTCCTTCGCATTAATTACTTCCCCCAGGAAATGACGTCGCGCTATACCCGAGCGTCGGCATATAAATGTTTTGCATGGGGAAGCTATTGCTACGCTATGCTGATTTGGGTCGAGTGTGCTACGATGAGACGGAATGGTACACGACAAATGGCGCTAGAATCGGTCGGATCTGATAGCAGGCGCGGCTATACCATCTCCGCTGGGCTACCCTATATATCTCACTCTAACCCTTTGTTCAAGCTTGAAGCCAATACCATATGCTTCTCGTCTCGAATCTGAACGCGGGCATCCCCAAGAATTGATCTCAATGGCCACGATCGAGTGGGACTTAACCTGAGCCTTTCGATAGTCTTTTGAGCTACAAACGACGGATAGTCAGTATAGCTAAGAGCTTCTGGTCCGGAGTAACTAGCTCGTAACGCGTAGAAAACAGCTGAAATGGTTCCTTCACCCATGTACAAAAGAGCACTGCAAAAGTGGATTTCAAAGGCATCCCTACTCGAGGATTTCGAGATGAGACTATTAAGCTGAAGGCGACTGGAGGAAAGATATGTGCCTGTCAAGACTTATCGGGAGGTACATACATCCTGACAACGGTAAGGTTGCCTCAAGTGCCCGCTCAGGCCGTCGTATCAACAATAGAAATCCTCCTCACCCTAGTCACACGCCCTGTTCCAGTACTGATATGTCTTGGGATAACACGAACTTGCACAATATAGTACGTCTTGTACTTATAGCACGTCGTACTCCTTGCATATTGGACTTTCTTCTCCTCTCTTGCGCATTTGTCCTCGCACTCCTTTCCTTCCACATATTGGACCTTCTTTTCCTCTCTCTTGCATGTGTCTTCGCACTCCTTTCCATACACATATTGGGTTTTCTTCTCGTCTTTTTTGTGTCTGTCCTCGCACACCTTTCTGTCCACATGTTGGACCTTCTTCGCCTCAGTCTTGTACCTGTCCTCACACTCCTTTCTATCCACATATTGGATCTTCTTCTCTTCTCTCTTGCACCTATCCTCGCACCCATTTCTAGCTATATATTGGACCTTCTTCTCATCTCTCTTCCTTCTATCCTCGCACTCATTTCTATATCCATTTCGGTCGGTTGTATAGTCACTTTTGGGCTTCTCGTGACGCGAGGCTTTGTACTCCTTTTCTGGGCGCGCTACAGGGGGTGCAGAGCTTGGGCTTGGTCTTCGCGATCTGGCTGACTGTCGTAATGGAGATGTCTCAACTGGACTGTTGAATTGGACTCGTCGATCGGTTTTGATGTATGCGGTGTGTGCGGTTGGTTTGCTGGTCAGCCAGCTTGAGGGCATCTTGACCTTTGCGGAGAGATGTGGAGAGGGATGCGAGGATGAGAAAGCTAAGAGGCTCGACACCGAGCTTAGTATGGATCGTGATGAGTCGTTCGGATCTAGACTATGAGGTGGTGACTGTATTGTTGTTATCGGATCCCCCTTTTTCCGGCATGGGAAGTTGTTGTTATTCTCCATGCCAATCGGAGAAAAACGTTGACTGTACACATGACTTGGACAACGGATAAGAGCATAACATTACAGTCTACGCAAGGATTTATTAGGGACCGAGTGATGTATTGCTGATATTTCAGTCAACATGGTGCTCTATTAGCTCCTCCTGAAGCTTCTCAAGCCCTGCTTCGACTCATATTCCTTGCGCCCTGATCATTCGACTGAGAACTGTCATCATATCGATCAGTAGCTTTTGTTCTGTTCTAGACAATTTTCTGCTTCTCTTGCTACATTCTCGTGGCCATGTATCGCACCTCTTGTTGAGATGAGGCTTTGGCTGCCCTACTACAAAGACTCGATTCTTAATCCCAATGCCGCCACTATCCGAGTATCTTTGGGTCAACATCGATCAACAAAGCCTTCTTGAAGTTTTCTTTCAAGTAATGTGAATGAATTCATTAAAAGGATATTGTATTGTGCATGCCGTGACGGTCGGCGTATGGGTACATATCGCAATATAGATGTAGGGCTGGCAGCAGCAAATGAGCAGTCTGCCAGTTGCGTCTCCAAGAGCGTACCTAACTGTGAATAGTTCAGATGCAATCAATAATGCTAGAAGGTATGATCGTTCTTGAGGCTGTACCATTGGCTTGCCATGAAGATAATAGCACGTGAAGAACACGGGTCATAGGACAGCTTGACCATATATTGTGCACAAGCTTGAGCGTATAGATGGGAGCAACTGTTGTCATAATTTTTTCACGAGCTGAGGACTGCATAATATAAACGTCACGAACACCCCATCAACATCTGGACCGGCGAAACCACATCTGTCACAAGCAAGGACACCTGCGAGGAGGGAAAATTATACATAGATGGATATAACATGCCTAGTGCTAATGTAGTTCTATATTTGTATAAGGTATGCTGTCTCAGTCCCTTATTTGGCACCTTCTTTCTTGTCCTTATGCCTAGCCACAATGAACTTTGGCTCACATCCGAAGAGACGTCTGTACTGTTGATCATCTTTGTATATAAGGCGCATGGGTTTTATCCTGACGTTAAGGTTCTTCACTATTGCCTTACTGCTGCTGCTGCTGCTGCTACTCCCCATCGTCCTGCTACTGCTTGTTTCAGCCGCACTACTTCGAATTTTGGCAGCGGGCGGTCTGGTTTTCTTGTGAGACACAAGGTTTTGGTCTTGAGACTCCTTAGATCCCTTGGGATCTCCATTCTTACTGCCTTGAGATTCTGCTTGCTGGTTCGGCATTATAAAGGGCGATAAAGAATCCAATGATATAAGTTTAGTGTCGTAAAGTGTTCTTCTTGCTCAAACTCGAGGTCGATGGCTAGAATATGGTAAGTAACATAGAGCTATATGTGATAACTTCAACTAGAACTGATACTCAATATAGGAGGTCGTACTCGATAGTCCGGATTTGGTAGTCTAGTAGTGTCGGTCTAGAGGGTCTGTTGTTGCACAGCGAGAGAGACTCCACATCCACCTTGGGGTTTTTATATAAGATATAGGAACTGGTGAACATGGCAAGACAAATTAACTATGTTCGATAAGATAGTGAAGCATACGCCTTGATACCTTTCAGATTGCCAGCGAGCGAGTTTAACGTTTAACTCGCCCGCTGGCCATAAATCGAGGAAACCAACGCCCTCACCATATCTCTTCACCTCTTTCTCCTGCCAGGCAAGGGGGCCACTTTTCTACATTCACATTTTCCGATATATCGAGCCATGCTAACGGTGAGTAGTGACTAACTGGAACTTATACAGCTCTCTATAACATCCTATGTCAGTAACAGTAGATTTACTTGCAAGTTTCTACACTAGTTCCAGAGTACAACGTTTGCCACGATCAGCTCACGAGGCAAAAATCTTTCACATCGCTGCGGTGAGATATGTTTGGTTGCAGAGGACAGTGCACGGGCAGTGTACTGATATGACTCTGACTGACACTGTATTGATTATGGGTTGAGCATTAGATCGTTCTTTGGTTGGGTGTGTTGGGCCAGTGGAAGCATCTGCGTTTGCGTGGGAATGCTATAGTGAGAGGCTTAGAATATCATTATATGAGGTATTCGGTCAGGAGATACGGAACAGAAAATAATGGAATTGAAAGGAACCGTAACGCAAGGATATCAGTGAAGAGACTCCTACAGGCAGGTGCTGGATTGTGTAGAGGGATGTTCATCGTTGTTTGTAGAAACAATGGAGTCGACAGCGCAATTGAAATACTCAGGTCGAACGCACCTTCACATCAGTGTTATGTATTCTACATACGAGCATCAATGACTTTGCTTTTGATATCTATGAATTCCGTATTCATGTTCCCGGGTTCAATACCAGCTCTCTGAGCCCTTGCTTCGTTTAGGATATGTCAAAGCTCCTGGAGTCTTCGCACAGTTGGTAACATACGATGCAGATGCATTGACAGGCTCGTAGTCATGGGCTTGAGGTTGGCCATACACGTGAGAGTAATACCATGCCTCCGAGATGACTGTGAAACCACGATCGGTTGTATTTCTGCCCGCCACTGTCTCGTTGAACCGTGGTCCAGAGCATCCGATGAAAGGCAAAGCGCCGTAGGCCTTGTACAGTACATCCTGGAACTGAGTCAAAGAATACTTTGTTTTGTTCGATGGCTTGATATCCGCATCAGCCAGCCAGTCATATGTTGGCAGGTCCTGGTAATACTTGATCGCTGTTTCGTAGTACTGTACGAGCTCCTCATGTTGAACATATTGAGGACCGTAGCATTCCACATCGAAAGTCGAAAAACAGGTAGCATGCTTCGAGAATTCATGGGCCCAAAGCTCGTGATTGGGCTGATTCTGGGCAATCCAGTACTTATTCATGTATTCGAGCAGATCGTATCGGTCGAACTTCTCGAGGAATGTGTCGACAGTAGGGCCATTGTACGGTGGGACTATAGTACCATTTGGCAAACCATTCGTTGTATTTGGCGATGGATGCGGATCATATTGACGTTTGAGATCGCAGCTTGAGAAATCAACACAGCTGATAATAATCTACATGTCAGATGCTTACTATTGCGTATAACTTCCGTCGCAAAAATCAGGCCAGAGTCCGTGAATACCCCAGCTTTCTGCCGGTAGTTTTTGCCCCTTATCTTCACCTCCGGTATATGTTGACCAGAACTGTGTTGCAAGAACCAATCCTCCGAATGTCTCCACGCAACATGAGTCAACTTTTGCAGGATCCGCCTCAGTAGAGCACGAAAGAAATGGCTCTTGTAACACACAAGTGTGGTTTGCGGTGCTGCTGGTTCTCACTCCCGCCTCAGCAGCACTCACAAAAGCGAGGGCAGTAGCAACGGTCGTAGATCGCATTTCAGTAAGGCAATTGGCTGATCGGAGCACCGTCGCGTGTAGTCGAAAAGAAATGTAGAGTTTTATCAAGAAGAAACCACAGACGGTTTAAACACAAGGAGGAGCGCAACAGTCATTTAAACGAACAGGTGGATCAGTGGCGAGCTCCGTCAGCCACGAAATCAAGCATTGGGTGCGCTGTTTATGAATGCTGCTCACACGTGCGGAAGGGTGGCAGATTTTGAGGTTGTTCAAGCATGACAGTCTAAGTCCGAAAAGGAAGGTGAAGGCGTTGAGATTTCACGGTCCACAGGTGTATTCTGGTGCCTGGGATATATATCGGGGTAGAACCGAGTCATGATCTGGGATCTAGACGACAGACCGTGTAGATATTAACATCAATAATAAAACTTGAGATTTTGAAGGGATAAAAGCATAAGCAGAATGAGAGAATGAGAGGCCTTGAAGCTTGCTTGTATTAGGAGATCTAGTATGATCTCTGCTGTGGTGTGCTCATAGATGCCGTGTTGGAATGTTCCGAGTCGCGTCCCCCGTGGCAACGAACCGAAATCCTGGAAGCCGCAGGACATGGGATCCAAGTTCTCGTCATCGTCACTGCGTGGCATCGCGTATTGCACGTAATCAGCTTCGTCGACTTCTCACTTCTCCCGTCGGTCATTATAACATTTCGTCGCTCTTGCCTCTGTATCTTACTTCGTTTTCCTTTGTTACTAGGTCATTACTGCTTTATTCATGTGCTGTTCTGAGTTTCCCTCCCTCCAGCCTCGGTGATATTTCAAACAGCATGTCTAAGGTATGCTTGCTTTCGTACTTTGCAGGCGCCTAAGCGACTAACACTTGCATAGAGCAGAGAAGAAGCCTGATCGTACTACTATCCTAATACTCTCATACTGTTTCGCTACATAGATAATGGCGGAGGAGCCAATCAGTCTCGAAGACCACTCGCCGATAACTCCAGCAATAGATACCGACTCAGAGGAGAAGTCAAGCCCGACAGAGAACATAGACATCTTGTATGAGAATCAGCGCGGGGCCTTCTGTTGTGGAATTCCTTTGTTCTCCGCAAATTCACTACTTAATTTCGATCCTAAGCCCTGGGTAACCTCTACCTATAAACCGTCACCTGTTAATATCACAAATGCACAACTGCCAGACCCGAGCTGGGAATGGACTTGGAAGTCATGGTATGTGGACATGTCCCACGACGTGGATGAGGAGGGCTGGGAGTACTCGTACTGGTTCAGAGGCTTCTCATGGCACGGAAGCCACCCATGGTTCCACTCGTTCGTCCGTAGGAGACGCTGGCTGCGCAAGAGGAATAAGAAAAAGCAGCGTACTAGGAAGGATCTAGAAGATGCACAGCCTCTGCGCAAAGACGCAGCAAGTATAGGTACTACGCTGGTACCTTCAAATTTTGTCATGAATACGAGACAACCATCGGTGGACGAGGGGCAAAGGGAGGAGATCACGAACGTTCTCGCGTTAATGGCTGCTCTAAAAAAGTCTCCAATCGACAGAGAAAAGATTGTAGTTGTGAAGCAATTCTTGTCGCAAGGCGGCGAAGAGCTTCACTATCTCGCTGAGAATGTAAGTCTACAGATCTCGGTGAGCCTTGAGAGATGATTCTCGCTGACAAATATATAGATACCAGCTATCATGGCTCAACTTGTTTTCCAAGATTCACGTCGCCAGCTACTTGCCACATTGACAGCTGAGCTCGATGCGGCGGGCGAACACCGTGAGGAACATAAGAACCGTAAACAACCCGAGGATGAGATCGAAAGCCGCAGAATCGACAATCTTCTCAAAGCTGCCAATACAGCGGACGAGCAATGTCGGAAGCTGGAGTACTGGAGCGACATTCGAGGGATGGTGCGTGAGGGTGAAGCGAAGGGTGCGACAGATGCTGCTCATGGATGGGATGGCCATGGCTGGCAAGGAGTTGACTCGAGCGGACCGCCTCCAGGACGTGATGAGCAATTGAGGGAGAAGGACTGAAGAAGAAGTCGTCTTCCAGTGACGAGCGCAAGAATCATTACGACGTTTGCATTGTTCCATACCCAGCATGATGGCGTTGGTAGTTCTGAAGGTTGTTGTTTATAACACAGGTGTACATACAAAGTTTACTTCACAAACCTAAGTGCAGTGCGATTTAGCGTCAGTATAGCCAAGGATGATTATTCTACAGACATGAGTAGGATACGTATCTACGTCTGGAGATGACACTGGTCGTCTGCCATCGCCTGAGAGATACCGAGTCAATCACCAAGAGATAAGGGAGGAGATACACCGAGTCAAGCCATGATGCTTCACGAGGAGCAGGACTCCATAGCTTCTGATTGGTCACATCATAACGCAGAAGGGAAATCTACGATTCTGTCGAAAGTCGTCCTGCAAACATGCTGCAGGACATCGCATTAGCACCGGATTCCGATGCTGATTCGGGTATAGAAAAGATGGTCACAGGCGCCTGTTCACAACTAATTTAGTGGGCGGCTGGCAGGCGCACCGTAAGACTTTTACAGTTGCCGGATGGGCAAGTGACACAAGTGTTAAAGCGACCTGCAAGTCCTTATCTTTGGGATATTCCCGCGCATGTGTAGTATCCTAAAGTCCAAAGAAAAATTGCAAAATACCGTGACCTTGCAACTTGTCGCACAAGAAACGCGTCTGTTGCGTACTTGTGTTCGTCAATCCTGAACCCGCAGTGTGGAGACAGCCGCCGAATCCTTGTACCTAGACTTGGACCTCACAGACCGACCTCCTATCGCCTACGGCGCGTTTCCATCTTCCCAGTTACAAATTCTTCTCATACCCTGTCCTACCGTGCTACAACACACACAAACACACGCAACGCCACTCGATAGGTCAGTACGGCTGGAATTGGGTGGGACGTTGAGCGTCATGACGAGACGAATTGTATATGGCGTGGGACTCTGGGTCGTGGTCGCCGGTATGATGAACTTGAGAAGCAGAGTCGGGAGACTTGATCCTAACAAGTGAACAGCGACTGCCCTGACACTGGCCTCAATCATCGAGCCTAGATGGTTAAGCTATAGACCCGTATGTCTCCTCCCCTCAAAGACCAGAAAGCACATTCTAGGGCTAGACATCGCGCATCTGCTAAGGCATGATACAGGAAGGCAACAGCATACGCTTCTCATACGGCCTGCACCGTAAATGTTCCACCATAAAGGGTACATGCGAACCGTTCCCCGAGTTCGCCGACTGCCAGCTTGACCAGCGACAATTCTGTTCAATATGGCGCTCTGTGGGCTTTCTTATGAGCTTCTCCGTTATCATCGAGCTTGCAACCCTGGTCGCATACATCGTAGTCCTAGCAGGAGGAAAGCAAAAGCGAGATCAAGGTTGGAAGGTCACAGCATCTCTTCTGGGATTTTCGGCTCTGGTGCAGCTCATCGCTATGGCGCTTGTGGTGAGTTAAGATGGCAACTGGCATATGAGATGTACTGAGCAATTCGATAGGCTTACGTTTTCGACTCCGACGCACGCTTCTTTGATGGCTGGGAGCTTGACGCTTCTTGGATCCTATGTACTGTGTCTTGGGCTATCCTCGGCTTGTCTGGCGTCGGTCTCGTCGCCTCTGCCAAGTTCCTCAAGGAAGAAGGCGATTACGAGCTTATACCTAATTAAACATCTTACTCGATCAATTCAAGGACTTGAGTTATGACTGGACAGGCTCAGTCCGGTCTCCTATAGAGTGCTCGGATCTATAATCTCGGCGAACACGGCTCTCCTTGATCGACTCGATCAGACTATCGCGTAGGCCAGCAGGGACGCTTTGTACGACTTATGATACCCATGGTCATTTACAAGAAGGCTGCATAGTTTTATTGTGGTGGAATTGGATTGGTGCATTGCTATTAGCATTGTTTCGTTGATTTGTTATTTAGGCGCAAGGCATCTCACTCGACTCCTGCCTTTGAAGCAGCACTCTTCAAGGGCAACGAAGTATTAGTTACATAAGACTTATATATGGCGGATATCTCTAATATTATGCTTATTTGATTGCAAAACTAATAACGATAATATAAATTAACATTCCATGAAGTGAACAAAAACTCCTTCAAGTTCGGACCTGCAAGCTCAGGCTCAGGCTCCTCACCTCTCGACGGCCGCCGCGGCCAAACCTCTCGCACAGACGCCCGGCCCTTTTACGATCCACGGCCACTGGATTCAGCCCGTGCTCACAGACGTCATCGCAAGCTCACCCGGCACACTAGGTAGTAGGTACCTACCTACCTACCCAGCTCCAACCCTCTCCCCAATCCCAGCCGCCCAACTCATATAGCTCTCTCATTCCTCGCGTGTAACAATCAGGCATCCTCATCCCATCCATCTCTTCCAATCTCTCCCAACAATCAAAAGCCCATCACAGCCCACCATGTCCGGACGCATCGTCAAAGTCCTCGGTGTCGGCGCCGCCGCCGGTGCCGGTTACTACCTGTACTCCGCCGGCGGCGACCCAAAGGTCGCCGAGAAGAAGCTCGAGCGTGCGTTCCTTCAGCTGGATTGTGTCTCACTGTGTAAACTGACCGTTCCTTAGACGACGCCGCGCGGCTCTCGTCGAAAGTCAAGAGCGAGCTGCCTGGGATCGAGAAGGAGGCTAAGACGCAGGGCAAGGTCTGGGGCGAGCAGGCCGGGCAGAAGGTTGACAGCGCGGTATGTGACCTATCTCGTCCACAAGTCGTGAAGCATACACACACGCGCATATCCTTTCTATCGCCGAACTGTCGATCAACATTTACAATGGCGTATTCTTGATGGTCATGCTAATCTAGACGCACAGGTCAACCAAGCCAAAGCATACGGTAAAGACGCCGAGAAGAGGGCCGAGGAGCTGAAGCGCGAGACGGGAGCAGGTCTGAGCAAGGCCGTAGATTCCTTCGATAAGAATGTGGAGAAGGGTGCTGCGAAGACGCAAAGCTGGATTGGAAGCTGGTTTGGTGGGAAATAAATGATAATGATTGTGATGACGGTGAATGGATGGAAAGCACAGGGCCTCGAGAGTTGATTCCCCCATGAAGCGACGGAGCGATGCAGCAATGTGATAATAGTTCTCTCACGGTGTCAATATATGAGTCGTTTCTAGTGATGATGTGCCGAGTGAATAGTTGACTTTAATGCATGATGGTTACTGACCGAAAGCATACATGTTTGACAAAATGTCGCGGTCTTCGATGATGCACCTGAGTTGGAGTTTCTATGGCGATTTTATCGCGCAGGTATATTTCTGATGATGCGTACGATTCATCTCCTCCTGCACCATAATACTTTCGTCCATACGACCGTATTCTTCACATGTAGTGACAGATGAACACATCGTTCTCATGCCAACGACTGACTCCATAACCAAAACACAAACGTCCTTTTGACACACGCCGAACACCAGCGAACAACAATTGGAAACCATCCCGTACACTCTGCTGATGCCTCACAGTCACCTCACCATCTAATCCCAGCCCGCTTTCCCACCAAGAACACCACCCAATCCACCTCTTCCCCCGTACTCCCTGGCCTTCCTCCTCAACTCGCCTCTCCTCCTCTCTTCCGCTTTATCCAACACCTTCTTCCTCTCCGCCTCCCTGGCCTGAAAGTGAATATTACTCTTCTTACTCCCGCCCATCCTGACTGTTGGCGCCTCCACAGGCGTCGACGCGCCCGACGATGACACCGAATTCGACCTCGAGTTCGACGTGGACATGTTCGAGAAATTCGACGTTGCCCGACGAACGAGACTGGGCACTTTGAAGCCTGACCCGGTTATGCTGCCGGGTTTGGCGGGGGCGTGGAATGCGAAATGTGTGTCGCTGTTTCCTGCCACGTCTGTGACTGCACGGGAGAGACTGAGGCGGTCGACGATGCTTGCATTGCTGGATTGACGTGAGAGAGAAGCTGGGCCGCGAGGTTCCGAGTCAGATTCTGCGTCGCTGTCGGAGTGGCCGTCGAGCTGTGAGTCGGGAATGCGGTCGAGGGTATCTGGGTCGTCGAGGATAGATGATAAAGATGCCCGGATGTCTGTTTGGGCTAGGAAAGGCGCGGGACGGGGTGCGTTCGTGCGGCGGAGAGCTGGTGGAGGACGGATCGCGTGAATAGGCTCGGATGGGCGTTTAAGGGGGTTGAGAGGATTGCGATTTTCCTTATCCTCGGACGGCGATGCGGAAACTTCCTTTGTCGCGAGACCTACTGGCGCTGCATCCTGCTCCATGGGTTCTTGCGAATCTGGCACCTCGTCCTCCGCTGGATGCGAGATGTAAAAGTCGTAGTCCGGGTCATCGTCCATGTCCTGCACCGCACGCAGGAAAGCCTGTGTCTTGTCACCAGACAGCTTCTGCAGCTTCTCGTTCTTCATGAGCGCGTTGTAAGATCTGCGGAAATCGGCCTGCTTCTTGCGGCGCATCTCATCGAGAGCATCAAAGTCATCATCAGCGGCTCCAAGAAGATCATCATTTGCAGCACGCTTGCGTCGGAGGCCGCCGTTTATAATATCCTTGTGGAGCTTTTGAACATTTTTCTCGTCTTCGTCACGTTCCCGCTCACTGGTGTGTTGTTAGTATGTAAATTTTAGACAGAAAAGGAGCGAACGTACGCATGAAGCGCTGCAATCTCGCGCTCTCTCTCATCGACTTTGCCGTGGTCAATCATCTTGGCTGTCTCCTCATCCATTTCTTCACCGCTATCGTCGTCACTGGCGCCACCAAGACCAGCGTATTCGTCCTCCGACTCGTCGGCTTGCTCCTCAAACATAGTCTTGGCTTCGCTCTTCTTCTTGTTAAAGGCATCCTTGGCTGCTTTCTTCTTTGATGCATTCTTCATGACTTTGAATACATCAGCATTGAGTTCAAAATCGTCTTCAGTGTCAGATCCAACATCGGGAACCACTTCGTCCTCATCAATGTCGGACAGATCAGGTAGGGCCTCCGACCTTTTCTGCAGACGCTTTCGCTGCTTCGGAACAGGCGTTTCTTGGGTAGGGAGTAAGACGGTCTCTGTGGTTGAACTTGGCATGTCGCGCATTCCTGCTGGTGTACGCACTTGAAATCCTGCGTCCTGTGTCGGGTCTGGGAGATCAGAAAACTGAGACTGGGTTTCTTCAGTCACATCTGGGAATTGAGATATACCAAGGCCGTTGCCTCCCGGTGTGGTAAACTCGTGTGGGACCTGCGATACCTCTTGCTGAGAAACTCCAATCTGGCTATTGGGAACTACGAGATTCTGTGAGTCATCCGCCATTGCCGTATCGAAGTCAGGTGCGCTGGACATGCCGAGACCACGAAGAAAGTCAAGAGACGGAATAGGGGCAGTATCACCGGGCTGGTCGCCATTTTCAGGCTGAGACGGCTCTGCCATGGTTCCGGCAAACATCTGCGTTAGTCCAAGTGCTGGCGAGCTTGCTATCTTGTCGAATCCAAATGCTGCGACTATGTCCTTCTTTGGGGTGGATTGTGTTTGGTCTGGAGGAGCTCGGGATGCTACGATGGGTAGATCGTCACTATCATCATCCTCGTCGTCCTCGATAATGTGTCGCTTGCGAGATGTAGTATGTGCACGTCCTGGAGCAGGCATGTCATCGTCAGACGCGGGTTCAGGCAAGCCTTTTCCATTGGTGACACTTTCATCATCTGTAGCATTCTCTCCAGTTTCTTCATCAAATATGGCATGACGTTCTGTTTCTTGATCCTCGTCGGACACTTCGTCTTCCGATCCAGAAAGCTCTATCTCTTCCTCATCATCTCCATCGTCCCCAGCATCCTCGTCACTGTCCCTAAAGTCTGCATCGTCCTCGTCATCGCTAGGTAGCATCTGACTCTCATCAACCTCTCCATTCTTTTTAGCATCTGCTCTCTCCTTCTTGCCAAGCGCTTCTACATCCTGTCGGAGCTTATCCAATTCGTTTGCACGCTCCTCTTGCGCCTTCTTAAGCTCTTCAGGATCAACGTAGGTTCCATTGGCTTTAGCCTCTTCGATCTTCTCCATCAAGGCTGCGCGGGCTTGTTGTCGACCACGTCGAATGAGATTGCTCTGCATTTCTGTCACATTTACCGACGGTCGAGCATTCCTTCCTCGTGTCCTTCCTGGCGACGTCAAGTGGGCGAGGGCTCGAAGGGTAAGCATGGATCTAGACTCCTTCTTTTGTTTGGCGGGTAGATTGTCAAATACTGGGAAGCGACTGGCTTTTGCGGGTAATATCTCAAGGTCATCATCTGATTCATGGGTGGCAGATGGTCGGATACCAGCTCTGTGGACTTGAACGGTACGAGATAATTCTGGAAGACCAGGCGTAATAGCTCTGGCTTTGCCTTTGTCTACAGTCTCCGCTTTCGTGAGTAGCTCATTGAGATCAGGTAGGTTTCCACCATCGGAATCGTCTAAATTACTTGGGACAGACATGATGTCTGTGTGATGCGTTACACCGAGGGCACCGCTCATTACATAGTCCTTCTGCGCCTTATTATCCTCCTGGGTGTTATTAAGGGTTGCCGGGCTGGTTGGCGGCGTATCACTGGCATTGGCCATTTCCGCGTCAGATGAAACAGGCCCTATTATTTCATCGCTAGATGCTTTCACCGGTAACTGTGCAGGAGCCTTCGTTTGCCTAAAGTTGAAAGTCTTGAACAAGTCATCCTTTGTGATCTTTTTCTTGGTCTTTGCCTGGTGAGTCAGTTGCAAGCTGCGATTGAAGCGTTGATTTTCTCGAATTTCTCGACTCATTTCTTCCAATGCTTTCCTACCGGCCTTTCGTGCATTGGGGCGTGTAGTCTCTTGTGTCAGCCGGGAGTCAGCTGCTTGTTCCGCTTCGTCTGGACTGCTGTCGGTATCATCTTCTTCGACGCGCTGTTTGCGCGCTTTCGATGATAGTGCGTTGAGCTTCCTCCGCCTTTGTTCTTTCTGGTTGCGAGCACTTTCTTCTCTTGATAATCGTTCGGCGCGTTTTTCTGCCACCTTCCGTTGAAATTCCTCATCTGTGGCAAGCTTCCCGGTAGGTAGATCTGAATCTGAGTCGACGGGTGACACGCGAGCCGAAGGAGCACGCACGCGTGAAGTCTCACGCGAAGAAACAAAGAGTCCTGGGGAGGGCTCTCGAGTAGGTGACGTTTGAACGTCTGGACTTTTCGAAACAATTGGCGACTGTCGTAATGGAGATGTGGGTGAACCGTCTCGTGAAGCACTCGGGGGGCTTCTCTGTTTTGGTGGGCTTGATTCAGTGCTGGCTGATTTTCTGGACGCTACCGATTCGTTGTCGCTATTGTCCCCCATGTTCATCTTCTTCATATACGCTTCGTATGCTGCATCGGCTGCCGGATCTCTTGAAGCAGCTGATCTCGACCGTGAGGTATCACGGCTTTCTGATTGCATTCTGGTGGCTGTACGGCCCCGAGGTCGAATTGGGCCACTGTCTGAGTCTGAAGCTGACATTTTGTAGCAATATGGAGTGGGAATGTTGGATAGAAATGTTGTGACGGGAGCAAGACCAGTTGATGATGCTTGATTGAAAGTGGCAGACGCGTTTTTAGTCGCGTCGCGCGTTGTCCAATCAGTATCGCTAGGCTACCCAAAAGCCCCACAATTACGGCTGTATCCGAATGGGGAGGCTGGACATTCCGACGCGTCCCATCATGCCTTCATTTGCACATCCTCCACCGTTCATAATTATTGTGAGCAGAAACAGAAACGTCAAGATGCTCCCATCACTCTGCGATCATATGCCATCAACCTCCACCGCCTTTCTTGCTGAACGCAACCAGCAACTCCAGTTCAGCAATACCGTGAACTTGCAAGGCTGTCTATGAAGAAACAGAGACATCGATCGTGTTAATTAGCATCAGCTTTTAGTCTGCCTGACTAGTCCCCTTGTAGTTCGAAACATTTAAGCACAGTATTAATTAGGTGTCTGACTTTGTGAGGCACATTTAGCCTTGATCTCTTCCTGGCTCAGGAACTTGGAGATAAAGCACGAGCTCTGACATTTCTGCCCGGAAAGAAAGTGCTACAGGAGTGTTGACTTGGGAGACACCTTGTCTTTTCAAGAGTCGCGACAGGAATGCTACCGCGATGAATAAAACAGAGATGGGCCGTACTGTCAATCACTTTGACAAAAACAACATTCGGCTCACCCAGGTGATCAACTTTAGTCAATTGTGTAATGTAAGGGAGCTTAGAACCAATTATAACCTGCTTAGAGCCGAATTGTCTTGCACACAGTTTTTCCCGAACCTCGAACCTACGGCTCAAGTCCGAGTTAGAGGCTAAAGTCCCTGATGTTTCATTGTCACTGAACGTTTGGTGGATTCTCTGGCTATATTGGTGACCTCATATGTTTCCAATAATGACTTGGGCTGCATGAACAGTGGACTAAACAAGACTTGAAACAGGGAGAATATCGAAAATGATCACGCAACTACAAATACTCGATCATGACAACTATTCCAAGCTTCAGTTCAGTCTGTAAATTAGCCATCTTGCTCATGGAGATTGTCGTATTATCTTCATGACAAGTACTACATGTATGCAGTAATGAACAATGAGACTTGGCAGAACAGCGACGATCCGTGAGAATGGCTTACGGAGTTGATATTCATTGTAACAGGCTTGGGTTTATATGCTCTAGCTTACCAGCTAAGGGATGTTATGGGGGGAACCTTGTTCGCCCGATACTAACAGTTCCAGCACTCTCACCAAGTACGCTGATCTCTTGGACCGGCATTGTATTCACAATGATCATGATGGTATGCGGTACATGCCTCATATATGTAACGGCGTCACCCATCAGGAAGAATGATTGGCAATGCGTAGCCATCATGCTTGAATTCTCTGCTTCTTCAGAAGATCAATCGAGTTCCTAAGTTCGTGATGTCCAGTCACGCACAAGCATACTAGATTCGATGAGGTGCTTCTGCTACCGAGGGTTCAGAGATGAGTATGTGTAATAGAGCCTTTTGATATTCGCCCTAATGTAAAATTACCTTTCCCGTCTATTGATAGTCTGAGTGAGCCTAAAATGACACATCCAACTCATGCACCTTGATTAACAGTTGCGGCGTTACTGCCTAATGGTATCTTCAACACATGAGAGTACAGATCATTTAGATGGTCACTGATTTATCCTCCTCTTCTTCCTCAACACTAGACCCATCTGTCGACAGAGTCTCGTCATCGTCAGTGACATCTGGGCCTGTCCACGCGACCTCAATGACTGAAAGAATCGACCCAGGGGTATGCGCTATTCTGGTGATCTCGAAGCGCGGATCAGCCATCGCTAGAAGTTTACCCCAATCCTCGACATCACGTTCTTTTGAGTTGAAACTGTGTTTCATTGCAAGATCATAACCACTGCTATTCGTCAACATCTGCTACGCAACAGTCGCATAGCTCAACATACAGTATGACTTGGATATGATATGGTTCCAGGTCGTCTGCTTGAGGTAAGCAGACTTCGTTAAAAATGATCCTAGCCCCGGGTTTCATTGCAGGGACCAGGTTTCGGATGATCTGAACTGCATACTTGTCCGACCAGTCGTGGAGGATAGACCGGAAGAAGTATACATCAGCCCCTTTCACAGGCTGTGGCATGAAAAAATTGTACGGTTGGAACTCAATCCGGTCTGCCACGTCTTCTGGCACCCGTGCGGTTGTGACGACTTCAGGCATATCCTCGATGATACATCGCAGTCTTGGGAATCGTCGTAGAAGTTTGATCGCAACGGATCCATGGGACCCGCCAACGTCCACCAGTAGCTTTGGACAGGTCTCCTCTGTCCAGCCGAGATCTCTGAATAGATGCGAAATGTCGAATATGGGATGTGACTGAAGATACTGCATGCCATCTGCAAAGCGTTGTGCTCGAAGCTCGTTAGACCTCAGTGCGTCCCATAGCGATTGGCCGTGCGCCAACGCATACCCTGTTTCCGTGGGTTCCTAACAGTCGTGAATAAACTGACAAACTTGATAGTTTGAACAGGAATTACCTCTGATCCGGGCCATTTCTGCATGCTATCGACGGTTCGTGCCTACTACATATTACTATTACTGCCTCGAGTATATTGAAAAATATTCTTACCCCAGCAGCCCACATCTCATCTACCAGGACACCTATCCACTGATGTAGTAAGGGGCTCTGAACGAGAAGCTTGGATGTCGCATTATGACGTATATAGCCTTTACGTGGTTCTTCGAAGATGTAGAAGGCAACAGCCAGCCGTAACAGGCGTTTGAGATCACTCGGGTCTATCCGGCATCGAATGGCGAGCTCCGCATACGAGACCTCTTCGTCAAACGAGAGTGCAAGAGCAATGCGATATCGATATATGGCTTGAAGACTCATGAATACATTGTTCTATCGTCGCGTCAATAAGGAGCCCCAGTCTCAACAACTACGTTTCGGATCATACCGTCGGACTCGCAAGGCGTGTCAGATGAGTCAGTGGTCCATTTATGAGTACCTGTAATTCACTGCTCGCCTGTAACACCTCGCTCTGAGCTTTGAACAATTCCAACGGCAATGAGGCCTGCGGCGGGGCATCCACCGACAAGGACGGACTAGGGAGACCCTTCTCCCTCAGATAGCTATCGATCTTTCTGGTCCCATCGGCTATTATAGCGCTCAATTCCAGTAGTCTACTCTGGTCGGTCGCCATATGTTCTGATAGAACGTGCTGAGACAGCAACAGCGCGCAAAGGACCCAGATTCAAGGTTACGAAGCACGTTTGGAAGCCGCGGTGTTCGGCAGTTTCAAACAGCGATGCGGGCCTGGTGTTCATCGTTCAGAAGTAGTACCAGCACCAGCACCAGGCCAGGAGACTGACAGCTCGAGCCGGAGCGCACTAGATAGGCGATGATCTGGAGACAGCTAACATACGAATCCCTGGTTGAACAGCAGCAGCTGTTCTGTCCGCATGAGTATATAGTATGCCCAAATGCTGGGGGCCGCCCCGCTTAGTCCACTACAGCTGCAACCGTTATAGGTCAAACTTAAAGTAAGAGTCTATAAATAGAACTCCAAGTCTTCCTGCTAAGGCAATCTGTAAGTCGATCAGTTGCCCCTTGTTGTGGTTTGGCGAACAAGAAGCCGTTAAACCACAGGCCAGTCACAAAATCCTCACGTCCAATTCGTTTGGCCCTTGCCCGAATGGAGTCTTGTCAGCACAACGCAAGGCTTATATCTCTTGGTGAGCTTCTCACCGTCATTTCCAATCGGACGAAGATCCCGAGCCACTGAGCGTCAGTTTCGATCATCGGTCTTTATAATTTTGATGACAGAGAGGACAAGCTATGATCCACAAGCTGCGATTGTCATCAATTTCATATATACAATCGGATCGCCTCGTCACACTCGGATATTGCTAACCCGTATATTTGTCTGCTGCCTGCCGATGCCGGTATGTCAGTCACTCGGCATACTGACTGCATCGATCCAACGATGGGTCGATACTGCTGACGGTCATCACGCAAGCAGCTAGTGATAAGATCCTTGCACCGACAAACGTGGTAGTCTGACCTGCAGCTAGACACATATAATCATATTGCTGTTAAACCTACCAAGAGGTAGGCGTTGCCGGTTCAACCCAGGTAGCTTGTAAATCAGCTTCGGCCTCCCGCACGATGAGTGTAGGAATAACCCGTCTATAAGATTACCTGGGAAACAGTTGATGAGAGCCGAACGATGTCTACGCAGATCATGGTAGAGAAACATGGCGAGCGACATAACCGTTGATTGAAGCTTATACATCTCCATTGTCCCAGTAGTTATCCGTTATTCCGATGCTCGAGATCAACAAAATTCGCGCGCAATGCACATGTAGTCAAAGCACTACACGGAACATTTATCGGTAAAAGTCGTAGGGCCGACACTGCCCTCAAACCCTTCAATTTTGTGGACGAATCTTCGAGCTCCGGCATTTCTGCGTGTGGCACCTACAGTAAATTTCGCGTCAGAATCTTCAAGATTCAAAATTCTATACAAGTGACAAATGGAATTTGACTACACAGACAAGAGTCTCCGGGATATGGATACTGACGAGTGCATTATTTCGTCGCCCGTCCAGATTTATATTGAAATTCGAAGCTCAAGGATTGCTACACGAACATCTGCCGAGATTTGAGGTCAATTTTCGCATCCAATCGTCCACGTTCCGTGAGTCATGACATCTGGCAGTCTGTAAGCGCGTTTTGTGAGTGATTATATATTATCGGAGGCTCGATCTATCATGATTGTGCTCTTGCGGGGAGGAGTAGGGCGATGTGCTAATTATGATAAGAGGTGGCGCCTGTGAACGACAAGAGTATTCAACCCTCTTTGAGTCGCTTTGCAGGCCTACCGATGAGAGAATCGTCCGGTAATCCGCTCCGTTTCGTTCCAGGCACGCTCGAGGTGCGGATATCATTATCTTCCTGACTAACCCGTCGATGTGGATACTCGATCTTCACACTCCCAAAGCAGTTCTTGGATGGCTTGTCTGCTTCTCCACCAGCGGTGAAGTAGGGATGTTGAAGCGCTTGCTCGGCCGTTAGACGCTTCTGTGGATCGTACTCGAGGAGTCCTTGGAGTAGATCTCGACCCTCGTCTCCTGGTGAGTTACCCTGACCTGGAGAGTATTGGTTGTTCTGCATGGTAGTCTGCCACCAATCCTTCAAAGTTCTTGTACGGCCACTGGAACGCATAGTGCTCCCCAAAGCCTGCAGCTGAGCATATTCTTGCATGGCGGTCAGCAATGGCCATCTCTCCTTCGTAGGCATCCCAAGGACTTCGATGATTTTCATCATCTGATTCCGCTGAAATGGTACAATCTTCTTACTGTCCATCTTTGCTTCTTCTCCTTTAAAGATAGGCCGCAAAGAAAGAAGTTCCGCGAAGATACATCCTACGGCCCAGAGGTCGACAGCCGGCGTGTAATGCCGGCTTCCAAGCAGAAGCTCAGGTGCTCGGTACCAGATAGTCACAACAACTTTGTCACCAGTGAACAGCGAGTGTAATGGCTTATAAAACAACCGAGCAAGTCCCAGGTCGCCAATCTTAACTTCTCCAGCCTTGGTGACCATGATGTTTGCGGGTTTTAGGTCTCGGTGCATAACCCAATTTCTATGCAAGTACAGTAGTCCGTTCAGAAGTTGCCATAGTATCGATTTAATAGCCTTAGCAGCGATCGCTTTTCGTGATTGTTGAGTGTGATAATGAATGATCTGTAATAGATCATGTTCGGCATATTCGAAGACAATGAAAATGCATTTGTCTTCTAGAATGATCTCTACCGTATGGATGACGTTTGGGTCTGTAAGTTCCGTACAGAGCGCCATTTCACGGATTGCTGACTGTGATATGCCCGTATATTGAACCTCACCCTCCTTATCCGGCTTGAATCTACGACACGTGGTCAGTCACGGCATTTGAGCTCTTCAGATTGCTTTGACTAACTTCTTGATCGCGAATTCTCTAGTTTCACCATTTCGGCCTTGAGCTTTGTACACACGACCATACGTGCCACTGCTAATGAAACCGATGATTCTATAACGCTCGTTGACACGTTTCTTGCTCGTATAGCCACTTAACATCGCCTTTGACGATGACTCTGATGAATCTGAGACGGCCAGAAGATTACTAACTGCACGCGAAAAGAATCGAAATTTATGGTCGAGGCTATGGTTCTGTGGAAGACAAAAAGGGTCGTCAAGGCAGAAAAGGTTAGGGTGTAACGTGAGATAATGAACACAAAAGTGACCTGAGATGAGGAGCTGAAGACACGATGGCAAGATAGACAACAGCACAGAACAAAAGGATTATAGTACAACGAGCTCGGTCCGATAGAAAGAGTCGCCTGCAAGGAGATGCAGCTTGAGTCGCGTGAACAACTGCGATGACGCAGAAGACGCAGAAGACGCAGACGATTGTTGTGTATTGAGAAAGGATGCTGAAGCGTGGAAAGGACTTACCGTTGAGGGCGGTCGGAACGCTACTAGTAATATTACTGCTGCTTTTTAGCTGATGCGCCTGGCTAGAAGGAGGATTCGATGTGGCCGCCATTACGCAGGCGCATGTGGGTCTGCGGTGTCTCTTAAGTCATTTCTGGCTCTTTGCGTCCTCGCGATCCGCAGTCGCTCTCCTTGTGATGGAGTTTAGACAATGTCAAGGTATTAGTGCCCGCCGGAAGAGATATCGGCGATACTTGTGCCGCGTAAAGTGCTTGGTGCCGTTTTTGGCAGGGGAGCTTCCCGAGCTGAAGCTGGGGCAGCGCCATCACCATCGCATCGCCATCACCCTCTGCTACATCTCCACGCATGCAATATGGCAATTTGAACGCACATTCGCCAGCCATAGCTATATTGCTCAGCCCGCTCCTCTTCACTGTCCCTGATACAGCTACTTCGTCGAAGGAATTCGTCTCGATCACCTTGCATTAGGTGTTTAACAGAGAGTTCTTGCGAAGCATTGCAGCGACTCTACCATACAGCAAAGGCGTGCACTACGCAGACTTCGCTCGAAACCTCCTCAATACTACAATACTAGACTAGAAAATGGATCCACGGACTTGGTTCAAGGACCTTACGCCCTACTTCATTTACTTGCTACTGTTCGCTACGACCGGACCTCTACTGTTTGGCTTTCACTTGGTACTGCATTCTGAAACGTATGTTATGAATTGGGCTCACAAAAGGACTAGGCTGAATTAAACGCGCCCGAGGATGTCATTCGCTGTAAAGCTAAATCCGCTACCTCAGCGAATCTCCCGCAGTGTATGCCCATGACATCTGCGCAATGGGGTCTTGTTGGCTCGATATACACACTGGGAGGCTTCCTGGGAGCTGTGATATCAGGAACACTATCATCTAGTTATGGGCGGTTAAGAGTCATGCAATTGAATACGGCTTTCTTCATTGTTGGACCAATCTTGCAAGCTCTGGCACCAAACCTCACGGTTCTGGGTATCGGTCGTTTCATATCCGGAATAGGTGCTGGAACAGCAATGGTGGTTGCTCCTCTATACGTTTCAGAGATATCACCGCCTGCAGAGCGCGGCTTCTTTGGAGCTTGCACACAAGTCATGGTCAATGTCGGAATCTTGATTGCCCAGCTGCTAGGATTCTTTTTGAGCAAGGGCCAGCTTTGGAGAATTATTCTTGCCGCTGGCGGTGGTATAGGATTAGTGCAGGCCCTGGGTCTCTTCTTTGGAGTAGAAAGTCCAAAATGGACCGCAGAATACAGAAACGTGTCCGAAGCAAAGAGGAACCTGCGCAGAATCCGAGGAGAGGACTATGATATTAGCGAGGAAACTGGCGGATGGAATACTGAAGATAGCAATCTGACAGACGGTAAGCAAGTCATCATGGTCGACAGTCAACATCTAACTGGACACCAGAGCACGAAACGTTGCTCAGGGGTGAGGAGGAGCTTTCGAATGTTGCGATGAAAGCTGAAAGAAAGGAGAATTTGAGCATCTTCCAAATCTGGCAATACCCAAATCACAGGCGTGCTGTTTTCGCCGTTATGATGGTCATGGTCGCACAACAGTTTACTGGTCAGGAATCGAAGACTTTCATATCAGGTCAAAAATGGCTGACCTAAAGCAGGTATCAACAGCATCGTCATGTATGGCGTTGGCCTGCTGTCCAGCCTACTCCAGTCAAACTCCGCACTCCTTAACCTAGTTGTTTCGGCACTCAACATCATAGTCACGGCAGCCACTGCTCCTCTTGTCGACCGACTAGGCCGCAAAGTATGTATCTTGAACTCGATCTTTGTGATGGGAGCGTCATCCTTGCTTTTGGCTATCGGTATCATCAAGTCGATCAAAATACTATCTGCAGTAGCTGTACTACTCTTCGTTTCCGGATTTGCCCTTGGTCTAGGTCCGGTTCCGTTCATCCTAGCAAGTGAGCTGGTCGATCCTGAAGCCGTTGGTGCTACTCAAAGCTGGGCCTTATCGTCCAATTGGATATCAACATTTTGTGTTGCACAATTCTTTCCCATTCTAAACGAGCAATTGCATGGCAAGGTATATCTAATATTTACGGGACTGGCAGCGTTCTTTTTCGTCTTCGTTACCTGGTATGTACCCGAGTCGAAGGGCAAGAAGACTGCAGATGAGGTTTGGGGAAGAGAATCGAGCGCGAGGAGGGTTGATTAGACCGCCTTTTCGAATAGATCAAGTATACGAGTCGCAAGACAGATTCATTCTGCACGTTCAGTCTTCGTCATGATCCTCCGGGGATGTCGTCTCCAGCAACAGCGCAGCATGCACGGACCGAGTTCCTTATGGAAAGCTGACAAACCCCGGAGGTTTTCGGCGAGGGTTCAGCGCGATCGGCTACTGCTCGGTCACCTAGGTAGGTCCCTGAGGTGGTAATAGCTTGCTTTAGCCTTTGCCGTCTGCTCCCTCGCACGTCAGACGAATAACGGGCCCCCGCCTCGGTCCCTCGCAGCTACGGCATCAAAAGGTTGGTCCCAGTCAAGGTCAGTAATGTCGTTGCCATTGCTCACCCTGCGCTTCCTTTCGCAATATACCTGCGACCCAGCTTCATTCTCTCCCTGCCAGAATGACTACACTGCCGGCGCACGCATCTCCGGCCCTCACCGCTGCGCAGGATCATACCGACTTTCCTGACCTCGATTTCCAATCACATCACAGAGAAGAACTCCGGCAATTGTCACAACCTCCGCCTCCTTCACTGATATCGCCCAAATTCACACCACCTTCTACACCAAGTCTCAACACCACCTCTTTCAACGAAAGAAGTGCTGCATCATACCCTGTCGAAGACAATCCGGCTTCGTCCAACACTCCCGAGCTAGTCAAGAAGCTCCCAGAAGTGACATGCACCGTACGCGCAAGAATACCCACCACAACAGGGCAAGAGATGTGGCTACATGTATACAAGAATGATATTGATACGAAAGAGCATCTGGCCATCGTATTCGGCAGTACCATCCGAAGCAAAACCTTGGATGCGCCTCGTCCCGGTGAAACGGAGATGGATCGTATGATTCGCGGCGCATACCAAGGACGTCTGCACCCAGGTCGCACAAGTAGCAAGCTGAAGAACGCTGGTTCAGGACAAGCGTCTGATGCACAGGTGATACAACAAGCACCGCTCGTACGAATACATTCTGAATGCTATACCGGAGAAACAGTATGGTCAGCTCGATGTGACTGTGGCGAGCAGCTGGATGAGGCTGCACGACTCATGGCACTACCCAGTGCAACAGGAGGAGTTATCATCTACCTGCGACAAGAAGGGCGAGGAATTGGCTTGGGCGAAAAGCTCAAAGCATATAATCTTCAAGATCTTGGCAATGACACGTATGAGGCAAACATATTATTAAGGCATCCGGCAGATGCCAGAAGTTATGGTCTGGCTACGGCCATGCTTCAAGACCTAGGCTTAGGCGGCGAGACTGGCATACGTCTCCTAACCAATAACCCCGATAAAGTCCGAGCCGTCGAGGGCCCTGGAAGAGAGGTCGTCGTCAAGGAGAGAGTTGCTATGGTACCTCTAGCTTGGAAGACACACGGTAAAAGCGGTATCAACAGTGATGAGGTGGAAAAGTACCTCAGTACCAAGGTATACTTCTGAATAGCCCTCGCCAAGAGCTCAGTTAGCTAATTCCTACTCATAGATTGAGAAGTTTAAGCATATGCTGGACAGAGCTTGAGCATAAAATAGAATAATTAGTCCCACAGGAAGTGGTAAGGCTTCCGGACCGCTGTTCGGAAGAGATGAGTCGATGATACCTTCTGACCAATATCTGGAGTATAGCTAGCTGCTTGCCGATGATTACGATGAAAGTGGGAAAGAAGCCACCTAGCAGAAGTACGCCCATATAAGCGGACTATCGCAACCGAATACTCTAGATGTATCTCAATCCGGAAGTACCATACTACAAGAATCGTCCCTCCATTATTGAAAATGCTCAAGAATCGGGCGGGACGACTGTCCAGGTACATCTATAATAGGGATCAAATGCCAGGCGAATGAGATTTGTCAGGCTGTGTATTAGAAAGAAAGTCATCAGGACGATGTAAAGGAGGTACCCAGATGATGTACAGCAGGTTTGGTAAATAAATGTTTATACAGGAGATACTTGGAAGCAGAAGTCAAGATCGCTTGCAAGAACCTTTTGGGAAACAATCCGACCTACCCCTCTAGCCCCACTATGGAGGGCAATAACAAGAGCTCAACAATCAAGAGCCCTTGCAAGCTCCTTCAACATTTCCGAAGCATTTTCTTGACACTCATTGCCCATAATGATCAACTTCGGCGTTGTAGGCACGGGCTGGATCACAGAGTCATTCATCGCCGGCGCTCATAACACCAAAAAGTGGCAACTCGCAGCCGTCTTTTCCCGCAAACAAGCCACCGCGACAGAATTCGCAAGCAAATACAACGTTTCGACAACATATACCTCTCTTGAATCCCTTGGGGCCGACTCAGATATCCGAGTAGTGTACATTGCCTCTCCCAACTCGCTCCACTTCTCGCAAGCCTCCATACTCCTCCGTGCGAAGAAGCACGTCATTCTTGAGAAACCCCTTGCCTCAAACTCCGCCGAGCTCGATTCCCTATTCACGCTCGCAAAGGAGAACGATGTCTTCTTAATCGAAGCATTTCGCCATATCCACGAAGTGAACTTCCGTGTCTTGCAATCCAACCTTGCGCGCCTAGGCCCTATCTACGGCGCATCGTTGAACTACGCGTCATACTCTAGCAGATACAACAAGGTGCTCGACGGCGAAGTGCCCAATATCTTCTCGCTCGAGTACTCTGGTGGCTCACTCGCGGATCTGGGCGTGTATCCGATCGCTGCAGCCGTCGCGCTGTTTGGCGAGCCTCAGAAATGCATATACAAGCCTGTTATAATTGCTACCGGAGCGGACGGTGGGGGCGTGATACTCCTAGAGTACGACACGTTCGGCGTGAGTGTCAATGCGAGCAAGATATACACGAGCACGGCGCCGAGTGAGGTATACGGCGAGAAGGGGACTCTAGTGATCAATGCTGTAACGGACATTGACAGCGTAAAATTCTTGGATGCAAAAAGGAAGAACACTGAAGAATTGGCACAGGAGAAGGCGGAGCAGAATCTGCAGGAAGAGGCGGATGTATATGCAGACTGGATCGAGAAGAAGGATATCAAGGCGGTAGGAATACAGGAGCAGATTAGTAGAGCGGTGTTGAGGTCAACGGAGAAGATGAGGAAGGATAATGGTCTCATTTTTGCGACTGAGAAGTAATGATAGGGTAATGGAGCATCATACATAATAACTAAACGACATGGCACACTTATCAATACAGGAAAGCTAAACAGGGCTCTTGAACCGTCCTCTAATAATGAGAATTCAGCACAATACCAATTTATCTGACAAAGGATCCCAACGGGTTTCCAAGTAAGTAAGTATAAGAAGAACCTACAATTACCACCGCCAAAGATCGGGTAAGTGTAAGTAAGCATGGTGATGCCAAAGAAAAGAATAAAATGCAAAAGACAAGCGCCGATCGTGGATCGAACACGAGACCTCGGGATAACTGATTTGGTAACTGCAATCCTGCGCTCTACCACTGAGCTATCAGCGCTTGAATGACGTGTTATCCGAAAAAAAAATATATAAATCGCTAACCCATCTGCAACGAAAGCTCGGCGATTTCAACGCTGAAGATCTCGCTAATAGCTCCAATTGTCCAGGCCGGTCGAAATGCAGCATGTGCCCAGGTGGCGATGGAGAGCGCCGAGAACAGCAGCTGCAACAAGGGGCCGCGTGCGGCGCTTTTCTGCGGGGAAGGCGCCGCTGCAAGTTCTGCGTGACCAGCCAGATGCACAATATACCCCCGCGAGCCCCCGCCCTTACCCGCAAACCTTCTCTAATCGGTGTCGGCGTCGGCTCCCTTTCTTTGATGATGTGCAACGGAACTGCCCTAGGCCTCAGGCTGAAGGAGTGACACTGGCGATTGGGCAGACTGACATTGGACAGGCACCAATCACCAACCGCTTCCGTCATATTCACCATCTTCCACTGTTGCAACTTCTTGATGTGTACCTTCTGATCATCTATCATCTATCATCTCTCTCTCTCCCCTCCACATCAACATATCAACAAAGGTCACTCTACAGTAAGATCACGCATCGAAGGTTTGCACTATTCACCAGTGGACCGACCCCAGGAATGCACGCGCAGGCCAATCCGTCTTGATTAGAGACCTGCACAACACCGTTCTAGCCCCACTGGCTCTCATCTCCGCCAGGGTCTCTACCGCAACAAGACGACCTGTTGCACATATTGCACGACCTGGACGTCTTGTCTTCCTTACCTGGTGCATCATTGTGTAGCAAGGAGACTTCGAGACTGTTATTATAAGAGTAACGATCCAGCCTGCAGCCCATCTGGCCCCTGCAAGCTGAAACTCGCTAGGTACACCTTGCGTACCGTCCGTCCTTACACCGCGTCCTTTGCATCACATACGCCTGTTGCAACGGAGAATGTCTCTTGCAGAAGCACATTACGTCGAGTCACTGTTGCTATGAATACTCTACCTGCTCTTTTAGAGCACGTCACTCTCAGCGAAGGCGCGAAAATGCCTTCTAGCACGCTTGTTTCCAAAGCCAAGCTGATGGCAGAGCACAGCGAGAACAGCAACCATCAACAGACTCACGACGCTCATATGGAGAACTCCAGGCTTGAGACTGAGACTCATGATGAAGTATGTGAGATCTTTCAACCTCGGCCGTCAACTCCAAGACGCTCGACTGAGCCCTTCTCTCCTTCACTCCTCAATCCTCTCGGTCAACCTCGACAACGCAATCGCTCCCCATACTCTAGAGCCCATTATCGCTCACACTCTGGATCTTCGCCAGCCGTGGCACCACCTATGACACGAGCCCACTCTCTTCCAGCCGTGATGTCACACAGCTCTCCTCCAACGCTTGTACCTACAGTGCCACTCCTACGGCCATCGAGCCCGCTTCGTTCGCCTGTACGCGCTCGTAGCCCATACCGACTGGGCGAAGACTCATACTCTTACGCTGGAACGCCCAGTGTACCCGATATCTCAGAAGATGCAGAGCTTGACCTCACACCCAAGGCCATGCACAGCGATCGAGGTGTAGCTTCATTGCCTCTCTCGAATTTCAACATGAGTAACACATTCCCACGCCGGCGCCGGCCCGCCTCACCTCTTCACCAAGTCGCAAGCGCGAACTCTAGCAACTCGTTTTATAGTACACCAACATCGTCAGCGAGCTCATCTCCGATGCTCTCTGCAATCAAATACAACGAACCATTCCCAATTGGCTTTCCTACTTCGCTCTCGTCCTCCGTACCTTCCACGCCAACATCTACACGCTCCCGCTCTCCTAGTATTTCCAGCTTGGAGACTATCCCAGACACCCCAGATGCCGAAGCCGAGGCCATTGAGGAAGATCGTATCGCCAAGCTAAAAGCTATTGAGGAGGGTCCTAGGAGAGGTAGTTTAGACGAACCGACTAAGCGGATCAGCTTCACAAACCGAGACAAGAGAAAGCGTTGGAGTGTCTGCGGAGGCGAGAGACGGCAAGATTTGGATTTGGAGACGATATACGAGGACTGACGCTGGCTGACGTTGAACCTCTTCGTCAAACCATACTAGTTTTGACACCCAAGAACATTTCAGTCTGCTTCAAAGCAGCATACAAGACGATTCTGCTGTCTACACATACCCGACGCGCATCGCGAATCTTTCACTGGGTCTGAGACTGATACACTCTACTGAGATACCACATTTGTCTACTAGACATGTCATTCACCGCATGAGCTATTCATTATGCATTATCGAATATACCACGTCCAGGGGCCAGGACCCAACAGCGTTGTTACAACGGCGCATTTTGTATTGAAATAGGTCTCGTTATGAGCTGTGGAACGGCGTTATCAGGACCATCGTATTCGGGATGTGGGACCACTACCAGCCCGCGACTGCATGATCAGCCGGGCACAGAATAGTCCTTGGGACATGGCGATTCTTGGTGTATTTGGGATATTGTTATTAACATCGAGACTGCTAGGCATACCTCGAACCAAATCAATTTATTCAATCTCTTACATGTCCAATCCACACTTGCTTGCCAACCGTGATTGTAATACGTAATACCAAGATCACGCAATATCGCGGCATATGTTTGCATGCCTTGTGCATTCGGAGTTTTCATATGGCATCCAGTAGATTAGCTCGACGTGCAAGTTGCATACCGCCCGACATGGAGATTAGTCTGGCTGCTTCTTCATCCCGTTATACAGAGGCACAGGAAACGTAATCGCACCATGACATGGCACACACAGTGAGGTAAGCGAGTCTTCGTCCCGGAGTAATTGCGAGTGCTCAGGGAACGCTGGATGAAACCAATCTTATGCAGATGGGAATCGTTCCATACGTATCAAAGTGTTATGCAAGTGGACGATTAGACGAGAGAAAAACCCAAAAATCATATAACGTAGAGTACATGTCCGTTTAAGCTTCCTTTCTGCTGGCAAATCCACGCACACGTTTCCGAGCCGTTCGCCAAACATCCCCAAATATACGGGGATTCGACGGGCCAGATTACAGTTTCAAATACATACAGCCATGCCCATATTGTCAGATGCATTATCGCGGTTTACCAGCCCCGAGACGAACATGGTTATTAAGAGGCCCTGACACTTCACAATATGGCCCAATCAGTCTGTTGAATCGTTGGCGCTTAATGCTTGTCGCCGAGTGCGTTTAGCAGCTGGAGTCGGCACCGCGGGAGTTCATCAGGAGAGCAACGATAAGACCGTATAGACCTAGGAGAAAGTTAGCGAGGCATCTCACAAACCGGCCCATGTCGCACGTACCCAAGACTTCAGCGAAAATGAGAATGAGAATCATGCCGACAAAGAGTCTTGGCTGTTGAGCGGTACCACGGACACCGGCGTCACCGACAATACCGATAGCAAAGCCAGCAGCAAGACCAGCGAGACCGACTGACAGACCAGCGCCAAGCTGAATGAAGCCAGTGAAGAGAGATGATTCTTGCTTTAGGTTGTTGGAGATCAAAACGGATACGACGAGACCATAGATGGCAATGATACCAGCCATGATGACGGGAATGATGTCTAATGAAGTCAGAATGCCTTCTACCTCTAATGAGTAATCGAGTCGCACTTCTCACGATCAAGTCAGGTCGTAGGACACCCATGGCGGAGATACCGACACCAGACTTGGCGGTACCGTAGGCGGCACCGAACGAGGTGAAGACAATGGCTGCAGTGCAGCCCATTGCCCCGAAGAAAGGCTGTTTTATATCGTCAGGATGTGCATCATATTACAATGTTGAGGATGGAGCTCTCGGAAGCTGTTGGTGCGAGGTTGCTTCGGTATCGTTCGTCGTAGCGGAGGGAAGTCAGACTTACGGCATAGACGGGACTGTATTACATATGATGTTAGCAGAGACTCTTACATTTATCGAGACATTGAATGTATAGTATGACGATAATGTACAACATGATCGTCTCACTAAGAGCTGAAAGGTATTCCGAAGCAACAGGGGAGCTCCGCGAGTGCTTCACTCACCATAGATCAGAAACAACCATCTTTGCGTATCCTAGAACTTGTATGTAGGATATTGGTTTACAATGGCATCAGTTACGAGATGTTGTGACGACGTTGATGAGCTTCGTGAGCGTGATGGAATGTCAATGGAGTAGATGACGATGGTGAAGTGAGGTAGACGAGGGAAACCAAGCAGCCTATACATCAAAGACTGCGGCACGTGATGCACGCGCTAACGCACTGCACTCCGACCACCATACAAAAAAAATTGGAGCTTGACCTGCTTTTGCATGTTAAAGATACTACGTTTCTCGACCACATTTGCGCCCGTGTGAGCTTCGCTGCAGTGATCCGGCGCATTATAACTATCCAAAGTTACCCCCAAATCAAACCTGATCTTCCAAACATGTCGGCTGAAACTTCCGCTGCGTGGCCCGTCGCCGACCAGCAGATGACCCAGGAAATCCTAGATGTGAGTCGCATACCGGCAAAACCAAGTGTCTCGCAGTCACTGACTTTAGGATAGCTTTGCCAACAAGCCGCTCATTACAGGCAACTCAAAAAAGGTGCCAACGAGTGTACCAAAGCCCTCAACAGAGGTATTGCTGAAGTTGTCGTCCTTGCTGCCGACACGACTCCTCTCGCCATCATTCTTCACCTTCCGCTCCTCTGTGAGGATAAGAATGTTGCATACGTATATGTGCCATCGAAGAGTGAGTTGATACTTGGAACTTATACTTGATTTACGGTAGTGCTGACTTCTACTAGTGGCTCTCGGTCGTGCTTGCGGTGTCAGTCGTGCAGTTATCGGATGCTCAATTACCACGAACGAGGCCAGTTCTCTCATGGGACAGATCCGAGCCTTGAAGGACAAGGTTGAACGTCTTATGATCTAGAGAACATGTTCATATGGATATTGTGGAGATTATCATAGGCGCTGGGTTCTGACATGAATTTGGAACCCAAACGTTCCCATGAGACAGACGTAGATAAGCAAGTTGAAAATTTGCACACCGTCTATTGACCTCTATGGCTACATTTTTGACCCCGGCATTCGTCTAGTGTACTCCGTTAAGACCATCTCATTTCGAAAACTCATACGATATCTCGAAGCTATAGTTAGGATTGTAGTGCATCTCCCAGTACGCATCCCAAATAGTCTTCGTGACAGGACCGATCAGCCCATCGCCAACGGGCTTTCCATCAAGCTCTGTGATAGGCATAATACCGCCCGCCGTTGTGCACATAAATATCTCCTCCGCACTGTACGCCATCTTGACCGGCACCCTCTCAACCCTAGCCTCCACCCCTTTCTCCCTCGCAACGTCCATCACACTCAACCTCGTCACACCCTCCAACACCCCACTTGCAGGTGTATACAACACACCTCTGTTCACAAGCACAATGTTGTATCCCGGCCCCTCTGTCAATGCCCCCTGGCCATCTGTCAAAAACGGATATTTCGCACCCCGATCCCGTGCCTCGAGCACACCCCGTGTAAAATCTCCCCACTGGTGATTCTTGACCGTTGGATCCACACTATGCTCCGGAGTCCTGCTTACTGTCTTAGTGATCACCGCTGCTCCCGTGCCGGCAATCTGCATCTCCGGCGCCATGACCCAATAGTACGGCTTCATGATGATATACAAATTGTTCACCTGCTCGGCCTCAGACACTAGCATTGCGGGGAGCATACCCCGCGTCACGATGATATGCACATACACATCGCGCATTCCACTCAGCGCAGCCATCTCGATCAATTTCGCCTTCAGTTCCTCACGTGAGAGGGGGCTCTTGTACCGCATCTTGCTGCATGAGCGTTCAAATCGGTCCAGGTGGTCGTCGAGGCGGAAGAATCGCCCGTCCCAGATCGCAGGGACATCGTATGTAAGATCGCTCTTGAGGAAGCCTTGGTCTGTGATGGGAATGCGGGCATCGGCGAGAGGGACGAGTGTGTTGTCAATGCACGCGATACCGGCGGCGTATCTGTTACTAGGATAAGTTGACTGGAGGGTCGAGAGGCGAGACTGGTAGGCGGCGAAGACTTTTTGCATTGTCGCCATATTGGAGCTCTGGTGCGTGAGTTACTGATCGATCTACAGCACCTAGTGTGCGAGAAGAGTGTGTTGTGCCCCACTTCGAATGAGGAGGGCCTGAAGCTGTCTCTTATCGCAAGTCACAGAGCTGGCAATCGCAACCACCTCCTAAAAGTATGAGTGCTATAATCTTTCATCTTGAGTATGGTAGAGGTGAGTCCTGGGACTTTCCACTTTTTTCTTTGTCGTCAGCCTCCCTTTGCTTTTAACAATATGCCAAGATGTATCTTACGTTCTCTAAAAAGATCTAGAGTATCTACATTGCCTTACAAATACATGTGTACAGCACTAGAGCTGAAAACAATGTCATATGGTGCATCATTGGACCTAAGGCCGTGTTGTGCATCCTAAAGTGTTCACCTTCATGATTCGAAAGCGTACAGTTGCGAGACTTTTATCTCTTTTGGATGTCAACACGTGGTGGAAAGTTAGCGTTCGAGACGGAGCTTAACAGTAGAATTCGAAGACCAGTTGAGAAGAGACGGAAGAGTCCGGATGTGGGATGAACAAGTTTCAATTGAACACATGGACAAGAAAGGAAGTGGTAAGGATCTCATCTGAGCGGATGAGTTGAAGCCCAGTTTGCCCCTTTGAGCGACCGTCCTACCTCGAAATACGCGCAGATGATCATCTCTTTATGGCACCGGGTCCTGTACGTTACTTATAGATTTTGTACGCCACGTCAATGAGCAATGCATGGTCGAGATAGCCTGATCACTTACACAGTATAGAGCTTTACCATGACAGTGTGTGAAGATCGTTGAGTGAAATAGACGTAGCTTTGAAACAAAGCATTTGAATTATATCATTTCTCGGGGCTCATAATCCCAGTAGTAGAAGCATGTCAAATTGACCCCCATGTCATCAACAGCCCTCCAGCTTCGTAATCATGCCCTCTTCTACTTGCACACATCTACTCAAGAGTCGTCCCCAAACATCCTTACTCTCACGATCTTTATCTCCCTCAGTCAATGTCTTACGATCTCCAATTATAATGACGGCAGTCTTTGCCCTCGTCATAGCAACATTGAGCCTTCTCATGTCATTTAGGAACCCCAGTTCATTGTGATTGTTACAGCGAACAGAAACGAATATAATGATGTCTGCTTCGCGACCTTGGTAGCCGTCGATGCTGCTGATTTCATAAGCGAATATAAGTTTCTTGAGATTCTCGCATTGCTTGGAGTATGGGGCCAGAATGGCTATGCTAGGCTTGAGAGGAGCTTGAGCATCGGACGTCGCAGAAGGAGCCGCAGGCGTGCTTAGTAGCTCGCAAATCGTCTTACATAGTTTGGCCTGGCCTTGATTGCTCTTTGACTTCTGCCCAAGATCTTCCGGAAAAGAGCACTGTATGAAGAGGCTGCGAGCAAAAGGAGCATTAGCTCCAATTGATTGTCGTGGCCATGGGAATAGAGTGTCTGGTAGATGCCTTGCAGATTCGAGTACTTGAGTATGTAACCTGCCAGCGTAGAATTCCATAGACGGAAAAGCGCAAATGTCTTGGTGCATCCGGTATTGTGTATCCAGCATGACTTTGCCGACGCCATCACGATTGGGCATGTTGTAGTGACGCTCGAATAGAGAAATATCGAACTCTTGGTTGAGAGCATGCTTCTGCACAGTGGCACGTAGCTGCACATGGTCTCCTACCAGGACAGCCCGTTTACAGCCCTTCACAAGAGGTATCAACGTTTCCGGCTCTGTCATCTGAGATGCCTCGTCAATTAGGACGAATTCGAAACGTTCTTTTCTAAGAAGCCCTAAGCTTGCACCTGCACAAGTAGTAAACACTAAACGAGCTTCCTTGACGCGTTTCTGTGCTGCCTTGCGCCCTTTGAAGTCTGACGAGAGATCTTTGCCAACCATAGCATCACATGTATACTTCTTCATATCAGGGGATACTTTAAGCAGGCTTGTAGACACTCTGACAGGCTCGACACCGGTGCTCTTGACTCCATCCTCCGTGATGAACTTCCGCAACACGTTATCAACGGCATTGTGGCTGCTGCACGCAATGAGCAAGCGCGACTTAGGTGCCTCGTTTAAAAGGTCCCTGATGATCTTCACAATTGTGTATGTCTTTCCTGTGCCGGGTGGGCCCCAGAGAAAGCTCAGTGGGTACTTCATCGCAGCCTCCAAAGCCTGATTCTGGCTGACATTGAGGGTATCGTCTGATGTAAAAGCCAATTTATCGATTGAGGTTGGAGCACCATAATCGGGTAGACCAGCAATGCCTTTGTACAAAAAGCAGCAGGCCTCACGCTGTGTGTATAACGCAGTAATAGCGTCGAGCATTGACTTCGTGGTCACGAACGATCCACAATTCACCAAAGTCCACGAGCATTTGTCTACGTAGTTTGGTGGTGTATGTAGACATCGGAAAGTTGCAGAGCCAAGATCTGATTTTAGGACCAGGGCGTCTATGGAACAAGTGGGAGAAAAGGGCGAGTTTTGTGGTGCATTCGTGACCGTAAGTTGTACGTGATCTCCTATCTTCAGAGCGCCTGCCGTAGGAGCATCAATACGAAGTGTGGCCTTGACAACTGAGAAGCCATCATCTTGCACGGAATCGAATGTGAGACTTAAGGTGTCTTGCCTCTCGATCTTACTCTCGACAGCCTCATCAACGTAATTTAGTGCTGTACCGATGAGATTTCTCACGAAATTTCGAATCGCAAGTGGGCGCCCCACTAGAAGCCGAGATGTCTCTGGTTCAAGGGCCTCGAGGAACATGTCAAGGACAAGGTCAGTAGATCTGACAGTCAGAGCTATCAGTTCGACAAGATCTGCAAAGGCTTGGAACGTCAATTGCTTTAGTTGCATCAAGAGCAGCTTGAACGTGCCTAGCGCCAAACTCTGAAGGTTGTTTCCTGCTAGGACGATATTTCGAAGCATAGTGGGCGCAAGTTGAATCAACTTGTCTTCTAGGAACTCTTTGTTATTCTTCCAATATTCAGATTGGAGGAATGGTGTAATTAGATATGGATGCGTGATGAGAAATTCGAGTAAGTAAGTTGCAAAGACCGTTTGCGAATTCCGGTTAGACCAAGCACTGATGACGGTCAAAGCCCGCATAAAGAGATCTCGGAAGAGAGTCTTATTGTCGAAGGCAGAGAACAATTCGAGTACAGACCTCATTTGGTCTGAAGCTGAGATCTGATCGAGCACCTGAAGCTTACCACGCACGATTTGCTTAAATGCTGCAGGATGGGCTGTCCAATCAACCTCTTGTGGACTCGGAACGGTATACTCTTTGTTTTCTCGTTCATACAGAGGAAGAATCTCGTCCGTGTCTACGTATTCGAGCCATTGGTCTAGGAGCTGCATAGACTGGACGTCCCTATTGCTGATCGCGTAGATTTCCTGTAATGTATTAGTTACAGCCAGCATCATAACCTATTGAATGAGAGTAGGTGATATATATCAAGGCTACCCAAGGTCTGGCGGATAGCTTCAATATGAGATGTTGTACATACCGCTTGCAGGATGCCGGACCTCCGGATTCGTCCGACATGTCTCTGGATATCTGAGCTGATCTTTGCAAGATTGACACTTGCTACGCAATCGAAATTAACTCCATGATCGATTGTTTCTTGCCGTCGTCTCCGCCTATCAGTGGCATTCGTAGTATTGCGGTACGTAGAGTCATCAGATGCTGCAGCGTTTAAGAACACCCAAGTGTTAGCTCTCTTATTCTCGTAGAGTTGAAAACATGAGTGATCACAGTATATCCTGTAGTTTTGTTTCGTCGGAACCACACGATAGGACGTAGATGCAGAGCCCTGAGACCGTGGCAATGCAAATACACGCACCGAAGAGTCAACCTGGAATTCTTGAGCTCGCGAGATCTTTCGGGGCACATAGATGGCCAAAGTGAGTCGCTCGTCGACCGAGAATATAATGAGCTTCTTGTGAAACAGCTCAAGCGTTCGAGTTGTTGTTTCCAGGAATCGTCCCATTCGATCTACACCCGAACTAAAGATGCGCTTCCAATGCAATCTGTGATCGTCAAGCTGAAATCTCTTCAGTTCCATAGGCTCGACAAGCTCGGATTGCAGTAGACCATTCCACACGAGACTTGGAGCTTCCTTGCTAGGTGGCAAACAATTCGAAATCCAGAGCTTCTGCTCATCTGACAATGTGCAGAAGTCAAAGAAATCCTGAAAGTCGAGGATGTTTACTTTGTGCGCCTGACACCATTTCATGGTGAGCTGGATTAATTCGAATTCGGACATGGCTATTCTGTCTCGGTTTAGGAGTAGCTCCATAGCACCAAATGAAAGGCCTTCCCATTGGTTAGAACCTCGCTCTAGGCGGCTTTGTATTATCTCTTCGGCTGAGCGATGCAAAACATCGAGCACGAAGTCAGTCTTCTCTGGGCATTTGGGTGGGTCTTCGAGGTTGGGAGGCACCTTAATTCCGACACCGTCCACGCATTGACTGAACAAACGATTAAGCTGCTGGCATTCAGGGCTCATAGCACCTTTCAATCGAGCCCAGTCCAAGAACAGATGGTTTACTCTACCAAGCGATGCGTTCGTATAGCGAGCAAAATAGTCGGCTCGATCAGCATCAGACGTGCCTCCAAAATATACTGGCTCTCTCCCGGCCGGATATTCCGCAGGTTGTGACACAGTTCTCGGCACGATATCTGGATCCCAACAAACGAAGACTATAATCAGGTCAGAGGGCATTACGTGTGAATCAAAAGGTTTATACTTACACTTATCGCCGTCTAAGTCGCCTCCAGACATTAGATCCGCACTCGGACGCTTACCTTGGGTTGAGAATATTATACAGTCCCTCAGATGAGACCATTCAGGGATTTCCACAGCCTTGAACTTTTGCAGATCGCCTGGGTGCAAGCACGGATTTCGCGTGACTAGGACCTCAGTATTCACGACGGTGCGCGCAATCCCATCGCCAATTTCAGTGACTCTAACCATGCATTCACCTTCCCTCAGTCGTCCAGGAAGATTCATTGCAGACGATGGATCGCAAATCCCGAAGATCAGTCGTGACTTCGGAAGCATGATCCGGCACTTTGGCTCGCCTTTCTTATTCAGCATTTTGTCGTACTCTTGAAGTACAAGCTTCCGAGTCGATAACTTTACTGCATCTGCGCCTTCCATGAGGAGAGTTTCCACCAAATCAGTCCTGTCGCAGTATGAAAGAAATTGAAATGCCAGCATGAGATTATTTTCATCAGCTGCTCGAGCTAGAAAATCGAGGTACTGGTTCTGCTTCTGTAGCAGTACATCATTTGAGATACCGAGCGCGCTCAATAGCAGAACGATTTGGTCGTTCAAGTAGCCGAAAGTATAAGGCTAGCCTATATCAGAGCCTGTGATGTGATATGAATAAAGGAGAAACATACTTTAGAATAGGCTACCACTGAGAATGACAGGTCTGCGGCGTCTTTGAATTTTAGCATAGATTCGCGGAATTTGGCTTCAAGCTTTGGACCTAGAGACGGTTCCAAGGATAAAACACCTTTGTAGCCGCGATACCGTATCTGGAAAACCGAAGGCAGATACCTTTCATTGCGGTGAACGATACTCCTTCGACGTGCTAGTTCCTTAGCAAGGTGCATTGAGATTATGCCGCAACCATCAGTGAAATTGTAGTCTCCAACTAACACGTCTGGTATGTCCTCGCAACGTTCCGGCGAGAGGTTTTCGAAAACCGCCTCGGCACTCGAGAATAATAGGCCAAGCCTCTTTGCTTTCTTAGCAACTGTCTTAAGCTTCGAGAAATCGCCCATTGCATTGATCTTCTCGCTTATCCTGTCCTTCGTATCTGCGAGATTGAAGCATGACCTTGATTTAAGCTGGCTATTGCTATGTCCAAAGAAGTAGTAGGGTACCCCATTAAGGATAATACCAGTATTGAGCAAGCGAGAGACATATTCAGCAGATTCTCGGGCAGGTGCTTGCTTGTGTATTCCAGTGCTCTTGTCAGAAATCTGAAGTCTGAAGTCGGCGAAGGAGATTAGCATAAGCTTATCGAGAGATTCGGACTTTGTGACGCGATTTGACGGTGCGCTTTCGTAGCGCAGCTGTATCTCCTGGCGCGTAGAAGAGGCAATGACAGATACGGCCTTGATTAGATTCGCTTTGTTCGTTGCTTGGACGTCAGGCAGGGATACGGTATAGCTCCAAGACTTGTCGCTGGCATTAATGCTATTCTGGAGAATACATCGGAAGCCTCTCGCGTTCTTCTGCTTTGCCGTCATTGCTGAATAGCACCACGTAAGACGAGCCGAGCTGAGGAAGAATGCAGAGGACTTGATTCGCGCGCCACAATCTGGATCTCAACACTACGATTATCGCACATGGGTCGGACCCCACTCCAACCAACAGGATCAGTTCCGCGCGATCAATAAGCACGTTTGATCTTTCACTGGTGAGCGAGTTGAACTCCTCTGAACAAGCCTCAAACGTGCGCAAACAACCTTACCACAAACCAGTCATTCCGAGAAAGTGAATTTGCAACGAACAAGCCAGTCGTGACTGTGAACACATCAGTACCAAACTGCCGTCTCGAAAGTTGGTCTCAGTATATGTCCCCCTTTTGATGATATATGAGCTTGCATCCGAAGCTCTCACGGTCAAAGGTCGCCATGCTTTCAAGAACCAAAATGCCCCCAAACATTTACATCGTAGGTGCCCAATGCACTGGCAAGACCACGCTGGTAAAAGCTCTGGAGAAACACTTATCATCCCAGGAGATCGACGGAGTTGATCGAGGCCAGATCACGCCACCAACGATCATCACTGAGCTTGCGAGGACCATCATGAGGCGCCATGGCTATGATCGTTACGACATCACCTCAAAACCGGATCGCGCTTTCGAGCTTCAGAAACTGATTCTGCAAGGTCAGGCTGAGATAGAGACGAAACTGGCGCTGGACAAGGCAGGATGGTACATTTCAGATCGCTCCGGTATCGATCCCCTCGTCTACACCAAGCTGTACCGCGGGAACGATGGCATCGAGGAGCTGATCAAGTCAGAGCCATGGCAGCTACTCAAGGAGAAGATGAGACAGTCAGTTGTGATTGTTTGTGAAGCTGGATGTGACTGGCTCGTTGATGACGAGTTCAGGGTCATGCCTAAAGATGGAACAGATGAATGGATGCAATGGCATTACGCTTTCTTGGAGCTTTTGCGGTCGCAGAGAATCGACTATCACGTCATTCCAGCTTCAATGAAGAGCATTGATGATCGCGTCAAAGCGGTGTTGGCATTCTTGAGTGGGTTTGAGGAGAAGAGAATCCCGCGGATGGAGAAATGAATCGTTCTGGATGAATGGATGACATGAAGTCAAAGGAAGCGCGGCCGCACAAGGTTTAGTGTCACACTGCTGAGCTTTGGGGCAACCATCAATAGATCCATTCCCAAATAGAGACCAATCATTACGATACTCCCAGTGTTCATTTCAAATACATGGATTGGCTGAAGTCATTCACAAGACAGACTGCACACATACATACCCGCTCTTCCGTAAGCACCCAGTGATGATAGCAATGAACGGCGTCGAAATGCATTGTGCCAAACTAAGTCCGAGTCATCTCCGGGTGAGCTAGGCTTCAGTGAACATCCGAGGTCCTGTCACTTTAGAGGACGCCCGGTATGCAATTGTAATATTACCAGTGCATTGGCAATAATCTACCATATAGAACATCTCCACAAACACACTGGCATGGCTGCATTACGACCGTCTCTCTGGCGAGCCTTTCGACGTCTCAACACAAGAATAGCACAGCAGGCAAAGTGGGGAATCTTGCAAAGATGCACACCACTAAACAGTCGAGCCTTCTCCACAACGCAATCAAACCGGTTAATGGAAACATCAGGTTTCAATGAGGAGCAATTGACGGTTCGAGATGCTATACAGAAGATATGTTCGAATTATACAGATGTGCTACAGCCTATCACACCCAACGCGATTTGACGCTAAGCTGGAATAGGAATATTGGATGGAACATGATCAGAGCGGAGAGTATCCACACGAGCTCCATGCAGCATTGGCAAAGGATGGCTGGATAGGTATTGCGTTGCCAGAAGAACTTGGAGGTGCAGGTCTGGGTATCTCAGAGGCTACTATGATGCTTCATACAATCGCGGAGTGAGGCTGACTTCGAGATGGCGATATGTATTACTTATAAATTCTAGGAGTGGGGCCGGTATTGCTGGAGCACAGTCAATACATGCTAATGTTTATGCTACACAGGTTTGCCCTCGAGCGAATGCTGAAGATGGATGCTAACACATACAGCCTGTTGCCAAGTTCGCTACCCCTGAGCAACGACAAGAATGGCTTCCAAAGCTGATCAGGGGAGAATCACGGACCTGCTTCGGAGTGTCAGTCACTTCTATTCCAATCCTCCTCAGCTACGACTGATAAGCCCAGCACTGAACCGAACACCGGTCTCGAAACACTTAAACTCCGCACAACCGCCACTCGCGACGGCGACACGTACAGAATTAGCGGCCAAAAGATGTCCGTATACAACCAATGCCCCTTCCGTCATCTTCTTCCCTCTACTGAACTACACATAGCTGGATTTCATCCGCTCAAGTCGCCAGCCACATGGTGCTCCTGGCACGCACAACGCCCCTAGAATCCGTCACGAAAGCCTCCGAAGGCCTCTCGCTCTTTTATATTCCATTCGACCGCTCCCAACCAGGCCTAGATCTTCGCCGCATTCCAAAAATGGGTGGCCGCGCTGTCGATGCCAACGAAGTCTTCTTCGACAACTACACAGTCCCGGCATCGGCGCTCATCGGCGCCGAGGGTCAGGGGTTTAAGATCGTACTGCACGGCATGAACGCCGAGCGCTGTCTTCTGGCAGGCGAAGCCCTAGGCCTTGGATATGCGGCGCTGGGTCGAGCGGCAAAGTATGCGCGCGAGAGGGTGGTTTTCGGACGGCCTATTGGGATGAATCAGGGGATCCAGCACCCACTGGCGAGCGCATTCATGCATCTCGAGGCAGCCAAATTAAGCACCTATCACGCAGCGAGGCTTTATGATGCGAGTAGGACGGACTCGGGGGTGACGCAGCATGCAATTGGTGTGGCGTGTAACAGTGCGAAGTATCTTGCTGCGGAAGCAGCATTCGTAGCTTGTGAACGGGCGGTGATGGCATTAGGCGGGATGGGATATGCGCAGGAGTATCATGTGGAGAGGTATCTCCGAGAATGCTTTGTTCCACGGATTGCGCCGGTGAGCCGTGTAAGTATTATGCTGATGTCTACTTGTGATGGGATGGGATGTTGACAAAAGGGATAGGAGATGATCATGAACTTTATCGGCGAGAAGGCGTTGGGCTTACCGAGAAGCTACTAGGCCTTGACGGTAGTAATGAAAATGCAAGAAACCGACGGCGTATATATAACGTGATATACATATGTATATATAGTCAACGAGAGAGCATTGTATTTTAACAATATCTCAAAACACACCAACCCCTTCCAAAGTGTAACTCTACAAAGTAATCCCTATCTTGATTCAACATCAGTAGTAGAAACTGTGAATGGTAGCTGATAACTAGGAATATCGGGTTCGACATTATGTACGTGTTGTGGGATCCCTTGTTCGTTGTGCTGATGGTGTTGATTGAAATATACGGCCACGATCACGAACTACAAGACTCACGCATTCTACAGCATATGAGACGCTCGATATCCGCCGGACAACCAGCCCAAATTAATGTACTCGGGATTGTATTTTTGTCGGAGCTCACTCCATTCCTGGCTTGAGGATCGGTTTCAGAATCGTCCTGGTCTTTACATCGTCGAGCCTTCGTTTTCTGCTATCTGTGATGTGCGTGCCGATTGTGGCAGCGCCTCTACGCGTGAAGTACGGTGTTGAGTAAAGCGAGACAGTGCTCGGCCTCTGACTCAGCCCTTTCCATTTGGCAAGTGTTGCTCAACTGGGTGCTGGAACTGTCAGTGATGATTTTTTTACGTCCAGCAACTGAAGGGCTCTTCTGCACGCTTGCTATGATCATACATGTCCTGGATGGCCGATATGACGGGTGGAGTATTGGTCTCTGACGTTGTAACCCGTGTTGTGGCGCACGATGGTGGCTGTAGCCGTACGATAGTCACAGATCTCGTCCTCAAGAATCTCAAATGTTTTGGAAACGCTATCTTACGACCGCCTTCATAAGCGATGGTGATATAGTCATAGGAAATTATCGCATTGATACGAATGCCATCTGGTCCAGTCGGAGCAATTCATCGAGGCACATTCGTGGCATCTTGGGAAGGCCCAAGAAAGAAAGCGTCTACTCGAGAATGTCAGGGAGCTTGGGATATTGTTATACAGCCGCGGGATCCGTGATGTTTACTGGTTGGCTGTTTGACACCATATGAGCCATGAAGTTTGACATGCAAGTATATCTCCACGTATCGCTGTCACACACAGCAAGCTGATTAGACAAAACGAAGTGGCATATGAATTGCCTAGTTTCATTCGTAGTTTGCTTTTAGATTTTGTAACTATACAGTCTATTAGCAAATCAACCATGCAATAGTTGTACAATCCGCCCTAGAGCATTCCTTTGCGCCATGCCTTCGTGCCAAGATCTTCGATCTCTTTGTAATCCACTATTCCCTTTAGATCTTTTGTTTCCAAAGCCTCAACCACTGCCTCAGCAACGATGTCAGCCTTAAGAGGTTTCAGACCGCCTGCGCCCATTAACCATGTTAGACGATTGCCGGTCAAAGAATTCACCATAGAAGCCATGCCCCCAGCAACAGCTATAGGTAATGTGAACGTCCGAGAGGAGTCATAGAGAAAAGTTGGGCGGACGAAGAGGCTTCGCATGGAGGGAAATTTCGATGCTATGATCGATTCAGCTTCGCGCTTCGTGGTGATGTATCTTCCTGGAAGTATTGGTGCACCAGCAGCTGCAGATATGTATACGAAAGCCGGTACTTTGACTTCAGCGGCCTCTTTGGCTAAGAGGATGGCCGTGTCACGGTTCATGACTTCATAAGTGAGTTGTCCGTCCTTTTCTTGTGGCGAAAAGGTTTCTCCGGATTTCGAATCCAAGGGGTTCTGAGTGCCTTGCTTCGTCGAGCTAAAGGCTCGCTGTAAGCCCTGCCATGGTGACTCTTTGCCCTGCAATACTCCTTTATAGTCTGCTTCAAGCAATATCCCCATAGAATGTACTACGGCATAGGCACCTTCGAGATGCGATCGATAGGTAGAGGGTTGGAGGATGTTGGCCTTTTGCCATACGACAGACTTCGACCATGCCGGTGCTTCGGCAGAGGACGAGACTGATGACCACGTCGGCTCACCAGAGCGACTAAGTGCGAGTCAGTAATTCGTTTGCATGCAGTCATTGACGCCTCTGAGAACTTTGATCGGCGTGGGTCAAGCTAGTAGAATGAACCTGTGAATGCTTTGAAGACTGAATGCATCTTTCGTGAAATATGAACAATGAGATCACTACTCACCTTAAAGAAGTGACACTCCATCCTCGTGCAATTGCAGCTTTGCATATGCGAGTCCCTAAGCTTCACATCAGCGCCTGTAATCGCGGCCCATGCAGGTAGATGAAGCCTTGCTCCACTACCGGTCGCTAATGCAACCAGAATCAGCAAGCGACTCACCCAAAAACCCGTTACCGCCACAGACGACCAGCTTCTTCTTTGCAGCAGAGGCCATAGTTGTCACAGCAGGTGCATTGCCACTCTGGTGAATGAGCGGATGAAGTTTCGATGGGCTTGAGGAAGTGTTGACATCAGAGAAGCGAGCTAGCGGAGCTGCAACAGTGCAACAGGGCGTCTGGGCTGCAGGGATCACCTCCCTCCGCAGGCTCAGGCAGGTCTTTTGTTCGCTGTACAGTAATAGATGCCTCCACGCCGAACGACACGCGCCTCGTCCCCAGGCTCTGCGGGAGACTTGGACGCCTTTCTCGACCCTAAGACGGCCAAACAGCTCAGCAGTACCTTCAACGACTCCTACTACGACCGCAACAAGTCGCGTACCTCCTCAGCACCAAGCGCCAGTGGACCATCGATACCCAAGAAAGGCGCTGCGAAGAAAGGTACGTTACTGCGGTAGCCCCCCACACGCGCTTCAGCCAGTTTCAGAGCAAGAGGGGCAAAGAAGGCTACCTAGGTGCCAATCACCACCCTTCGTGCCCAGAATTATTTCGCGGCGAAGACAAACAACATTTCCACTTGCACATCGCAAAGGATCCGGCGCTGACTTGTTCTCGCCATGCCAGCTCCCGCAGGTACCAAGCGCGTCAAGGTACTATAGTTCACCCTCGTATCGTACTCAATAGTCGCATGCTAACGGCAGCCAGGGCAAGCGCATAACTCGAAGCTTCAGTACGTTCGCGACCTCCTGCTCGCGCACACACCTGCTCACTCAGAATTACAGTCATCGGATCCGAATCATGGCCACTCGATGACACCAACCGCCATGAGGGCATTCCCAAAGATCACACCAAAGGCTGGCGTGTATATATCAAGAACATCGAAGGCGGGCCCGACATCACGACATGGCTACAGAAAGTGCAGTTCAAGATCTTCCACTCGTACCCGAATCCTCATCGCATGATAGATAAGTGCAAGGATCAGTGCTTCGAGGTCCGCGAGACGGGCTGGGGCGGCTTCAATATCGACCTTCGGCTATTCTTCCAACCCGTCGCGCACGAGAAGCCGCAGTACCGCCTGCATTTCCTTCAGCTAGAGCCGTACGGGACAGAGGCAGACAAGCTCGAGCAAGTCGAGAAGAAGATGGTGCGCAGCGAAATTTGCGAAATGATAGAATTCAATGAGCCGACCGAGGCCTTTTTCAATGCGCTCACAGACCCCAAGCAATTCGACTATCTGTCGAAGGACAAACATAAGGGCAAGAAAGGCGTCGGCACATTCGGGCTCGGATATAGTGTCGAACTTGCGGAACAAACGACACCGACAAATCCATATACGAAGGAGCTGGAAAGAAAACAGGTGCAGACCTTTGAGGCAGCGGAGAAGGTGGTTGAAAGATTGATGATCGAGGAGAAAGGGCATACCGAGGAAATGGCGAAGCGCAAAGCGGCGCTGAAAGAGGAGGAGCGAAAGGTGCTGGCGGAGCTGGAAACTGTGCGTGCCGCGAAAAGGGCTGCTGCGGCATGATGAAGCTCTGTATGTTATCACTTCCGATTCAGGGGCGTTCTGGGGATAGGCGTTCGTCAGAAAAGACGGGTATACTACGTGGCAGCCTGGCGTCTCACACTACTAGGAATCATATGAGAGTTGGTGCTTGTAAATATTTTAGTTCACATCTCCAGAAATATACGCACTGTCTAATTCCACCTGCCCTTTCTCCTATTCACGCTATCCGCACTATCATGAATTGATTTGCTTCATGAAACACATCACAACACCCTGAATCAGGAGATAGCCCGACTCAGGCATTGGCGCTACTGTTGGTGTCGGCTTCTCAGCTATTCTTGTTCACCTGACGGTAATCTGCTGAGCCAGTTCATGCAAGAATTCTTCTGTTCAATAATCCCCGGGCTTTGGTGCTGGATCCTCATGGTCTAGACTCGTACCTGAGTGATTGATCATGGCGCGCGGCACGTTCTATCATTGTGCTGCAGGTACGAATCATGCCATTAAGTTCCCTAAGAATGATATCACATGCAAGTCCCATTGAGATTTGAACGAGTATACCAGCATTACCGGTACTAATCAGTCTTTACTCGAGGGCATATCCTATTTTAGATCCTACTGTGTGGTGATTGCCAGCCATTCCACAAACATGCACTGGACTAAATCGCAAGTAACCAGAGTGCGACGACGATTTATCGTCAACAACGTCGATTTGAGAGGCAAGGCGCGGGCGGGAATTGGAATCACTCAAGGGGCCAGAAAGCCTTGTGTTGTTTTCAGTAAGAAATTTTCTACGCGGTAGGTAGCGTGGCATAATGATAGAATGACACACGCGATCGGTTGGAGGGTGCACGTAACATTGCGATAGTTTGCTGTTCTATTGGCCAGACGACACTGTTCTGTGTTATGGATCTTGAAATCGCCTATGATCATGTTCGTAAATACGAGACTAAGCTCAGGTAGACGCTGTACAGACCAGCCTCGAAATGGATTGCCTGTTCTATCTTTTGCTTCGGTCTCCAATGACTATCGTTCTCGAATACAACAGTTCAACTGATTCATCTTGAAGACTCTATACCATAGTGTGAAGAAGTTCTATTTCTGGCACAGCCCCCAACGTGTTTTAGTACGCTCACTTATTTTATTTTGTCGGCCGAGCTAGGATACATGGATGGACACGTTTCTGCTCGGCAAACGTTTTTGAGTCTTCGCCGTAGGAACCTATCGAGTCTTTTGTCCAACGAAGATTTGAAACCAAAGGATGTGATCCCCCAAACTGACAGCGCGGAAAGAAAGGTCGCACTCACTGACATCCTATAGTTCCCGCAAACCACTCGGTCGCATTCACTCACGAGTACACGTGCACCATTATGTGCATATGGCTTTACAGCGACTTCTTAGACTCCTTGAACCTCTCTATTTGACGTCCCAAATTGGGTCTGGCTATATCCTGTGATCATCCTGTCCTTCGATTTGTCCCTGAAGTTTCCTAAGCTTAGGGCGTCGGCTGTCATCATCACTCCGCCCAGATTATCGGCTTACATGCAGGTACGGCCCGCCTGTAGGTACTGCACTTGAAAATAGACCAGGACCAGGCTATGGCATAATCTCAATGGGGCGTGCAAGATTATGTTGGATGTTTCATGATGGATTATGTTCCATTGTCGCCCCGCAATCCATACAACGTTCTCATTTGCCAAGCGTCATGTTGGTATTCGTGGACATAGTGCGCCGCTCTATCCCTATCAAATCTTACAAGCGACAGACCTATGTGCTGTACTCATTCCTGAATCAGCATGTTGCTCACATCGCATAATCGCGGAACGCACCTCCAGGGCTAACGAGGCGTTCCATGGATTTATCTGACCATCCGCGCATCTCAGGGCTAGGCATTTCTGGCGACATGTTGTAGTCGTACTATATAAGGCCTTGCAATGCCACAGTAAGTTGATTTATTTGTCGGCCACCACTTGTTTTTCAATCCTCCATCTGAGTCGCAAAAGCACACGACCTGTTGCAATAATACCATACCAACGCATTGCCTACGTTGTGCATCGGACCTTCTTCTTTCTATCCACAAGATCAAACCCTCCTTCTTTTCATCTATCCTCGAGGTCAAAACCTTCTTGTTTCTTTCCACAAGATCAACCTCTTCCTTCTTTCTATCCACAGGTCCAAATCCCTCTTCATTCTATCCACAGGATCAGACAACATGATCTCCAAGGCTTCATTTTTCCTCCTCGCTGTTTCCATATTGGCTGGCAACCCCACCGCAGCCAATGTTCTGCCTGCTCCAGGAGCGCCCCTTTCCGAATATGCCAATCTGACCCTCGCTGGAGAAGCTATCATTGTCAACAACTGCCCTTTCGACGTCTTTGCGTACTCCGTAGACTGTGACAGAGGGTTCACCGCAGCTGAAGAATTCATTGTCCGAAAACGCAGCGTTTACAAGGAGCCAATTCGGATCCCTTCTAACCTAGGGGGAATCTCTATCAAAATCAATACCATGAGCACTGCTGGACCTGCGCAAGTCATCACCCAGCTCGAGTACACTGTCGCACCCCCAACACCATACAGCGCAGATCCCGGGGTCTTCAAGATGCCTGGCATGATCTACTACGACCTTTCATTTGTCGACTGTGCTATGTCGGCTGCTACTGGTGCAGAGCGCTGTCCTCTCTGGGTAAATGGTCTTGCCGCAATCTGTGATGGTGAAGATGAAGGCTGCGAAAATTTGGTCTGCCCGCCCAATACTGAGTGTCCATCAGCGGCATACTACGACCCGAGCGGGTCCGCGTCGGTCAGGCTTCAGCCGGACGGTACCTACAAGAATCAGCAGCCAAACTCAGCGGTTGTAGGCCTGGATAAATCCATCCGCTTCACGCTGTGCGAATCGACAAGTGCTCTCAAAAGGGGTGCCACAAGCTTTATCGCATAGGCAGTTTCTTCTTGCTGTTGTTGCATTCTTTCTTCCCTAAAGCAAAATATCGAAAAAAAACTGGGCATACCCAAGCGAGGTGTTCTTTTGGATGATTATATACCCCATTATTCCACTTATTGCTAGAATTTTAGCAGTTATTGTACATACGAGGTGAGGCGGTACTTTACATCTAGACTACTTAAAAACACAATAAAAAAGAGTCAAGTACATCATACACTATAGCTCGCACTCTGTAACTATATGCTAATATCGCATTGGCAACTCCATGTATAGGTTTTTTTCTCACCGTGCTGACCGGCATAAACTTATTTTCCACTTTATGCGCACACGCATCAACGTCCAACTTCATGGATTCCAGAAGGCGTTAGATCGTCCGCCCGACCCGTTCCGCGCTAGCGTCATGACGGCTAGATCCAGGCACGGCCTAGGTTTGTGCTCGAGCCTAGATCTATTTTCATCCCTTGCATCGCCCCCCAGCCGCCCTGCATGATGAACACACGTCAGACGTCGTTTCATGCGCCCCCCAAAACGTGGTGGCTGTGCCGATCAGTTTCGACGATATGTTGGATACAACGCATGTACTGTGGAGATGAAGTTTGGTGTTGGTGGTGGTAGTGGTGGGTGGTGAGCTGAGCTGAGACGTTTGTAGCAGTACCTGTAGACTTAACGATTACTGTAACCCCACCTATTCAGTGGCTCCCCGCGTCCAAAGTCCATGATTTGCGCCCCTGCGGATTTGCGGTTTTGAGAAGAGATGGTCTTGAATCTTTCTGCATTGTTTGGTGATAGCAAAACTGTCATTTCACGAATGTTTCAAATCGTAGCAGCACTAGAACTCTTGCATGATGTGTAGCAATGCGAGTAAAGAAAGCCTTACGAGCAAATTAAAGGAGCAGATAGGCCCCTGTTATATGCCTGGGCATGTTGCCTCAAATGCTTACGATCCATGGCTATGTGAGATATACGCGATTTCCATGTGAACCCTCAACCAGGCTTCCTTGACTGATCCCACCATGTGCCTTCAAGAGCGCATTTCCATTCTGACCGTAGCATAGTGAATGCTGTGCAGTGTCTCAAATAAGTTCAGTAAACAGATGCTATGTCGTCTCTACTGCACGTGCGTACAGCCGTGGATATCGTTACGAAGGAAGGCATGCATTTGCCTGTACTTTCATCGCCCGTTACGCCAAAAAAAGCCGACAGATTTTCCCATCCATTCCATGCCATCCCAAGGTCACGATTGTGTTTCATGAAGCACTGATACTGTCTTTCTTGCCTGGATCCCGATCGTCCACTCCCCCACCCAAGTAGTCTGCACCCTCCGCGTCTTCGTACTCCTTGATCAGATCCGTCGCTACCTCCCTCGCATCGTCAAACTCTTCGAATCCATCTGCGAACATGGCTTCTCGTTTGTACATCTCCAAGAACGCGTTGCGTTTCCGTAGTCTGTCGTATTGTGAGACAATGCGTTTGAACAGCGTCGAGATACCGGTATGATTGGCAAGCATCAGGCCGGACACACGATGTGATGACTGAATATATGGCGACTTGCGGGTGAGTGCGACCTGAATCGATGCTGGTCCCCACGGTATGAATGTTGCTAATCTCCGCTCGCGGATACGGAGAAGCGATTTGTGGACCTATTCTTGTCAGATCATAACACTCCACGCTTCATTTGCGACTCACATCTGTTGGGTCAGCCTCGCCTTGAATGATGTTGAGTATAGATATGTAACAACTGGTCTTGCTTGGATTTGTCGATACCATGCGATTCTTTGGCTGTAACAGCCGCCGCATGACGTCTAGTACTGTTGTCTTTCGGACAGTCTTTGCTTGTTCGATGTTATCACTGGTAAAGGGGGTATAGGAGGTCATGAGGAAATGGCAGCGCGGCGTCGGGATGAGCGAGGCTACGATGCCTACGAGGTCGTTATGCATATAGCCTGGGTATCGAAGGGTGGTAGTACTGGCAGACATCACGGTCGAGACAAGCTGATTGGTTTGTTGGAAGGATGGCTCCTGAACGTGGAGTCGGTCTGCTGCTATCCTTGACAGTGCACCGTTGTCAAGAACAACCTACAATTGTTAGAGATTCTATCTTTGGAAAGCTGTATCTCCACTTACAACTGAGTCGGCATGTTGTGTCAACCTCTTCATGGCCAGGAGGCTGTTATAAGGTTGTACGACGACTTCAGAGCTCTGCATATCAGGGAAGACTGAGTATGTTTGGACTAGCTTCTTTGGAAACCTGTCGCTCAGCCGCTCCAGCATGAAACTACCCATACCAGACCCTGTTCCACCCGCAATTGAGTGTAGTAGCATGAAGCCCTGAACTCGAATTAGTGAACAACGTCTTGTTCACGGTCTCCTTCCTCTTACCTCTAGTGAATCACTCCCATCTGCCTCGCGATCAATCATGTCTATAACATCATCATAGACCGACTCGCCCATAGAGTAGCCCTGCGCCCAATTGTTCCCCGCCCCGGTCCCCTCCTTGTGTATGTAGAAATTCTCGGGATTGTAGATGTTCTTGTATGCGCTTTGTTGAATGCCATGGAGGACTCGAGGTTCTAGATCCAGAAGAATCGCACGTGGAATGTATCTTGTATCATCGGACTGTTCACAAGTCAACATCGCGCGCCTCGCGCACTTATTACAAGCTGTACCTGGTAAAAGAACACGTCTTTCCTGTCACCGCCTTCAGTCGCAAAGTCTTCGAGATTGCCGTCGCGATTGATTCCATGCTCCTGACATAGTTGTTGCCAGAATTGACTACCCACTGAAGGCCACTTAGTATTGAGTTTGGAGCGATAGGTTCGTGGTAATGTTTGAGTCTCTTCTTGGAGGGGTATACGCACCGCTGTTACCACACTGGCCGGCCTGTATAGTGATTATTTCCCTGTTGCTTGCATCAGTCCTCATATCGCGCGTAGCCCCCGATTTCGAGTACGCACCTAGGCATTGTGTGGGCTTGAGTCAAAACTGCGCAGCGATACTCTCTGCCCTGCGTATCAGAAAGTACGATGGATTGACGCGTTTGGTGGGGTCACGGCGCGTCAGGGTTGCTGCTAACCACACTAAGCTCTCATTGGTGTGGAGGGGCAGCATGGTATGTAAGGCGTGAACGATGATTTTGCTTGTCACAAATCAGGGGTATATATTGACCATTCAGAATTAGACATATTAGTAGGATTACAACTATCTTGAATTCTCATGCTACGTCTCACGTCAATAACGCCGTCGCTGTAGATATCCTCTCCTCCAACAGCTTCGTCGAAGGCTTGCAGTGATGGTTTATAGTAATATATCTCATACTAGCAGTCCTGACAATCTTGACATACTCCTGCGCTATGTCGGCGAGGGTGTCTACTACACAGCAGATCTCATCCTCTCCGATTGGAGTACGAACTGATTGTTGAACCTGTTGCACTAGACTAGATAATGACATGGAAGCGGTGGAGTCCCCGCGTCGCTTTTCTTGAGCGATGAGAGTGATGATATCCAAGACCTCTGAAGCTCGCGAAAGGGCTGCTTTTCGGGCAAGCTCCTGCTTGGAGAGTTGCTTCTTTGGCGACGCAGCAGCGGCTGCTTGCTTAGCTCGGATGCGGTCCAGAAGCGAGGATCCGCGCGATGAAGCAGAAGGAGATGGCGAAGGCGAGGGTAGGTTTTTGATTTTCTTTGTCGGTGTACTTGGCAGTTTTGCTGATGGTGACCTGGAGCCATTCGACTTGAGCTCTGCATAGAGCAGCTCGCCTCTTCGTTTGGAAGGGGTGAGTGCCTCTAGTGATGGACTCAGGGTTATAACTGCTCGCGGAAGTTGTTCAATGAACAACGCAACTTGCTCAGAAGACGGGACTTCCACAGACTTTGCTTTGGTAATGTTGTGACTTTTTGTCGAGATTGATGTTCCTTTTCGGCGCTTCTGAGGAGTGATTGAGGCGTCTTCAATGGTGCGCTTCCGTTTCTTAGGAGATTCCGGCCCGCTCGAAACGTCCTCGGCCACTTCAGACTGCACTTGAGCAGCGGACCACCTAGACCAGCTACCTTTCAGAGCCTCCTCGAAGACTTTAAGTAGCCGATCCTCATCAATTTGCCTATCCATAACTGAACCTCTCGTGAGTTCGCCGTCAAGTTCGATGCACACCCTTCCCCGACCATAGTCAGTAAGTCTAAGCTTCGTGATGCTGGGAGAGGAACATTCAGATGAGCTCTGTAGCTGGCCGATACAGATCTGTATATCATCAACAGTGACCTTTCGCTTGCGATAAAGTCGAGTCAATGAAGGAACAAGACTGGTTAGATCGACGGGTGCTGATGTTCCATTATGTGCGTAGTGTAAAGATAGCGCAGACAACATGGAAGAATGGAGTTGGATGAGATGGTTCAATTCGACTGGTAGTTCAACGCCACATGGCGGTTCGGCCATTGCGATGAATATTTGGGCGAGTTGATAGAATAAGACTGGTGTTTATGATGCTTTCTTTGAAGATACTCGTTGGATGATAGAAGAAGACGCGTCGGAAGACGGGACGCGTAAAGTGGTTTGGAGAACTGCATTATTCCGTGTGGCTGGTTAGCGCAGCCACAACTTGGCATCGATGAAACACTAACGACACGTATTACCGTGCTACTGATCATATGCCGCGCAACAAGCCAAGCAGCTACGATGGGTCTCTCTATATCTTCCAGCGTTTTACGAGTCCGCCACTGGAATCGACGACACTAAGAGCAAAGACAAATGCCCATGTGGCTTCTCTTCTTTGGCGTTTGAGTTGCGTGACGGGTATATCACGCAGCTTGGCGGAACTCCAAGTACACTCACCCGGTGCTTGAAAAGCTTCATTCGAAAGTCGCTACATCACTTAGACTTATCCTTTGACTATATCATACCGTACTGAGCCAATGATGACCCTCGTTCTATCAATTGGCAATAACATACCATCAGGGACAAAGAGAAGCCAATAAAAGTCAATCTCGAGATACCGGTCGATGCTCATGAGAATTCATTTATACTCGTTGCATATCTAGACTCATGCCAATCCAATCCTCATCCCAGCAAACTCTGATACACCTGGTGCCAGAAAGGTGATATAGGTGCAGAGTTTCATTCTTCAGACGTGGTAGAGAATGACTATCATAACTCGACCATAGCCAATAACGTAACCCCTCTCTTCGTCTCTTCGATCTCCCCAGCGTCACGTTTCAACTTCTCAGCAGACGCTGGCTCATCTCCATCTGGCTGCGCACCATTCGCGGCCGAGTCAACCGGAACATTGATTCCTGGTCCAACCACGACACCAACGCCGCTCCCGCCCTCGCCTGTGCCAAGCTCAATCTTGGGCTGGTTCGTCATGGCCTCCTTTGCGTAGTCGAGGGCTTGCTTGAAGTCGCGAATCTTGAGCTTGCGTGCTGCGTCCGCACCGTCAGCTTCAACTTCGCGCTTCACATTTGGGATCGCTGAAGGGTCAAGGCTCTTGCGGATTGCAGCTGCTGGACTGCCATCTTCTGCTGCTTCGCCAGCCTCGACCGTGGGAGTCTCGACTTGCGCCTCGGTGGGTGGTGCACCCTCACCTTGTTCGCCCTCTCCTTGTCCGTTTGCTTGTGCTGCATCGGCAGCTCCTGTGGCGAGCGTACTCATCAACGTACTGGCTTCACCTGCTCCGCCAAGTGATATCTCTCCATCACCCACCACCAAAGCGGGCGAGTAGGCGCCCAGGTTGATGTTTAGGGGGACAGCATAGACCTGGACGGCGGCGAGGAAAGTGAAAAAGATAGGATATTGGAGCATCATGATCACGTTGTGATTCTGGTGAGTAATGTTCTATGCAGGTGGATAACAGGAAGAGAACTGGTAACTATTCAGGGAACTCTGCCAGGAGCCGAGGATAAAGAATATGAAATGAGTAGAAGTGAATGCAGAGGCCAGCCTGATGGAGAACAAAGCCAGACATTGATCCTCCGAGCAGCCTCTTATATAGACACATGAATAGATACAGACAGCTGCCGGTCCATTCTCGACTGAACCATACACGCCAAGCGGCAGCATACAAGCTGGTGAAACAACACCGAAGTCGGGGAGGTCTTTTGCCAGGCATGGAGAGCATAGTTATTCAGTAGTAAGAACCCCTCACTCCGTACAAACCAACCTAAGAAGCGCTGGTAGTTCCGAACACACGTAACGTGCACCTAGGCCAAGTCGTATCTGCAGCGTTTGAGAACAAGGATCAAATCCATCTCCCACACTGCTTGGCAGCGGGGCGGGACCTGGGGTATGGAACCTCGCCTGAACCCTCGACAAGGGACAAGCAGAGGTTTAGCGTCTTTTCTCCTTGGAAGCATGCATTGATCTCTCTAACAGATTAGGCCGCTGCTGGGTGTCACAGCTGTGTCTTCGCCAGTACGTGCTCGGGGAGCTTGCCGTAGTTTGCCGAGTTAAGGTATAGAAGGGTTGTTGGAAAGGTTAGCATGAATCAATTATGTCTCACCAGAGTACCGGAAGCAATACAATCACAGCTTTATATGCTTGGCGGTGGCATAATAGAAACTACAGTGGCGATGCCGTAGCTCTTTCCGGATGATCTTGCACATGCAAGTATCGTGTCTGATATCTTAACATGAGTTTGTGTATTCGACTAAGCGAGTAAATTTAGGAACAGACGTTGCACTGGCTATTAATAAAGTCCTCTATCAGAACAGCCAAGTCATGCATTTCCATATGCAGACATTGCTTCGCAATGCTTATGCATATTTATACCTGGACTGGATGACCAACAAACCTGGCACTCCAAGGTGAATATAATGCTAGCTTTTCCTTGAATGCTGATGTTATGTTGATTTTATTGCACAATGCAACCAAGTCTATGGTCCTAGTAGGTCTAGTTGTGAAATACAGCTACGTTACACTGTCGGTGAATACTAGTGTTTGTTTTATGTGTCGATAGAGCGTCATGTACGTTTCGAGAATTGCAACAGGCCTATATATGACAATAGATTCAATCAATTATAAAGCTCGTCTATTCGAGCACCCAAAACAAATCCAAAACGCCTATCTAATCGTCTATGCCCGCATTCACAGTCTATGTACAGCCCGTCTCTTTCTACATCATCTGACCATTACATTAACAATCTCTTATTTCCCCTTCCCATATATTGCCTGCCGTACCCCGTAACGTAAAGCCATCACGATATCGTATGCCCATCCGCCCCAGCCTCTAACCTTCTCAATCGCATGCAGGATCTCCAAAAAGTTCTTGCTCATCAGCTCCGTATCCTCCCAGTCGTCCGCATACGCCTCCCACAGCGCTTGTTCAGGAATGTCCTTCCCAGCACCCTTCTGCACTAGTTGAAACTCTCCAGTAGTCTCGTTCTGCTGCAACTTGACCTTCGGACCAACGACAATCGCACGTCCGACAACCCGTGGGTCACTGACGAACCGCGAGGCAGCGTCGACGACATCTTCGACTTTTCCAGTGGCGCCACCTGCCAAGGCAATGCGGCCGGCTACAGGCACGATGGGTGTGTCGATGAAGTACGGGCACACCATATTGATCCGGATGCCGGAGACAAAGCACGTTGAGCGCAGCGCGCGGAAGAGACCGAGGACAGCATGCTTGGAAGACGTGTACTGCGGCTGTGGCGCAAGAGGACCGATGCTTGCCATGCTACCCAGCAACAAGATGTGGCGATCACGAGGTCCGCGAGTCGTTGGGTGTGTGGTAAGGTCAACGTGGCGGTTCGAGGTCGGGTTGCGCGGGAGCCAGAATAGGGCCAAGTGGACGGTGTACAGCACGCCAAAGTAGTTGATCTGGGCAATGCGGAGATCTGGTGGGGGAGGCTCCGCAGCGTCTAGGTTTTTAGGGGTGAGCAAGGGGTCGACGTTCGCAATGCCGGCGTTTGCCACAACGGTGTCGATGCCGCCTGTTGGGGAGAGTTCGACGGCCTTCTTGAAGAACGAGACCATGGACTGCCAGTCGAGCACGTTGGCGTGAATGAAGTAGACTGCTGTGCGGCCGACGGAGGAGTTGACTTCGGCCGCGAGCTTACTGCCGCCGTCGGTGTTGATGTCGCCCATGATGACGGTTGCGCCGTTGGTGGCCCATTTGCGTACGAAGGCAGCACCGAAGCCGGACGCGCCGCCCGTGATCAGAATCACGCGGTCTTTGACCCAGGCTACGTCGTAGGGAATGGAGAAGTCAAGGGGAGGCGACATCTTGATGATATGCTGCGTGTTAAGCCTGGCGGCTCCCTCTACTACAGGTTCTGCCATGGTGGAAATATAGGGGAAACAGGGGATTGAATTGGAATCTGGGGTACAGTAGGGTCAATACCTTTCTTGGGGATGTTTGAATTATATAACTGCCACATAAACTAGTTACATATTAGGGTAGTTAGCTTTCTGCTTGACCACATCCAGATGCCTCGGTACAATGTAAGTCTAGGACGCCTTGGTGGAGGCACTAGGTAGATCTGTAGCCAGATTTGGCATTGCTTACGAGCTTTCGAAGCTTCCCAGACATCCCGAGGCACAAGTCTCAAAACCCGAAAGCTGTGGCTGGGATGAGTGTGAATGTATATGTTTACATTGTGGTTGTTGTTGTTATAGAATGCAGACCATTGACGTCGATAGCAAGCATGCATATACCCAGGGAAGGGCCACGTGCCGCTAGTACGGAAACGGAAATTCGACCGCGGACCACAACTCGCGTAAACGGGAGATTTACGTCTGCAGATGCCCCGCGTGCTCGGAGCCCGATCCCGACAATATTAGAACCATGGCTCTCCATCTTTTTGCATGAAGCCTGATCTCAAAACAACACCTGTCAAGCGCACTCTCTCGCGCGTGTTCAGTACCGCGGTTCGATTGTGAGACTGCCGGTACGCGTGGACGACGAGCTGCTGCGAACGACAAGTACGCGGACTCCAGGCGGCTTGATCAAGGAACTTTGACATCATCCGCCGAATTCCCACACAAATTCATTTCACTGCGTCCTCTCGGGCATACACGCTTCCGTGCTTCGAACTCGTCGTCATGGCTGCTCTCGCTGTTAGTCCTCCGCCGACTGGCACTCACATTGTTGCGACATTGTTCTATTCAACCACTCTACCTCCTGAGGCTCGCATCCATCCCGATTCTACTCATCACAATCCCCATGACATCATCCCGACCGCCTCTCTGACCTCCCTGACTCATGGCTCCGTACCAACTGAGAACATTGATAATTACCCCCTTGAGCCACCGACACCTGGCCCGAATCCCCTTGATCACCTTTATGGTTCATACATATCTCGGGGATGTCTGACGAGCTTCCGGCAAGCTTTAGCCAAGGTCATTCCAAACTTCCACGATAAGAGCGTACTAGAGAAGGCATTGGATAATCCGTCATGGCCAAGGGTGATGGAAGTCACGTTCTTCATTCCCACCGGATCACAGATTACGGTCGAGAGCCTGCGGAGGAACGAGACAATCTCCCGCTATGAGCGAGAATGGAGCATCGAGACAGTCTTTCAAGTCAATGACGTGTGGAGGAGGTACAAGAGACTGGCAGTATTCGACATGGACTCCACCTTGATCCAACAAGAAGTCATCGACGAAATTGCGCGCGAGATAGGCGTGGTCAAGGAGGTCAGTGCCATCACTGCTGCAGCAATGAACGGAGAGCTAGACTTTGAGGAATCCCTTCGTAGGCGCTGTGCGTTACTGAAGGGAGTGCCGAGCACGGTGTGGGAGACGCTGAAAACGCGTATCACTCTCAATACCGGTGCAGCTGATCTCGTTAGAAGTCTCAAAAAGCTGGGTTTCAAGACCGCAGTCCTCAGCGGCGGTTTCACCCCCTTGGCGGGCTGGCTTGCCGGGGAGCTTGGCCTTGACTACTTCCACGCCAATCACCTGGTCGTCAGTGCAGATGGCGCGACGTTGACAGGAGAGGTCACTGGCGAGATCGTGCATGCCGAGCGGAAACGCTTACATGTATTAGACATTGCGGCGAAAGAAGGCGTCTCCCTACAGCAGGTGATTGCTGTTGGTGATGGTGCAAATGACTTGCCCATGATGGGTGTTGCTGGTATAGGTGTCGCCTTCCACGCAAAGCCGAGAGTACAGATGGAGGCTCCCGCAAGGTTGAACACGTCGACGCTGACTGACGTACTGTATTTGTTCGGTCTCACAAAAGAGGAGCAAGAAGAGCTCTTGAGGTGAGCAATACTGGACCAGTGCAGGATCCACTGTCCATCTGTATGGAATAGCCTACCGAAGAGAAATATACCCATTATTAGTTCATGCTTGTCAACAACTTATCACTGCCTTGTACTTACATGCGTACTTCCCTTGGACCTGATCTCATGCTCAATAAGATGGGACCTGCTAGATGCACACCAATAGCTGGAGTTGATAGATAAAGACTTGAAAGCGCCCGAAGACACTCGGGTATGGTGCAGGGGCATATGAACCAGAAATCGTAGACAGTTTGTAGTACTACAACGTATTCTCAATACACTCGGAAAGTATGAGACTCATTAATTCTAAAGATACAGGTAGATATCGTACTAGTATACCAGGATACCAGCGCCCCTGACCGAACTCATACCTAAATTAGAATAGTGGCTGGTGTAAGGTGTGGCGCGCTTGCAGTGGTTCCCCGAGCTTAAATCGACTGGGTTTTTCACGCTAGCAAGCATCGATATCCCAGCGCGAATCGGCGCCACAGGCTGACATCGCCGCTGTCGTCTTCCCTGTCAAGTACATTTACTACCTTAGGTTTTAGGGTGTAGGGTGTCCACAATCACTTCTCATTCACTGCTATAATTCTAGTGCATGCAGAACTCTTCTCTCCTCCAGTCGTGCGGGCGAGTCTAGAGAGAGAGCGCGGTGGCTAGATTCGCAGCTTTCTCTGCACGCGACTGCATCATCGCCTGCGCTGGAATGAGGTCATCCCGCGAGCATTTCTAAATTCAGTTCTACCCTCGTCTCGAGCCTCTTGGCTTTTTTGTACCACGTTCTCACGCCTTTTTGCCCAGAAGGCTGCTATTGTCTCACCGACATGGCTGACCTCCGCGACGAAGCTGACAATGCTGTTGTGCATACCGTGGTCCCGCCTGCCACCGACTTCCCATACCCATCGTCCAGCGACGCAGCATCAGAGACCTCGGTAGCGAAGCCGGCTCCTGAGACTGACAAAGAACCTCCAATACCCACCAAGAATGGCGTTCCCCAACCTCGCAAAGCGCAGACTGTACCAGCAGACCTTGGCGCTGTCAAACGTAGCAGTGCCGAGCTTCCTCGTAGAAAGAATACCCCGGGGCATCTCATGAGGATGGAAACGGTGCCTGACAACCATGAGCATGAAGAGTTGCTGAGGCGCACGCGTTCAGATAGACCGCCAATCATAAAATCTTTGTCGGTCACCGGGGGAAGGAGGCGACCAGCCTTCAATGGATCACAGCGGCCGCACTCGCCCCCTGGCTTGACTCGTGCCATCACATATCGATTTGATGACTACTCCGAGGATGAAGGTGATAGTAGCTCAGACGAGGCTGTTGTTGACCATGGAGAGCATGTTGATGCTGCTGAGCGTCCGCGCGAGCACCATACGAAGAAGCAGAAGACCAGGAGACCTTCGAGCTCCGATCCTTACAGTCGTTTCTCTGTTGGAAATGATAATTTCAAAACGAAAGGAAGAGTCTCGAGACGCGATGGAAGACTCAAAATCTCTATCAAAGAGCACGCCACCACAGGATATCTCGCAAAAACGCTCAATGCAGGCATCAAACGAACATTGCGACAGTCACAGGCTCATAAGCCTTCTCTCGCTGCTGTCGCTGAGAAAGCTGCCGGCAGTGCGATCATACCAGGCTTTCACATGGACGATCGGCCTATACCAAATTTGAATATTGTAATCATGGTGATTGGCTCTCGTGGTGATATACAGCCTTTCATTAAGATCGGAAAGATTCTGAAAGAAGAGCATGGACATCGTGTACGTATAGCTACGCATCCAACGTTCAAGAAATTTGTGGAAAAGGATTCGGGCCTCGAGTTCTTTAACGTTGGCGGTGATCCGAGCGAGCTCATGGCCTTCATGGTCAAAAATCCTGGCTTGATTCCTTCCGTTGAGACTGTCCGGCAAGGTGAAATTGGTCGGCGGCGAGCTGCCATGTCCGAAATGTTTGACGGCTTTTGGAGAGCATGTATTAATGCTACAGATGATGAGACTGATATGGCTAATCTCAAAATGAGTACGTTAAATCTATCGAGATGGCCACTGTGCTAACCTGGTCAAGTGGGCAACAAACGCGCATTCGTAGCCGACGCAATAATCGCGAACCCTCCATCGTTCGCACATGTACATATTGCGGAGCGTCTTGGAATTCCGCTGCATATGATGTTCACCTTTCCATACACCCCCACTACTCAGTTCCCGCACCCTCTAGCCAACATCAAAAGTAGTAATGTCGACCCAAGCTATGGAAATTTCATCAGTTATCCACTTGTCGATATGATGACGTGGCAGGGTCTTGGTGATCTGGTCAACAAGTTTAGAAAACATACTCTTGGGATGGAACCAGTATCAACCCTATGGGCACCTGGTCAATTGTATAGGCTGAAAGTACCATACACATACATGGTAAGCATGGGCACACATTTTGATATGAATTTGCTGACAAGTCCCAGTGGTCACCAGGTCTTGTGCCAAAACCTTCGGATTGGGGTCCGGAGATTGATATCGCAGGCTTCGTCTTCTTGGAGCTCGCGTCCTCATTTAAACCTTCAAAAGAGCTTTCAGACTTTATGAAGGCTGGACCTCCACCTGTCTACATTGGATTTGGTAGCATTGTTGTTGATGATCCTGAAGCATTCACAAAGATGATTCTCGATGCTGTAAAGATTGCCGGAGTCAGAGCACTTGTTAGTAAAGGATGGGGAGGTTTAGGTGGTAACGATACGGCCCCTGATAACGTCTTCTTCCTTGGTAACACTCCTCATGATTGGCTCTTCCCACAAGTTCAAGCTGTCATTCATCACGGTGGAGCCGGCACAACAGCGATGGGTCTAAAATGCGGTAGGCCGACCATGATTGTGCCTTTCTTCGGCGATCAACCCTTCTGGGGAGCCATGGTAGCTGAGAAGAAAGCTGGTGCACACGAGTGTATCCCATTTAAAAGCCTTACTACCGAGCTGTTTGCCAAAGGTATCAAGGAATGTCTAACAGACGAAGCCAAAGAGAATGCACAAGTGATCGCACACAGCATTGAAGCAGAAGGTGACGGCGCAGCGAACGCCGTGAAAGCTTTCCATCACAACTTACCAATGCAAGGCAGTCACTCTATGCGCTGTTCACTGTTAGAGGAGCGCGTTGCTGTATGGCATATGAAAGGCACCAAACTTCGATTATCGTCGCTCGCTGCTGATGTTTTGGTCGATCGCAAGAAACTCAAGTGGAGCCAACTCCGATTGATCCGCCACAAAGATTGGAACGACTTTGGTGGACCTGGCGAGCCTCTGACGGGAGGTGGTACTGCGCTCGTTCGAACGACAGCAAGTGCAGCAAAAGGTGTCATAGAGGTGCCTGTCAATATGGTTCGCAGCATTAAAAGGCGCGAGAAACATGCCGAGAAGAAGAAGAAACTCCGTCAACGGCAAGAAAAGGAACTAGAGAAAGTCAGTTCGGATGGCCTTGCCGACGCGAAGATAGTTTCCAGCCATCCCGAAACCGATGCTCACCAGCCTTCCGCAGACCAGCTTACACGACAAGACACTGATCCTATGCTCGACCGCGCTCGCAGGCCTAAGGTTGAACGCAACGATACAAATCTCAGCAAGATCTCCGCCGATCCCTCTGAGAATTTCGTCGAAGAAAATGTCCATCACACCCTGCATTCCGCAGGGAAAGTCGGCTCCGCGATTCTCAAGGCGCCCATGGAGCTTTCACTTGCAGTTGCGCAAGGCTTCCACAACGCACCGCGTCTGTATGGAGACGAGACAGTGCGTCGCCCTATTCGTGTATCTGGCTTCTATTCAGGCTTGCGCGCTGGAAGAGACGAATTTGTGTACGGCATATACGACGCATTCACCGGCTTGTATACGCATCCCAGGGATGGGGTCAAGAGGGAGGGTGCGCTGGGCCTGGTAAAAGGTGTCGGCACAGGCGTAGGCGGACTAGTTCTCAAGCACCTCGCAGCCGTCATCGGGCCGGGCGCATATGCAGCGAAGGGCGTGCATATGGAATTCCGTAAGAGACACCAACCGACAGGCTTCATCCGGCGCGCACGGATTCTCCAGGGGCGAGATGACATTGATGGGATCGACAAGGGCGACGAAGACGATGTCGTGGATACCGTGCTACGCGGTTGGAGCATCGTATCGGACGTAATTGAACTGCAGAACAAGCAGCATGAGCGCGAGGAGAAGAAGCACCATGGCACTGTGAGCAGCTTGTTTGATAAGAGCCATCTCAATGTCAAGCATCTCGGCGAGAACTATAGGCAACGTCGCACTGTTGGAAAGTTACAGAGCGTCGCCGTGGCAGAACGTACACTGCAAGCACAAAAACATGGGATGAGCTTGGAGGAGTTCGAGAAGAAGAAAGTCCAGAATCCCGAAGGAGAGAAGGAAAGCAAGTCTGAAGACACAGGTGGTTGGCGCGGGCGCTTCAACAGAGAGTCCCGGCGAAATCAAAAAGACAGCAATGAGCGCTCGTCCAGCAAGGCTAGCAAAATCGTAAACTCTAAAGATGCCTCAAGAACGCATTCGGAACCAATTGCGCTACAGAGTAATGGTTTACTGGTGGCTGAAGACAACAACCTTGGGGAAACTATTAGCAGCAAACCAATGAATGGAACGACACAGTGTGCAGATTTCGCGACCATTGATAAGGGATTGGGAAAGGAGAATGAGCGTGTTGCGGTCGCATGATCGTACATGTATGGCTGTGTGTGAAGGATTGATCATTTTTCTGCGATGGATACCCCTTTTATGCGTGTAGTGCGTACGTAGAGAGACGGAAGACCGGTGAAATCAAACGAAATGTTCATCTACCATCTTTTTGTGCTTAGTAAGAGCTGCGTGTGCAGTAGTTTGCATTACATGCTTGAACCAACGAATGATTTGCGAAACACGAGTAAAACATACAGCATTTATAGCTATTTGTGAACCTTAGAGAATGAAGATCTATGTAATTGCTTTTTCGTCCGATGGGGCAATATAAGAGTTTGAACATGGAGAACAGTGTGTGTTTGAATGGATCTCTTAGAGGCTATGTAAACAGTTCTCGATATTGCTTTGTTCTGTCGCACATGGGTGGAGAATGCCTTCGATGGCTACGTTAATAAATCCCGGAAGAGGAATTCCATAGGGATGATTGGTGCATGGCTTCGTGGCAAAAGGGGACTACTTTGCTTGGGGATTTACTGATGACTAGGGCTTTAGTCTACGAGAAGCACTTTTCAGACTTGTTCCTCCTTAAACATGTGGTTCTTTGGATGCTACTTGGGCCTGGAACTCCCCATATATAGGTATCTCTTTGGTCTTGTGGACTGCAGTCTCTGGTATCTTTACTTTTGAAGCATGAGGATTATCTCTATTGCTGACTTGCATTCTATTCGTTGCTCACCCAGACCCTCTTTCAAGTATACTGTGCGTGCTCGAAGACTCATTTAGTCTCTTGGTTCCGAGTAAATCGCCACAGTATTCACAAGCCTGAATTCTTTTTCGACGAAATCATCTCTGATATCGGATCCATTTTGGACAGAGCTCAGACCAGTCACAGAGCCATAGAAAATGAGCGTGGTTGCGTGCCAAATGACGGTAACGCCCATAAGATACAGTATTGATGTTGCTAAGAAGTCAGATCAAAGCTTCGGGAGATGAGGTCGAGCACGTGAAAGAGCTAGTCTGCATTAAGCTTAGCTCCCCTTTCCGCGAAAGTGCCACATCGCGTGTATCATGGACATTTCTGGGTGGTCTCGGTCATCACACAACACCAACCATGGAGTCGTTATATCGATTGCTGAGGCTGCTACTTTTCATCACAGCGCTCCCACTGGTGACTGCCCTTAAGTTCGACATCAAAGCGCACCCGGGTCACGAATCCGCAAAACACGAACGATGCATACGGAATTTCGTTTCACGAGAGCAACTGGTGGTTGTTACCGCTATCGTCAGCGGTCACCGCGGTGATGGACAGACCTTGAACATGCATGTCAGTATTGGTGCCCAAACAGCCACTTCTGCCTAGGTTAGATATCCTATACTGACTCAATTGGCTTTCAGATTCGGGATGCTGTTGGTAATGACTATGGAAAGCCCAAAGACGTTTCTGGAGAGAATCGATATGCATTCACGTCACATGCGGACGCAGCATTTGACGTTTGCTTCGAGAACATTCGGTCTGGAGGTGTGTCATCCAGTAACGCCCAGAGCCGCCCAGTCTGACTTGTTTACAGGTGGCTCCCAATTTCTCTCAAGGCACGTCGAGCTCGACATCGACATCGGTGCTGACGCCAAGGACTGGTCGGCTATACAAGCCAAGGAGGCTCTGAAGCCATTGGAAGCAGATCTGCAACGGATAGAGGAGAACCTGGCGGAGATTGTGCACGAGATGGACTATTTGCGCGGCCGGGAGCAGAAGTTGCGGGACACAAATGAGAGCACAAATGAGCGAGTGAAGTGGTTTGCGTTTGCAACAATGGGCGTTCTAGTCTCACTCGGTGCATGGCAGGTCATATACCTGCGAGCGTACTTTCGGTTGGTATCGTCCCTTGACGACCATGCGACAATGCTAACGCACAACTTTCAGGTCCAAGCATCTCATTTGATGAACCCTCCATATTTTTTAAAAGACAGTCTTCGAGAGTATATGTCCGCATTACCTATGGCCTTGATACCTCGTAATATTACCGCGACCCTAAATAAGGTCAGCATCTGGTATGCCTAGACGATAACGAGATAAAAGATGCAGGAATATATCAGCAAATCGATATGAGCACCGCAAGATTGAGCACGTCGTATGAGTATCCACCTATGAAGCAAGGGGCTGCTGTGAAAGACTTTTGCCCGCAAAGATGCGCAAGCTCACGAAGGGATGCACACCAAGCCAGCAGCTGATTCGATTTGAACCACTTCGAGTATTGGCTTTGCACGCATACGTGTATGCGTAACTATATTTCGTTTTATATTAAAGCTCTATTGTGTACACGAAGTTCCTACGTCTACTTTTCAGTTCTTCCATTAAGACTGCAACAAACAAGTGCACTCTAGAATCTTAATTTCTCATGTATCATTCTGGCATGTAAGACATCATGTACCGTGTGTCCGAATGTCAACAAATCAAGAGCTAGGACATTATGACCAAGTGTGGATGGGAACCGAGTTCAACGATTCAGGTACTTCGGGAGCATCGGAAGTCATCCTTGAGTACCAACGACCAACGTCATTTTTGGTGAAAATTGACAAAAGAAATCGCGGTGAGGTAAGGCTGAAACCCCCAATGTCTGTGCGGGCAGTGACGTAGAATGTTGATGTTGATGGCCCGGGTCGCTCCTTCGAAAACAATGGGATGAACACTGTTGGCTTGGCACGTTGGCGCGTCGTGCCACGGAGATTTTCATCTGACCCCAACAGAACCCCAAACACAGGACCTGTTAATACTTCCACTGTCCGCCTTCCTCTGCGCACATCCTATACGTTCCCTCCTACCACCTGAACCTCAACATATTTCTAAATCGTCGTTTAAATCGTCGCATCATGTCTCTTGCGCGCAGCGATACCTTTGGCGAGCACGTCTACATTCCCCCGACCGACGACGACGATGACTCTCCCGATCAGACCTCCTCTTGCGAACCAACTCACAATCAACCCACTGCTCCACGCTACATGCATCGCATGCTACGTGCCTACCATGCCAGTCCTACCGGCGAGACAACTGCCCTGAAGAAGCCCGATTCGTTCCACAGTCTTACGCACTGGTTTGTACTATACGTCTACGCCGTGAATGGCCGCGACGATAACTATCTCGGCCCTAAGAATGACACTACTGAGTCATTCTCTAGACCCGACGAAAATCTACAGAACATATGTATGGATGCCATCCGCGAGTACTTTCGCTTGCGAAACCTTGCCGCAACCCCCTTCCGTATCGAGTATCTGTATAAGTCTCTGCCCAATGGTGAAGGTGACCTTATGAAGAAGTTCCTGCTCCAGACCGTTGCCTGGAGACTTACCAAGGAAGGTCCATCCACTGGATTCAAGTCGGCCCCTCCTGAACCCCTCTCTATCTGGGTAAAGGAGAACACGGCCAGCAATGCGCGAAGCCTTTCTCCAAGCTTCTTACATATGCTCGACAGGAATCATGATATCTGCCGAGATTTCTGTATTGTCATGTCCAATGTTTCGATCGTTGGCCGAGACGCTATGAAGGATGCTAGACAGGGCCCAACGGAGAAGTGGCATGTGGGAAGTGTTCAAGCGTCCGATGGAGGTGTCAAGATGCAGCGAGAGAGCTCCAAGGATTCAGGTTATGGTGATGAGATGAATGAGATGAAAGAGGCTACCGAAAACTTGAGGAATATCTCGCTTGGTTCCTCGGTCGCCGCTGGTGCCTGATTTATCTGGTCGAGTAATGTCGGGCAATGAACGCATACATGGCGTTTATGGATACGTGTTGTTTCGAAGATATCCTAGAGGCTCATAGGGCGCCATGAGGCACTGGCACTGCGTGTAGTAAATGTAAGGTTCTTTCTCTATATTTTCGACCCTGTCAGGTGTTTTGCGGCATGGTATGCCTAAACAGCGTTGTGCAATTTCTCGCGTCGCCAATTCTGCACTGTGAAGTGGCGTGGCATTTGACAGCACCTTGAGCAATTTCACCCACTTCCTCAGCCAGCCCTTCCATTTGCCTCTCTACCTCTTCTCTATTTACATCCTCCAGCTCTTGAACCAATCCGTCCTTGACAGATTGAAACGATGTCCTCTAGGCGCCCACCACCCACTCTCCCCAGACTGCGCACCAATCTCCTGCCTTTCGTCCCCGATGTCCCGCGCTGCGACTCCTCTACGCTGCCAGATATTCCCGGTCTACCCTCAATTCAAGAAGGCTCACCCCTAGCCCCACGCAGAGTGTCCTCCCTCGTATTCTCAAAACAAGTCTCCCCCAAAAAAACAATCAAGAAGAGCACATCCCTGACGAGCGCATCCCTCTCACCACCAAAACACGCCCGAGGCAGCAGCACCGCAAAAGGCAGTATGTTGCCAAAGCAGTCAGGGCATGACGTACAGGCACACGCGAGCGTGGAACGTGGCAATGCAGTGAGCAAAGAGGTATGGGTAGATGCGCAGTACGATCTCGACACGCCGCTCTCGCAGATCCTCACGACGACGATGCTTTTTCCGAGTTTGACGGCTTCGGCATGCTCGAGTGTTTGTTCGAGCTCGGGCTCGTGCTCGCCGTTGCTGGGGGATGAGTGTGTCAGGACGCAGGTTGACGGTCAAGAAGGCCACTTACACGACGACTCCAGCGACAGCATGCACTCCGACGACAGCGCCGACATGCCCACAATCGCGAGAGGCATGGCAAAGAAGGGACAAAACCCTGGTCAGCATGATGGTGGCGAAATTTCACAGGCGCTGAGAGACTTGAAACACGTACAGCTTGCGATGCTGCGGATGTTGGGGGCGCGATTTGCTGATCTTGCTGGTGAGGCTGGAAAGGATGAAAGACGGGTTGATGGAATGGATGGGGCTGTTCGGGATAGTATGGTACGGTTCTGTGCGGAGCGAGGAGTAGATTTGCTGGGTCTGAGTCCGTCTGATAGAGTTGATGTGTATCTTGCGTGTATGGCGGAAAAGGGGATGCCGTTGGGCTATGAGCCTTAGAACCGGGGGAGGAGGGAGCGGAGAGGGCTGCGTAGAGGGTGCGAGGAGGATATGATGCACTTATGTGTTTTGTCGCGAGATAATACGAGCTGTACATGACGCATGTATTCAGTTTGGTAACATACATCCATCTGGATGGTGGAGCGAACTAGACAACCAGTGCTAGCTATATTGAGGCCTTTTTTCCAAATGCCTCAGACTGCTGAACTGGATATACCACACCTACTCTATAATACCCGACTCTAATCCAAGTCAATTATTAAGTAATGAGTAAGTTTTCGACTTGCTCTAATCCTGACTATCTCTTTCTCTATCCACAGACTGGGAGGATCATCTTCGTGCATGGCCCTGACCAGACCTTTGCACAACTGTGTGTTCATGACGATATCGATACTCGCCGGTTCTGTGGTATCGACGTAATTCTCCCCATATCTGAAAAAAAGCATGTCTAGCTCCTTGCGAACGTTTAAACTCCCAATCTGCACGAAGACGATTTGGCCGATAGTCTTCACTTGCGCATTGGCAGCGAGCACGGCATCACTGAGAATGCGTGACATGTAAATCTTCTCAGTGTTGCTGCGTTTCTCGGGAAAGTAGTTGTACGCTACGGACACGATTACGACGGCTCTTTCGAGCTTCGTCGAGCAGAGAAAGCTGAACGTTGGCGTTTCGATCTGGCCGGGAGGTGTGTATTTCCGATGCGCTGGGGCGACGGTGAACCATCTGAAGGACTCCTCGCTGATTTGGTCGGGTTCATTCGATAGTATTGCACGGTGTAAAATGCTGTCACTTGTGGCTGGCGTATCCTCAAGCGTCTTGTAGCCCTCGTCCCTGAAGATGTACGCCGCATCCGAAGGAGGAGCAGACCGAAAGAGGTTATCATGAGTGGAATCCATAGTGCGACTCTAGAAACGATTTAACAACAGATCGCTCGAACAAAGAAAGTAAAAGTTGTATTTGTTCCATGTTGCTCTAGATAGATTTTCACTCTAAGTAAGACATCTCGGCCAGCTGTGACGAGAGGAGCTCTGAAAGGTCGTCGTACAGCGGCTCCACAGAGCAAGGCACAGAGGTTACACAACCAGAACAAAGCAGTTCGCTCGTTTATTACTGGTCGTAATTGATTGGATCTCTTTACCACTAGCTGGACGCATGTCAAGGATCGGAATGTATTTGGTTCTTGCATCCTCAAGGTCCTCAGATTCTTTGGTTCATGGTCCAAAGCTTTTGGCCCAGCTCGCATGCCTTTACGGCGTCAAGGTCCCAGGGCGCTCCCTCTCTGCAGCCGCATATCTCCACCTCCACTCTCAACCGCTCCATTCCTTGTCCTCGTCAAGGAGCACAAAGGCCGCGACTCGTTGGGGAGGAGGCTTTCTGCACCCTATTAACACCTCCTTGGCGACGGAGTAAAACATGCTGCACTTGACGTAACTCCCCTTACTCTTACAATGACCGCAAGAGTTACTAATGACTTGAACTAACTTTAGGGATTTACTCTGCACTGTAGACGACTCTGAAAAACCACGAAGCTTACCGTGATTATGTGGTAGCTGTAGAGAGCTGGTAATAGCTGCCTTCTTCATAGTCCATACTACCGGATTAGAAATCTTATCCGGGATGTCCGCGGAGGCCCTACAATAAAATCGTTACTTGGATAACTTAGAAGTGAGACATACCAGGAAGAGAAGCGAGCACTGGAATAGACATGTCTGGATAGGAATGTAAGACAAGTGGTCTAAATCAGGGGCTATTGTGAATATTCAGACATGCAGGAGTAGTTACATCATGTTGAGGCTAGAAGACCGAAACGTCCTACAGGAGGTCTGGAATCTGGTGAATCGGGAAATCTCCGCTCGCAGAGTGTTCTGTGCTGCTTCCTTTCTCAATTTCTTTCAATATCATCAAAACATGGTTCCATCCCCACGGTGGACGTCGGTTTAGAAAGCAGTGCGTATAGGACTGCTTCTCTTCTCTTCCGCCGCTATCCATGCCTTTGGTCATCAACTTCTTTATTGGCTCCATGTCAAGGGTTGAACACACCTATCTCTTAGAGTCTCTTCTCCACTTATTTCTCGTGCCTGAATCATTTACCTCGTATATTCCTCTACATGCACACTCAGAAGCCACAGAGGCTTGCTCTCTCTTAGATTATTCTCCGTGGGTAAAGGTATACTAACACACGATTGTGCTTGGTCGACGGAATCATCCTCTCTGTACAGACTCTACGTCGCCAAGGCCACGAGGATCTTAGAATCGTACTACTTGATACTGGCTCTACAAACATTTGAGGTTGAAAATAAGATCCTTTCTGTGCTACTGCGTAGATGTCGATGCCTGTTCTTGGGCCGAGATATCGATCATGTTTATAAGTCAAGCACATCACATGAACGAAAAGGGGCGACAAAGAGGGACAAGATGAGCAACTCCAGTTGTCTCTAATCTACACCCTCCCATCGGAGCAAGCCGGCTCCGCCCTGTTCCTACTCATAGAAATCGAGACCATCACTGACTCAATGCAGACAAATACTCGCCAACACTGCACCATCACACCTTGTCCGTCAATCTCACAACCATAAATTGATAATGTCTCACATTATCATTCGAAGGCGATCTCATGTGAACGCCCCCAATCTTACGCCCCATCCACGGCGCCTGCGCCTGATCCAAGTTCCCCGTGTGGATCGCCCACTGCACCGCCTTCAAGAACGGCGTTTGCATCATATCTTTCATTACTTCGCCACCAGTAGCATCAATCCGCCCATCTTCATCAATATGGGGCTCTGCCACTGTCTGCGTTCTCTTGTTGGTTACGTCCACGAACACAACCGCCGCCAGGCGCCATGGCGCACTATTCGCTCTGTTCGCATACACACTGGCATCGTGCAGAAAACGCGACAGGTGTATTTTCTCCCCGACATGCCCCTCGGATGGTCCGTACGCGACGGTAACGATGACGATGGCGTCGGCAAGGTTGTTGGAGCAGAAGAGTGTGAAGCGTGGCGGATCCTTCTCAGGACGCGTGTGGACCCAGGTGTCCGAAACGGGAGCGATGGTGTACTTGGTCATAGGTGTGTCTTTGTTGATGTGTGTGCTTAGTACGGATACTATCTCTTCATGTAAGATGGGCGCGGCGTCGTAAAGGGTCTTGGGCTCCTCGAACCAGAGCTTGTAAGGGGCCGGGAGGGCGCGGTCGAAAATGTTCTCGGGTGGGGCCATCTTGTTATAATTCAAGGATTAATCTGTGCAGGCGGAAGGTAGTAGATGGAGTTGATTCTGCCGTTCGTTCTCCATGTCTTTGATTTAGATTATATATATACATCTATATCATCTTCAAGGAACCGGTCCATCATTGCAACAGAAACAGTGGGGAAGAAACCCATTCCCACAAGTCCGCACAAAGCAAGAAGAGGGTGATGGAATGAAGTACATCGTGGACACAGGGAGTCAACATAACTGGGCTCTGGATATTCACGAGGACAAAGGATGTTTGTTTGTCTAGACAAAGATACACCGATGTCCACATTCCAGAGAGCCAACAGGGATAGTCCTTGGAACAGCACAGCACATTCCTATGCAACCCCCCCTCCCCCCCTTCTGGAGATCACAGCCCCCTACTTCTGATATTTCAATCTTGCCAACTTTTTTTTCTCACACGACTGACGTGAGTCATTCGCGCGTGCTCCTTTCAGGGACGTGCGTTCCATGCAGGTTTCTTTCACTAACGCTTTTTTCGAGTGACGACTCTCCAAGTAATGCTCTCTGGAGATTCTTACCAGCGATTCCCAACAGCGATATTCTCTTCTCTAGCAATCTCGCCTGAATTTGATACTATGACAGCGTACTATCTCCCATGGCTAACATCCTGCCTCCCACATGCGTGCTATTAGCATAGCATTTCGTTCCAAGTAGAAATACTCTAGCCTGGTATGCTCGTAGCCTTTGCTTCTTTAGTTAGTACAGTTCTTATCGTTCTCGCTCTCCTCTTAGCTCTCGCTCCTTGTTCTTCTACTCTCCTTATCCCCTCGCCATATATTAGACCTTAGCTTAAACGCTCTCCATTATTCTATATCCTTATATAATCTCTATATATCAGGAGTGTATAGTATCTCTCGCATGTAGCTTCATCTCGTTTAACATCCGCTTATCTAGTCTATATATATGCGTATATGTCTTACTTGTAATATAGTAAGGACCAAACCTAATTTACTCCCTTGTTTAGTACTTCGTGAATCCTAGTTGAAGTAAAGTACCAAAGTAGATATGTTAAGATTATATGCATATACTAATACTAAAGATATCCACTAGTACCATATATAAACTCTGCACTAGTGCTACATTCTACTTTATTACTCTTACTCCAAATCTATACATCTATATAGACAAGCCAAACTCCTACCTACGGCTCCGAAGTACCAATTCATTCAATCCAAGCCTAATTAATCGATATTCTTACCTTGATCACTACCTTCTGTGAAGTGTTATCTACAAATAAACACGCTACGGCGTGTGTGTAGCCCTCAGGAGTCAGTACTGCTAGTGCTAGCATTATTATAATAAATTAAAAGTCTCTCTATCTCTCTCTCTCGATCTATAGAATCATCATACTATGTTCTGAAGGTAGCACCACGTCGACCTAGCAGCTAGACCCAGGTAGACAGATACCGCGATCTTGACTTCTGTGCATGCACGCACGCACGTAGAAGAGGAGAGCTGAGATAAGCAGGAAATGATAAATGACATAATTCACACAGCGCACAGGGGGTCTGAAGACGACGATGTCATTTGAATCTTTTGCAATACTATTATTATGATTATAATTTTACGCCAGCCTTGCCTATATGTACGGTCTAGCCGTTTTGTTCAGTCAATAAGAGTTCTTCGCGTCGTCGTCGACCGTGAACTTGTACACCGCCTCGAGCGTGTAGGCAGGGTCGCCGGGCCCAAAGATATTCTTAGCGTCGCGCTGCCACTCGGGCTGATTGATGGCGTCGATCCAGTCCTCGACCTCCATGACGACGCAGGCGTAGTCCTGGACCCAGCGCGGCTGCGAGCCGTCGGTGAAACCCTGGGTCTTTTTGAGCGGGATGCCGGCCTGGGACTGGCCCGGGCAGCTGTAGATCTGGAAGGCGTCTTGGTCGGAGTAGACGTCGACGGTGATGCCGGAGAAGGCGGAGTAGAGGGAGGCGACGGGTGCGGTGTGCCAGTCGTAGGGCCCGTTCTGGGCGCGGTTGACGAGGTAGCAGGTGTCGTAGCCGGAGCAGTTGAAGCCGCAGTTGCCGTGGATATCGGGGGAGGTGAGGTTTGCGCCGAGTTGTTTGGGGCTGGACCAGAAGTCGTTGACGGAGTATTGCTGGTTGGGCAGGATGGTGCCGTCGGGGATGAGGATGTTGTCGACGCCGACGCGTTGACCGGAGTAGGGCAGGTGGAGCGTGTGGTTGTCGGTGTTGGTGGTGTCCGGATTTTGGAAGCCGTCGAGATTCCAGTAGACCTGAGGTTGATGTAAGTACATGTGGAGATGAGTATGGAAGTAAATGGGACGTACGTGGGAGCTTAGCATGATTGGAGTCTTCTTTGTCGTTGCGAGTGCGACCATCTTCAGGTCCCATTCGTAAGGCTTGACGGTGTAGGTGATGTAAGAGATGACCTCGCCGGGGAAGCCTTGCTCGCCATCAGGATCGACGATAGAGAATGTGATTGAGTCGCAAGTGTAAGATACGACGGTGAAGTTGCGCTGAGTGCGTTAGCTGAAGTACTGGCGAGGTGAGAGTTGGAATGCGAACGTGATCCCAGCCATTGGAGCCTCCGTGCAAAGTATCAGCACCGCCGTTTTCATTTGGATCAACATGGAACTCCTCTCCATCGATTACAAAGGTCGAGTTCTTGATACGATTGGCATATCGGCCTGGTCGCAATCAGCATGAGCAGCAGCGTGAGCGGTGGGAGCAATCAAACCTGGCACACCGCCATAGTGAGGATGCACGGTGTCCTCGGTGTAGAAGGTTGCATTATCGAAGCCCAGTACAATATCGCGCTCGGTACCACTGGTGTCATTGATGAACAGGTTGGTCAAGCTGGCACCGTAGGGAATGAATTGAGCGCGGATACCCTCGGCCGAGATGGTGTACTTGCCATCCTCATCCGGACCATTGGTGGCGCCAGCGAGGGCGACGAGCAGCGAAACGGCAGCAAGAAGGTAGCGAGCCATCTGATTCGTGAAGAGTGTGTATAGAAAAGTATGGCAAGGAGCTGGGAGATGACCGGATGAAGAGACGTTCGTTGCTGAAGAAGTAGAAGAAGTCGTAATAAGGCGCGCACTAGGAGCTTTAAGTAGCATCGGATCAGATGTTTACCTATCACCATCCGTGTAGGTACTGCAACACTGTACTGTCCGCCCAGTGTCCCGCGTTTCTCGTTTCTTGAGATGATGCATGCAGCACCTGACGTACTGTATGACTTGACACGGTCGTGCAGGGATGGTTGCATCTCTCCAACCCCGCACGCCGTGCCCAATCCCTCTCTCGCCCATGACTGCATGAGGACGAGCGAACAGAGAGCATGCGTGTAGGAAGGATTCATTTATAATAAGATCCTGTCTGGATCATCCATCTTGCACGCCTCTTCAACAGCACAGTCAAGCTCGAAGCGAGCTCGAATGAGGGTATCGTGAACCCACCGGAGGAAGCTCAACGTTGTGGCTTGACAGTGCAGAACTCAGGCGTTTGTTGGTTGGTGCGGGAGAGAGAAGGGAGAAGGCAGAGGGCAGCGAAAAGAAGCTTGATCTCCGCCAAAACCGGGGCGGAACTGGGGCAGAACTGGGGCAGAACCGGGGGGACCTGGGGAGCAGAAATGGGCAGGATTCGCTGCACAGGCCGCCAAAACGATGGGGGTAATTAGTTGCTACTTGCTACTTGCACCGGCGACCGTGCACCCTAGACCAGCTTCCCCGCGCCGCCCTGACTACGTTTGCCCGCCAACATCGTCATTCATGCATCGTGTCGTGGATTTGATAACGGCCGTACTACAGTATGTACTTTTCACAAGGCTGCATGAAGTCCTACTAGTCATCCACGCTGTCAGACATTGAAGTAACCCCTTGCTTCGTATAATAAGAATCCAGCTGACAACGAGAGAGGCAGTTTGTGCAACGCTGTACGCAATCCTTGGAGCCGTTCTGCTCTCACCACGGTCGAATAGACGTCTCTTTGACGGATAGTGTAACGGAGTGACAGTGTCGACGGAGAAAAATCTCCGACTTGAGAGGCATCGTTCGTTATATATATATACATACCGTACATAGAAACATTTCCACGCGCGCTTGCTGGCCAATCGCGAACCGCAATCTTGACGATCGATGTGGTGGGTATCAAGGTCCGTGCGTGCTCATCCTGACCTCTCCACTAACCTTTAATCGAACCTTCACGGCTTGGGTGGCAGATCCTCCTAGACAGACCATCTCTACCTGTTAGCTGATTATGTCTTGTGATTACCAGTGTTTAGAGTTTGATTCCTGTCTGAGGTTCTGACTGGAGAAGTCTGGCACGAATTCGTGACTTCCTATAGGTCTCGTGTGACGCGTTCCTAGCAAGGTAACATACCGCGCATTCTTGATGATTGCGACTATTATGTATAGGTAATAGCCCCGTCCAAGCCTCACCTTCATGAGAAATGAGAGTGTCAAACACTAATTTTGCTGGCTAGCACGGTAGCAGCCCGCGCGGGCTCGTGATTCTTCTGTGCCACGGCGACGAAGGCCATAACAAACTGATGCACGGTGCGCCTTAGCCAGATCAACGATTCAGTGTAGTCTGTAGGATTGCCAATGCCAGGAGTGCGCGATGAGGACTGTAGACTAATTACATATGGATATGGATGTATACATCCACATAAATACACAAGTGGAGGCAAGTGAAAGTGTGAGCAATGTATGCCAAGACCCCCGCTGCCCCTGCCATGGCTGCGCGACGCAAGGTTAAGCGGTTAGTGTGTCCAATGAGAGGTGCAATTCCCCTGACACTAGGCTGTTTGTGGTCTTAGCGGCGTGTACTGGTGTACCTGAGCTTATTGTTTGGCTTGAGCTGCCATTTCCCACTCGCATCACCGGCTTTTCAATCTCTCGCTTCCTCCACTCACAAAACATCTTCACCTCCATCTCGTGCCCCTGATCTTTCTCTCCTTCTCAAACTTCGATTCTCTATCACTCGTTATCTCTCATTTCATCCATTCGGGGCCTTTGCTCCATTCCGCTCCTTTGCCTTCACTTGCATCTCAGACAAAAGAAGAAGATAAGATCTGTCAACAATAGTCATCACCGGGCTACCTCTTCAAACATCAAGGTAAGGCTCTGTTCGTAGCTGTCTGACCCTCTACCCTGCCCTCTCCAATGTTCGGTTTGCGCGTTCCTTCTAACAAGTACCATCAAATAGCAAAGATGAAGTACTCCACCGCCATCCTGCTGACTGTCGCTGGTTTTGCTTGCGCAACTCCACACGCACACCAGCATCAGCACCGTCATCACCATGTCAAGAAGACTGTCAAGGACGTCACTAAGATAGTCTACGAGCTCAATGGGCTTACTATTCCCGAGTCAGAGGTCATGCAAGGAATTGCGAATGGCACCCTCGTCTGGGCTCAGGCCAGCGAGTTTGCTGAAACACCCTCTACTGGTCCTGACCTCCAGCATGCTCAAGTAGCTGAGCCCGACTATTCCAGTGCCCCAGCGCCGCCGGCGCAGACCGCTGAAGCTCCAGAGCCTCCAGCCGACACTCCCAAGCCCCAGACTTCGTTCAGCGATGGTGACTTTCCCGACTACGATGATTCTGTTTCTTGCGACGACTTTCCCGAGGCCTTCGGTCCTATCCGTCTCGACTACCTTGGTCTTAACGGGTGGTCTGGCATTCAGTCTCCACAGTCAATCCTCGCTGCTGGCTTCAATGATATCCTCACCATCAAGGCTGACATGTTCAACGGCTTCACAGGCCAAGAGGGCTCCTTATACTCGTACGCTTGCCCAATTGGATACCAGAAAACACAGTGGCCATCAACCCAAGGTGCTACTGGACAGTCCGTCGGTGGCCTTCTATGCACGGATGGCAAGCTGACTCTTACCCGTGGCGATGTTACAAAGAAACTGTGCAGCCCGGGTACGGACAAGATCACAATCAAGGTCAAGAATACCATGAGCAAAGGCGTCGCCGTGTGCCGTACGGATTACCCCGGTACCGAGAGTGAGACGATTCCAACGTTTGTCAGTGGCGGCGAGGAGCATAAGCTGGCCTGTCCTGATGCTGATGGCCTCGATGCCTACGTGTGGGAGGGCAAAGCGACCTCTGCACAACTTTATGTTAACAATGCCGGCGTTTCTCAGGAGGATGGTTGCTGGTGGAACGAACCTGGTTCTGGTGTCGGTAACTATGCACCTGCCAATATCGGTATCGGTTTCAAGGATGGCAAGGGATGGATATCGATTCAACAGAACGCACCCACTACCTATGAGAAGCTTGACTTCACGATTACCATCGAGGGCGACGACATAAACGGTAACTGCAGATATGATGCTGGCAAGCAGGCATACTGCTCCGGTGCCGATTACGAAGACTGCAACGATCTTGGTTGTACCACCACCGTCCTGTCTGGCACCGCCACCTATATCTTCTCGAACTAGACGTGCGATTCGCCTCGAACCGCATTCTATTCGTCTCTGCAGTATACCCAAAGGTTCTCCTGGCATTCTGAGCTTGCCAAGAATCCGTCGTCGTTCAACTTCATCTACTTCTTTCTAATCAGTATGTTTCCATATTAATGTCGGTAGCGCGGGTCACTGGAGGCCAAAGCGGTCAAATCATTGCAGTGCAGAGACATCTAAAACATGACGCCAGTTTATTCAGTTTAAAGTTGAGGGAAGTCGAAGCCCCAACACTGCATCTTTCAGCACGATGTAAAGGGTGTTTCGGAAACACTCAACTTGAATATGCTATTCGAGATTTGCTCCCTAGGCATATGGACACGGGCAAGCGTAGCGGACGTGGATTTTATGGCATCATCGTCAACTCGGGCTCCATGAATAATTTGCATCTGCTTCTTCAACTGTCTCGATAGTCCCTTTTACAATTCTGCAGGCAACGTAAGGATCCGTAGGCATTGCACAAGCTCTTTTCTGCTTCTTCAATCCATCTTGCCTGTGACTGTACTTGCATGATTGTCTAACACGCATACCAGCTTGTACGATGCCTGCGACTTGAAAAATCCTGTACTGATCATCATTAGTCTGATTGTAGCAATCTTGTGCTGTGTGCCATGCTGTGATCAGTCGAGGCGGAGCAATTGTGACGTCGGGAGGGTAAGTGGGGACGCGGGATTTCACAGCTCCGGACTTTCGACATAATTCTTCCGTAGGTAATCAGCTAAAGCTACAAGTTTCCTCTCAGGGTGTCGGAACTCAGCATATTGAAGAATTAACAGTTTCAAAAGAAAGAGAAGAAAAAAATGGCAGTCTACCATGTTGGTGAGTGCAAACAATTTCCAAGAGTTGCCTTCTTGCGCAGCTCGGCTGACAGCGTGCGTGCCAGTGCTCTTCAAACGGAAGCCTGAAGTCAGCGACGGCCAAATAGCGACATGGAAGGCAGCAGCCTCAGGCATGGTCGGCAGAATCCCCGGCCTACACTCGCTCAAGGTCGGGCCTCCACACGCCAGCACCGCGCATCGATCGCAAGGATTCAACGTCGCTGTCATCGCCGTGCTGGACGGGGCAGACACGATCAAGGTCTATGCTGAGCATCCGGTGCACTTGGAGTACGTACATTCAACTCAGTCCGGCACTGACCATCTGACTAAACAACTGACCGACCGACTGACTGACTGATTTGACTTTTTTTTCTGACAAATACGAAACGACCACTGGCTGACTACTATTTCGTGTGGCTACAGATTGCTCAAGATGGGAAGGGAATTGTTTGCGGAGAACTTGGCGTATGACATGGAGTTTTGAGAGAGAGAGGAAGCTGAAGCAAGGGCTCGTATTTTCATTCCGGCTTGGTTCGAGAGAGGCTGGATTCATGCAGCCTGCCTGCACTTCTTCTCAGGTGAGGACGGACACTGTGTCGTGGCGATGGGATGATTTCTTACCTCTTACTTACCTCTTTTTCCCTCTTCTTCGTCTTCTTCATCTTCTTTTACTTTTGATTCGCACACACATATATACACCGTACTAGAACCCGTTATACCGTTCTCATCTCGGCTCTCTTCCGTTCACGTCATGCACGTTTAAAAACCCCGTCTGCCGCAGCGACCGACCGACCGTAAAGTGCGGCGGAATAGAGAATACTAATTAATTAGCTGCATGGATGGATGGGATGCATTCATGCGGACCTGCGCCGGGTCGTGCGGGCCAATAGCTGGGTTGCGGCTGTGAAAGGCAGCTGGAATGGTCGGCTGCAGGCGGTGATGCATGGATGCATTGCATGCAAGGCAGATCCATTCCCCGGCACGTGGACGAGGTGAGGTGGCAGGCCTTTTTTTTTTGGACGGCCTGGTCTGGGCCTGTTGACTTTAGGTCGCTTGCGCAGTTGTTCATTCTTGTCGTTGCGTGTTATTGGTTATTATTACATTCTTCGTGCGTACGGCTCGTGCAGTTCTCGTTGCTTTATCTCATCTGTCTTGCGCACATTTAACAAGCACTGGGTTGTGTGGAAGTCGACAGTTGTTGTCGTGTGCAAGCTTGACCTTCAAGTGGAGCTCGTTAGCGCGCCTCGAGTGAATACCTACCTAGGCACCATAACAACAACATCCTATCAAGTTCATGACGGCTGCAACCCAGAAGGCAGACATATTACAGCATTCTCCCGCCGCCAACTTATCAAAAACAACAAAATGTCTGCCGTCAAAGGTCATCACAACCTTCTGACCTGCTTCACCCAAATGGATCTCCGCTCTCACCCTCCCCTAGACCCACAAAGAAGCTCACCAAACGAAATGGGCGCGATTTCCGCAGCCTGGAGGACGACACCGAGCCATGACACCCACTGGTACCACCAAACACTACACAGTTCCAAATCTCTCGTCCTCCCTCCCCATCCAACAAACACCCACCCATCCCTAAAGCGCAAACGCGAAGCCCCAAGCACCATCGACACCACACTCCCAATCCCACATCTCGTATCTGCAGCATCCGGAGCACAAATAACCAAGCGACCCCGACTGCACCCACACCCCTTCGTGGCAATCCACCTACCCCCTACCCCTGACCCATCGCCACCGAAGAAGCGGGTCGGAGCATCGATGCTAACAACTCCTCCGCACCTACCTCCTCAGTCAGAAAAGCGGCAGCGCGGTTGCGGTGGACGTAAACGTGCGTATAATGTCAAGTTCAAGCTTGATAAGCATGTCCAGACGAGTGCTGCGGTCTGTGAGACGGTGGGAGTGCGTGGTCGGTGTGTGGATACGGGGCGTTCTGCGTGTTTAGGCGGGATGGCAAAGACGACGACGACGATGACGACGGACATGAGGCAGAATGCGATGGTGATATATCGCCTTTCGCCACCGGTTAGTCCGCTGCGTCAAGTACACCGGCCTAGAGGGATAAAGTCTGAGGTATCTTCGGAGCAAGAAGTTCGTAGTGCAGAGGATCCCGTTCGGGGGTCATCAACACCAGTAAACAATCCACTTCTTCGAACAGCCATATGCGGAAAGACAAGAAAGACACGCTCGTCACAGACAGAGCATGATAGAAGCGTGTCTGCTTTATCACCATCGCATGTCTCTCGCACGGAAACTTCCGATCATTCGGCTGGTGCCATTGTACAGTCGAATATGTTAAATGGGCACACCACGGAGAAGCATACGCAAAGTCATGACACTCGATACAGTACGACTGCTGCTACCTCACCCCTGACGACACCCGACGAATCCCTAGAAAGTAACAGAGTAATGTGTCGGGCTAGTACGTCCCCGCTGTCTGACTTTGACGATGCACTCCTCACAACCCCCTCGCCTACACCTACGTCCACAAAAACATCAAAAACAGCACTTACACCGCAATCCGACATCTCATCTTCTAGACAACACTCTGCACCCGCTACACACACAGCATCACCCGCGCTCAATAGTTCAGCAAGCACGGAATGTCCTGTGGAGGGAGAGGGTGAGGGGTTTGGGCGTGTGAGGAGTTTGAGGAGGCGGTGATGGGTGGGACTGAGCATGTGGATGGGATGTGTTGTTGTTTGAGCGGTGGGAGTTGTGGTGGTGGAGTGCGGAAGGGATGGTGGAGTGAGTGTATATGGCAGGACTTGGTGTTAGCGCCATGTGTATATATGTATCTTCCACGACGTATACGGTAAAAACAACAATAAAATGATTCCAAACAACTCACAGCATAGATTCAAATTGGTATTACCGCATTACTCACAGCACAAAACCACAACATTCCGCAATCACTCTACAACTCACTCTTCTTCCCAGCGTCGCCCAACTCCTTCAGGATCGCCTCCTTCAACGCCTCCGGCTTCGTCGTACTCGCCCACCTCCCCTTAACCTTCCCATCCTTTCCAATCAAAAACTTTTCAAAATTCCACTTCACGCGCTCCAGCCCCATGATGCCCGGCTTCTCATGCTTCAGCCACGCCCACAGCGGCGCCGCCTTATCCCCATTAACATCCACTTTCCCCAAGACGGGGAAGCTGACGCCGTAGTTCCGCTGGCAGAAGCTCTGGATCTCGTCGTCGGTGCCGGGGTCCTGCGAGCCGAATTGGTTACAGGGGAAACCGAGGATTGTGAAGTCGGAGGGGTGGGTGGCTTGGATGTCTTTGTAGAGGGCTTCGAGGCCGGCGAATTGCGGGGTGAAGCCGCATTTTGAGGCGGTGTTGACGATCAGGACGACTTTGTTGTGGAGTTGGGTGAAGTCGAAGGGGGTGCCTTTGGCTGTTCAAAGGTGTTAGTGTGGCAAGAGTAGGAGGGGCAGGACAGGACGTACGATCGAGAGGCTTGAAGTCGTAGAATGTGGTTGCGGACGACATGGTGGATGCTTTGGCGGCGTGGATGAGCGCGAATGAGGGTGGGAGATAGGTGGAGGTAGTGTGTCGAAAAAGGGTCGCAGCAGCTGGGGCTCTGATGAGTGCCGAGGATGAAGAAGAGTAGAGGCGAGCGGTAGCACAGGTAGAGACGAGACAAGCAGAGGACAGGATGCGAGTGTAGGAGCGCAGATTCATGCCGAAGAGGAGGAGGACCTGGGACAATATATGTATGTATGTTATTCTTATATTGGGAGGACGCAAGAACCCCGGGCCGGCTTGCAAAGCTCCCGAGAGCTCTAGAATGGTCGGCTCATGTCATCGTCCTGGCGCGTGTGGTGGACGATGACGACTTGGAGGGGTTTTATCTAATCAGTGCCTTCCATCTCCAGATCTATATTAGTGGTGCTTAGATCCGAGCAAGGCCCGTGTCCGACTACCGACGTTTCCGTCATCTGCTTCCGTCATCACTATATCGATCCATGCGTCTAAATGGTTTTTTGCGGTAATAACTCCGAGCCTCTCGCATATCGAACTCGGTGACTTGTCTAAGTCTGGCTATAGGTCCATTCCTGGACTAAATGCATCTCGGCATGTGCAAATTCTTCACATTGCTCATGAATGTACTGTGGTTCAGAGTGGCCAGCATGGTGTTGATAGTGGTATATATATGTCACAATGAATTGTAGCTTTTCAACAACAAGATCTAGTTACACAGTAGTATTGCGTTTCCCAAATCACACTTGTCCATTTTTTTTCGTACCGATTTCCGAACGCCATAAATGCAGAAATGTCAGTGGAATACCGTCACCACCCACCATGCTATGAAGCTTGTGCCATCTCAACATCCTCTGTTGCTGCCTTGTTCGCCTCTCCGAGTTCTTCTTCCTGCACAAGCTCTTCAGCTTCTTCAGCCTCTTCGACCTCTTCCTCCTCTTCCTTCATCTCTTCCTCCTGAGCGGCTGCTGCTGCGGCTTCCTCGGCCAGCTGCTTCTTGCTCTTGTTGATCCCCTTCTCCTTGTTGTGGTCAATCAATGGCGAATCATCGTTGAACAGCCTGAGTAGCATAGCCTTGCGATCCTCCTTCGGTAGCATGAGTTGCAGGCTAAACACGCTGCGCCACAATGGCATGACCATGCGGTCTGCAAACCCATTCTCTGGATCACCACTAACCTCAACCCTGAGAACCGCACAGCCCATTGGAATGTCTCGCAATCGCTCAGCTATCTCGCCCAGCTCCTCGTTGTCCTGATTCACCTTGACGAATGTCTCGCGTAGCAGTCGATGCAGCGGCTTCCGCGTATACAGGCGGACAATGCGATCCTCGCCGACCCAGGAGTCGAGTATTGGCAGGCCTTCGGACTGGATACGCCACTTGCACACTTCCGGCGAGGGGGCGTCTTGCTTGACGAACATCTTAACTCCGCTATGCACAAATTTCATGCCGGAACCTTCGTTGAGCATCAATATCTGGCGGGTCAAAGCGGAAGTGTAGTAAATCGCTTTTACAGGGTCGCCATTCTCGTTGCGCACCATGAAGCGGTCGCGCGGGAATCGAGAGGAGAGGCCGTAGAACTTCGAGATATCTGCTAGAACGGGATGATCGGGAGAGAGGTATTTGAAAGGCTCTTCTTTGGGTGCAGCACGTTTCTTTTGTTGGCTTATGTTTTGCTTTTGTGCAGGAGGTTTGGTGGTGGTGGCTGCTGGTGTTGTCGTGGTGGTAGCTTTATCTTGTTTTAAGCGTTTAGCTGACTGTTCATTTTCGTCGTCCTCGAGCGATCGTTTCGGCGAAGTTACACTGTTTTCGTTCGGTGGTTCAATCGCAGGTTCGGGCAGGTCCTTTGGCAGTGAAACACCTCCATTGGTTCCATTTTCCGCCTCTGTTGCTGCAATTTCTGGCGATGTTGGAATCGAGGGCTCTGCATCGACTACTGTGCCCTTTGTCACACTTTCTTCCATGGCAGTTCCATTCGTTCCTTTTACACGTTTCGAGGGCGGATCGCGCAACTTCCGGATCTCAGCTGTCTTCTCAAGCACGGTGATGAAGAACCCCCCGCTGTCTTGCAAGTGTGGGTACACCCTCATACAATTTTGTAGTTGAATCTCCTCAGAGGCATCTGGTGCAAACATGCCTTCAGAGAGTCGTCCCATGGCCTCGTCGTTGTTCTCTTTCTTGAACTCCTCAGCCTCGTTCCATGTCTTGAATTTACGGCCTAAGCGATCCACCACCGGCCAGTTCGAAAGTCCTGGTCTACGCTTCAGCCCGGCCATACGGTCTTCACAGTTGACCACCGTAACGGCTGCGCTTCCTCCGCATTTGTCGATGGCACTAGCAACAACTGCCTCATTCTCAATGGGGTTCATACTACACGTTGAGTATACAACCCTACCGCCAACCTTCAGCATTTGCAGTGCTCGCACCAATATCTGAACCTGTGTGGCGTAGAGCCCAAGGGCGTTTTGTCTAGTCCAATCTTTCCAGACAGAGACGTTCTTGCGTGTCGTGCCATCGCCCGTGCATGGTACATCTGCTAGAATGCGATCGAATTTGAGATACTCTCTCGGCTTGCCTGGTTCAGCTTTCGTGATAATGGAGGGAAACATGCGCGCGTCGTGGTTCGTGACTATAAAGTTCGGGGAGTTGAGACGTTTTATTTGATGTACCAGCATTTGAGCCCGACGCCAGTCGATCTCGTTCGCTATAAGTAGACCAGTAGACCTGCCATCGTCTGACATGTCATCCTCTAGCTCAACCTCCTCTTGATCGATCTTGAGCTCCTCCCCGTCCGGGCTTACTTCGCGTCCCTCCTCCTTGGCGATCTTCTTGAAGACCTTCCTCACTCTTGCTTCTTCTCCTGCATGAATCATTTCCGCGAGCTGAGCAGACTTGCTGCCTGGTGCGGCGCAAAGATCCAACACAGTCATGCCTGGCCCAATGTCCATCACTAGAGGTGGAATCATGCTAACAACCTCTTGTCTGCTGATATTGCCCACGCTGGTCTCGGACACGAGGAATTTCTGGAAGAATGCAAAAGGAGGCGACTTGCGAATCACTTGCTTTCCCGTAGTCATATGCCACGCCAATTGGTTTGGATACCATGGTATCTGTGTTGGGGGCTCCACGCCCTCGCCTTCAAATTCAACCGCAGAAATCTGCGGGATATAGCGGTCGACGAGAACTTTCTGAACAGTGAGGGCGTGTCTGGAGAAGTCAGCATCAGGTCATGGTGAGTCATGGACACACTTGCCCTTTGGAACCTGTGAAACGGAACGAATTGGGGAGAGTAGTTCGTAAGCTCTTCCAGAATGCGTCGCGCTCGCTTTCAGGCAAAATATTGACCTCCTCATTGTAGTACTGTTCGTAGTCTTTGTTCGACCGCTCGATTTCGGGCCAACCGCCGGGTTGGTTGTCTCGTGAGCCACCGCCTGCTCCTCCGCCGCCTCCATTGCGACCGCCTTGGCGCCGCTGTAATACAATTAATTGCGCTCGCCATGGAGTCTTATTCTAGACTTACGCCTTTGCCTCGATGACGGCCCATTTCTTATTTTGACTCTCAAAAGCTGAATTATATTGTGAAGTGTGCGAGATTGTTAGATTTCGAGAACTTGAAGCTGTTCGGAACAACTGCCGGACCGAAAAGTGATTTTCACTTGGGGAGCTTGTCGCGCCCCACTTCGAAAGGTTTGAAATAGAATTCCCACGAATTGAACGCCAACCATGTTACCGGCTACTTTGACGTTTGGGGCGAAGCTGCAGTCGATATGTTATTTCACTACATAGTCTTACTGGTACGGTCAGATATGAAGCTGACCACGCAATTACGATGTATGTCTTAGTCGACGGTGCATACATTGCGCCTCCAGCGGCTCTACGTCTTGTCCATTAGCAAGAGACGACAAGCTTCCGTGCTTGCTTGAGATACACTGCGACGATCTCACTGAGCTAGTGAGCCATGAGTATGTCATATACATGACGCTATAGTGACGATATGTAGACGTCCTTCGTTCTGAGAATTAACACTTACATGCGTCACTTTCGCGACTACAATCCTAATAAACCCGTCGCTAGGTGTGGAAAGTAGTTCAGCCCAACAGCAGTATCTCAGCCCCAAACAACATACATCATGTCCCATCCTGACGGCCGACCGGATATGAAGGCTCATCCACTGAAGGATCCCATGCAATATGAGCAGGAAGTCTTCGAAAAAGGGCTCAGACATGAGAGTACACCGTTCACTTTCAAACCATGAGAATGGGGAAAGCAAGCGCTTGCTCGGTTATCTGCTGATAGTACTGGCTATCTCGCCAACGCAGGCAGAATGAGACATTCGACAAGAACATCGCTGCTATCAAGAAATGGTCAATTGTTCCACAGCGACTTGTCAAAGCAGAGCATCCAGAACTCGAGGTCAAAGTCCTTGGGCAGAAGCTCAGCTACCCAGTAGCTGTTGCTCCCATAGGTGCTCAGACTATCTTCCACGCTGATGGTGAGATTGGGAGTGCGCTGGCTGCCAGGTCAGAGAATGTTCCATTCATTATGAGTACCGCGTCCTCGATTTCCATTGGAGCGGTCGCCGAAGCAAACGGCAATGGAACACGCTGGTATCAACTTTACTGGCCCAGCAACGAGAATAATGAGATAATCAAATCCATTCTCCAAAGAGCACAAAGGGCTGGGTTTTCGGCCCTGATCGTGACTCTTGACACCTACTTGCCTGGATGGCGATCCCTCGATATGGACAATGGTTACAACCCATTTCTCCGTTCCGATTCGATCGGAGTGCAAATTGGCTTAACCGATGCAGCGGATCGCAACAAGTTCAAGGAGAAACATGGATTAGATGTCGAACATGATCCTGATAGTCAAATAAATCTATCTCTCGCACCAGACGCTTTCGGTTCAGGATGCATTGATCAACGGAGGGAATACCGCCTAGATGCATTGTGACCTCTAATTCACCAAGCAGAGCCCTGATTACGTGCGTTACACTTGCTTCACCTCCCAGAGCAAGGCCGTAGATATATGGCCTGCCAATTAAGCAACATTCTGCGCCAAGACCAAGTGCTTTGAGGATATCCGCGCCGCTGCGGATGCCAGAGTCGAAGATGACATCAATGTTGTCACCAACAGCATCTAAAATCTGTGGTAAAACCCTCAACGCGCTATTACCACCGTCTTGTTGACGCCCACCATCGTTCGGTACAACTATTCCTTGTACACCAGCCTCGACTGCTTTATTTGCATCATTGATGCTCTAGATTCCTTTAAGGACGATTGGGCCTTTCCAGTGCTCTTGGAGGAACTTTATATCTTCCCATGAGTGTGACTTTCCCGGGAATACGGTACGTGCCCATTCTGCTGCTGCTTGACCAATCATGAGCTGTAGAAGATCGGAAGAATTTACTACTCATGTAGAAGAACGCTTTGCAATCTTAATAAGATACGCTTAGCAATCTAGTCTCGGGCCTGTAATGTTTTGTCATATGCTCTAGACCTAGGCTCCTTCTTGAAGGTGAGAATGTGAGCTCAGACTTGTGATAATGCTTCAGGCTATCATTCGATTGGAAAGCATATAGACGTACTAAAAATCATTGATAGATAGATTACTTGGTACGCACAACGGGTGGGTTGCCATCTTCACATATTTTGAGCTGCTCGCTGACCTCCAAGCAAGTAAATGCGACCTACTAACATACTCATGATCAGATCAGATCACATGTTCATCAAAGAGCAAAGGATGGCAGGATTCGTCAGTCGATTTGGCAGGCTTACATCTGTATTTACAATCTCTCGACATACAGTTTACCGCTCGACAGAGGTATACTCGCCGACCGACCAAACCAGCATTGCCGGGACCCTGCTACCGCCTATGATGCATTTGTTCCACTTGCCGAAAAAGTCTGATCATGCCAGGAATCTCCTTTCAGCTGCATCAGAGCTTCTGCAGCTTGGTGGGTATTCCAGTGCCTTGTCCTCGGAACGTCTGCCGCAGAACTGTTCACGCCCTCTCGCTGGCATTCTATCAATCCCCATATAGCTTCGATCTCTGATACACAGTACTCTGACTGGGTCCGTGTGTTCACAGTAGATGACATTCCGTCTGTGGATTCTCGAGAACGTCCTCCAATCGCATGGTGCACTTCAGGAGTCACCGGCGGACACATATCTGCATCATTCACTCCGCTTTGTGTATGGCGTGGTGTCTGCTGGCGCATTCGAGCGGACCTTCGCACGGAGGAAGATCTCGACGATTGCAGAGCATATGCTCTCTGAGGAGAAGCAGCATTGTCATCTGTATTTTCCCATTTCTTGGCTTGAGCGATGCAAATATCGACGATCGCTTGGGGAATGAGGAAGTTCGCAAAGCATTTATGCCCAGGCGGTATGCAGAGAGATATAAAGTCTTTCCCAAACACTGGGGTCAGGGCGTATCTGATGTCATAACAGAATGTCGCCGCCGCTGCCTTGGCTGCTTCGAACGGAACCCAGTAACCTGAGAGCATGAGTAAACACCACAGGTACACGACAGATCAACTGACTGACCCTGTGCGGGAATACTTCCACCAGTAACATTAAATGCATAGTCATCGATGTTGTTGAGAGTAAGCATTCTCTTAGGTACTGTCTAGGGAAAGTGTTGGCATGGGACTGTTCCAACTCAGCAAAGCCATGTACGCACCTTGGAGTGGCCTAATGCTTTGAAGAACGAAGTCATCCTGACGAAACCAGTTGTATGGTCCCATGCAACATACCAGAACTTCTCTTTCGCCTCGGCTACAACTCGATGACGAAGTTCATGAGGTAGTTGAAAGACGTACTGAAAAACTGCATCTCCATTAGCGATCTCTGTCGATATCACGCCTCTACTCTCCGCACCTTCGAACCCTGCACGTCCGGTCCTCTCCCGGAATTTCTTCTTGTTGCTACTGTACGGAATAGTGCGATGGTAGTTCGCGATGCTACCCTGAGGGAAAATACGAAATCTCCTGTGTTGCTGGGCGAGCTCTAGATCGCCCGCATCTTCATGGGATGGATAAGCAACATTCTCAGGAAGTGGCTCTGCTCTGACGAAGGGTATAACATCTTTTGGAAGCTTTGGAGCCTTTGGAGAATCCGGTGATATGATTGCTACTCCTGGTGGGACAAATGTACGAGGTAACGATTGAGTTTGATCGTATACAACATCGTCCATAGGTTGCCTAGTGGGATTGAGCATGGTCCTGATTGACATAGACATGACTGTTCTGCAATATATGTCAGCTGTTTTTTTGATTCAGTGTATATGTTGGAGTGTACAGATTGTATGACAGACCAGACTTGCGGTGAAATAAAGACAAAAAGTGATGGTCGTACTACGGAAAGAGCTTGGGAGAGAATAAGAGCAGTGAGGTCGGTCAAACGCAATCTTTGGGAGAGATGGTTTGCGAGACAGCACATGAAGGCCAGCAAGGTCTTTTGTTGTCGAGTGGACTCTTGAACAGCGATATGGAAGACTGGTTGGCTCTGTTCCATCCAACAACCTAAGCGTGTGCATCTGAAGTTCGTTTGAGCAGCTACAGTAGCTGGATTGAAGGATATCGGTTCGGATCAGGCTTTTTGGCAGTACGTTGAATTACATCCTTCGTCCATGGAGATCATTGGTTGTTGTTTGTCTCAACGAGCAGATTTCTATCCAGCCAGTTTCATGGCTTGTTTGCGTCTGCGGGCGGTGTGTGGCATTGCTTGTTTCTTCCAGAGATTGTCTCTGTCACCCAACGCTTGCTTCGGCTTCTTGCAGCAACCAAAATAGCATTTATACATAGCTCGTTGTGAGCGATGGTAGAATGAGCCTTTTGACATTCGCACATGCACGTTCCACTGATGCACGCAGGGGTCAATCTGGAGCAACTGGTTAGTTCTGTGATCAGGACAATACCTGCGCGGCTCTCCACTATCAACCTGGGATAGGACTACTCAGCATCACTCGTAGCCTTATTAAGATGGCCTTGAAGATAGAGATCCATCGACAGGGGAATATACCCGGGTAGCTTGCACCAAGCTATTCGTATCCAACTGGACGTAAAGAGATGCCAAAAGCCTTTACTGGACAGTTAGGAGCTCCACTAGATCCTACTCCCAACATGAATAAGTCTAAATGCCGTCGTAGCTAGCCTGAGTCGAGTGCGGTGCGACAAGGTATTCTTGGATCGGTATAAGACGAAGACCATCATACAGCTGCCCGGTTCTAGCAAGCAAGATGACGTTGTTCAGCAGACGATGATATAGCAGCATTTCAGTCTGCGCGGCATATGTTGAACTTCCATGCATAGAATGAAACTCTAGAAAAGTCTTTTGATGGGTCTCATCGTCTAAGCGACTTCGTACGCCATGCATGTCTTTAGGACAGTTACAGCCGTTCTTGAACGGAAGACAGGGTATCCTAGCACGCATCTTTCTCCACGTTTCGATCAGAAAGACGGTGCTTGGATCCACAGATCCACAGCTCCACTCAAGCACTGCACCAGTTCCTCCTGTCTGCTTGTTGTCACTGTCGGGCGATTGGACTAAAGAGCCCTAGGATCCCCGTTGCCGTAATTATCTTTTCCAGTCGGAAGAAGAAAATTAATCTTTGCAATCCAGGATCGTCAATTCTGCTGAAGCCTTGGTGTAACGCATGTAGCCGAGGCCCGTTGCAATGGTTGCACATTGGATTTGGCTTGCCAGCGTGGAGCAAGGGGGAGGGGGCTTGTCAACGACACACTTGACTCATAGTATCGACAGGCATGTCTATCATTATGAGAGTTTTGCTGGCTGGGACACTTGTTGTCGGAGCATTCAGTTACCATGAAGGCTTTCAAAAGCGTATAGGGCGAAGAGCTTCTAACGATGCTATGCGTCTAGAAGGCTCGATTTCACTATAGGCAAGGTCTTCGGGCAGCACACACTATATCGAACCAAACGTCACCGACCCAAGAATCCGTAGTCAATGGTATTTCCGACCAAGAGAGTGCTGTCAGTCACATGACTGAGGGAAGCTTGTATTACCGGAACGGTCTCGCAGTGTCTGCCAGCGTCGTACATATCCGTGATATCCCAGCAAGGCCCACCTACCCACTGACTCTGTTTCCACTTTATTGCCACTTTAACCAGCTGCAGAAACACCTCAGAGGGCTTCTCACCATATATTCAAGGCCTAGCGGCAACGCTCCTTGCAACCGATGCACGTCTATCCGTATGGACTTGTGGGAGTCTCTTCCAGAACGATATGGCTGAAGGAGCTCTGCTGCGTAACAACAACCTACATAATGCTAATGTGATTTTAGCGTTACCTGTTTGTTTGCTTTTTCAAGCTGGACTAGACTTTCACACTGTCTCGGGCCGTTCTTGTATCTTCGTCGCGCGTCATCTTGGTGTCTTGATAGGCATAAGATGATGGGCTGCCACTGGTGTTGCAGCAGGGGGTGTATCAACAATTACTTGGTCTTCAGATCTGTTGCTTGTCTGCCACTCAATACCATGTATGCTGGTCGAACGGACCGCCATATCCTGGAAGCCGTCCGACATGTCGCGCAGAACTACACTACCTTACCGCAGCACCGGCCCGTTTCGATTACAAGCCACTGTCATTCCGACCTCCAATCAGCGGCTACCACAGCAGGTTCTGGGTCTTGCAGATATTGATGATTCGTTCCATTTGGATGGGTTCGGCAGCAAATACCCCCACAAGGGGAAGACTTCCATTTCGGCACCCAACTGTCCAGACGCAGTCATAATTAGCTACACACGACAGTAGTACGGTTATGGCAGCCTCAAAAAATGCCCGTAATTGGTGGAAGTGACTACTACAGGCAGGACTGCTGCTCGAAGTCTTCAGGATTGTTACATATGGACAGTGAAAGGTACTCGCGATCTCCTACTGTGCAGAATACCCATTCTTTCTATCGGCTAACCATTGACGTATAACATCTCTCATATGTAGCTTGATCCGGAAACAGTTATTCTTCAGCCTTCCTTACTTCAGGCCCTGGGTGGTGAAGCAAGCAGAGTTACACGAACTCGTGGGACACACGCCTTCTTTCTCCCATATTTTGCCATCTTTTACACAAAGGGCATGGCCCACCTACAACATGCAACCTGCAACCTGCAACGCCGTTCGGGTGCTCCAGAGCCCCGTTGGTTCCGGTGTAGGGAGTCTTCATCATGTCGTCGGAGATGGTCCTGCACCCTTCATGATCCCCCTCCACCTCCTCCCAGCCGTCCGGCTGATCGGCTCGATCCGCCTTCCCCGAGCATTCTCTGCTAGATTGGTCTTTCTGGAGCCCTAGCTGGACCTTGCTCCTCTTACTGAAGAGAGGGTTTGATGACGTGAGACGACTTTGGATGAGGTCTGTTTGAGCTGTCGGTGAGTTGCTCATGCCATGAAAGATGGAGCGACTTCACACTACCTTAAATGTTCATGACCATGCCTTCTACCATCACTCCTTGTACAACGATTCGGTTCATGCGAACGTTGACAAGTCTCCCCAAGATAGAACTGCCTTGCCGTACGCCAACTTTCACAACCTCCATTGATACACCATTCATTCTTGTGTCGCCCAATGCCCAAACCCCAATCAGTGATACACTGCCATTTCGCCCCGCGTTCGGGGCTTTTAGCAAACGGCAAGCACGCGGTCCCAAACGGTCGTAACGTTCCTCATAAGCTATCGAGGCGGCTTGCCCACGCTCCGAGTCACTGTTAGGACGGCTTGAACAGCTTCAAGACTGCTGTTTGGGATTTGGCATAGACCTGTTTGCTTGATTTCTATTGTCGTCGACGATGACAACGGATGCTTGGTGTTTGGTTGCCTGTCGTCACTAGGACGCCTTTTCTTTTTGGTTGACTTTGTTGGCTGGTCGCTGGCTGGTTAGCTGGGGTGTGACACTGACAAGGCTTGGAATTGCTGCTTTGAGTAGGATGGAGCGCAGTGCTTTGGATTCCAAATACACCATGTGAGTGGGAGCTCGAACTGGCTGTGAGAACCCTTAATTCGATGTCGAAGGAGATGTCATTTTCATCATCGACTCAGCTCGACGGCTAATCGTTTCACGGCGAGAGTCAAGTAGGCTTCCAACATGTCTCTCGTGATGTCTACATGGATCTGATCACCTGAACCGGAGAGAGCGTTTGCCAAGTCCTTCCAAAATTCCACTCACGTTCAAGCTCAACCAGGCCTACTAAGTATGGTCCCAAGGTTATGTTGCACGGCGAGCGGTGCTTCTATCCAGGTTATGCCTACTTAAAGCTGAGATGCTATGATGTGCTACTTGCATATCCCATATAACCTTCCAGTCTCTCATACTTCATCTTGTCTTCGTCGCTACGTTACCTGCCTATCTGCGACTGCCTCTCTTCTCGTACGGCCAGTCCAGACTAATGTATTCTACGTGACGTATAGAGAAACTCAACATAAGAACTCGACTGGCTGGTGAACCACCTTGGTACTTATTGGATATATGGAGATGTCCATCAGTGTTTCTGATTGAGCTTAAGCTAGTGGTGTGACTACCACCAAACCATTGTGGTATATAGCTCCTTTATTTTGATCCTCATCAAATGTATGAGCATAACATAGACGTCATCTTCCCTTAATCGTGCGCAAGTGCTCAATGGTAGAGAGAGCTATATGAGTTACACGCCTGCCATTTGCGCTTTTTTTTAGCTGTATACACAACAAATTCTTGATCATCTTTCTGTGACATATCGCACCTGAAATACACACTAGGCGAAATATCCATCGCCATTCGAAGACAATGCAAGATTTAGGAAACCAGCGAGCATGATATACCGGAACGACTGCCTCACACCATGCACGCATACAGACACCACACAAACATACACTCACTCAACCATTCCAACCTCGCCCTCCCAGGCGTACTGCACAACCAAGTCTACACCTCCCATCTTCTCGCTCTTCTATGCCTCACGAACACCTTCTTCCTCAACCTCCTCTCCACCACCAGGAACAACTCTAAAATTCCGGGCCGACTAAATATAGTAGTTCTAGAAGGCTCAATGTTGTATTTTCCGTAGTCTTCTTATTCTCTCACGCCAAGAACACAAGAAATGAGGGACAAGATAATCATTCTTGCTTTCTTGGCATTGTTCTTTACGTACTGCTTGCTTTCGCAGCCGGGCCAGGCCACTCAATCAAACGGGATCCTACGCAGCCCTTCAATGCCCATGCGCTTCTTCATTTCCTCTGCCGCGCCTACACTACTGGGAACCTTGATCCCGCAACAATCGCCCCACGAATTCGCCGTGTGGACGTGTCTCATGCCATCCTTCATGACTACAATCTCGCCGCCTTCCGCCTCATCCTCTTCGCGAGGCACGCCGCTCTGCTCCTCCGTGCTCATGCCATCCACAGCCGGAACCAGCGATCCGAACAGGAAATGCTGCATCACGGGCAACTTGCCCAGCACCTCGCGCACAAACATCTTGCGCATGCCGCCCTCGACCTTTTCCCACGATTTGGCTGCGCTGATGTCGTCGAGCATGGGGCTGTGCCAGCGCAGACCCTCGACGTTCTTGACGCTGTTGACGAATTGTACTTGGTCGAGGTACATGAACTCCTTGCCGAATTCCTCGAGTGTGAAGGCTTGGTGGATGGACTTGGGGCGGATGTAGGGGTGGTGGTAGAGCTGTGATGCGCCGAAGAGGAATGGGAGGAACTGGTAGTCGTCGAGACCCCAGACGCCGTGCGAGCCGGCGGGCTCAAGGTAGTATGTCGTCTGGACGTTGCGCATGAGGCGCAGGTAGCGGGGAAGGATGCGGAGGATGACGGCGGGGAAGGTGGATGGTGGGAGGTAGTTGAGGCGGTTGAGGCAGAGCAGCCATGTGAAAAAATTCAGCTCATGGCCGGAGCCGTAGTCGATTCGTGTCCTGTTGCCAAAGGAATTGCTCAAGTATGTTGATATCTCATCGACGGTGGCAGGATCTGTAATGCCTAGCTTCGCGTGCCATTCCTGCTGTGCCAGCTCGACCTCGTCGACGTATCGATGGAAGCTCTTGTTTCCAAAGCGTGAGCCTTCATTGTCTTCTGGTGGACATTTTTGTATGAGTGCCTCGGCCTCGTCGAGGACTTGTAGTACTGCGTGAATTATCGGGTCGAGTGTTTCATCCTTGGCAGAAGATATGGGTTTGTCTCTCACGCTGTCCGAAAGTGTGAAGATGAAAGAAGTGATGAGATCGTATGTGGAAGAAGCTAGGAAGACGGCATGGTCGTGGGGTGAGAGAATACGTCTACTGGGCTTTATGTATTGCCATCCTTGCTGCGTCGCAGGAGGCTCTGGGAGTAGCGGAGTTTGCGGAGGAGGGCTGCGGGGTCGTTCAGGGACGCTGGATTTCCGATTCGCAGGGAGTAGGGATTTGAGGGGAGGAATCTTCTTGGAGAGATCTGGAGGACTTTCAGGGACGCCCTGTGTGGCTGTAGGCATCTTGAGCGAAAGTGTGGTGTCGGTGGTGGATAATCGTAGGCACGCTGGGAGCTTGAGGAATCTTTGAAGCTCAAGCTGTAGGTTCCGTCCACGATAGGCTTGGCACTTCAACGTCATCACATGCTTTCACTCCGAGGCGCACGCCAAACTCCCAGTCACACTTCGCCCTGTTTCGAAGATACACTCCTCCACTGAAGCTCTCCATGAGATAGCAAAGCAGTGTCGAGTCCACCATGGACGACGATACAACAGGCGTGTTCGCTAACCGCGACGAACCAATCCCCGTCGTCATCACCAACCCCCCCGAACCCACGGCCTCCAACCAGACCTTGAAACCATATCCCCAGGAGAAGGCCCGGTCAAGATCACCAGCCGAAAGACTGCGGACGAAGCTTCAAGACAAACTGGAAGAGCAACTCGCCGACCAAGGTGCCGACGCCACTGCCGACCAGCCCGAAAAGAGCACCAGAAAGAGCATACAGGACCGGCTGTTCAACAAGATCTTCGAGCAGTTCATACCAGAAGACCCCGGCTTCGAAGATGAAGATGAAGCCAACGGGCCAAAAGTCAAGGACAGACGATCACGCAAATATGTCGCCCGGCCAAACTTCAGCCTGCCGGTCATGTCCAACAACTTCAGACGCTTCAACGCGAGGTACGCTCTATCCCTTCCTCTATACATACATACACTATGAACCATCATAACACTCACTCCCCCCGAAACCAGAATCGGCGTCGTCTTCGTCTTCCAAAACCGCGCCATCCGCCTCTTCTCCTGGGCCGACCCCTCGCACACCCTCTCCTTCCTCGCAATCTACACCCTCATCTGCCTAAACCCACACCTCCTCCCCGTCCTCCCCCTCGCCGGCACCCTCTTCTTCATCATGGTCCCAGCCTTCCTAACCCGCCATCCCCCTGCCGCACCCAACTCCTCCTCCTCCTCCTCCTTCGACCCCTCCACAACAGACCTCTACCCCTACCTCGGCCCCCCGACCGCCCCAGCCCGCCACGTCAAGCCCGCGCCAGACTTCAGCAAAGACTTCTTCCGCAACATGCGCGACCTCCAAAACAGCATGGAGGACTTCAGCCGCGCACACGACAACGCCATCGCCCTCATCGCCCCCCTCACAAACTTCAGTAACGAAGCCCTCAGCTCCTCCGTCTTCCTGCTCGTCTTCGCCGCCGCATGCGCGCTCTTCGTCGCGTCCGGCCTCGTCCCCTGGCGCGCCGGCGCGCTCCTTCTCGGCTGGGCAGCTACGTGCGCGGGACATCCCGCCGCGCAACAAGTGCTGCTCTCCAGACGGACGGAGCGCGTCCTGCGCAACGGCGAGCGCGCAGCGAGAAAACGCTTTAATGTCTTTGCGGCTGCGGACAATATCCTTGCGGAGGCGCCGGAGATGCGCGAGGTGGAGGTGTTTGAGCTGCAGCGGCGGGAGGAGGCGGCGCTGTACGGCGACGAGCGCGCAGCGACGGCGTACGAGCCGTACATGTTTAGTCCTGCGCCGTACACGCCGCTGTCGCCGGCGCGTATCTCGGGTGAGAGGCCGCGGGGCACGCGGTTCTTCGAGGACGTGCGCGCGCCGCAGGGCTGGAAGTGGGCGGATAAGAAGTGGACGCTTGATTTGCTGAGTACGGAGTGGGTGGGGGAGAGGATGATTACCGGGGTCGAGGTTGAGGTTGAGGGCGAGAGGTGGGTTAGTGATATCCTGTATGATGAAGGTGTGTCGTTGTTGGCGGAGGAGGATGGGATGATGTCGGCGGATGCTGGCGTGAGTTTGGCGAAGAAGGGCGCCAAGGGGGGCAAGGTGAAGATCGGGGTGCGGAAGACGTGGGAAGAAGGGAATGGGACGGGGAGAAAGGGGGAGTGGAGGAGGCGTAGATGGGTGCGCATGGTGCAGAGGAAAGTCTATGGACCGGACAGTAAAGACTGATGACCTTGCCCGGTACCACGATGTTGTAGCACTAGATGATCAGACATGAAAAGTCTTTATAAATTTCCAGCACATGGTTTTTTGCTTCAGTCTATAATACGTACCTAGAGGCTAATACCTGATGTAGCAGCTTTTTTTTTTATCTATCCTTGTCCGTCTTGGTATCATGTCTTGTTTCTGCTCCCCTGTGCCCCAACAAGCCCCTCGAAGCGTGAGCGTGTCCTTCTCTCACTCACCTCAACGCCTTGCGCGCAAAGGTAGGCAGCACGAACGCTGCCTCGTGGATCTCCTTGCTGTAGTACTTGCACAGATTCTCCTCTTCCTCAGGCGTCCAGGTCCTCAGGGGCTTCTTAACGTCCCTGTCCGCGTCCTTGCAGCAGACCATGAAGCCAATCTGGCCGGAGGGGTAGGTGGGGATGGTCGTGTATGCGTACTCGACAGTCGGGAAGACCTCCTTGCACGACTTCTTGAGCCCAGTGATAAGCGGCATGTGCAACCACTGGTTCTCAGCTATAATCAGAGACAACAAAGAACGTTAGCAAACGAACGCGAGTAAAAAGAACCACCCGACCCCGTAGCGAAACGAGCTAAAGGAAAAAAAAGGGGAGGACAAAAAGAAGATTGCACTCGTCACGAAAGCGAAGAGACGCCAGCAAACGCAGCAGAAACGAACAGGCTTACAACCTTGCGTGGTGATCACGCCGCCATCCTTCAGCGCGTTATTGAGCAGCTCGAAATAGGGCTTCTGAAACAGGGCCTCGGCTGGGCCCTCGGGATCACTGCTATCGGTGATGATGACATCAAACTCATTGGTGTGCTCGGCCATGAACGCAAACCCGTCGCCGACAATCGTCTTGCTCTTCGGGTGCTCGAAGCCGACGGCCATGTCGGGCAGGTACTGCTTCGAGAGGCGGATGACGGCCTCGTCAATGTCGCAGAGCGTTGCGGTCTTGACGCACGAGTGCTTGACGACCTCGCGCAGCACGCCGCCGTCGCCGCCGCCGATGATGAGCACGTTCTCTGGGTTCGGGTGTGCGTTCATGGCGAGGTGGGTGATCATTTCTTGGTATCTGGACCGGGCTCAATATGTGGCGCTCCGACTCTATAGTAGTAGATTGTGTGCGGTTTGTACGTACGAGAATTCGTCACGCTCGGTGCATTGGATGACGTTGTCGAGGACGAGGACAGTGCCGTAGTCGGTGGATTTGAAGAGGAGGACGTCTTGATACTTGCTCTTCTCGTGGTGGAGCACTTTCTCGACCTTTGAGGAAAGGTCAGTGAAGTGCAGAGTGCAATTGGATCTCCCATACCTTCAAAGTCATGGCCTGACCCGGCCACATATCAGAGATCTCACGGAACCATCCATCTACAAGATTGTAAGCTTAGCATGCTCGAAGAGGCCGTTCTCGTAAGGGTCGTTGCAAGGCGAACCTTTGATGGTGGGGTGAACGATTTCAGACATTATGAATGACGTAGAATGTAGACGTAGAGCTTGACGCGGAAGAGTGAAAAAACAAGAGAATATTGAGGCGTGAGAATGTTGCAATGAGTGTCTTGAGAGACGTTGGAGAAGTTTCCCTACTATTGCTGCCCGCGTCATTTTTCACTTTTCCTTCTGGCTGGCGGGTCCCTGGTCTGGTCAGGCCATTGGGCTGTCCTGGCCCCGCAGTCATTCTTGGCAGGGCAGAGATGATCCATCCATACACCGATATATACTACAATAATTACCTTATAACTACCCGGTGAACCGATAGACACCACCACTTCGCCATCAAAATCACTCTGGGCTTCACAGCGCGTGTTTCGTGGGCAGTAAACCACATTGATGTCTTCTATCCAGACTATACAGTACTTTTGACTCTAAACCCCGGTCGTACCTTTCTTTCCCTGCATTCGACGTGCTAGCACTGCTAAAAGGTGCATCAAGACATTCCCGGTACAGAAGGGTATAAACTTTGCCCACCCGTGCTAGGCGCTCGGCTTCTCCCATCTCTTGCTGTTGTGAAGATGCATCTTCCTCGACTTTGGTCATTATGCTCTGTTGAATTTTGCAAAACTTGCTTGGCGACTGAATGGAACGACTCGCTTGCTCCTGAAAATGCTCCCTTCCAAAATCCCATCATCGCGCACGCTACTTTAAAAGAATCTTTTACTAAACTCATAATGCGTTTCATCCTCCGTGATGCTCATGGCCTTTGCGTGGCTGCTATACGCCTGCGCATGGTCATTGTGCAACATGGTGATGACTTAGGTAGTATGTTCTTGCGCTCACGTAATCTTACTCGTGCTCAGGTTGCATCTAACGAGTCCGCTAAAAACATGTCAGTCCTCGTAATGGTAGCAAATCCGCTCAGACTAGACATACCAAGCTTGCTGCCGCGGCCGCGGATGCCAAATCCAGTTTTCCACTTGTGCTCCGTTGTGCCACTCGAGGGAGGCCACTCAATGACCCAGCTGTCGGCACCGTTTGGCCATTACTTGACCTCTTGACACCGACACTTGTTTGGTTTCCGTGAATCGTAGAGTGTCTTCTTGGTCCAGCACCCTTGACGGGTGAGCTGCTTGATGTCTCGCGTGAGTTCGCGACCGCAATGCCATTTCTCAAAGTTGTCGCTGGAGGCTCAGGCAATGGCCTCGTTCGTTGAGGTGTTTGTTGTACGGCCGAGGGTAAACGCTTTGCTGGTGAGACACCCGACGTACCATTGATCGGGCCTCTTGGGCGTAGCATGCTAGGACGCTTCTGCCCGGTCATGAACTCGTGCGATGCCGCATCATCTGGTTTCATACGTCGTTCTGGATCCCATCGTAGACACCGCGAGATAAAGTCTAGGAATGCCTCGTCGTCACATTTCAAGGCTTGCTGTAGTGTTTTTGTGCTAGGCCTCCTGCGCCGGCCTTTCGAAGATACCATCACTCGGGCCTTGCCTTGTGAGTCAAAGAAAAGCTTTTTACGGCTGCTCTTCTCAATCAGATGTTTTTCAGGCGGCCCAAAGATTTCCATGATACACGCCAGCTGCTCTTGTTCGTTCTCACCAGGGAATATAGGGTAACCGGTGTACAGTTCCGCCAGAATGCATCCCAGACTCCACATATCGATCGGCATCCCGTAACTCATACCGAGTATCACTTCAGGAGATCGGTAGAACCGGCTCTGAATATAGGTATACACTTTCTCGTTCTCGAAACAACTCGACCCGAAATCAATTACCTTGATCTCCGACTGCAGTGGATGCGCGAGCAAGATGTTTTCAGGCTTCAAGTCGCAGTGGATGACACGCTTCGTCTGCAAGACCTGCAGACAACTCAGAATCTGCCGTGTGAAGCGCCGAATCAATTTGATTGAGAATCCTTTGAACTCATGGGCCTTGATAAACTCATACAGATTCATGCTCAGAAGTTCTGTCGAAATGCATAAATGACCGCGGAAGTAAAAGCTTTGGGTAAAGTTAATCATGCTGTGTTCAGCTTTCGGATCCTGTTTGCAGTTTAGTTGGATCCCTTTGACTGATGATCTATACTCACCCATTCGCGCAATTTCTGTAGGATGTTGACCTCGACTAAGGCCTGCTGATGGAATCTTTTCTTGTTCCTTATGATCTTCACAGCAACCAAAGATCCCGTCTTGTGGTCAACACATCGGACGACCTGACCAAAACTGCCTTTGCCCAGAAGATCCACCACTTCGTAGCGGTAAGCCAAATGGTCTCCAAAGACTATGTTATAGTCGCCTCGGTCGTCATCGTAACCGAAGTTTGCGGATTGAGCATTGAGATCGCCGACGTGTTTCTTCGCGTTCCTGGTGCCACAGAAATAGATTTCTTTATAATCGATGATTTCGCCTCGCTCGAACAGATTCAGATTGACTTGTGCCAGTGCAGCTGCAGGAGTGACCTTCGGCTGAGGTTTGGCCGAGTCTCGCAGCTTGTCAACATCCTTGGCCGCTAATTCAAAATCCTTCCGTTTATAGCCAAGCCTTTTCATCTCCTCATCGGCGGCAATGTCTTCTTTTTCAAGATTTGTGTCCAGGTTCCGACCCCGTAGAGCACCCAAAGATGGTCTGTTTGAGATTGAGCTCCGAAGTCCATCCATGAAGCCAGGTCTATTCTTCGGTGTTACAAGGTTCTGTTCGGAGTACGTTGGAGGTTGTACACTCGAACTGCCTTGTCGCCTGTGAACCTGGCGCTTCTCCGTTTCCGTGTCACTCATGAAGTTCTGACCAGAAGGCTTGCGGGTGCGCTGTTCGAACGAAGACCGTGGAGCTTTTCCAGGCGTCGGACTTGGTAGTATATTGCTGTTGCTATTGCTATTCAAGGTTTTCGAAGCTGGTAGTTTTGGTGGAGGCATCTCATTCGACCTCGATGGCTGCTGGTCTTCAGATTTATGCTGCACTGGTTCTTTGGTTAGCAAACTGTGTGTACTGCCAGAAGCCTTGGATGAACTTCTTTTAAACTTCTCACTGAGCCTCCTATGTAGGGATGGGCCCGATGAAGGAGTCTCCGGCTCAGTTGAAGTATCAGTTTGGATGCTCTGAATCGACGCGGTTTCTTGCTTGACAGCAGTATAAGAGCGCTGACCATGTGATTTTCCTTGTTGAGATTCCGAATCAGTGCCATCGTAGCCGTATTCTCCGCTGGGTCTACTTCTGATGTGCCCGAATTCGCCACTGATCTTGGGTAGGCTTGCTGATGCAAATGGCGTCGTCGTTTGCCTACTGTTTGCGTGGCTCGGGATAGGTATTGCGGCTGTCGACATCGGTTGAAATGCAGTATCGGATCGCCATGTATAATGAGAGCTGTTGCTTCTGAGATGTGAATTCTCATATTCAGTGTCCTTGAAGGAGAAAGAAGCTTTGGAAGCGGTCATAGGGGTACTCGGCGTTTTAGGCACGTTGGACTTGGGCGGCGGCGTCTCATCATGACGATTGTCAACTTCCGCTGAAGGCGCAGGAAAGGATGCAATGCGTGACGCTGTGGGTGTACTGAGAGGCAGGAGATTCAAAGGCGGTAGCCTGAGGGGTTGCCGGCTTGGTTTTGCAACTTGTCGGATGGGCGGCGCTTTGTCAACATCCTGACTGCCACTACCAATTGTCATGCCCCGTTTATGACGAGACTGTACTTTTGCCTTATCAGACATTGTAGGGTAGATTTCTGATACAGGTCCATCTACCGAGAGCTTGTCGTTGCCGGAAGAGTCCTCTATCATCGATTGACCGAGGCGGCTCTCGTCAAACGTCGAGCTTTTCGTTTTGGAAAAAGGAAACGAAGGATGGTCCATGATTTCCTTCGGAGATTCGTAAGCCTTGGGGATAGCTGGTACTGGAGGAACTTCTTCCTCTTCTTCTGCTCCTGCTGAACTGTGGACATTTCGCCCCTTTGGAGTGGGCAGTCTTGATCCAGCTAGAGCAATGCTTGATCGATTTGGCAAATTCGAGGCTCTTAACGAGTTGAAACTTGAGCTAGCGGACAGTGAAAGCCCAGAGGTAACAGACTTCCTGTTTGGATCCGGCGTTACGCGGGGGGAGGATGGGGTAATGCTCTTTCTGAAAGGAGCCGAGGGAGAGTCAAAGGCTGTTGACAAGTTTTCAGCAGCAAAATCTGGGGGTGTAGGAGGTTTTTGCTGGGCGGCTGCTGGGTTTGGAAGCATTGAAAGTCGCTTCAGTCGCCGAGCATCCGTCGGACTGATCGTGCGTGCTCCAAGACCACTCGCATGAGCTGGTAGGGTAGATTGTCTTTTGCTTCCTGAAGACGACGGCGTGTGGTTCGCTTGACCTGGGGACTTGCCAGGGGAACGAGCTGCAGTTGATGGATGGTCGGGGGTCATGCTTGCAGCGGTCAAATGTGACGATGATGTCTGCCGTGGGGCAGGCTGCATAGACCTGGCCTTCACATTGCGAGTCCCCGTACTGAGGCGTGGAGTTTCCGGGCCCGAATTCAGCGAGTTTTGACGTCTTTCAGCCCGTTCAATAGACCCAGAGCGACCTAGAAAGCTTCGTGGAGATTCTGTTCCCAGTTGCGGCATGTCCTGTCTTCCTCTTGCTTCGAGACTTGTAGTCAAGAGGCCGGGCCCTACTGATTTTCTGGGTGGCTTAGCGGCTGGATTCGTTGGTGCTGGTGCAGGAAATTGGCTTTGCCGGCGATTTCGCACCGACAACGGCGCACTGGGAGGCCCCATGGCACCTATGCCAGTCTCTGCAGTTGAAGTAGACGATACCTGCCGTCGTGCATTGCTTGAACGTCGAACGAGGGACCCACTCCTGCGCACCTGTGTCTCTTGTCCCGCTTGATACCTTCCCATTGCTGTTGTTGATGGACCATCATTTGTGCTCTGGGTCTCTTTTGTACTTGCAAATATACTCCTTCCTCCGCCAGGTGCAGGAAACTCGCTCAATTCAGGTTCATATGACGGAATGGAAAGGCTGGAGTGGAGATCGTCGAAGTTTATAGACGGAAGGAAGTCGTAGGAACTGCTATTGTCGGTACGTTCAGTGTGCTTGTTGACTTCCGCAGCCTTTCCAAAACTGTATCTTGGGTTGCTCCCTCTCGTTTGAGTAAGTACCGACTCGCTCGTGGATGTAGGAAGGAAGGAACGATTCGCCAGGATTGAGCTGGTGCTGTCACCACTGATTACTCTATCAGGCTCTGGGTCAGCAGGGTCCTTCTAAACTGATTATTTGAAGACGAGATTGAAAGCAAATTTACCTTCGAGACGTCGGTTGGTCAAGCGGACGAGGCCCAAGTGGTGGTTTATGATCGCGTATGGACTGACGACGGGCGGTCATGGTCGGGGGAGGCTTCTGCTGCTCCATGCCTGAGTTACTGTTGGAGGGCAAAGCTTGTCTGCGCGAGGGTTTCTGGTTTTCACTGAGTGTTCTTGGGTATTTCCTTCGAGCGGGCCCCTCGCCTGCATAACCTGTTAGTTGTTTTTGCACTTCTTCGAGATACACGGGCAGTCTCGAGGCGGCTCAGCTGCAGGTACCGGGACGATGGACGTACCTCCTGAGCCCACAGATTCGTCTGTCAACTCTAGCCTTGATAGAGACAGTGTATTCTCCATTGCTCGATGTGGTGAGGATGTAAGGTTTGTTGCCATAGCAGTCAGGAGATTGTTAGGCCGTCATTCGTGAAGGTGCTGCTGGGCGAACGAAGCGTGAGGGAAGGTCTGATTATCGGCGGAACTAGTGCGATTTGTTGATATCCTCCACTGTGTACCGGTGCGGAGAGCGTCCCCAAGCTCGAGGCTTGGAGTTGACGTTAGGAACGAGCGTGGATCATTTCTTCGCAGAAGGGTAGGAGGCTAAGGTAGTTTGCGTGCGGTGGTGCGGTTGGGTGCGGTGGGCGCGGGAGCCCCAAACAATCAAACCCAGATCCGACCTAGCTAGGTATAATACTCAACCCTGCGATGCCTTGTATCAAGGCGAACAACAAGTGTAGTACGAGCAACGGACACACAAATTAGGCTGCGAAGGTATTGAGATGAATCGTGGAAGGGTATTGAGCGATATGGAGACGAATTGGAAGGTTTACGAAGAGGAGCCAGTTGAACTATGGCTACCCGTAGACCCGTGAACCCGTGGACGGGCAACAAGTCCAGTATGTAAGCAACTCAATTCATCTTCATAGAAACTATGTGGGCAGCAAGGGGCCTTTTTTTACGCCGATACTACCAACCAGAACACACACATCACATCCTTGACCAAATCAATAACAATTCAACGCCTTTGCGTTTTGCGAGCGTCACTTTGGCCCAATGCATGGCCCCCCCTTTCTCGCTCCATAGCACCATTCCCTTTACGGTCGTCGTTGGTCGCCAGGGCAAACCATAAATCGCGAACCGACCCTGGGATCTCTGCCGCACATCTCAGGCTGCCATTCGTTTTGCCCGTAAACATGCCCTGCCCACTGCAGCCCCCATGGTCATACATACTTGATGCACCTAACAGCTATTACCGGGGGAATGATGCACAAGACAACCGTAGTAGTCTCTTGCTCCAGACTCCTGCATGTCCGACTGACTGCTCTACTTCTGCCCCCTTTCAAAGGGCCTAGGCGATCACCTACGCGGGGCGCCGAACATGTCCGTTGACCAAAAGTCCCACCTACTAAGGTGAGTTATCTTCATAGTGACGTGCGACTATTTGATCGAAGCATCTCATCAATTATTGCATCGGCATGTGTTGGAGCTGACTACAACTGTTGTTTATTATTTATAATATGTTACGATTTCTGCCTACAAGGTTCTCAATGCTATTATGTGTACACCCGATGCATTCAAGTCGGCTCCTGTCTCGGAGCATTCTGGGCGCAATCAAATTGTGCTACGCCGCGAACGCCAACGCCGCCAACACCTCGCCAAAAATCCATAAATAAGATGCTAGACAACCCATAGCTTTTTCCGACGCATCTGAATGCACGCGCTAAATGGGTAATGCAAATTTGATCTCAAAATGACACCTCCCAGACGTAAAGAGAATTCGTCTCGCCATGCGTTCATACACTTCACTGGCCCTTCGCTGCTGCGAGGCCATGAGGATGAGTAGTGAGCTTGACGCGGCCAAGCTCATCAACTGGCGGGTAGCGAGCGCGAAGCTCGAGGTCATCAAGAGGTAGGAATGAGCGAATGTATTTTCCCGTAACGTTCTCCTTGGGCACATAGTCCCAAGATTCAAACGTGCCCTTCTTGAGAGCTTTGAAGCAGAGGCGGCGTTGGCGCTGGGATGTTAGGGCCTGCTGTTTGATCTGCTGCAGGTTCCATCGATCTTTGGCCTCTCTAGCGAACTCTGCAGCAATTTCTTTGAAGTCTGCGTCCTCGACCAGATTCTTCAGTTCCAGTGGATCTTCTTTGAGGTTGTATAGCTGCTCCGGATCGTCCTCGCATATGACATACTTCCACGGACCCCGGCGAATCATCATGACGGGTGATATGGTACCCTCACCCATGTACTCTCCGATGACCTCATCTCTCACCGGCTGTCCGAGCAGTGCTGGATAGAATGACTGGCCGTCGACATTGTGCACTTCGGAAAGCTTACCACCTACCATGTCCAAAAAGGTCAGCGGGAGATCGAGTGTGGAGACGGACTCGTTGACACGGCGAGGCGAGAACAGTGGCGGATAGTTGACAATAAGTGGAACTCTGGCGCTATTCTCGAACCACGACATCTTGTACCATAGTCCTCGCTCACCAAGCATGTCTCCATGGTCACCGGAAAAGACGATGATGGTGTTCTGATCCAAGCGACAATCCTTCAGAATCTTCACGAGCTTTCCGACTTGGTTCTACGGAATGTCAGACACTAGCAAGCAAGGTTTGGGCGTTATACTCACGTCAACATACGTGCATGATCCAAAGTAGGCACGGCGAGCACGTTTGATAATCTCTGGGTCTACGTCCTTGCCCCATGCATCAATGCACTCCAGGATGCGCTTAGAGTGGGGATCCTGCTCGCTTTGCGGAATGTCGACCTTGGGAAGCGGAATGTCAACGCCTTCGTACTGATTGTACAGATCGTCCGTAGTAGCGTAGGGGTCATGAGGATGGGTAAGCGACACGGTCAAGAAGAAAGGCCTCTTATCATCGCCATCTCGTACGTGATTGTACAACCATTGAGAGCTCTGGGCAATGTTAGCTACAATGTTCAAAGAAAGGGAAGTCTCGTAGTCGACAGGGAAGACGGCTGGAGAAGTAAAATAAAAAGCGGTGGAGGCAAGAACTTGGCACTTGTGTGTGAATTGTGGGTGGGAACACTAACCTTGTACATGACTTCCTCGTCAAAGTCCAATTGGTTTGAACGCACACAAGGTCCGGCCTGGAAGACAGAGGACATGTTATGATACCTAGTCGCCGATAGTCAGCGAAAAGTACGCTTTTGCAGATGGCGCGGGCCACGTCACAGCCATGTGCTTCGCATTGCATGGTGATGGCGCCAAGACGTGGTGGCTAGCTGGGAGCCCGAGGGAGAGCACCATACCATTCTTGCCGTTCTTTGGGCTTGTCCCAGTTGACGGCCCATCCAAAGTCGCCTGGATAGATATCTGGAGTGAGGCGCGATTCATATCCGTGCAATTGGTCAGCTCCGATGAAGTGCATCTTCCCGGCCAGCACCGTCTCGTAGCCCTCTTCGCGCAGGAAGTGTGCAAAGGTCGGGATATCTGAGCCCAGGTGGGAAGCGTTGTCGTAAGCTCCAATCTTGGAGGGCAATTGCCCCGAAACCAGAGAGAATCTCGAGGGACCACACAAGGGAGAATTGCAATAAGCATTATTGAATACCACACCCGTCTCTGCAAGCCTGTCGATATTTGGCGTCTGAATGACGGAGCTAGGATCATGGATCTTGAGCATTGGCGCAGACATCTGGTCGCCCATGATGAAGAGAATGTTTGGCTTCACTGCTTCGGTGTGTTCCCTTGGAAGATAGCCGGTCTGTCCATTTGGAGGCGTGTCTGGCAGTTCAGCATGTGGTGCCATGTCTGCAGAGAGAAGGTAGACTTGGAAGTAGACGAAAGATGAGGAATCTGCAGACGAAGATGCAAGGTAGAGAGGTAGTAGAAAGGTAGAAGCAGCAGAAGCAAAGAAAGAAATCTGACCAGACTTGCGAAAAGGTGTGGGAGGGCAGTGAGTTGGTTTATAAAGAAGTGAGCAGCAGGAGATGGATCAAGTGGTCTCACGAGCAGGGTGGCCAATGAGATGAGCGCCGGATACGTAGCGAGATGGCCGGATTCTCCTCCACAAAAGGGTCTTCTGATTAGTTACCTATCATATTTATTATCAGATCAAAGAGAGTTTGATATGACTAGCCTGGCAGAATAAAAGCGATGCACACACATTACAGAGAGGTCCAGAAATGCAGGAACGCGCCTTTGCAGTGATTAAAGATTGAATATTGGATGGTCGTTCACAGTGGTCGTCGTGGTCGCGTGCGCCGGGCGGTGAGGGAGAGCGAGAGAGATCTTGGCGTAGAGTCAAAGTCAACCAGCTTTTCTGACGGAAGCAGCACTCTGGATTGCGTGATCCTACGCTTAGCACGACGACCTCCTCACTCCTCACTACTCCTCTTTATTACTACCCAGTCCTTACGTTCACTACGTTATGATGATTGCTGTGTGTGACAGTAGACTCATGCATCCGTCTCAGCATACAGCATCTTCTCTGCCATCGTCCGTCCGACGTCGTGATGATACACAAGACAGAGCATGCTCCAGCCAGCCCCTGCCCGCCTAGACGTCGACGTCCAACCACGGTCATCTGTTCCGTCGCAAGGATCCACCCCCGTTTGCATTGACGACCAGTGACATGCCCATCTCACTCTGTGGCTTGCCTGTTTTGGGTTCAAGCGCTGTGCCTCCGATGCTTAAACCAGCCGCATTGCTACATCTTGCACATCTCTTCATGTGGTGCAGAGGCTTTCCTATCTTGTAAAGAAGACGAGAAAGGGATTATCTACTGGTGCTGGGTAGTACAGCTCCATGTCTTTAGACTGGCTAGCATTGTCGTTATCGAAGATGCCCTCGGCACATCGTCGTGCCAAGACAGCCACATTCAGCAGCGCCGAAAACGCTTGGGCGTCGGTCACGAGACCCCATCAACTCCTAAATTGATACACTGATATTTCAGATAATCACTTTAGGACAGCAGCCACAGCCATGATGATCTTTTGTGTCCATGCTTCCAACGTGCACATCGCCACATGAGCCAAGCTGCGGCCCACGCTCCACACCGCAACTTCCGGTATGCATCCTTTATGCTTTCCAACACCATGCCAAGACCCTCGCAAGCATCTCCATCACACTTGATCTTGATTTCTCCGTCTCCAATACATACACAACCCCTCCAACCCATCCTCCTCAAATCTCACAAGCCTCTCCCTCTCCCTCATCCGCCCATACCTCTCCATATCCACATTCAACCCCTCCCACTCCCCCTTGCTCCCCTCCTCCCCAATCCGCACCTCACACAACCGCCCAAACGCCTCGAGAAAATCCACATGCACTGACAACACCGGATTCGCCGGAACAAGCACTCTCCGCACCAGTAACTCCGCCTCCATGAACGGCGCATACACAAACGATGCTGGCCCAGCCTGGCCAAACGCCGTATTGTCCCGGCACGCCGTGATGCCGAGACTGTGTAGGAAGGCAATGTCTACGGAAGTGTAGTCAGGTTCTTGAGCGTACATGCGTGTGAGTGGGATGTTGTGGGTGCGTACTGTGTTTGTAGAGGGGCGTTGGTTAGCATAGCATTGCAGATCCACACCACCACGAAGACCGTGAAATAAGAAAAGAAGAGAAAGACGGGGAAGGAGAGACGAACAGATGTCAATAATCTCGACAAACAGCAGAACCTGCCACATCGCCCTCCGCCGCGCCCTCGCATCCCACCCTACCCGCTCCGCACTCAAACTCCCCGTCGCAAAACACACTGCACTCTCCACCCTCATCCCATCTCCATTTACACCCTCATCCCCACCCAAAGCCTTCCCTAAACACCGCCTCAACCCCGCAACCCAATCCCTCCACGCCCTCCCCGCTCTCAACTCCCCAAACAACCCCTTCAGCACATCAACACTGACATCCGCGCACAGCCAGCGATCAACGTCATCACCCTGAGATAAGTCTCGCGGGGCATGCGCAGCCTGGATCTGAGATAGAGCGCGCGCGGAGAGGTGGGCGGTTGGGGTGCGTGTCACGGTTGACCAGCCGTCTGCGGTGGCGTGGGTGCGGAGGCGGGAGTTTTGGTGGTGTTTTGGTTTTGGTTTTGGTTTGTGGTGTGGGTAGTCTGGGTTTGGAGTCGGCATTTTTTTTTCTCTCTCTCTCTCTTATTTTTGAAGTTTTGCGGGGGAGAGCTGGGGGCGTGTGGTTGAGTATGGTGGATTGAATAATGGGCGGAATGGATGATGGTATGTAGAAAGACGTGTTGCACAGCGTTTTCTTTGATTTCTAGAGTGACGCAGTTAAATAGAGAGGGTGTTAATTCTGAAGTGCGCCGTGGCGTCAAGGTTGGTTGTTTGTGGAATGTCGATAGATGGTTGGATGGGATGCGGAACCTTGACAGGTGTGGGGTAGCGTGGGGACTGAGATGGATAGATGACACAGATCCATAAGATGCAGGTGGACTCGGGCCTGTACCTACATTCCGGACGGAGATGATTCCGAGATCTGAGTTAGAGCTATCGACAAAGACAGAGCAGCAAGCGTAAGGACACTCTATGCATATGCTACAGTGTATACTGTTGTTTGCAAGCTCACAATTCACCACAATTGATAACCAAGCAGACATTCGTGTCTTCTGCCAGGGTCCAACATAGCTCCATTTCCCATGGAAGCACAAGTGCGTGTGCGGCATGCGCGTGCAAACCAAGGGTACTAAGGTAGCACTATCGACACACATGCACACACACACAAGTCTAGCACAGTCGCACACGACGTATACATTGTTTAACGTTGTTATTCTGAGCTGACTGTTCATAATATAGTGTCCGGAATCCGTCTTCACTCAATTACATTCGGTGTGGCCCAAGACCGTAATCAGCGTCAAACTCCTGCCTATCATGCGTCGTACATCGCAGGCCCAGACGAAGGGGATGCGTCAAGTCTCTCCTCTAATCCAATCGCCGAGCGCCAAGCTTTGTACATAAAAGTGGGTATGCAGTGGTATATCAAAAAGGGAATGGATGGTTGCGGGACTGCGTTCTCCGCGTGATTTGCGCCCGGCGGAGATGATCCGCTTAAAAGAGTGCTCGCTAGAGCGTCAGAGGAGGTGGCGGCGTAGTATCGTGAGATCGGTAGATGAGGTATCTCTAATATGACAAGTATAGGCATCTTGACAAGCCTGTCGATGCTTATAACCAGAAGGCCGCTAGCGCAATAGTTAGGACGGTAGGGACGATGGTCGGTATGTGCAACGTAAAGGCTGATGAATCGAGGCTGGTGGTTGTGAAGACCATGTCGAACTTGATCTCCGTGCCGGGTTCCGTTGAGTTGCGGCAGTTGGTCTCGTTGACCTCTGGTACGTTCTCGGGCTCGTCAAATGTAATGTCTACGCACTGTAGTTGGAAAATTAGTCTACAGCGTTCACTCTCGCAGGTTTCGGAAACAGCTTACATTGTACAGCGCAGCGCCGTGCTGTGCAGTCTCGATGATCTGAATGGTCGCATTGTCGCCGGCCCTCACGGTGATGTTTGCAGGCAGCGGTACTTGTGGCAGACAGAACTCGCCCTTGTACATGGTGTTTGCTGGTCCGAGAATCTCAAACACAGGCACCATGGGATGTGACATGTTCTGTGGTTCTGTGCCCAGCCCGAGGTTGATGTAAAAGAATGCCTTTGAGTGACCCTGGAACCATCCAGGCTGGACGCCGACTGCGCCTCCTCCAATAGGCCATTTCGTTCGGTTTGTTGATGTCGGCATGCCACCGCCTATACACTCTATCAGCGTCTGCTGCGTATCGGAAGACTGGATGTTACTCACATGGATATATCCATTGCATGCCATATGGAAATGTGGGGCCAGAGCCGTTCGTTCCAGGATTGACACTCAATGCTCCGGTCGGTATGTTGTTTATTCCGAGACTATCCTGACCATCTGTACCATTTGTGTGCAGATTGTTTCCTCTCCATCCGGGGTAGGTGATTACGGTGTGTGCGGCGACCACCGACCAGCAGGCAGCCGAGGCGATAAGGGTTGAGATGACGGACGGCATCGTGAGACGGCGGGAGATGGATTCGCAGTGGAGATGATACACAAGCAAACAGGAGGTCTGGTCTCAGTCAAGGACAGACAATCTCAGACACTTTGCAGTATGTTCAAATAAGGTCGCGAGCTCGAAGGAAAGGAACGGACGGGGCGGGGAGGCGAAGCAGAGCACTTAAGGATGGGCGTCTGCGAAAGAATGCAGGCGATATTCGTCCAACGGACGTGCAGCGAATGGCGATGCATAGTTTTGCTGTGCCTTGCGAGCGAGAGTCGAGGCTGGATCATCCGAGGGCCTGATCAGGGATAGAAGATGCAGTGTTTTGAGGGTGGATGCGAGGATGTAGCGAATGGCCGCGAGGAATGGACCGCTGGCTGATGCTAGCACTGCAGCTTTCCTGCTTAGCCGCCGGGGACATCTTGGGGAAGTCAGCCAGTGAGGGAGCTCATTGGCGTGATGAGCTGTGATGGGCGTGCGGGAGATCTAACCTACTGCACTGTACTTACAGGTGTATACCCAGCCTAGGTAGGTAATTAGGCTGTCAATGGCCGCCCGTCAATTGCTGCCAATGCCCCCGTCCTAGGCTAACCACCCCCCAAAATGTAAGCGTAAGCCTTAAGGTCGGTAGGCAGCCCACTTAAACAAACCCCCCGCCCCGCCTTCGCCCAGGGTCCCTCCATCACAAGGCAACGCCGCACACTGTTGACTCTATGGGTCTACAGTAGACGTGGTGAGTGATACTGCTCTCGAGGACCAATCAGCTTCCTCGTCTGCTCGTGCCACAACACTAGTATGCACATCTGCCAGGCCCTTCCACGCTCCTCTAAGCGCCCGGCACCACTCTTCTCTGAGATAGATACACGGCACCTAGAGGTAACACGATGCACGAACTTCCCGGAGAACTGTTTCGCGAAGCCGCAGACGCGCGCTCAGTCGAGTGTGAATGCTCTACCTTTATCGCCATGCGGTTGTGCTTGAAACAAACATCGCTCGTCATTCGTTACTCTATGCATCCTCGACCTCCCACCACAAGCGTGCGGATGATCCGTCTGTATGCACTCCAGCGTAGTATCACGCAAGCGCCAACGTGGAGCCTCTTGGCATGTGTTCGTTCTATGTGTAAGGTTGCGAACAACTCCATGCTTGTAGAATAGAAGCTTCATACATCCCCACAGTGACAAATCTAGCAACCTAGCATATTACGCGGAGACAGTCGCAACTGCCAGCCTGGAGGGGAATGTGTCGAGGCTTATGTAATCTGCACTCTCACCTACTGCTAAGTAGGTAGTCAACAAGATAGACACTATGACAGTCCTGTTGCCTGATCAGGCCAGAGCAGGAGCCCCGGTTCAATTGATACACCGTCCCTCATATTTCTACACATTCGCTCATCCCGATAACAATGCACCCTGTAGACGAACGCCGCTCCGAATGCCAGTATATGTCTCTAGAGTACCTTTTACAATGACTGCATGCTCAGTCGACTCAAACGATTCGCTGTCGCCTCCACAAGAGCTGATTCACGTTCCAGCATTTCCATTACCTGGTTGACCTTCTGCTTCTTCAGAGGAGAAGGTATATTATCCTGCGCGACCGGTGCGCTCGCCTCCTTCTTGCTGATGATGTCTTTGGCGTCTGATCGGAGTCCTTCTTGTAGTCGCCTCAACTGTTCCAGTCTCCTCCATACTGGCATGTCTCCACTTTGGCTGTCGGCCTGCGAATCTGGATTCAAGGAACTATTCAGTTCTTCGACTTCTTCCGCGAAAGACCTTTCCGCAGTGCTCATTTCCCGCCCGCCAGCTCGCGACAGCTTGCTCTTGATGGCTTGGTATCTTGCGGAAAGCTGTTCCTGTCTGGCATTGACCTCGCTGAGGCGCTTTTCCACCTTCGTATTCCCATCTACCACCAGATCCTGTCCCTCATCTTCACCCGTGACTTGGTCTATGCGGTGTGCTAGCTCGCTTACCCGTCGCAGCTGATCTTTGAACTCATCTTGCAGACGCTCACATCGTCGAAATAGGTCGGCCGCAGCAATGCCCAGCTGATGGGTCTCCGCACTAAGAAGCCGATGTAAGCCTGTAAGAACATCCAAAGAAGCTGGTGCTAACTTGATCTCTTCTGCAAAGGCTCGCTTCTGTCTAGTCGGTACAGTTTTGCCGTAATATTTAACAAGTTCAGATTCTTTCCAGAATGCTACAGGTGGCTGATATGGCAACCGCGGCTCCGAGGTTGGCATCAATGGCTCTTCACACATCTGAGACCATTCAATCATCCTAGATTCCGAGTGAAGCTCATACTCGGGTATATCCAAAGTCGCGGCAAATGGTTGGTGGTCAGCCGAGAACAAGACAAAGTATCCAATATCCGAGTCCTCGAGAACTATGCAGCACGATACCTGCTCAGAATGTTGCTCAGCTACTGGAAGCTGTATAATACTTTCTGACAGTGTACGACTCCCCTCGAGGAGCACGTCCATACGAAATTCTGCGCCTTCTCTCTCAGCTACACTCAACTCTGTCGATACTTTCTCGATCCATTTAGACAGAGATATGTAATAGACCCCTTGTTGGTGTGTCACAAATACTGCGTGCTGTGATCGCACATCCGGTGTGAAGGGTATCCATACATTTTCGCCATGTCCTTTTGGTAAGGCGATGCTGTCAACGACTAGAAGCGCCAAGTCATCTCCTTCTTCGATAGTACGTGTGTCGGTACGACTAGGTAGCCACTGAGCCTCAACTCCGTTCAGATCCAAGCAGCAATGTACAATGCCAGACGTAGTAGACAGGAGTATGAGAGATCCTTCAACATCCTCATCCTCAGAATCGAACTCATCCTCATCTTCTTTCAACAGATCTTCCTTCGTCTCTTTCAATGGTGTCACGAATATGTCGCAAACATCTGCCTCGCCTTCAATCTCGATCTCGGGCATGATTTCGAAAGGTCCTTGTAATCTGGGGATGGCTGGAGTCTTGGTGGGTCGCTGATATACTTCGGCTGGACGTGCTAAGGATTCCCCACCGAGCGACGTTGGAATCTGACTCGTGACTTCCGTAAGCCACTTTCTCTGCGCTTCCGCCCTCTTGGGATTTGCGTCGGAAGAGTTCCTGGTCGATAGATGGCACTTCGCCGCTATGCCGGCCCCCAGTTCTCCAAACGGGTCGGTCTGGGACAGGGGGACCTCAACTTGCCATCGTTTAGGTAACAACGGGCAGAGAGCATAGACGTCACCTCCCGTGGTAGCAATCCAGAGAGTCATCGAGGACCAATCGCAGGCCGCCCTTGATTTAGATGGTGACCCAAAACAGGCTGCAGCAACCTGAAGCTCAGCCATGTCAGGGGAGAAAGCTTTGCCGGAGCCATAAACGGAGGCCCTCAGATCAGCATCCGCGCTTGTAGCGTTTGCTAGCTTTTGCAGGTTGATCGCAAGTGTGGGTTCGCTGAAGCTTGAGCGATCGTCTTTGTCCAGCTCCCACATTCTGATGGAACCGTCTTCTGTGATTGTGACCAAGCATTTGCCTTGTACGCCAAGAGGGTGCCATTTTATGGAGGCCACAGGTGACTGTTCCAACACATGCGCTGTGGGACCCAGCTGAAATGTCTTCAGCTTTAATGGTGTCGTATCTGGGGTACCTAGGTGACTTGAGTCGGGAAGAATCGCAATATGGACTGTATGGGAGGTCGTAATCGCCATGTAATCGTTATGAGGTGAGATAGCCAGCTCTGTCACATTGCCAGAGAAAGGTAGCCTGAGGGTCTTGGACTATGTTAGTGAACGCTCAAGGCAGAGCAGGAAGAGCAGTATAAATACCCGAACGTAACTCGAATCATTCGGTGCTGTTACCGAATTATCGCGGGACCGGCTTCTGCTGTGTATGCTTGAGGATCGACCAAAATCCAGAGGTCTGTTGCTTTCCGAGAGGAGAACGAGATCTGACCATCGAATCTCGCTATCTGTAGCTACAAATATTTCTGATCCACGATACGCTATGGTTCGTTGTGGTCTTCCTTTTGCGATCCCTTTAGATAATGCGCCAGCAGCCCGTTTTCCAGCAGGCGTTGTCTTAGAGCTCGAAAAGAGCTCATAGCCAGGTTGCGACCGACTCAGCCACGAGGGTGTATAGCTCAGTATTCGAGGCATCCTGATACAGTATCTTCAAGCTTTAAAAATCTACTGTGAAATAGAAGGCTCGAAGGTGGTCCACGGTACTTGGCGGGTGACAGCGCGCAGTAAACACAAACTGGTAGCAACAAGCTGCGCGCTGGTGAAGCTAGCGCTAAAATTTCGGGACTAAACACAGCTTCACCTGGCCCTACAGAAAGAGCTTCGAATTCCTGCTACCTAGCAAAATCGAGCTTGATTTGGAAGAGAAACAACGTGTACTCTGAACAACATTTAATACGTCTACCCGGAAGCCTTTCGAACAATCATGCCTAGACCAGGAGTTCTGCGTAATACGATAGATCGATTAGATCGACCGAGTTCTTATACTGCGAATAAGGTACACTCGCACACGTGTTAAGCTATCTTGTATATATACTAACTGGGTCCTCCAATAGAACCGACGTCACCGTAATAACCGTCGCGACGATGATGGAGAACGTACACGGTCGCCTGAACCTGATGATAAGCTCAAGGATGCCACAACCCTCTACGTGGGAAATCTGTGCGTGAAGAAAGGACTCGAAAACCACGAGAAATGAGATGGTCTCGCTACTGACATTATGATCATAGTTCTTTCTACACGACTGAAGAGCAAATTCACGAGCTATTTGCCAAGTGTGGGGAGATCAAACGTTTGGTCATGGGCCTCGATCGCTTTACTAAAACCCCATGCGGTTTCTGCTTTGTCGAATACTACAATCATCAGGATGCTCTGGACTGTCTGAAATATATTGGAGGAACGAAGTTGGATGAGCGCATTATTCGAACAGATCTCGACGAAGGCTTTGTCGAAGGAAGACAGTACGGGTATGTATTTGGAGATCTAATAATGTTAATTCCTTCTATATCGGCGGCTAACGAGCATGAAAACAGTCGCGGAAAGTCTGGGGGACAGGTCCGAGACGAATATCGCGAGGAATATGATCCAGGCCGCGGTGGGTACGGTCGCGCTCTGGCTGAGGACCTGGATCAGGACCGCGACGTGCGGTGATGCCCTCTGCTCCTTCTTGCATACAGCGACAGCGTTTTGGCGTTTGGGTTCAATTGCTCCTATAATACGGTGGGGGAATACCCCTGCGCTTCTATACGGGAATATGTTCCGGATATACGAATCTAACCATAGCCGTATTCTCATCTATTTGTTCTTTGAGAGGACTGCTCAAGAACTTGTTCCAGCCACCACACGTGTATCCGCGAGTCCTGCGTCAATTCTGGATGGAAACTTGTGCCAAACACATTGCCCTGTCTGACCGCGACAATGTCACCTCCTGGCTCGGCCAATTGAACGGCTTCCTTTCCACGCTTTTTTGCAGCGTCTTTAGGCAAACGCGCAAGTACTTCTACCTCTTGATCATATCCCTGTCTACATAGCTTCGTGTCAATTTCTCGACTGGGAGCAATCACCGTGTCCGTTCTCTCTGCTTCAGCATCCTGAATACCAACCACATGGGGTAGTATTTTCTCTACAATCGGAGCCCTAATAAATACTGTCCTGAATGGCTTGTTCGCCTGGTTCTTGACCGCATGAGAAGACACCAGGAACGGTAAGTCAAGCTCTGCTTGAAAGCTTTCCGTCTGGCGACCGAAATGGTTCCTATTGACCCGCACGTCCAGGCCACCAATGAGCTCTTGGCCACCTCTCTTTGTCCTATTCGCGGATTCAGCCAGTAGTATGAGTCCAGCGCAGGTTCCCCATGTTGGCTTTCTTTGTACCCTGCTTATAATTAGGCCAATGTTTGCGCATTTCGCAGTTCACAAACTGACTTTACGAATTGCCGCAAGGGCTCCAACAGTCCAGAGTCGACCGCAACTAATGACATTGTTGTACTCTCTCCGCCAGGTATGATGAGCGCATGGCAGCTGTCCAGTTCTTTTTCGGTTCTCACTTCGATAAATCGCCATACTAATCCATTACCGTGCGTCTGATCTATTAGCAACGCTGCTTGACGGAGAAGTTGAATGTGTTCGCTGAAAGCACCCTGAAGTGCGAGGACCCCAACAATCGTCTGCGCACTCATGCTCGTTATACTTTGCTGGAAGATCAATGAAGTCACGAGTTCGCCGAAGCCGCATTACGAACGGCACAAAAAAAATGATGGCAGGGGTCTGTATCGATAAGGCTAGACTGAGGGGCCGGTGATTACCGCATGTCTTTCGGAGTCGGTAGCTGACTTCGCATGGCTTTCAATGACTCCGACTCCGGTCTTCTCCCTACATAAACAACTTATCTTTCACGTTGTCGCATTGAGTGGTAGACCTTGAGGCAATGGCGAGCACTGGGAGGGATCGTGTGACTTGCTGGCTTCTTGACACAAGAAGTATTTGGCCAGGGACCAATATCGCTGAAGCAGTCCGTTCCAACGATGCAGGATGAAGTCTTATTTACTGACTACTCCAGGCCTCAGACGAACTGGATCTTGTCAGTCAAGCCGAGCAGGACGATATTAAGAAGAAATTTCGCATCCAAGATGCTCGTATGAGCCTAGGGTCGGCGCTGCTGAAACGCCTCTTTGTTGCTAAATCACTCGGGATACCTTGGTCTAAGATCAAGTTCAGTCGAAAGGGTGATCCGAAACATGGCAAACCATGCTATATAGCAGATGATGGCATAAATGCAATAGAATTCAACATCTCACATCAAGCTGGTCTGGTAGCGCTTGTCGGGTGTGATATCCAAGACCTACAACTTGGAGTCGACATTGTTTGTGTCAATGAGCGGGATGAGTACAGGACAATCAATTCCGAGGGCTTTGAAGGGCATACAGAGATTTTCCAGGACATCTTTTCAAGCGACGAGACTCATGATATGACGTACAAAGCGGACACTTTTCAGTTACCAGATGGTACCGAGATAACACCATCTATGCTTGGCCCTGATGAGCGTTGCACGAAGCCTCATCGGCAGCTGTCTGCTGAGATTCAAACGGGCGAAAAGAAGAGGTTCGACTCCAAATTACTCATCGATGCCAAGCTCCGCCGCTTCTACACATTTTGGTGTTACAAAGAAGCATATATCAAATTGACCGGGGAAGCTTTACTGGCATCATGGCTGAAGCAACTGGAATTCAAAAATGTCCGCGCTCCGAGATCAGCAGCGCACGAACCGTGGGGAGAGATAGTGAAAGACGCAGAAACCTGGCTACACGGCAAGAAGCTTGACGATGTTGCGTTACAAATCCAGGCCTTCGAAAAGAACTTCATGATCTCTGTTGCAGCAAAGCCGTCTGGACTCCTGCCCAAGGAACAAATCCCTTCCTTCACGACTTTGCACTTGGAGAATGATATTGTAGATTTCGCTCAGAACGCTTGATTTTGCGAAGAGTACGTAATTGTTGAATTGAATAAAGCTTATACGTCAACACTGTCATCCGAAGCCTGGTACTACTCCCTATGGCCCATTGTACTAATCTTTAGCGTTGCGTTCCGGACGTCATTCATCCAAGACGATTCCATCTGAAAACCCTCGCATGGACCGGGTTCGCGGACTTACAGTGGGTCTGGGCCACGTACAGCCGCGCAACGATCAAATCCCAGCATGAATTGATCTACAGGGGAAACTCGCGGGACCATTCGATAGTAAAGCAAGGTATTTGTCTCTGCTCACTTATATGGCACAAGTTCATCAACAGGGCCAGTTCCAGGCATGCTGGCAGGCACTCAAAGGAGAGATGCCGGATCGAGCTTCGCTACAGTTCTGGGCCGTGGAAAGAGGTGTCTGGTCCGACAAGCCCAGGGTACCAGTGGCACACTGTCAATGGATCCATCGACCCAATATTCTATTGCATTTGCTGGAACCCTGCTCACCAATCATAGGAGCGAGAAAATCCACATCCTTGCCTCATTATGATATACACGCCACCTCGGTCGGACATCCGCTAATATGCCATTACTCGCACTTCCAAAGCTTTTCATCGCAACATAACTTCATTCGAAATCTGGCTCTTGTTCTTTATCTATTTTTGATACACATCATATTAATATGAAATTAATTACTTCAATCACGGCTATTGCCGCTGCTGTGTCTGGTGCCGAAGCGTATTGGAAGGGGTTCAATCTTGCTGCAAACAAGCAAGACGGCGCCTGTAAAACTCGTGAGGACTGGGAGAATGATTTCAACCGACTCAAAGGACTCCCGGGCCACTTCACTTCTGTTAGGCTGTACGCCTCGAGCGACTGTAATACGTTGCAAAATGCCGTTCCCGCAGCCTTGAACACGGGGATTCAGATTCTTGTGGGGGTCTGGGTGAGTAAACATAATGAAATAATGATATGATTGCTTACACTTTTCAGGCTCAAGACTCCGCTCACTTCACACGTGAGAAAGATGCACTCTCTGCTGCGATCCAGCAATATGGTCACGATTGGATCATTGCGATCAGTGTGGGATCCGAGGACTTGTACCGCAAGGATATTGATCCGAACCAATTGGCTAAGCAGATTTACGACGTGCGTGGAATGGTGAGAAATTTTGGATTATCCCAGGAGGTCGGCCATGTCGATACGTGGACTGCTTGGTAAGTCCCGTCTATACTCTTATAGTTCTCTACAAGCGCAATTGTTGATATGTTCTCATAGGGTTGACGGCGCAAACGAGGTCGTAATCACGGCATCTGATTTTGTGGCGCTTGACGGCTACCCTTACTTCGAGGGCTCGTCGATTGAAGATGCAGCAAACACGTTCTGGACATCTGTGCAACGTACTCGTGACGTTGTCAACCGCGTCAAATCTGGAACCTGGGTCTGGGTCACAGAGACTGGCTGGCCCTACAAAGGTGAAACCTTTGGGGGGAAGGCGGTTGCATCTCAACAAAACGCTCAGACTTATTGGTCCAACGTTGCCTGCGATGCCATGAACAACATGCATTTCTTCTACTATATCGACGTCGACTACAATCAGAGCCCATCATTCGGCGTACTGGACTCCAACTTCAATCCCATCATCAACCTGCAATGTTAGAGATGATGGCACAAACTCCAGGCATCTAGAAGCCCCTCCAAACATTTCGAATGTAATATAGTATAGACTAAAAGGCATCCACAAGCCAAATATTATGTAGCATATAGATCTGGCGGGACGTTCAATAACCAAATCCAATCATTGTACCTATCTATTGACTCGTGTCATATGATCGCAAACGTTAAGCCACATTGGTCCTCTGGGGGCTGTATATGTAGACCTTCTACACAAGCGCGCATTATCGAAGTCACATGTCGTGCTTCCACCAAGCGACAGACCCACAAGGTCGTTTCGAATGGCTTCGACAAATCTTCTCGAAGCTCTTACCGTATACCACGGCTCATCGACGAAGCGCGCTTGCATCATTGAGGCAATGTATCGGGACGTCTACGGTGTGTATCGAGGCCAACACTGATGACGAGGCCCTCAACGTCGTCAACATCTTCACTTTACTCTTTTTCAGTCGGCTCGCTCGGCAAACGTCCAACAGGAACGTTGTTGATCATCCTCTATTGAAACATGTAACAGAGTTTCGATACACGGCGCCCTCCGATGCTCGCTGCACGATGAATTCTACCTGAAGAGGCAACCTTGCAGTATGCAGCCGGTCAAGCTGTGAGCCCAATCGAGCGATACATTCACACATAGCTTATAGGTACAACGGTCGATGCGCTGGCTGTTCCTGCAACCCCTCCTCTGGTGTGATGAGCAGCGAGTCATCCCGTTAGCTAGGAAGTCGGTGAGGCTGCAAGCCCGCGGTGGCTATTCACAGCCTCGTGTGGATCTCGCTGAAACAGATTGTGATGCTAATTGGACAGATGAAGAAAAACTGACCGCTTACGCCTCGCCGCACTGCACGCAACGCCGTTACCCGGCATCTGCACACTAGCCTCAGTTGGGAGAGCCAAGCATCTGGTGATGGTAACTCTCTGCTTGTAAGACGCTGTTCTGTATTCATATAAAGGGCATGGGGCCCCGAAGTATCTCTGACTGGATATCATCTTGATCACCAAACATCCACAGCGAAAGCCTTCGAACACAGACTCATCAATCACGGACATTCCAAGTAAACATCATCACATCAACAAGCAGATGACTACTCCTGCTACTCAGGTCTCGAGCAGTACTGAAGCTTTTGGTCCCCCAAGTCGTTCAAATACCGGAAGTTCTACTTTTACGACCTGCTCACAGATTGAGTCGCCTTCCGAGGTCATTGACCCCTCTCAGCCAAGCAACACACGACCATTCAGATCTACAGCTTCAGGCTTATCATCGATAGCAGAGCAGAGCTTCTTAGGTGCTCTGTCCTCTCGAGTTCGAGGTCGCTCGCGAAACCGCTCGCAAACTTCGTCTCGCAATCAGTCCAGATCTCCGATGCCTCCACCTAGCAGGATGGCTTCAGACAGAATCCTATCATCCTCACCAGTGAGACCTCGTGCCTCGCGCCAGCAATCAGAGTATAGTGGATCAACTCTGGTCAGTGACCATAAAGTTCCAAATCGCCAAACCACATCCGACTCCCACCAGTCATCGCACTCTCGTGAGAACTTCCACTGGCAAGGGAGACACTCCAACTCTTGGCTCTTCAACGACTTCAGCGTTATCGGCACTATCAAAAGTGTAACAAGGAGGAACAGAAGGGTCTCTTAGCCTGTCCCAGATAAGATAAGAGCACTGGTGCTCCCTGTTTTCTTGGATGCTGCTAGGTCTTTTGACGACGCTAGTAATAACAGGAACGTTCAACGGAAGATGCTTTGACCTGGAGTCGGCACCTTAACCGTACGATAGCGCTCGCTTTATTGCGATTTACGACTCATATGTGTTTCATATTGTACCAGGAATGAATCAGAGATTGACAGATACCCATACCGATTGAGGAGAAGGAAGACAACTTCGGTATATATAGAATCTCGAGACTCCTCTCCTATAATGTATTTAACTAGATAGCTGAAAGATATGTAATTGATGTTCACTGGACAACGAGAATAATTATATGAGGAACCTTGGAAGCTTCTTACCCCTCCACCCCAGTGACCCCACCTACTGACCCAAGGATCATGGATCTGAGCACCTGAGTGTACAAGGGACGCGATTCCAGGCCTTGGGTTTGCTTTTGCCATGATAGCAAGTGCGACATCGCTGCAAATCAACCATGCATATTTTCAGGTCATGCCCAGCATGTCAACACGAGCATCACCGCTTGTCCCAGCTCAGACAAGGTCCCAAGGATCCAGTCTCGGTGCTCCAGTCGGCATAGAACGACTAGGCCGCGAGAAATCCAGTCCGAGTCTGAGTCACTTATAAATCAGCCTTCTGTCGAGAGAAAGTGCGTCCCTTCAGTATCGCAAGGCTGGCCTAACAAGACAATGTCGCCATCACTTCACAACATGTCGGACGAGGAGCCTTCGGGACTCCCGGTTCCTAATCCGAGCTCGTCGTTCTGGCACAGTGAGCCGAACGAGTTCTTGATCGGACATCGGACGACGCCAGAGCTTCCCGCGCATGCAGATGTGGTCATCGTTGGAAGTGGCATCACAGGAGCTAGTGTGGCAAGGTATCTGAATGAAGATGTCCGGATGAAAGGGAAGACCACAGTAATGCTGGAGGCAAGAGAAGCGTGCTGGGGAGCTACAGGCAGAGTAAGTAACCCATAGATGTCGTAAACGTTTCCCGTTGCTTTCGCTGAGAGATTCCTACTAGAATGGTGGTCATTGCCAGCCACTGCTTTATGACCATGGTCCCGATGTCGCTGCGTTTGAACTTAAGAATGTGGCTGCCGTAGGAGAATACATCACGAAGCACAAGATAGCTTGCGAATGGCGCCCCATCACTGGATGTCGGACTTTGTGGAGCGACGACCTTCTTACTATTGCCGAAGGTCAGGTAGAAATGCTGCGAAAGACACACCCAGACATTGCGAAGCGTATCAAAGTCATCAAGGATCCTGCGGAGCTCCAAGCAAACCGGATCGGCGAGGGCTGTAAAGGGGCAACGCTCACCCAGGGCGCGGCAAGTCTGTGGCCGTACAAGTACGTCGCGTTCATCCTGGAAAGTCTCGTCAAGGCCGGAGCTCTGAACATCCAGACCAACACTCCCGTAACGAGAATCGAAGCAGTCTCCTCATCCGAATCCAGCAAATCTTCCCCATTCCGCCGGATACTCCACACGCCTCGCGGCACCATCAAGGCCCACACCGTCATCCTAGCCACAAACGGCTACACATCACACATCCTCCCCTCCTTCGCAGACCTCATCGTCCCGAACCGCGGCGAGATGAGCGCCCTCCTCCCACCCCGCGGCATGCAGCGCCTGGCAAACTCATACGGCTTCGTAGGCTCAAACGGCCAAGACCCACAGCACGACGACTATCTAGTCCAGCGGCCCTTCGACAACGAGCCAAACCCGGCCGGCCACCTCATGTTCGGAGGCGGACGTGACGCAGGAAACCTGCCTTCCGTCCACGAATGGGACGACTCGGTCATCGATGAAGCCGCGGCTGCATACCTGCGCCGGGTGCTGCTCGACGGGCTGATTCTAGGTGGCGATACGGCGGACTTGACGGAGTTGGAAGCCACGCATCAGTGGACGGGGATTATGGGGTACTCGCGCGATGATGCACCCTGGGTCGGCCAGGTCCCTGATTGTGCGGGTTTATTCATGGCGGCAGGGTACACGGGGCATGGCATGCCGAATGCGACGCTGTGTGGGAAGGCGGTTGTGGAGATGGCACTGGCTGATATGAATGGTGAGGATGCGGAGGCGCTTAGGGAGAGGATGGTGCGAGACGCGGATTTGCCAGTGGGCTATTTCATTACGAAGGATAGGATGGCGAATGCTAGGCAGTTGCCTACTGTAGAAGTGGCGGATCAGATGGGGTTTCTTGGACTGAAACTTCCGAAGGTGTAGATGGCTATTAGGATCGGGGCTTAGCCCAAGAACAGAGGTCCATATATGATTTGGGGTGGTTCAATAAACGATATTGTAACTTGGCCTATTAACATCTCCTACACCTATATAACACTACTAACCTATCACTGCATTCCATTAGCAACAGTAAACACCCAGCACATTCAAACCCAAAACAATCAATGTCTCGAACATTCCAAAAGCACCCCTCGAACGCCGTTCCAAGATCTCCAACAAATCCAAATCTGTGCCCCAGAGCCTCGATGGCACGTGTTATGTCATATGCACTCCGGACGATCTGACATTCTAAAACGACCCCCTATCCCATCCACAAGCCTGTGTAGATCAAGTGTCCTCGCACAATAAATACACAACCAAAGAACAGGAGCACACGAACGTACATATCCAACAAGATCCTACACGATCCCGTCAACTGGCTACGTCCACCCATAGAACTATAGAAAGTGTTCCGGGCTGGGGAAAGGGGGACATGGTATAAATCGATATCAACAAAAGGACGCTATGTATTAATTTACTTACGATCTTTACTTTCTTACTTCCTCTCTCTCATATATTGTACTTCTGTAAACTATGTACCTAGGTTATGTACCTGTATTATGTGTGTACCTATATGTGTGCCTATATTATGTACCTATACTGTGTACCTATAGTATATACCTATACTATATACCCACACTATGTAGCTATACCATGCACCCAATCACACCGTCCCCACGGTATACCTTCCTCACTCTCAAGCCCTCCCAAATGCAATAACCCCATGACCCCATATCCCGTGACCATAAGCTTATGACACCGTACCCACCTCCCACTGCTCATTCTCCCACCTTTCTCGTACCCCGATTCTCAGTTTCTGCCACGTCAAAATAAATGGTAGACAACAATGTTTCCTTGATGACTTGATATATACATAAACGTGTAGTAAACAGCATATCAAACACACAAGCAAGATACATTCCACAGCACACTGCCCTTCCTTCCTTTCTTCCCTCCTTCTCACACGCACAGGCACACAAACCAAGCAATCCAATCCAATCCAATACAACGCAAAAGCAGAACGAAGAAGCCGCACATAACACTCCCCCAACCCACCCCCAACCTCTCTCCCGCCGATCTCGGCCCGGAGGTTAAACACGCACATTCGGATCTACCGTATATACCGTAACGCCTAGTCCGTTCCCGGGGAAAAGTTAACGCGAGCGCAAGGGGTATCACAAAGACAGGCAGGCGGACAGGGGTGCCATGTATGTATGATGTGGGATGTATGGTATGGAATGGGATGGGATGATATGGTAGGGTAAAGCATGGCGAGATAGAGGGTGGGTGGCGGATCCGGATAAGGATTTCCGGGGTGGATGCGTGGTAGATGACGATGTGTGCATGGTGTGGGGTGGTGGTTGGATGGATAGACGGATGGACGGGCGGATGGGCGGATGGACGGATAGGTGGAGAGAAGAGGGGGATGTGTGGCTGTCTGTGCATTCTTGGGTGTTTGGATGGGTTTGGATCTGTGATTGCTGGTTTTATCTTATTCTGGACAGTTGTACTTGGGGGTTGAGGGGGTTGGACGAGGAGTGAACAGTGAGAAGGGAGGCAGAGTGACGTAGTCTGTGTAAGATAGGGAGCGCATGGGTATAGCTCCTAATGAACGACCGAATAACAGCAAGAGCCACTAAGAGAGTCCTACATGTAAGATTCCAGGACAGTATGAATCACCACACGTGACGCGTGCTCAAACGGGGGGCACAATGATGACTTGGTACGCGAGCTCGCCACGATGCACATGGAGAAACAGCAGCCACTTCACGTAGATATGCAAAAGGTACAGAATAGGACTTGCGAGATTTCCATTTGCTAAAGCTCGACGCCGGCCTCGCAGCCTCGGATGAGGTAAATATGCACTGCGAGTTCCCCCGACGGAGCGCTTGAATGTATACACTACATACCAAGCATCGTGCGCCACCACCGAACAACAAAACACCAAAACAAAACAGTCCCGAAATAGGACCAAACCAAGCCGAAAGCGAAAGCGAATGCAAGCGCCTGTCCATGAAAAAATGCCAGATTTATCCCAATTTGTGGCACCGCGAGACTTTGACGACATGAAAGGCCGTGACGTCGTGAGAGAGTGGGTATACCAGCTAAAATGCAGTAGCATGCAGAATGGTGCTAGGACGCATGCTGTGTACAACAAACGAGAGAAAAAACTTTAATTCCGGTAAGAGGATGTTTCTTTTTCTTTTTCCAAAAAGACCCTGTGAACTTGTGTTGGATTCTCCGGTGGGTGAGACAGTGGGAAGCGACTGAAGGGCGCCAGGTCCTGTTCGCGTGGAGATGAAATGAAATATATGCTGTTGAAAACACCGTGGGCCTGGCCTGAGTATGCATATAACCAAGGGAATGATGCGAACGGAAGGAGACGAGATTGCGGTCGACTGAATCATACCCCGGATCTATCATCTAGATTGGTCCTAAGAAATCGCCGTCTTGGTGTTTTTTCATCTGTATGGTGATTGTTCCGCTGGTTGTGGCAGAAATTTATAGGCAAACCGTACATGCCAAAGGTATCGATGAGGCCCGAATGTCCCAGCCAATGCAACGGCTGTCGACATGCAAAGATAACGCCGAGATGCTTACACTGAACCAGTGTGCGATGCACATGTGGAAGCCATGATGAAACGCCGCCATGTATGATGTCTTTTCAGATTTTACGTGTGTGTGTGTGTGTGTGTGTGTGTGTGTGTGTGTGTGTGTGTGTGTGTGTGTGTGTGTGTGTGTGTGTGTGTGTGTGTGTAAGCATTAGCGGCTGGCGACTGGCCTAGCACGCATCTGATGTCCCATATCACCACGACGTTGAGCTTCTTCTCTGATCAATTTTTCGACGAGGTCATTCTGGGAGGTTTTAGTAGGCGGAGCTCCAGTGCCAGCAAGAAAGTAGCCACCGGCATGCTGTTGTTGCTCAAGTTCCAACGGCGTAACTGGACCGGGACTGCCTAGAGGACAGAGACGAGGGCTCGCGGGATCCGGGCCATCGGCAGATTTGTGGTTCCTGGCGTTGGCAGCAATGAGCTCACGTTGGTAGATGTAGAGCTGGCGCTGGGCGTCAGAGTACTGCTTGTGCTGCATCCGGGGCGAGACGGGAGCGGTCGGAGTATTGGAAACAGTCGGAGGAGTATTGCTGGCGCTGCTATTCTGGTTTGATGGAAAATTCGCCGGATGGAAGCGAGGCAGTGATGGTAGCTTCAACTGTCCGACTGGTTGTCCCGAACCATGAGATCGGACTGGCCGACGCTGCTGCGAGGGGATCTGTAAGGACTCCATTCTAGTGGGAGAGAGCGGCTGCAAAGGAGAGCGAGGAGGACCTCTTGGAGACATTTTTCGAGAATTGAGATATCAAAATGCGAAATCGAAACGCCGAGGCGGCCGCAATCGGCGATTGGGCTTCCTCACCGCACAGGAATGTTTAGCACCGGAAGACGGAGGGTGAAAGTGAGAGCGGTGATACGGGAGTGTAAATTTATTGGAGAAGATCTGTCTTGCAGCGGGTGGTGAGTGGCGTCCTGATGCGAGAAATGCAGGTAGAAGGATGTAGTGTGTTGTGTTTGGTGCAGTTAATTGGGAGAGTTTGAGGAGGATCGACTGCCGATGACGCCTTGCCGTGGGGAGTTCTCTGGGCAAGGTACCGCGACACTGCTTATAAGTCGATTGACAGAAGCTCCAGAGCAGTCTGGCAATGACGAGGCTGTGCTAGCGGAGAGTTGTAGGGGCAATGGAGCTGGAAATGTAGGAGAAATAGGCCGGAAGTAGGAGAAGTCGAGTTGTGCTGCGCAGCCACTCGAATGAACCATGGATGGTACAAAATGCAACAATCTAAGGTGAAAGCAGTTGGCAGCCGGCAGCCCTAAGTACAGTTTAACGAGTATTAGAACAATAGAGCGGTAGCGGTGTTGGCGGTAGCGATGCAGGGGCCAGTTGGGTCTGTTGGGTCTGTTGAGTGTTGGTTCGTGCTGGTATTATTACTGGACCCTTGATAGAGAAGATGCACAGTTCAAGACTTCTTTAACTTTCTACTGTAACTTCTGACTTCAGGCGGAGAATATTCTAGCATTGATGCTACTAATGCCACGATTCGGTGCCTGAGAGGTTCGCAATGAATAGCAAATCCTCCGTTGCTGCTAGTCTTCCACCGGATGGTGTCGAGTTTCGAAAATGTGCTGTTTTTGTTGGTTGCGGAACTGAAAACAGCGGAGAACGGCCCATAGACGTCTCCAATTATGATTTATGATTCCCACACAGCTGGTTCGGTGGAGCTGCGAGCTGTGAGCTGCGAGCTGTGTCGGGAGCAGGACGGTGGACTGTAGACTATAGACTGTTTGCCGTGGTGGATGTGATGTGATGTGATTAATGCGATGTGAATGGATATACTCCCTGTGAGCCTTGTGCATTTGGTGGCGCCATGCGATCATTCCACGCCGGACGAACCGACAGCTGAGACGATGACGCTGTTTGGACTTGTCCTGACTCCCAGCTAATAGTATCAATACACACATTCAGAGATCGGCTTAATACGACCAATAACAATTTACAACAGGGGGCGACTTTGACACAACAGTTGCCGTTCCCGTTCCCGTCAGTCACACTCGCACTCGCATCCTTCACCGCATTCAGTCTACATGACTAGTACCAGGGATTGGCAGCGTCCTTTACAGTCAATCATGGAGTAGAGTCAATCATGGAGTAGAGTCAATCATGGAGGGGAGTGGACTCGGTGTAGTACATGATATTATTATGCGAAGGCATGCCGATGGATGCAGGTCACAAAAGAAATTCCGTTCCGTCGTCACGGACATGAACCAGCACTGCAAGGACCTCGGTGGACTGACTATTACTGTACCTAAGCCTTTCTACATTACCATGCCCGGACAATGCCATTCTGTGATTGACATCCATCTGACTTTGCTTATGCCTGCATAGCATTTAACTCTGCACTAGCGCCTCATCGTGACCGCCATCAATACGCAATAACACACGATGCATCATCCAACGGTCTTCTGCACTGTTATTGATCCGACATGTACTGTATCAATCTCAGTATTACCATCGCACATAGTACCTTGGTAGCATGGCCCCCCCTCTGCTCGAGCGCATCCGCGTATCATGCGTGCGCTGGATGTGACGTAGGCCCGGGTATTCTAGGGATGGGGCGTGCCTAGATACTACTAGTACGTACTACGTACTGAGTGGTATCGTGGTAAGCTGGCTGAGTAGACGACTCCGCCAATCGTTGTCTGCCACCCCGGCCCTGATATGATCTTGATCGATTCCTGTGGCCGTCTACCATAATTACCTGTCATTTATTGGAGGCGTCGCCCACATACTTCTACATAGTATATGTAGGGAGCACATAAGATGGTGGGGTAGAACACGCCCAAGCCAATCATCTATTTTTCCAGACGTCAATCCTCCTTGACCCAGGATTGCGTCGCGTATGCTTGCCGTGTCCCGATTGACGGCTGCATGTGAATTATATGTTTAATGGAGGGTGGCTGGTATGCGTGAGGAGCAAGAGCAAGTTGAAGCATTCTGTCCATCTCGAGAATGATTTTACGTCTTCTATTGTCGCTATCATGCCTAGATGTAATTTATTTTGATACCATAGCTCTGCCATTTGGGATGCCTATAGAGACACATGTCATATTTATCTGGCTCCAAGCTTGTCCAGCGCTCGAGCTCCCTGCTCCTCCCACTCCGCCTTCGTTACCCACATATCCTCCTTGTCTGCCATCTGCAACTGCATTAGCACCGCCGCAACTGTGAAATTATACCACACTTACAATGTTGGCAAGCACAGCACCACCAAGGAACACCATATGCCGTCGTCGTGGTGGATCTTCTATGCGGACCTTGAATTTCTACTGAAGCATCAGCACCATCACGTCTATTAAGCTCTCCAACATTACTCACATTTAGCCTCTCAGGATTGCCCCCAAGCACTCTAGTAAGCCATAGCTGCTTCAATTCCTTCTCCAGTCGGCTTGGCAGACCGGGATACATACTGCTCCCACCACTGAGCACAATAGCCTTGTACAAGCTGCTACGAACGTCCACATCTGCCGACTGAATCATGTTAAACAGCATCTCGGCGATTCCGGGCTTCTCGTTATCAACCAGGTGGGGTTGAAACAGGCACTCCGGCGCTTCAAACCTCTCGCTCCCTACTCGAATAACGCGCCCGTCCGGTAAGGTGTAGGACTCTACTAGTGTGGTGGTCTCCTCGCTGAGCCTTTGGTCGAGCTCAAGATCGTACGAGACATAACACAGCTTCTCTTTGATCTGACGAACAGTTTCAAAATCTGCCGTACGGTTCAAGGCGTAGCCTCTGCGAAGTAGGAGTGCGATCAAGTTCCTGGTGATGTCTCTTCCTGCCACGTCCAACCTTCTCGTCAGATGATTTAGGACTGTGCTTTCGTACACCGGAACGATATGCGTGACACCATCTCCTGAGTCGACCACTACACCAGAGGAGAGACCTTGTGCATAGAGCGCCAGCACCGCTTGGATGGCCACGTAGACCCCGCCGAAATCGTATCGTTCAAACATGACTTCTGCCATTTGCTCGCGGTTCCGAACCGGATTCATCGGGGGCTCTGTTAGAAGGATCTTTCTACCCTGTGGATTTATGCGTAGTTTCTCGAAAAAAGTGAAGTCCCATAGGTGTTGCATGTCCTCCCATCCACTCTGTCTCACGATGCCATTCTCCATCTACAAGAAGCAGTATATTAGCTTCTGTCTTGGTACGAGTACTGTTTGATGACCCAGCCAGAATATCTGTCTTTGATGTTTTCATACCGGGTACGTTATTTGCAGCATTGACCGGGCCGCAGCAGCCTCGTCGCCGCACATAATATCCTTGACTACAATATCGCCATCTCTTTCTTCGGACCGGAGAATTGGTCGACCGACAATGGAAGGAAACTGGTGATCTGGGAAGTTCTACAACGATGAGTCGCTGGCACTCAAATACAATCTTATATACTGACCGTTCCTGCATAACCGACTTTGAGGAACCCAGTCCCGCCATCAAGGACTATGCATTGTCATTAGCTCTGTGTAGTGCGGTAGCTCGATGCCTGGTATGATTTACCAATGGGTACCTCCGCCATTGCCGAAATATTTGCTGAATGGTCTCGAGTATCGAGTGCTCGCAGCTCAAGATCGCGCAACTGTCACAGAGTAACCTGATCGTAGCGTATGCCTGGAGGGGTTGGACCGTTGCGTGTACCATTGGCGGTGGGCCGTGCGAAAGTCTTGGATGCCTGAGGCAGCCGTAACCCACGTTCTTTCTTGGAGTTCGACCAAAATTCGCTTAAGCGATATCTCGCACTTTTCGAGCGGCCCACCGAATCTCGTCCTCAACCACCACCCTTTCGACAATCTACGGCAGAGTACCAGACGGCAACGCCGCAACACCGCCAACATGCCTATGGTAAGTCCGACCTGAAGTTCCGCCTCTGGGACTTTTTCTGCACTGCGCGAAGCAAGTCCAGTCTGTCCTATCCCATCGATAGAGTCACCGCAAGTTGCTTCGAGTGGGAATTGAAGCGTTAATTGCTGACTCGGCTTGCACTTATAGTCAAAGTTGCAAAAAAATACTGCGTACTTTTCGTGAGTCTCTTACCGAGTCCTTCTATGATCTGTCTGCTAATATCTCAGGCGGTACCAAGTAAAGTACAAGCGCAGACGCCAGGGCAAGACCGATTACTATGCTCGCAAGCGCCTCATCACTCAGGCCAAGAACAAGTACAACGCTCCTAAGTACCGCCTTGTTGTACGCTTCACCAACAAGGACATCATCTGCCAAATCGTGTCCGCCGAAATCGTCGGTGACAAGATCTTTGCTGCAGCCTACGCCCACGAACTCAAGGCCTATGGTATCACACATGGCCTGACCAACTGGTCTGCTGCTTACGCCACTGGTCTCCTTGTTGCTCGTCGCGCCCTCAAGAAACTCAACCTTGACGAGGACTTTACTGGTGTTGAGGAGGCTGATGGCGAGTTCACTCTCACCGAAGCCGCCGAGGGTGATGATGGCGAATCCAGACGCCCCTTCAAAGTCTTCCTTGACGTCGGTCTTACCCGTACCTCCACTGGAGCCAAGGTCTTCGGTGCTATGAAGGGCGCTTCTGACGGTGGTCTTTACATTCCTCACTCCGAGAAGCGTTTCCCCGGTTATGACATTGAGTCCAAGGAGCTCGATGCCGAGACCCTACGCAAATACATCTTTGGAGGCCACGTCGCTGAGTACATGGAGACTCTCGCCGACGACGACGAGGAGCGCTACAAGTCTCAGTTCCAAGGCTACATTGATGATGACATTGAAGCTGATGGCCTTGAGGAGCTGTACGCTGAGGCACATAAGCAAATTCGTGCGGACCCATACAAGAAGGACCCCGAGGCACCAGCCCCGAAGTCCAAGGAGGAGTACAAGAAGGAGTCGCTGAAGTACAAGCAATACAAGCTCAGCAAGGAAGAGAAGCTCGAGCGTGTCAAGGCCAAGATGGCGCAAATCAAGAGCGACGCATAAAACGACTCTCTTGCATGTTCATGGTATTGGGTGGCGTCTTAGGAAAACTGGTGACTTGTGAAGTCTTCACACGAGTATTACGATAGGTTGTATCTTCCTTCGTAAATGTCCAACCAACGAATTCAAAATAAAGCATTGCCAATACCATGGCTTCTAGTGACCAAATAGCAGGCCACCGTGAACGTATCGAATCAGCCGTGGTCGCGTGATAGATCCATGTATCCATGTAGTGCTCAGATGTACGTAGTCGGTTTTCATACTGCTGTCGAGAAATTCATACAGCTGGTGGACAGTTGGTGTGACACTTCGACAATGGATTAAGCATCTTGCCTGGCCTTGCTCAAGCGTTGAGGGTGTTGCAGACGAACAAGTATGAACGTGAGTTCTCTAGATTGGCATGTTGAGCTGCCAGGGCATGAGTTCGGTGTTGACTCGGCTGGTCTGATGAGTTGTGTTACCGTATTGAGTTCACTCCGACGTGCACGACCCACCCGAACATGACACCGACCGCGCCGGCAATCGTCATAGGGTTTGGTTTGGTACGTGCCGACCACTGCGCGGTAGCACTTATCTTGATCATTGCTTATAATTCACTCAGTATCTCTGGTATCACTGCTCAGCTGCAACAAATGTAGCTTATGCAATATTTCTAATGCCAGTTGGTCATTCTCAGCCGCGACTTCTACTACTAATCATTACGCTACGAGTTCGCCGCTCTAGACCCGGCTCCCCTCGTTCCTCGTGCTTCAGAACAGCCCTATTAGCCGGGTCAGCTCGCGACCTTCTATGTATTCCGATCTGTGTCATATCTCTATTCACGACTTATAACCTACCTGCGATATCTTCCTACCGAAGTTCGTCTGTTCTGGCGTTTTCTGGATGATGGAAGACATCCATGGGGTTGACGTCTCATGGGTGCATCATTCGAACAAAGGTCAGCGACGCCCGGGCACGCCTGTGATCCCGCGATGCCAACCCACAATCACATTATCCGCGCATGCGCTCTTTCATCAGTGATCATGTCTAAATATTCATACAGGGCCACATCAGCGACAGCGCGCACATTCTTCGCCCGGCCTATCCAAGGATGTACCGCCGAAGACCTCATCTCATGGCGGCTTGCCCTCTCCGCCACCCGAACTATCACCACCGGAGTCACCCTCTCAAACGATACCAGAGCCTCCAGATGAACTCACAACTTCATCTACCACACCTCCAATGCCTGTCCCACTAGGAGGCTTGAAATTGCAGGGCAAAAGACCAGGCATGTTGTATCGCAACAGTTCGGACAAAGAAAAGAACACGTCGCTGCCGCATGATAAGTCGCCGAAACGTCCTTCATGGATCTCGAGTATCAGCTCCAAGTTCTCTCAGACGTCTGTTCCCCAGAGCGATCAATTGAATGTTGCATCGTCAAGTGTTCAGACAACGGCCAGCTCAAACACAACCGGCAAAGTACAAGAAGCCTCAGAAGAAGTTGATTCCAGTCCTCAGCAATCACCAAAGTCCGGGGGAGCTTCGTTCTTTACAAGTGCGCTGAGACGGTTGTCTTCTGGGACACCTATAACTGGAGCTGGCAAGGCCGTGCCTAATGGCGGAGTTTGTCCTCGTCGAGTCCTCAACGTCGATCCGAATCGAGAGAGATGTGTAATGCCGGAGCTTAACAATGCCAAGCTGAGAAAAGTCGCGTTTTGTGTAGACGTTGAAATTGCGGGTGGCCCGCGCTACAAGGATGAAGAGGAAGAGCTTGGTAGAAAGAAGAAATTCAATGAGAAAAAATCGAAGGATTCTGGCGAGGGAGAAGCTCTGAAAGACCCCGGAAATATGGTAGAGAAGAAGGATGCGTATATAGCGGAACACGAAAAGAATGCAGCTGCAACTACCCTTCAGCCTTCAGCTGCTCAGCAAGTTCCCCACGCGACCGAGGACAAGAAAGATGGGAACAAGAAGAAGGAGAAGAAAAAACGCTCAGAAGCTGAACGTAAGGAGAGGAAGGAAAAGAAACGTCGTAAGGCGGAGGAGAATGGACAGATACCCATGGAAATCAACCAGGAAGATTCAAGTGGAACCTCAACACCCGCCGGTACAGCACCTGCTCGACCTCAGTCACGGCCTACTACCGATCCACTAAGAATATACCGTCGCTGCTGCCAGCTTAGAGAAACCCCGATCTTGAAGAGAATTACCGAACAACTTGCTCAGCCGTCCACCTGTCCGATTGAAACACCTGGAATCGTCTCCTGCCTGGACCTGACAGGATCGAGACTGCAACTAGCTGATGTTTTTACTCTCAGTGACTGGTTGGCCATAGTCCCAGTTAAAAGACTTCTCCTCGAAGACGCCGATCTGGGTGATGAGGCTGTTCGTGTGATTCTAGCAGGTCTTCTAGCAGCGCGACATCCGGAATATCCTAGGCGCAAAATTGGAAGCTCTTCGCGAGACAACTCTATACGGTCGACGTTGGGAGGATACCAAGAGCGGTCAGGATTCGTTGAGAAGATCAGCTTGAAGAACAACCCCAAAGTCGGCAAAGAGGGCTGGAAGCATATTAGTCTTTTCATCTACATGTGCAGATCTCTCCGGGCGCTCGATGTCTCCATGATTCCCTTTGGCCGTGAACGTCCGAAAAAGAATAACGCTCCCGGAAAGCGTGCTTCAATGGAGTTTCACGCCTCCCACTCAGAACTGGCTGACATATTCTCGAAGGCTATCTCTGAACGACTGGGTGGTTCAAGATTTGAGGAATTGATCATGGCTGAATGTTCCTTAGACACAGAGGACGTTAGGAAGATAGTCGACGCGATCACCTGGAGTGGCCTCAAGCGATTAAGTCTTGCTAGCAACAACCTTAGCGATGCTGCTCTTGAATACGTATGTCGATACATACGTTCAGGAGTTCCTGATGGGCTTGATTTGGGGGGTAATGACATGTCAAACCGCCTAGACCACCTTTGTTCCGCTTTCACCGGATCTTGTCAAATCTGGGCACTCAGTCTTGCGGATTGCAATCTGATGCCAGATTCACTCAGACCGCTCTTCCAATCTTTAATCACCTTACCCAACGTGCGATTCTTGGACTTGTCCCACAACCGCAAGCTTTTCTCGCAAGACCCAAGCGCTCTCACGATATTGCGCAAGTATCTTCCACAATTCACTACGCTTAAAAGAATCCATCTGAACGATTGTTCGATGAAGCCGGCGCAGGCTATTGGGCTTGCAGAAATAATCTCAGAAGTTCCTCATCTCGCTCACATAAGTCTTCTCGAGAATCCACAACTGTCAGCTCTAGCCAAGGCAACAGACGAAGCTGGTCAGGAAGAAGCTTGTGCCCTTTACGCGTCACTGATGTGCGCTGCTAGAGTCTCGAGCTCCGTCATATGTATTGACATTGACGTCCCTGCGCAAGAATCAAGTGAAATCGTTAAGGCTCTGGCAAAACAGGTTGTGGCTCACTGTTTACGCAACATGGAGTCATGGACTGCGGCGGATGCTGCCCAAGCTGGCGAGCAGGGCTTATCTCTGGAAGGTGTCAAGGATACGCTCTCTGATAGGCAAGTCGAAATCCCTGAAGTCCTGCTTCATCTCGTCGGTAATGCTGAAGGCGGTGACTACGATACTGCACCAGACGATGACTACATCGTAGGTGGTACTGGTGTTGTGAAGGCGCTCAGTTACTGTCTTCTTGAGAAAGCCTCGGACTCGCGGCGGTCTTCAGTACCAGTCAGCGGCACAGCTTCACCGAAGAATGCAATCGAGCAGCGTACAGGAGGTGTCAAGGCAAAGAATATGTCCAGAGATCTTCTCGGCAGTGCACGAAAGATTCGAGAACGTATACAACCCGCCATAGTTCGAGAAAGTAAAGGCACTGACGAGATGGCTTACAAACGCCTACTATTCCTCGACCAGACGCTCCAAGGCATTATAAGACGCTTCGAGACCGAATACCCCGACACGCGCATCGAACATGATACTCCGCCTGACCCTGACACTGCATCCGAGAAGTCGTCTCCTCCATCTTCACTCGCTGAGTCCGCCGCCAAAGAGCTTTCCGTTAATACAGAAGCTACCACATACGAATCCGAGTCAGATGATGGCCGTGTAGCATCACCCGCCCTCCTATCACGCCACAATTCTGACGTCTCATTCGCATCGCGGGCTCTCGGTAAAGAAGAGGGTCACATCCACCGCCTGAGTCAGAAGGTCCGGCGCGACATTCTGAAGAACTCCTCACCCTCACAGCCACTTCCAGGCGAAGCCGGTGGATATGAGCCAGCCCATATATCTGCTCTGCGGGCCAAGTTTGCTCAAATTCCTGGCGATGAGTTGCTCCGTGGTATACAAAAGGAGGGTTGGGACGCTACATTCAAGCGTATGGGCGAGAATGCGGAAGAGCTCAGACGCCTACAGGAGGAGAACCCAGAAGACTTCCAAGCGTTCAAGGAGGCACAGCTTGCGGCGCTGGAGAACGTTGGCCATCAAGACGCGGAGGCTGTGAGGCAAGGTGGTAGCAACGTTGCTGTCAAAGACTGAGTAAATCATGATGGTTTACGCTTTGTTGTGTACTTTGCCAGCTCTCTCATGGAGTTGAATGAATTTCTTTTCTCTACTCGCTCGATACCACTGTACATTTACAGTCTTTACTGTTAGTAATGCTTGTTAAAACTATGGGATTTTTGGATGTCATTTCTATGGAAAGCGGAGCTAATGGAATCACGATGTATATTATTTGACTCAGAACCTAGGATGCAGTCAGTCTCAACCAAAGTCTCTTTCTTGGAACAGGTTCTGTTCAAGGTGCTTGACCGTTGTATATGCTAATACACTACTATGAAATGTACGTATGCCCCACTAGCCCAAATTGACCATGCGGCGCACCGTACCTCCTGCTATCGTCTGGCCCCTCTATTCCTCGCCTGCCCACACCTACAAACCCTCAAATCCATTGACCATGTCCCATCTAATTGACGTCCGCACACCCGAAGAGTACGCTACCGGCTTCCTGGGCAATGCCATCAATATACCTTATCAAGACATTGCGTCTCTCGTCGCGCGGCCAGACACCAAGAAGAGCGATGACATCACACTTTATTGTCGGTCAGGACGCAGGTCGGGCATTGCATTGGGCGTGTTGAAAGAGTTGGGGTTCGTGAATGTGCGTGATATTGGGGGCCTGGAGGAGGCGAGGGAGGTGCTTCGGATGGAAGCTGAAGCTAAGCAGATTGAGGAAAGAGAGAAGGGAGGTAGAGAGAAGAGGGCTGATAGAGAGGGCATGAGGGAAGCATCGAGGAGGTTGATGGAAGGATTGAGGGACTTGGGGGAGTGATGATGACTAGAGACCATGGTGAAAATTTGAACGATCAACGCGCTATGAGGGCATTGCGAACGTCTTGCCGTCAACCTACGCGAACTCGCAGCCCGTTACTGTCCAGCTTCGACTCTGGGATAAAGAAATCGTGCTTGAACGTCACGTCGCTCGCGTCTGTCTCGAACATCTCAAAGTCGAACGATCGGAATATGCTACCCATTGTAAGAAACAGCTCCGCCCACGCCAGGCTAGAGATTTTGTCAGTCAGCAAAGTTCATGTGCATATATGATGGGACTTACTTTATGCCGATACACGCTCGCGGACCTTTGCCCCAGGAAACGAGATAGTGATCAAGTGCTTCGCCATCAGGTGCACGTGGACTATTAAGCCAGCGCTCCGGTATAAACTTGAACGAGTCCGGAAAGATGTTCTCATCATGGTGCACGTCTATTGTCGTCATCGAGATTGTCGTAAAAGCTGGAATGGTCCATCCGTGGAGATGCATGGGACGATCATGCTGTCGTGGATTTCTCGCGGTAATACCGTATGATAGACGTACGGCTTCCTGGATGCAAGCCTTGAGATACGGTATTTTCTCAAGTTCAAGTAGGTCAGGAACGATATCGTCCCCAGGTAAAGCGCTTTTGAGCTCCTGCTTGAGAGTCCGATGGATAGCCGCGTTGTTGATGATGTGGAATGCCCCGACCATGAGAGTAAAGGCAACTGTTGTGACACCAGCTCCGACGATGCCGAATGCCTCGTCTGTTAGGCGTGCCTTTGTCTTTTCTTCTGGAGGAAGGTCGCTGTTCAAGATCTCCTGAAATACTGTGCGCTCATATCGTTTTTCATGTGGATGGTTGCCTCGGATCACACGATCCAGCAGATCCGACAGGTTCTGTGGTCTCGTCAGTGGGATTGCTTGCTGGCTTCAGATTGAGCTCACCCTTCGAAATAGTAACAGACTTGACATCTTCGACTCCATCATTTCGATCACTGGAGCTGGCAAGGAGAACGCAAGTGAAAAGAATGTTGGAAAGAACGTTCCGATGTGCCCCATGTCACCACTAGTCATCAATGCTTCCCGAAACGACTCGAAATTATCCTTTCCTACGTGGTTGTAGTTGAAACCGAACGCATAGTCCATGATGATGTCTCCGGTCACGGCACAGAATCCATCGCTCAGAGTGACTGGCTTACCAGCCCTGCGATATTCATGTATTCTCTCTACGAGGTGCCGAACATGTTGCTGAACGATGCCCTGAAATTCAAGGATCGACCGTCGAGAGAACCTATCGATCATGAGATGGCTAACAAAGATTGTTTTATTGTAAACCCACAGTGGATTCAACACCGCCCGTCTCTGTCGATGTATCACGTGGGATGGCGTGGCAATCATAGCCCCTGGATTTCCAAATCGATTCTCCCAACCTGGCCTGATGACTCTCTGGTTCTTTGCGTAAAGCTCGTCATAAAATAAACTGTCTCTGACGTGCTACTCAGGGGTCAACTGGAATACATTTGCGTAGGTGACTCTATTGCAGACGCACCAACTCATCTGGGCCCACGCGTACAACAGGACCTGGTCGACAGTGAGTGTTATCATCTAACTTTGATATTATATTTCATCATACCATACTGGTCATGAAACTCCTGTATCTTTTCATAGTACGTGCCCTTTCTCACTATCTCATAGTATGCCTCGTACCATCGTGAGACTGCTACGATCTTGTGACCAGGAAACTTGGAAAGAGGATGATAGTATAAGCGCCATACTATCATGTACGCAACGTATGCTGCCCAGACTAGAAGCAACGATGTTGCACAGACCACTGGAGTAAGAGATATCTCTACCATGGCTCGATTTCGTTCTGTCGAACGTCGCTGTGCTCGACTAGATGTACTGTGTGGACTTGATATTTGGCTGTTTCGGTTCGATTTCACAAAGCCATTCGCCAGTCATCAAACCGTACATACGATCTACAGCGTCGTTTAACGGCAAACGAATAGTCGAAACCCCATTTCCTGCATCCGCAGACCTCTCACTCTTTATACACTCCTCGTGCACCACCTGTGGCGCCTCCGAAGAGACCGTCCTGGCAACGTAGCAGTACGTATCCAGAAGTAGCCCACCATCGGACCAAATCACGTCTACGCCATCTCTCCACCACCGAGATAAGACTACCAATCATGACTTTGGTCCGCAGTACAGTATCTGCGCACCTATTGTGACGCGGGCGGTGGCTGTAAACCGCACTCCACTGCGCGCGCCAGACGCACCAACCGGCCAGCCCGTCCGTGGGTCGTGCCGCATGGCTGCATAGGGATGCATGTCAAAAACGAGCTCGAATCCGCAGCAGCAACATCGACAGCGGACTGTTTGTTTTGCGGTGTGGAACCTCGATACGATGGCTGTGGGTATTCCTATGCAAGGCCAAAAATCGCGAAGGATTGCTTTGTGTCGGGACGCAGGCATGCAGGATTCGATCCGATCTGCAGATATATGCATGCACGCATGCGGACTCGCGCACGTCCTGGTTCAATGAAATCTCACGAATATATCACCACCAACACACCGGAACTCTATTTACACACGGTCTGGTCTTGGAGGGTGGTTGCCTGGCTCTGGGTTCTGAGACCGGATGTGTTTGTGAGCTTCATCTCCTATTTGCCATTGAGCCTGTCATACCCGCTCAGCTAACATCTATCTCAAATCAAACAAGGCAACTCCTTACTGCCTTGGCTATCAAATCATGTCTTCTGCCCCTTGCCTCTCCGGACCAGAAGCAAGTAAGTCAGCGCAACCTGCACTGGCCGCCCGTGCCCTTACGGACCAGTCTCCGTATAGTCCAGCTTGCATTCCACACCGCAGTGAAAGTCTGACAGTCTTTGGTACGGGGAAAAAAATCGGCATGCCGTGACAGGGGTCCATCCCTTTCTCTCTAATGTGGCGCAATGTGTAATGTATGTATGTGTATTTGTTTTATTGTATAGACATACCTCTATCATATACACGATATGCATAGAAAGTGCTCTCTTTCTCTTTCTCTCTCACACAAACAAACAAATAAACAAATAGGACAGACAGACAGACATAAGCGCAGACCTGTATTGTCAATATCGTAAACTGAACCCAAATCGTACGCGAAAATAGTTGATTAAGCTTTAATTGACTTTGTCAATTTTCGGCATTACTCAGCCTTGCACATTCATATGATTTTTTGTCCTCACGTGTCTCGTGAACTCTTAACTGTTGCTATCACGCACTTTTAGCTCTTTTTCCGGCGACTTACTCGGGGGCTGCGGGCTAACAGCTGTATTGGACCGTACCGTATGCTGTCCGATAATATTATGTGTGATGTCTGTTCAACTCTGACAGGCATGGTCATGTTTTAGCTTCTGGGGACTCGAGACATTAAGTATATTCAGGACGGGCGGGACGTATCTCGCGCCTCGGATTGTTGGGAGATGAAAAGCAATGTAAGGACGCTCAATCAGTGACTGCTACTCCTGGGTACTAGAAAGGCCGGTTAGTTCCACAACCTACGAGTTCTTTGATATTCTCGCTATGTTGTGCCGAGAGCTATGTAGCCGCTCGAATCTGCAGAGGGCCATTATGGAGAGTCATCATAGTCGCACAGGTAAAGCAGGATTGAAATGGTTCTGATTACCATCTATGGGGCATCTATTGGTGTGGATATATCTATGGCTCTGCTAGTTCTCCGTACTATGTAGTCCATCGTGCATTAATCTGCTTCCTTTTAACCTGGTAGTTGTTAGTATTTTTTCCGCAACATCCATGAATTATTACTCACCAGCGGCGCTACCACCAACACGCCAACGCCCAAAGCAGCGACAGTGAGTAGCATTTGCGGCTTGTTAAAGTCTTTCCCGAGGATGTCAAACGTAAAGCTTGGGGCTACCCGTGTTCCGAATACATCCAATCCGTATGCGAACACAAGACTGGTACTTTCGAGGGAGGACGGTGTGGTGATGACATTCTTGATGCCAAATACCTCGCGCTTGTGGTTAAGATACCACTTTGGGTCAAACTCAAGATTAGGCGCATACTTCATAAGGCCTTCGCTGGCCTCTGACGCGGTGGGATCCCTTCCTATGGGACGGCGAGGATCAACAATCTGGCGCGGGATTCCCACCACTGCATGCGATTGTGGAAGGACAGCCAGAATTTGACGCGAAGATATTCCTTGTTTAGTGTGTGTGACGGACATGTGCGAGATCTCCTCTGGGATGTGGTAGGTTTGAGATTTGGCGTACGGCTTTGAGATGTCTCCGACTGTTGACGAAGGATCAGTGCTTGAAAAGTTACCGGATGCTGCGAGCGGTCCACGATCGTTGGGAAGGGACGATTCGAATAGTTCAGCAATTACCAATTGATGACCTCGAGAACCAACCGACGAGGATGCAGACGTGAAAGAATACGCCAGCCAGTTTTCGGACACCGTCGAGGCAATGAACCTTGTTGTGTCGACATCCCTATGGCTAGCGGAATATAGTACATTACCAGAAACTGAGTCGAGTAGGTAGACGGACGCGGTGCTGGTAATCTCTGACACTCCAGTGACAAGAACGAGGTTAGCGTTGAGATACTTGTACAGCACGCGACGATCTCCAAGAACTTTACCAATAGATGCAACAGGGTCGTCTAGAGGCCTAGCTGCGATTCCATGGATGCGTTCGCCGTCCAACGGTTTAAACTGCCATACCACCTCGTCAGGTCGGCCAAAAATATGGCCTTGCAACTCGCCATCCTTCAAAGTGTACTCGACAACAGTGCTAAACTGACCAGTGGGCACTGTCGTCACAATATCACTTTGCAAATTATTTGATTCTCCGGTCAGAGCGTTGACGATGATTGGGGTGCTTAGACGTGGATCAGTGATCTGTACACGGCCGTTTGGAAGTGAGGTCAGCTGTGGAGCTGTGAGCTTGGAGCCCGGTGCTATACTTGAAACATCGACATTCCATAGAACTTTGCCTTGGGCTGCAGTATCTAAGGCGATGAGACGATTTCGAGCGGTTGCCAATATCACTATCTTCCCGAACCCAAAGGAGTCCTTCTTGATGCTGTCAGGTGATATGGTCGCTCCGCCAAAGCTGGCCATCAGATTCGTTGGTAAGCTTTGGAACCATGTGGGAAGATGGCGTAGGTCATCAATATGTCTCATCAGACGATGAATAAACGCTGACACCACGTTCTGATGACCTTCAATGTCCAACTGCTGGGCCAATGTTTCTGCTTCTGGGTAACTGGTAAATACGGCGGATAAAGTGCTAGCTAGAGCTTCTGGTCGGGTCCATAGTGATTCACCATTGCGAAGCAGAGACCAGTCTCCATTAGAGAAGAGTATGGCAGATCGCACAGCTTGCGCTGTATTCGAGCGAACGACTGCTTCTGTTACACCGTATAACGGATAGGCGTCGCCCTCAGTGGAAGCGCCTAGAACCTTCCGGTTCCATCTCCCTACAATACCGTGAGATGCGGAAGAGTAGATGATCATCTCCTCAGTCGTCACCCTCGTGAAGTATACGTTAGCATCAACGGTGCTTGTGGAGAAGGCACCATTTCCAGACATGTTGGGAATGTCATATGCTTTCGAAATAGTACCCTTATTTACATCAACATGATAGACCTCCGCCCATTGGCTCAGCGAGGTCTGATATTGGACCAAGAAATGAGGTAATGATGTTATTCTTGAGGGCGCGTGGACGGTGACGCGCTCGATCTCTCCAGATCCTTTGTTCTCGATGTTGAAAGAAGCAACCCCTTTGGTGCCTATGATGTTGATCTTGAGAACTTTGTGGGCCTTATCCGCCCATACAAGCAGCGGTGATGCAGTGTTGGCTCCGGCGAACAGAATCGACTCCGGAGAAGATACTTCGCTGTCGGAGCTCAGCGTGTACGAGTCCAGCTTGTCCCCGTTCACCGGACTCAATGACGAAACCTTGATCTTGTACCCGCCCAGAAACGTACCGTGATGCGCTATATAGTAAACGCTGGTCGCGGAAGAGGAAAGTTGGAAGGGCACGTCTCCACTGTGGAATGTGTTAGTTATAATAAGCGTTTGAGCTCTGTAGGCGTACCTGGTGTCTGCAAATTGCCATTTGGTTTTCCCAGTAGCACCATTCAGCCGCATGACAGTAGGTGTTTCGCCTTCCATTAGCACTATGGCATCTTTGCTTGTTGACGCCTGCTTCCCATCCTCGAAATCGATAATTTCTGCGTCTTTAATTCTTGAGGTACCAAGCTGTTTCTCCCACACCATTCGACCATCGGATGAGCTCCATGCTGCTACCTGCCCATCCACCGCGCTTATAAGAGTATCTTGACCCTCACCAGCCGCGAGAAAAGTTTGCGAAGAGTTGGTGCTGGGTGTCAGCAATTGCCTCCACACGACGGACCCATCTTTGGGATTTATAGCCGCCAACACATTATGGGCTGATAGGGTGTATATGAGAGATGCCTTGGAGCCGGCAAATGGCTGCTGGAAGAAGGTTGCGTGTTGTTGAGGCTGGCCTACTAGAGCCCAGTGGTAGTCGACGTGATAGGCGTCATCAGCGAAGATGGCTTGCACGGTCGGAATGAGTATAGCCGGGAGGAGGAGTAATTCTTGAAGGCGCATTGTTCATGGGTCGCGAAGTCGGGGAGACAACGCTGTTGCAGATACAACCATTATGCTATGCCACCAAAAGTTCACGTAGAGCCGGAACTCGGCCAATCGTTACCCCGAAACTACTTACTACTCACCAGCCTCAATCATCGTTACTTCTACGTCTAAATACCTTCCGCAGGCCTCGAAACTTCAGAACTGACACTTGGTGACACCCTCGCGTAAGAAGAATGGAATCCCATAAAGAAAGATGGTCTGTCAGTATACATCAACAGGACACGCACCGTCCTACTAGAGTCATCGGCGGCATTCGAAACGCAGGCCGCTAAAATCAGTCACGCATTGGCCGATAGAGTGCCCGTCACGCTACAAATGAAACTGAGACGTCAGCTTTGCTCTAGAAGTCCAGCGCCCCATTGGTAATGTGATTGTGAAACACAGCCGGCCCCAGGCATAGAATGCCCGTCCTATGAAACGCTATCTGAGTCGCGAGATGTCTATGAACCCTTCTCTGAAGAAAGCTGTATGTCATGATTTGTGAAGCCGCAAATATGACGTGTGACGGAATGTGCGTGTGTAGCAGCCACAAGACAAACAGTACCGCACGACTTTCGTAAAGCTTGAATGGTCCATTGTTACTGTGTCTTTCCAATACCAAGGGTGATAGACGTTATTTGAGACGAAGCGAAACACAATCTGTCTGACCGATTTCCACATACTTGACGTGTGTGATTGCAACACTGAGGACGACGCTGTTAGAAAGCAATAAAGACGTCGTCAGCCAACCAACAGTAGACGGCTCAAGGATCATCTTCTAGCTACGTCAGGCATAGCTTTGCGAGGCGCATGTTGGTAAGGCAGACGCCAGTCGTTATATTGGTGAGATACGTAGCGGCTAAAATAGTGGACAGTTCCACTTTGGGGCGTGTGGCGCTAGGCTCCAGGCCATCGGTCATCATTCCCATTCCCTTGGCCCCTCGCCGCCTTCCACAGCATCTCTCGCTCTCTCTTACATACCTCACGACCTCCCTCATACTCCTCTCCCTTCTCTCACCACCACTTTTAAACCCACTGACTGACTTGACGACTTCATTTTATTTTATATCCCAACTCTAGGGCCATCATGCCTTCCTTCCCTTTTGTCGTTGACGGAGTTTCGAAGCTAGCCGTTCGCGGTTACAGCTTCGGCGCCGAATACTTGAACAACAACGCTCTCAACAAGCGTGGAGATGAGCCTCCAAAGTTCCCTGAGATGCCCGCCTGGGGCGCTGCCATCATCGGAGCTACTGCGCTCTTCTTCGTCTTTTTCTTGGCTTCTGTACGTTGACTACTCTGTGATGAAGCTCCATAGCGTGCCTGACTCTATTATTAGATCCAATACACCATTGGCGATGTCATCAGCACCCTAGCGATGATCGAAACACCCGCTGCTGAAGTCACCTTTACTGAGTCCGACGAGCCGGATAACACGCTGGACAAGGAGCAGAAGGAGCACCTTCTCGAGACCTCCCCAACCGTCACCATCGCCCCTATCAAGCCGATCACGTCCAATATCAGAGGCACAATCAAGCACCTCAGGTCCCAAGCAGGTCGAACATCCAGGTGGCGTGGTATCGTACCAGCTGTCATCTACAGCTTTCTCGTGTCAATCTCTTTCAACCTCGTACAGGCGATTATCCCGGGAGAGTTCGGTCTTCTTCGCATGCCTATCGTGAACTCCCTTGCCGCGCTGCCTCTCGCTCGTCTACACATGGCCTGGACCCACGCCATGATCTCTCAACCATCCAACCTCCGCTGGTACCAACGCATCCAGCCCCTGTCCTCGTACAAGCAGCTTTGGCTTCCAACCATCGTCTCGCACTCTGCTGCGATATACGCTGTCTACGCCACCGGGTATTTCGCCGTCTTGATCAGCCAACTGTTCCTCAGCGATACCATGGATGCACTGACCGAAGGTAAGGCCGTATCTGGAGCTGCTATTACTGGCTCAATCCTCAGCGTGTTCGCCATCTTCTTCTTCGCCGTATTCGCTGGACTTTTCATAGTACTCCCAGCACATGTCACACTAGTGCGGATCGAGGCATCGCTTCTCCCTGAAGATCAGGACACCATCGTACCTTTCGATCGCTCTTTTGGTGGAAAGGTTGTTCCCAAGGTTCTTGGGGGATCCGGTGCTGTCGGCTTTCTGGACGCATGGAAGACCTTTAACTGGGAGGCCCGTCGCCGCTTGATCAAGCTTTACGTCAAGAATGCTGCTATCCAAATGATGACGGTCTTCACCTTCGTGCATTTGATAGCCTTTGAGGCACTTGCAATCATGGGCAAGGATATCAAGCACTACATGTGCAAGATGAACAAGTATCAAAAGGAGCACTCTCAGTAAATCACTGAGTCTCTGGCATAGCTAACGTACTTACTGCACCGGTTACATTGCTCCTTGGTCGAACCAATCTGTACTACTACGACAATCCTGTAGAACCGTAACAGAATGAATCGTGTAAGCGAATACTGTCCTTGTTTTACGACTCTGCACCAGGAATTTGGGATGTGGTGGCAAATTATTGCAATTAGAATGACCATGTCTCATCTCTGCTATTGATGTGATGTGTGCAAAACGTTTACTAATTAACGCCCCCATTGATCAACATTGTTCATTCAAGGCATTACATGATGACCATAGATGTTGCCGTCCACATTATACTAGTCATTCCCTTCGCGAGCAGTTAGCCAGCTTCGACTCATATGTAGTATTGCCAATGCTGCGCCTAATCATTTTGTGCCGACCTGGACAGCACCGAACAGTAAGGGTTGGCGAGGTGAGGCGAGGGTGAGAGGTCGAGGTTGTGGAACAATGGAATGTTGGATCTTCAGATTCGGCTTGTCCTGATAGGCTAGGATATTCTGAATAATAGTATTCGCACTCGGTCAAAAGGGGCTCTTTCTATCAAGCATTGCTATTCGTTAGACAAGCCATCCTTTCAGAATGGTTGTGATGTTCAGCTGTAACATGATATCAGACACAGTTTCGTTGCACACACGAGGCTCTGTGAATAGCTTAAGAATAGGAGAATCCATATATTAGCTTCCCATTATCCCATTCCATTCCATTCCATCCTATGTCTTTCACGAAAACCAAAACATAAGATGTCGCTCATAATCATGTTCCATGCCGGCTTTTCAGAGATAAGGAAATAGGGACAACCCGTGTAAGAGGATAAGAGGTTAAGAGACTGCAATGTCGCAATGTGAGCAAGCATGCATTAATGGGTCTAAACGAGAGGTGAGAGTCGCGTAGGTATCGAGATGACTCGCAGAGCCAGGAACAGTGGTCGAGTGCCAGATACGCTGCCTTTGAGGCTCTCAGACGCTACCATGAGGCTGCAATAAACTGATGTGTCGACTATTTGGCAGTCTCATAGCACAGTCGTAGCGGTGACATGCATTCACAAGGGCTCCGCAACCGGGTGAACGGCCGGCTTGGCACCAAGAGGCTCGATTGGAGTGGAACTCGGAGCGGAAGGCAATGGGTCTTGTTTTGGAGCTGATGGGAAATCTTGCTTCTTCGGAGCTGGGTTTGGCGAAGTAGCGCGGCCCATTATTCCTTGCGCCTTGGAAGAATACTCCCCAGCATAGTTCTTGATGGTCTCTGAAGCTCGGCCAGTGTGCTGAGCGGCAAGATCCTTAAATTGACTGGCCTGCGCTCCGACAACTTCACGCCCCTTTGCCAGTTGAGAATCGATAAGCTCCTGGTTTGAGATGTAGATCAAAGGTCCCATGTACAAGACAGTAGTTCCGATCAAAGAGAGGCCCCAGAGCGGTGTGAACTTGATGAGCCAGTATGCGAGGAGAGCGGACACAAAGGACTAGATTGAGTTGTTAGTAATAAGAACAAGGCTTCGCATGGGTGTACAGCATACAGCACCAGTAGCATAAAGATTCTCAGCGAAGACTATTCGCTGGAATTCAATGACGAAGAAGTTGATGAACTGCTCAACATCGTCTAGAAGGCGCTCAAGGGAAGCCTTGGGGATGGTAAAATACTTCTTCGGGCGCATCTGTGAGGTCAACCCATTGCCGAAGACAAGTTTTCCAGCACCTTCTGCAGTCGCGGTCACTATTGCCATTAGTCAAGTCCTTTGCTATTACTGCCTCCACACTGAACATACAGCCAAGAACGATGTAGATTCCCTTGAAGATATAGCGGAAGATAGGAAGATATCTGGCCATGAAGATGAAGGTGACAGCGGCGGCATACGAGATGGCGGTAGCACGAGGATTCTTCCACTACCCCGAGTTAGTGATATATGCTAAGTTGCCTATAACTATGACCACTTACGCTCAACAGACGGTAGAACATGGAGTGGTAGTCTAAAGATTGGTAAGCTGGTGTGACCATAAACAGCACTTCATTTGTGGCTCACGAGTCAAGGGCTGTCCTGTAGCTGCCGGCTGATCAGGAGTTTGACGCGAAGCTGCAAGATCCGCAAATTCATTCTTGGTGATAGCGCTTTGCTCCTTGACATTCTGGCCAACAGGACCTTTTTTCAAATCAGTATATGCACTACGAAATTTGGTAAAGGCAATCTGAGAACCATTGTCAGCTTGGGCTCGTATGAAAGGGTATATCCGTTGCATGAACATACCTCACCGCCAACAATGGCATCCTTCGCGCTCTGCGTGGTTGGGTGGTTGTTTACGGCACTCATGGTCGACTGGGCGGCTGGGTTGAGGGTTAATGAGATTCAAAAGGAGAGGTCGTCGGAGAGGTGCAGATAAGACTGTGATGCAACCGGAGTTAGCTGGGGCTCGGCAAGTAACAACAGGGATAATGGAGCTCTCACCTCACAAGCTAACAAGCTGTCTTTGAAGTTTGTGACACCGTTCGAGGAGGAGGTAGCACCGTCAAGTTGAGCAGGAGCAGGAGTAGAAGTGTTGGTGATGGAGTCGGAGGAAATTGTATCAGATGGGACTGTGTCGGAGGGAACTGTGTCGGATGTGTCGTGGACGTCCACGTCAGGACGAGGTTCGGCCATAGCTAAGAACGGCTGTCAAGGTGCAGTCGGATGATATCCACAGGAAGTCGAGACCGCAACAGCAACGTTGAACTTGCGATATAAGGCAAGGGTATATGACAGAGGTTAAAGTTGATGCTGTAAAAGAGCAAGAAGTGGGCACGGAATCTATTATGACCAAAAGATTTTGATCGAAGGGGGGTCGCGTGCTTGGTGCCTGTGAAATTCAGGTCTATGCAGGAATGACGAAACACTTGCCAACATTATTATGGGGAGCTCGTCACTACTAACGTACATAGGTGCCCGCCCGCCGACCACCTAATAGCTACCTCACTACCCTCTGCCAGTAATTGTTCGGATTCCAAGATCCACCATAGCTGTCAAACTTGTCAAGGATTAATTAAAATGAATCCCCGGCTCACGCTCTACAGCCAATTTCTTGTACCTCTGACCAACTGAACTGTCGATAATCGCAACACGCACACACGATTTTGGCAGATGCCAACTTTTCAGGCGCCATGTTTCCAGTGGGTGGCTTGTACTAGTTCCGCATGTGGGAGTCGCTTATCGGAGTAGTACTATGTTGCTAAGATGGATCCATCCATTCCTCTCCTATTGGCTATTTGAGGGCAAGCACCACGAACGTTTGTTTGGGAGACGGAGAGGTGGACCTCAACGCTGTCAGCCTTGTTTATTACCTGACCATTCAAAGCCACCCTCTACCAAAGCTTCGCTATGAATCGCACGATAATAGTTATATACAGGCCAGGTCTACACGTCTATCGAGATTTGCCTAGTAGCTTACACGCGTCTAGCGATTTCTAAGCTACCACATCATTGGCAGCTTGCTCTTTCTCTTCTTGATCGCCACTGACTTTGCTTCCGGTGTTGTGAATGCTGCTCAGGACACTTTTCAACTCCACTAGAAACCGGTCCACCTCTTGCTCAGTCCCAACCGTGATTCTCAATGCACCTGTGCACCCGTGCTCCTTTCCTCTGAAACGAACAACCACACCTTTCTGCTCCGCCAGGGCTTCATAAACGCCTTGTGCCGTGACGTTTGAGGGCTTCCCTTCTGGCCCATCTAGCATTTCGACAAGAAGAAAATTTGCGTCTGTCCCCCCAAGAAACCGGCCGACACCAGCGATTTTTGGCATCTCTCTCAATAGCCGCTCTCTCTGGATCATGATCTTCTCTCTGTTCTCTTGCATGACTTGCAGATGCTCGGGACTGAGCGCAGCTGTAGCTATCTGCGAGGTTGGACTGGAAATGTTGTAGGGAGCTTTCAGAGAGTTCAGAAGGCGCGCAATGGGAGTGGAGGTGAATGCAGCACCGAGCCGTATGCCAGCGAGGCCGAACGCTTTGCTCAGCGTCTGCATTACAACAAGATTAGGAACTTCGAGAACCCATTCTGCTAGAGAAGCTTCTGGTGGAGAGAAATCAATGTACGCTTCGTCGAGGACTACTATGCCGTTCCAAGTGGGATGATGGACAATTTCCATGATTGCGGACTTCGGTAGAGTTGCGCCGGTAGGGTTGCCTGGAGTACATAAATATACGAGCTTGATGGTTGAATCTTCGGATAATGCCTGTTTAATGCCTTGGACATCCAGTGCAAAGTTTTCTGATGCTATCAAGGGCACATTCACAATGGAGACATCATTGACTTGTGCCGATACGGCATACATGCCGTAGGTTGGCGGGCATGTAAGAATCTTGTCCTTGCCTGGAGCGCAAAAACAGCGCAGCAACGCATCGATCGCTTCATCAGATCCAACTCCTACAAATAGATTCTCCGGGGTGAGAGTCTTTGTTGTATGAAGCTTGGCATTGCGGAGGTTGCATAGAAGCTGCTTTAATGTAGATTGGTGTCTTCAGCTTGTCAGAGAGAGACGTGACATGCATGTATGGGGGAGCGGACTGACGGATCTGGGTATCTGTTCAATCCACGCAGATCAAAATCTAGTGACCGCACTGGTGTCCCATCCATAGCCTGCTGTAAAACACCTCCAGCTTTGTTCAAAGCGAGCCCAGGGCCATATGCGTTCTCGTTCGCGTCGAGGAGGACATTTGTCCCGTCATCTTTGTAATCACTATCCAGTCAGCCATGGCACGGTCGAGATCGCATGACAAAATGTGTTTTACTCACTCTCTCGCACATCTGTATGGTTGCAAATGTAGAATGTTTGGCCGGGCACACTTCTCCAGATCGAATGCGGAGTTAGAGTGTGTCATAATGTAGGATGCGAGAATCAAAAGTGCTGGCGGGGTTCGCCCATCTTTCGAGCTTTGGCCCGGCCTTGGCAATGATAAGATCTACAAAAGCCCATGAAAAGCGAGCTACTTGAGATCAGCATTCATTTCATTCTCCCATCAATTGTCTCCAGGAACAACATTCCTGACTATCGAGCGTAAACCCATCATGATCAGCGCGAGTCAATGGCAAAGTCTCAACGTAACATATAATACAACACAATACCATGATTTGACATAAACGGAATATTTGTTCGCAGCCGAAGTAGGCTGAGAGAAATATGCTCTGATCATTACAATGTGGCTAACTTGCTAAAATTATTGAATGGACGTCTTCGTATGAAGCCGACTTCAGCCATCCACACAGTGGATGTTGCCTACAAGCCTCACAGTCTCGCTTCCCCCAGTCGAGCTGAGTGACATCGAAAGAGTTCCTCACCCTTGCTCAATCTAACCTAAGTAGTCGAACCAAATCTTCTTAGACCCCATTTCGGCTTCTAATGTAAGCCCAACCTGACTAGGACGGCCATCAGGCCCGATCCGGAATTCTGCCTCGAAATACTGGTAGTCAAAGCTCGCTGCCGGTGCGAAGCTCGGACTCATAGTCCTCGCGATGAAATAGTCGCCGCTGACGTGCTCGAAATCAAGTGTATACTTCCACGTCTTTTCAAATGTATCCATATGCAGCACTGCCTCCGCATCCCGAAGCCACCATGCAGGTGACTCAGCCAGCCTCAGGGTGAGGTTCCGATAGCCAGGGTTATGGTACGTTCCGACGTACTTTGACAGTTCCAGTGTGGTTTGCAATGGTGGCGAAGGCGCAGATGGATATGCATTCTTCCGTGCGCTCTTCCAGTTGTTCTTCCACATCTCCTCATCTTTCGTATACTTACCCATCCAATCGAATCTTTCCTTAGCAGGGATCTCAAGCAGGTTATCGAGTAGCTCGAAGCAGACGATGTCGATGGCCCAATCACTGTACATGTCTGTGTTAGACATGAGAGCAAGAGTCCAGTTCTTTTCCGGGATGTACATCATCTTGGCTGCGTATCCAGGCACGGATCCATCATGGTAGAATAATTGATGACCTTTGTAGACAGTAATCTCCCAGCCGAAGCTGTAGCCTACTGGGCCAGTGAAAGCCGAGTGCTCGTCTGCAGACAGGAACGTACGAGGCTTTCGGAGCTCCACGTAACTCTCGTGTGAGAGTATACGGGGGTCCTCATTCATGATCGCGCGTAAGTATTTGGCGTAGTCAACGACATTGGTAATCATTACACCTGCCCCACTTACTTCTGGAGCATCGAATGGCCTCATTGGAACAAACTTTGCTGTGGTTTCGTTGTAGAAATATGACGTAGCAAGAATTTCGTTCCCGTCTGCCTCGGCCTTTTGGGCGTCTGTAAGGCTAAAGAAGGTTGAAGTCATACGTAGGGGTTTCCAGATGTTCTTCTTGAGGAAGTCGCCAAGCGACATGTCGGTGAGCTTCTCTACAACGTAACTCAGTGTTATAAACATCAGGTTGCAGTACTGGAACTTTGTCCGCACTTCAGCGGTCATTGGCAGATGCCGAAGACCTAGCACTATGTCTTTCAGTGTGACGTTGGCGCCCCCATAACTGGAATCATGCCGAGGCATACCAGTACGGTGCGACAATGCATCCTCAAGAGTTACATGGAGTGTGGCGTAGTCATCCGGTAGAACAAATTCCTCACGAATAAGGGAGGATATTGGGGTCTGGAGGTTAATTGGGTCAGATGAATTAGCGCTCCGCTCCATCAACATCAGCAGACTGGCTGCAGTAAAAGATTTGGTAGTGGATCCACCAAAGTAAAGAGTTTCGGCAGTAGCGGCAGTGTTGGGAGTTCTCGATATCCCGTATCCCTACACCATGTCAGCGCCATTTCTTGGTCGATTGAGTGTTGTCTACCTTTGCGTATGTTGTTGTGCCGTTGGAGAATGATATCGAGATACCTGGCACATGAAACTTGGATAATGTAGTCTCGATGAATGAGCTCATCTGACTGTCAAACGGGCCATCTGATGAAAGACCGGCTGTTTCTGCTGTATGATCGGATGTGATTGCCTGGTCGTTGGGGAATGTAGCAACCACACAAGGCAGAATAAGCAGGCTTCGTATAAGCCTCATCGTGAGCGGGACGGACCGTTGCAATACGGGACAATATATCTTTCAATGTGGTGGTGAGAGATACGAAGATGTTTTCCAGGAGCAGCCGACGGTCTTTACATTAGAGAGTGCTAGATCTAGTGACAGACCACTGAAAATCGATTGGTTATTCTCTTCCAACGCTAAGCTTAATTGAGCCTGAAACTAAGCTCCAATTGGCTACCAGCAGTATACCCTACCGATATCTAGTGGAGTCGCGTTCACTTTTCGATTCCCATTGTATCTTATATTAGGAAGCGCGTAGATAGACGTGTATACAAACCTCACTAGTTACTTTGTATGTAAATGACTTAGGCTATCAGGCTAATAGATCTTTCCCTAGCTAAATAAGAGCACTGCTTTAGTATTATTGCCTAGTGCAGCATGGCGGGTAGTAAGCCCCTTTCTTTAAGCCAATAATTATTGACTTCTAGTTGACCTTTAAACTTCGCTTATCTCTTCGCACGTTCGTTCCTTAGCCAACTAGAGCTCTTGAACTCTCTTCCTTCCCCTCCCCCCCTCCCCTTCAATTTAACGCTAAAATTAGCATTGTCCGAGTACCCTTTTACTATTAAGCCAACCGTTAGGGGCTCATGGCGGAGAAAGAGATGCAGGTTAAAGAGTGTCCGCTGGGCGGACGATCTGCGGTGCTAAATTTTCCGCCGGCTCTTTTCCGCTTTTCACCGAATAAATTCGCTATAAGAAAGAAAGTTCCTAGAACAAGTCTATACGTCGATTCTTATGTCCCTACTATAGACAGGGCTTAGACCAAAAGCTATTTATTATAGATTCTATCTATGCTAGTAAAGCTAGCAGGAAAGGACTGGCCGAGCGGCTAGTCAAAATCGATGGAACCTAATCCGGTTAGTTCGTCGCTATGCCATTACCCACTTAGATAATCTCTAGATCTGACCGCGAACAAACTTGACCAACAAGCGAACTCACTTCATCGTACCCTTGCTCAGATATCGTGTCACTCTCCATAGTTTCAATCAGAGCTGATATTTGAGAGTCGAGGTTCCACTCTCAGCGCCTTTAAGACCACAGATATCGTATCAAGTGGGCCCCTGATCACGGCACAGTATGCGTTCGTCACAGCCTCCTCCCAGCATCGTCTTTGAGGAAATATATGCTTCCCTTAGAGCCATACACAGGGTCTCCATGCATTTATCTTGCTCGACGACACTTGAAGGTTACACTTCCATGCATACTTTGTCATAAACCGTTACATTACTGACACTGTCTACCTGAATGGCTATTCCTAAAACGGCGCGGAGAGGCCGTAATCTGGACAACATACATGAGTTCAGCCTGCTTCTGCGTTGTCTCACGAGGGTCTAGAATGAGTGTGAGACAAACGTGCCAACTCTTTGCCTGATGCGGCGCAGAAAGCATCATCCTCGCTTTCGCTAGCAAATGGGACTACAAGACTGCGAGGCTGGAGTCGAAAGAGGCCAAACATACACAAGGTATGCATCCTGATCCTCGTAAGTGTCTTCAACTCAGCTTCACATGGAGCACTTCACCCATGAGCCTCGTGCCCTATAGAACACTTTCTGTCACTGGTTGCGTAGAGTAGGACAAGGAGGCAATGGTTCTTGAACAGTCGGCCGTAGGACTCTTTCTTGGACATGGGGAGTGCTTCCTTGTATTTACTATGCTTAAAGCTTGCCTAAGTCTCTCGTTATTATCTTCTCTCTATCTTTACAGCCAGGCCGATAAGCTGACCATCATCTAACGTTCCTTTTTCGTATACTATTGCTCTTGCTTGCTACATACCTTTATCTTACTTATGGCAGGCTGCAATGGTCTTTCACTTCTCTCCCTGGGTCTTTATGGGTCAGCGCTTCTTACCGGCCCAGTCATGCATCTTGGACTCTGGATACGTGGCGAGTGGGATCGTTATGTGAATCACATACTCTTCCTCGCCTGCTTCATTCATAATGCCGGAATACTGATACTTCACTATCTTACTGGGGCCGACCTTCTGGATGCTTTAGCTATGACTGTAACACTTGAGGGTGCACACTTGCTGGGCCTTATGTGTAGCATTGGCTTGTACCGAATCTGCTTCCATCCTTTGAGGTTCTTTCCTGGGCCTCTGTCCTTCCGAATATCCATATGGGGGAGAACGTGGGCCACGTTTCACAAAGGAGAAAGAGGAGCTATATTGATCGATGAAGTGCATCGTAGGTACGGTGACTATGTTAGGATCGCGCCGAATCACATATCCGTCAGGAGTGCCTCGTAAGTCTACGCTATTTCTTCACGACATGTATGCTAATGTATGGCAGGTCTATTCCATTGATTCATGGTACAGGGAAAACCACAGTGTGTCATAAGTCCGCAGCATACCTCAATCCAGTCAATTTCGGTAGTGTGAACGCTACGCGAGATCCCAATGAGCACGCTATCTACCGCAAGAAGTGGGACAAGGCTCTAGATCCGAAAGGTAATAAAGATCATCACAATCAGTCTCAGCGCATCACTGACTGTGAAAGCTGCTTCTTCATATCTTCCTGCCATACACCAAGTTGTTCTTGCCCTTGTCAGTCGATTAAGGTACTATCAAGGGCGTCCGATCGTAGCTAACCATGAATACGCTCTGTTCGCATTCGACACAATGGGCAGAATTGGATTTGGCCTCCCTAATGGGTTCAATTCAATGCCCTCAGGAAGACTTCCGCGAGCTATCGCTGATGTCGTTGCTACGACCCGTATTGGGGTCTACATGGTAAATGCTATTGATATCTCTGCTGCTAGTTTCATTGTTTCTCACCACGGTCAGATGTTCATCCCTTGGCTACACATGATCACTGGTATCTTGCCTACATTTGGTATCATATACAAACCAGATGTCAAATTCCGTGAGTTTATAGGTGCAGCCATCCAGGAAAAATCCACAACCGAGCTTCCCGAAAAGCGACAACACCAAGCCCACAAAGACGTCATCAGCCACCTCATGGATTCCTCCGACGGCGTCAAGCTGTCACACTCCCAACTTCTTTCCAATGGCTTTATCATTGGCCTTGCCGGCTCGGACACAACAATCAGTACCATTACTCACATGACCTACCGTTTCGCCCGCCATCCCAACATCGCACGCACTTTACATCAAGAAATATCCTCAGCACTTTCTCATAGAGGTACCCCAGCTGACTGGCCCGCCATCTCCAAATTGCCTTATCTGGACGCTTTCATCAACGAAACTCTCCGCCTTCACCCACCCAATCCATCCCCTCTCCCTCGTGTTACACCCCCAGAGGGTCTGTACCTTGACGACGGTGTGTACATTCCAGGTGGCGTCAACGTGTCCACTCCTGAGTGGAGTCTCCACCACGACTCACGCTACTTCTCTGAACCAGAAGTATTCATGCCAGAACGGTGGATTGCACATGATGTAGCGCGGACCTCAGGGGCGTCGTTCACGCCACGACCGGAGTGCATATTTGATCGTCGCGCGTTCATACCGTTCCTTAGGGGGCCATATCGGTGCGCTGGCATCTATGTGGCATATATGGAGCTTAAGATGTGGACGGCGGCTGTACTGATGGAATTCGATATTGTGTTCCCTGAGGGCGTGGATGTTCAGGAGGTCGATCGTCGAGTGAGGGATGAGTGGAAGGACTATACGATGACACAGGCTGCACCGATTGAGGTTTGCTTTAGGGAGAGGTTATAGATCAGCTTGTGTGCTCGAACGGAACTTCTCTCTCCAAGGTAATAGACGGAAGCGATTTTGTTGCGGATCTGTTTGTTCTCAATATTTCCTTGGACTCTGTAAGCTATAAATTTCTCTTCTTTAGTGTCATTCTTTAGGCCGTATTCGAAATCTTGAAATAACATTATTCCAAAGTCGAGCTAATACATCAGACGATAGCATTCGTATCAAGTGACATTTCTCTGCAGTGTGATGCCTCTGCAGCCTTCTCGTTCCACAAGCGTTTGACGATCCTCAGTTTCGAGACTATGATATACAACAGATTTCCGTGACCTCAGTCACTTCACAGAACTAAGTTCAATGTTAACTTTGCAGTGTAGGTCCAAATTAGCCGAGACCTATAGTGCGCGTTCAGTACGGAAGATCACCCCTGAACAAACACCTTAGAGCCTCAGGCGCAACAGAGAACGCGATCAGACCGACTTCAAATACTGCGTAATCACAGAATCCTGTTCGTTTCCGTCTTATGGATAGACATAATTAGCATACCAACAAACAATTGTGGCATTCTCCAATGATATGTAGAGCCAAGACAAACGACGCGCGTCTTTGCTGCATGTTGCAGGTGTGATGCCTTCATGTGCAACACAGTCCCGTCAAGCAAACATCATCCCACAAGGGATGCAACACCCTAGAGATTCTAAGTGTACTTCCTACTGTCTGTAGACACACTACGATCGGATTTCATCGGGGGTGCAGCGACAAATCGCGTCCGCGTGGCTCGACAGGCCCAATCAGAGACCTCGCATCGAGTGCCCAACGTAGACGCTAAAACGACGTAAACAGAGAGCTACAACAGAAGCATATACCGTCCCGCAAGGCTAAATTCTGGTCTGTTGTCTTATTAGTATACATAGATACATACCCGTGGCACATCGAGTACTAGGCTGCTGTTTCACTTCAGCAACACTACCATCACGACGTTCAATTGCAGCCCGATCCACAATCCCTAGGGACGCCTTCAAGATGACGCCCTTCTCTGTCTTTGCGACAGACACCACCAATACCAGTCTCAAGGTCCGCATCGCCATGCTTGCCATCTTCCCCTTCCCATTCACGTTCTTGACCGTCTTTGGCGCTGTCGCCAACGCTATCCTTCCAACGCTTGGTGATATCCCGCTCGGAATCTCGGCTCTTCTGAGCGCGGCCATTATTATCGATGCTGTTAGATATAGATGTGTGTGCAAGACACAGGCCAGCACGGTGGTGCTGTTGACAGACATCATGCTTGCGGCAAGCCATGTCACCATGTTCGTCATCACACAGGTCGTGATGGGCATGGAATCGCAGTGTCGGCGTTACCATTGCTACAATAAGGAGGGTCTGGTATTGCTCGCGGGATATGGCAATCTGTTCTTCCTTGTCTTCGCGTACGTTGCCCGGGACTCGGCCCATTAATTGGAGGGTTGAGCTGACGTTGATAGTGCGGCTCATGTATACCTGGCTATCAAAAGCATATATGCAGGCTACCGTAGAAATGAGTACGCAGATCGTTGCGAGGATTGCAATTCGATCGCTATGCCTCGTTTCAAGTCTTTCAGAGGCCTAGGGTACTTTGGAAGGCGCGCTGGAGGCAAGGAATACGCTCAACTGTCGGTACAGGATAATGAGGATCCTGATAAGGGCAGGTTTTGCAACGAGGATGCCGAGGGGGAGGACGAGGCTATGCTCAAGCCCTCGACAGAGGAGCACGTGTGAGTCAAGGCAGTCGGGGTGGCAATAGACACCGATGTCAAGGACGTACATGCTAACAGCCGCGACGTTTCCTCGGTGTTTGGTGGAATGCGTACCGTTGATGTGATTCCTGGTACGAACGCAATAGGTCGCAGGACTACTTTGTAGTGCTGGGCCTCATTTCACTCCGAAGTGGTTTCACACGATCAGATTTTATGTATCGAATAGTGAATATCTAACATATACCGTCTTTGTTATTCTATAATGCGCTTTCAATATGTGAAGAATGAAGTAACTGGAACATTAAAAGCTTGAAATTTTGGCAGCACTTAGCTTTGAGAATCTGGGTTCCACAAGAGCCCCCTAATATCCGGATCTTCTGAAAGGGACGGCCTCAACGAGGTCTCCGGGTGAGAAGGTGTTAGGAGACTATCCGATTCTCCTTTCCCGCCCGAGCGGGTAGATATGGAACCGTCAATTCTGGAAGCACCCCTGTCTGGGACATGCAAGCGACCGACCACAAGACGTCCCGGGAGGTCTTCCTCAATACGGTCACCAGGCAGCGGAAACAACTCATTATTCGCCGTATGTACCAGGAACTCGCTTTGCCTCTTCGGTATGCCAACCCAGCGCATTTCCGGCTTCTCCGTTACCGGCGCAGCGTCTAGTCGTTTTCTCCAGGGAACGATGCCTCTCAGTTCGAAGACAGCACGCTGTAGCTGGAGGGTTCCCGTCTCGATCCATTCGAGCATTGGATAGGCTCCAATGTCGAACCTCGTGCTGATCCACTTGATTATGCTAGCAAGAACGCAATTCAAGAGGATAATGAATCCACCGAGGGAGAGTACTATCTCGATGGCGAGCATGGAGAAAGACGCAAATTCAAAGTCATGAACTTTGATCCGGCCACAAAGTCGTGCAGCAGATGCAATCTTGCCGTTGGACACTTTGTCGATAGGAGACATGAATTGAGAAGTGTGGTAGACTGTACCATTAGAAAGGGTGGCAATGTTGCGTGGTGAAGGCAGCTCGACGATCTTGTGTTGCATTATGGCGAGGGAGGTGTTGTGCATATTCTCAGCTTCTAGTAACCATTGCGTGTCCGGAAGTTGCACACTGACGGCGACTTCCAGTGAAAGCAAGAAACCATGGGCAAGGAGGATCTCTCGTCCCAGAGTATAAGTGAGTGAACGCATGTTGGAGAAGTAGGCTGCTTCAGATAATAGTGCTAGGACATCTTTCTGTTCATCTGTGAAATTATCCCATGCGGGTTCTGAAAAGTCTCCGAAGTAGTTGCCCGTCAGAGTCGAGCACTGTGTCTCATCTGATGATGAACAGTACTGATACTGTTCCGTTACAGCCAACACTGAGAATTGTTCATCAGCCTTATATAGAGGTGTTCCCTCAGCTCTTGAGTCATTATGACCAATTGTTGCGCGAAACCATGGATCATTAACGGGTGTCATGTAGTTGACGAGATTAGACTTCCTGATCAACGTGATGTCGGCATCAGTTCTAGCAAGCGCTCGTATAGGGGTCCATTCAAACTCAGGGTTACCTGAGTAGAAAGCCATTGGCCTTCAGTCACTATTAGTCCGGTCGACCGTGTGTTCTTACAGTGAACTTACACAATCTCATAGCCACTATCATAGTGGCCGGTAAAGTTCGATGCTGCAAATGTCCAATTAACGTCGTGACCTAGGAGGTCGATATTTCCAAGCCAGTAGAGAGTAAACATCTCTCCAGGGAACCCAGCCTCTCGTTCGGCTTCGGTGCCGATGAGATCTGCACGGTTGGTAGTCGTTGTTGTATGGTTCTGCGTGTTGATCGGACTCCATGTGGTAATCTTTCGAAACCAGACACGTTCTTCCGGCTTAGTGTTCATGCCGAAATCTTCTGAAGATATTAGGCCAGTATCCAAGGAAAGCGCCAATCCATGATCGCACATCGATTTTTCGAACGGACATGTAGCACTGGTGTTCCGCTGATATAGTCCGATGGTGCGTTTAGGGAAACCGGCGCATCCACGACCTCCAGAGAAATCCGAGTCGCTTTGCGCGTAGCATGATCTTGCCCACGAGGAGCTTGAAGTTGCTAGAGCCGAGGTGTACTGGTAGACGGCATCACCAGCAGCGGCGAACGAAGTATGCTTCATAGCAGCAGTGTCGAAAATACCACACTGTCGCGATGCGAGCAACACTGCGCCTCCTGTTTGAGTTACACGGGAAGAGAAGATGCCTGCAACTGTAAAACCTACTAAATGTAGAATTGCCACGATGAGAAAGGGGAGTGATCGTAGTGTTACATTATGCCCTCTGCGCTTCCAACTCCAGAATAGATGTATCAAACTCCATATCGAACCTCCTGCCGTTGATGAGTTGCGGAGGATAGCTTGTCTCCCGTGGTGAAGTCCGTCCTGAGGGTCTCGAGTCGAATAGCAGCGATGAGCAATGAGCTGTATGATACCCCACAGATGGCCAGCTGCCCATGTAACGAACACGGCGAGGAAGGCAACGAAAAGATATGCCCATTTGGGTGAAAGTGTGAGGACTTGACGATCGTTTGCTTGCCGACCTGTTATGGTAAGAATTAGGCTGATACCCGACAACATACGGTCAACTTACTCCAGTCGATCCAAAAGCCTTCATAGATTCGATCTAGCTGATCTGACATAACTGATGGTACTTCGTGTTCTTGAAGGGGATAGAACAGAATATCTTGTCACCAGTGTCTTTCTGGCACAACCTGAATGGTTATGTTGAAGCAAGGCCCATAAGAGAGCCATGCCACGGCTAGAACTTATAGCGATGCCATGAGAACAGACACATCGACGCTCAGATCATCCTAGAACGCCTGGAGGGGGGCTGTGTGTGTTGTGGAATGAGGCTTTTTCTCGAGAAGGCGTCAAGCCCCTGTATAGGATGAAGAACATGCGCTTCTCAGTTCAAGGTCGATACTCATTGGAGCCTAACGATAGCCCGAGGAATCTTCACCGATGAGCCCGTCAGTGAGCCGAGAGATGGCACCCTATCTCCAACAGGGGAAGCACTGTCGACACCCACTTCGAGACAGGGATGTATCAGTGATGGGTGCTTCATGGCGGATAGGGACTGTTCGAAGTAGACCGATACTGGTTCACTGGATATGTGGCTTTTCCATCTGTTCAAGCTTACGGCTGTTCCCGTCACTGATATGGCCAAATGCCAGGGTGCTTTCACCAGCTTCAAAGCATATATTGAGCCATGTCCTCATGAAGAGCACTGCGCTAGATCAAAGCAACCAAAGTACACACACCTCACCTCAGCGAGATGACATGGGTAGATACCATGAGGGAAGGTGTTTGGTTGAAAGTTATCAAATCTTATCAATCTCCGAAGCTTGGGCGAATCAAATGGATGTGGCTGCAGGGTTATGCGTCAAACACGAAGTGGTGGCAGTGAACGCGCCAATCAGGTGATAATTAGCGGCGAGCAGAGGAACAGTGGAGCTAGACCATCATCCACGGCGGCAGTAACTGGGCAGTGCAGAATCTAATCTGATCTGATTTGTGAAGACGATCCTGCCTTGATTGACGTCGTGGCAGCCAGGTTGAGCCGCCTCGCCGACGATGGATAGTCACCAAAGTACTGGCTTGGCATCCACATACTGAGTCGTGTTGGGCTGTTCGAACATCTAAAGCTTCCCACATCATCGTCAAACCTTTGCCACATCATTTCTTAGGCTTTTGGAAGAACTGTGAAGGATGGCGTCTCCCAGAGGTCCCAGTCAGTGGACTTGGTAGGATCACCAAACGGCAGCAAGGCGGCAATACGAAAGCTGTGAATACTCGTCAGTATATTTGTGATGAGATCGGGTCTCAAGGCAGTAGCGTACTTGTACATCCCAGGCACAACCTGGGAGCCATTCGCAAAGCGACCCAGCCAGTATGACCGCTCTACGTAATTCAGCATATGGTGATACTGCGGAAATGAATAAATGTCATTCTCGCTAGCTCCAGCTTCCGGATCGAAGTACTGCGAGTTCATGGTGCCATTCCATGCGGTTGCTGATCCAACAAAACCATTCTGGCCGATGACTGGAGGATAGACCCAGTCTGCTTCGGTATAATCCTCGTCGAAGATCTGCTATGTAAGTAGAAACTTAGTAAACTGGGGTGGGATCGATGGCTTACATCCCAGCGAAACTCTTCTGTACCCCAAGTGAATCTCGTTAACAACTGGGGAAAGTCTTGCGCGCTCTTTGAAAAGTTGAACGAGAAGCTAAAAGTTGTCAGTCTTTGTCGAATATGCGATCAAGATTGACGCGCACTTAGATTTCTGGTCGATGGTAATTCCATTTATTCCGGACATTAGCATGGGATAGTATGAGCCGTGGTCGAACACTTTCTGGATCTGTTCTTGGATAGAGGCTGCAACACCTAGGAGCACATCAGCATTGAAGACAAGTGTGGGTCGCAGATACAAGGGGGCTTACCAAAATAAGGGATACCGAGCTCTTCGTCATTGGAGCCACGGACGAGTATCTTACCACCATAGACTGGGATGTTGGTTTCATTGGCGCCTGAAGGAGACTTGAAAGAAATCCTAATACGATCAGGTATTCATCTTCATAGGTCTACTCTGCATACTCAGCTGAAATAGTCTGCCCTGCCTTGACAGTCAGACTTCTCGGTAGAGCTATCTCAGGATCGAATTCAACTAGTTCGACCTCGGAGTAGAAGGCTGTTCGTGGAAGGGCGTATAACTGTTGACCCGGAGGAAGTGGAATCCAGGAGTCGTATCCCCCAGCGGGTTGGATCTCGAAATTATATGCTACAGTTTCCTTCCCATTGTTAGTGATTTCCACAGTGTGGACGCCCTGAAAGTGTGCCGTGTCGTTGAGCTCAATTTTACGACAATCAAAACCAATGTCAGTGGTATATCCCAGAACAGCCTGAGCATCGATAAGACCAGCACCGACTTGTGACGGTGGAGACCAGAATTTGTACACTGTATCGCTGGTAGACCAGTCTGCCCAAGGCATTGCACGACCAGTAGAGGTGATGCGTGATATCAGTCTCTGGGCCCAAGCGGGATCATTTGAGTGCGCTGCTCGCCCACCGAACTGGCTGACCCAGAGGGCTGCCACTCCCGCAATATAGGGAGTTGCCATGCTCGTTCCACTAAGAATCCGGAATTCGTTGGTAGGATAACTACTGAGTATTCTTGTACCGGGTGCTGAGATGTCTGGTTTCAGGGCGAGGTCATAAGTCCCACCCCACGAGCTGTAACGGGCCGGTCTGCCTGCCCCAGAGTTGTAGACACCAACGTAATGATTCGCGTCGACGTTGAATGATGCCGTGACATTTCCACCTTTTTGGATAGCCTCAATGATAGTCTGTCCAGCTTGAGCTTCTATGACAGCTATCGGATTCTGGGACACGGTACCTAGTGGGGGCATAATTGGTGCATCAGTGTTGTAGAAGAGAGCGTACTGAGCTCCGCGCGCCGCAATATTAATCCACTTTGCATCAATGGTACAGCCTCCGAGCCGAACAAGTACCACAGTTTCGTTCAGCTGTGGTGTATCTTGAGGCAGAGGGCTACACGCGTCGCTTTCCACTGATATGTTCAACGTCAATGGCTTGATAATTATGTCCAGTAGGGTTTTCGGAAAAGAACCTTGTCCCAAAAGATAGGCAATCTCGGTTTCCTCGACAATGCTATTTGTGATAAACTTTGCATTGAAAGTATTGGCTGGGAGAGCGCCTGCCTCTGCTGATGCTACTGTGAGCGAGTGCTTCCCGGAGGCACCATTTGAGGCTGCAAAAGGACCGTCCTGAAATAGCGTGAGTAACTTATTGATAAAAGCTGAAAGTTGTTAGTAAAGTCAACACTTACTATGCCATCATTACCGGCCGCGACAACCACGACTACTCCAGCATCTACAAGTCTTGATGCAACTACTGCAAGAGCGTTAGTTGTGAATCCGCTTCTTTCGCCCAGACTTGCGCTGATGATGTCAGCCTAGGATGTTACTTGTCAGCAAGATTCAAGATACCACACCGTCCACACGTCAATCACACTACATACCCCAGACTCATATGCCTTCAGAAACCCTTCGATCACTGTTGCTTCATCCGAGTATCCTGAGCTGCCAAAGACTTTGACACCAAAAAGATTGGCTTCAGGCGCGACTCCCGTAAACCTGACACCGATCAGCAGTCTGTTCACAATTCTTCGAAGGATCAGCCATACTGTTCACTCTTACCAGCGATTATACCAGCACAATGTGTACCATGCCCAAAAACATCGTAAGGGTCGTTGTCAGGCTCGGGAGCGGTGGCTGGCCAAGCTATAATCCTATCAGCGCGAGACTTTAGGCTATGATGCTACGCCAAACACTAACAGTCACCCACGAGATCGAAGCCACCAGATACCGTGAAGCCTTCTCCAATACCACCTCCAAGCTAAAGAGGGGGACTGTTAGCCACAGTTGTGACATTCCACAGTCGTGAAAACTTACTGCAGGGTGTGTATACTGAATGCCACTGTCGACAAGAGCAACTAGTGCGCCCTTACCTTTGATGCCAGCCTCATGGAGCTTATCAACACCAGTTTGTCCATGGACAGAATAATTAACAGCTCTTGTATCATCCGCGAAGGATTCTCCCTCGACAGTTGGCGGGATCTGCATTGGGCGAGATTTGTAAACGGCGGCCACAACCTCGTGTCCAAACAACTGGTTGATAGTAGCTTTTAGCGATGATTGGTCGCAGTGAGCCTCGCATTCGATGCTCAGAGCTGGGAATACATCCCAGTTGAGCTCCTTCACGATGCCGAGACCTTCATACTTGGTCAACTCCTGACTAACGTCCATAAACTCACTGTGCGATTTCAGTTCCACAATATAACGCCTAGGCGTAGCATCTGACAAGACAGTTGTGCTATCCGAAGCACGAGAGATAAACCGACTTGCCCAGCTGCTTGCCACAGTGCTAAGTAGGGCAACGGTGTCGAAGACCTTCATCTTGAATCGAAGTTTCTACTGTTGGCTGCCCAACATATGATTGCAATGAATGCTAACGGCTGGAACTGTTCCATCACTAGCTATATATCCGTCCTCAATGCGGATATCCGGATGACTTTGAGAACAAATATTATAAACCCTTGCAGACTTCAAGTTCGAGCTATTGGTGACAAGGTCCAGGGTGGTGTCGCTTACGGTCGATTCGTGCTTGCGCTCGCTGTGCATGGGTTTAATCGGTATCCCAGCAAAATGACCGTCTCGGAATTGCCATCTTGATCATGCCAATCCAAGGATGTAAACGGCATGCTAGCGCCGGTAAACGCGTAGGCGTCATGATTCGCCAATCGGTGTCACTTGGCAGACTTTATCAATGCCCTGCAAACAAATTAAGCATCAAAGCAACAGAATGGTCGATGGAAGGAGAGCTCGTGACGGAATGAGCTATTGTTATCTACCCCATGCACCTTGGCACTATGCTCACCTTCTCATCTAGTACTAGTATTTATATTCGTTTCGTCACTAAAGAGTTCCCTATCAATGCACAGTGTCGTCTAGAGAACGCATGAGACAGCTGCCGCAAAGCCGCCAGATCTTCTATGAAAACATAGCGTGTAGTTCCGAACTAAACAAATGCTGTCGGATAGGTAACAGCCAACTGTCACTTGGAAGCACCACTATGGCGACGCAATTGTAGTGTATTGCAGTGCATAGTCAGCTCTGTCACTAGATGGCTTATACACACCATCTTTCGCCTCGTCGGTCACGTTTCCTTACGGACGGTGCAAATGCTCGAATTTTCGAACTCTCGAGAAACATCGTTACATAGAATATTTCCCAAAAGTTGAAGGTAGTTGAATCGGTAGCGAACAGTCGGAGGGTCGATTATGTTGTGTGGTGGTGAAGAGAGTCTTCCGAGCAGAAAGCTAGAGTTCACGCTCCGCTTATTGCGACGTTTGCAATGAATAAACATCAAAGAAGAATTATGCAAAGCTCTTCTAGATGCATTAGTAGCGCTAGACGACAGAATTACTCGGAACGTGAACGTTGATGACACAAAGAAGGCTACGAGTTAAACACGTACTATAGAATAATTGGAAGATTGCACGTGCCATGGATTTTCATCAACCTGGAAGCCTTGGTGCCTCAGGCAGAGAACATGGGGTTGCAATTCGTTCAAACACACACATACATTATCGGTATTTTGTTACCACCATTCATTCAGCCGATTACTCAGCCAGCAAAAACACCCGGGCCCGGACTAACATACTTGAAGCTGGAATCATAAATCGACGTGCTGAACAACGGGTCGCTCTTCTTATACGCCCCTGGAAAGCTCACACCCGCTGGTTTCACACTCCCTCCACCCACAACATTGACCTGAAAGCAGCTCACATATGGTTGTGGGTTACCCGCGCCTGCATGCAACGCAATCGCCTCTGAACGCACAAGATAGTTGCCGCTTGCAATAGATTTGGGCACAGTGAATGTCCGCTTGCCACAGTTAGCATTGAGTACCTCAGTACCCCAGGAAGCTGTTGTGCCAGTGTAGCCGTCCTCCACGACCTTGAACCAACTTGCACTGCTTCCGACAGCAGTTTTTGCGTCGTTGACAGGAGCCATGTATACCAGCACCGGGCCGTAGTGATTGCCACCGATAGCGGGGTTAGAGCAGGACCGGTCGCCGGGCTGTTGGTGCATTTCGACAGTCAGGGTGGAACCCGCTATGTATGTATGTTAGTTGAGATGCCCTCTGCGGATTCCGAGGTGGTCGATAAGGCATACCGGTGACCTCACAGACTCCTGAACTAGTGGCTGGCCCTCGTCCGCATGCCATTGTTGCATCTTCCACACTGGCGACGGGTGAGTTGTCTTGCACCTTGCGTACGCAGGTGCCGGACATGTCGGTACTACCGACCCAGAGTTGTTGCCAAGTAGCATGGGCAGAGACAGATACCACGAAAAAAGCGAAAACGGTGGACCACATCATGTTGATGGCTTATGTCGAGGTTGGCGATCCGGAGGTAACGAAGAGATATCGGGCAGGAGAGAAGGGTTGAGGTGAAGTTGTATGGTCAGACAGTATGGTTATATAGCCGCGATGCCACGCTCGCATATATGATACGTCTTAATGGAGGTTATTGCTGTGAAACAGCCTGTAGATGATTTCATACTTACCCATAAAGGTCGATTTAGCCGGAGGAGCACAGCGGGCTCATTGGACAGGGATCGATCTTGAAACTTGCCTGAGGAGGTTCAAATATACATCTCAAGACTGATTAGGAGAAAAAACTGGCTAATCGTGTTACTGTTCTTCGAGGGAATGCTGCGTTGCAATGTAAAACTGACACGCAGGATCGGAGCACGGCCCGTGTTTTCCGAACCATTGGCAAATTGACGAATGTCAGATGACGGAGGTAGGAGATAGATATTTAGATCATGTGTATAAAGATCTAGGATGGCTATAAATCGTGCGAATGCGCTGTAAATTGCTGATATTAGACTGAAGTATTGAGAGCATCCATCGTTATAGCCGATTTGCATCAATGCTCTACCAAGCAGAGCTTTCCTCACATTAAAGACATGGCATGCATATCACGCGCTCCCTCAAGCATCTATTGCTTACAATTTTGCACCCTCCTTTGTGCGTCTCTCCTTATCCTTGTCACGTAGAAATCTGCGCAAGATCTTCCCACTCGGGCTCTTCGGGATAACATCGATGAATTCGACGCCACCAGTAATCCATTTGTACTTTGCCTTATGCTTTTCGACATGTCTCTGAATGTCACGTTTAATATGCCTATCATTTTCTTCAAGGCCAACAGACGGCGACTTGACGACGAAGGCCTTGGGTATTTCACCGGAGTGAGCATCTGTATGCATTAGTATCCTATCAAATTACAGAATCGCACACCATAGAGGTACCTACCTGGGACCTGGATGACACAGCAGTCAGCAACTGCAGGATGGGTCAGGAGATGGGCTTCAAGTTCTGCGGGCGCCACCTGATGACCCTTAACCTTAATAAGCTCCTTGATGCGATCGGTAATAATGATATGCTCGTTGCCAGAAGGAGCTTTACAGACCATGGCTTCATCGCCAGTCCGCATCCAACCATCGATGTACGTCTCCTTGGTTGATTTCTCGTTATGCAGATAACCCAGAGTCACAGAGGGCGATTTCACAACAAGCTCCCCGCGTTCCTCGTAGCCTGTGCACTCAACACCCTCGACTGTGACAATCTTGGCTTGAACTCCCGGTATGAGTGATCCAGAGGAGCCGAACCAGACATCATGACCAGATGTTGTACAGACGACTGTACAGGTTTCGGTCAAACCTGATACCAACGTTAGCCAAACACCACGCCAGCATTGATGATGGATATCGTTACCATAGCCTTGGCGAATGCACCAGGATGGGAACTGATTCTGTAGCTCCTGGGCTGTTTCCGAACCTAATGGCGCTGCGCCCGTGAATATATTATCTACGCTACTCATGTCGAATTGAGACACCACGTCTTTTTGCTTTGTCATGAGAATGATGATAGGTGGGACCTAGAACGGTTACTCCAATGATTCGATGTAGAGTAGACATGAACTTACGAGGTATAGTGTGGCTATTTTATACGTTTGGATCGCATTGAGATATGGCTTCATCTCGAACCTAGGTAGCACAATCACGCCATCTCCCCTGTAGGTACCGACGTGACAGATAACAATAAGACCATAAATGTGGCTCATCGGAAGTAAGCCGAGCCCATTCTCTGTATATTCAGACTGATTATTGAGACTTTTGTCACGCTTCGTGTCTCGGTAGTGCTTTTCAAATGTCGTGACTTGTAGCGTATTAGCGATAACATTGCGATGCGATATCATGACACCTTTCTGCGTCTGATCAGTCTTCGATCATAGATCCACGCATGATTCTTACCGGAAGTCCTGACGTCCCGCTCGAATAGCAGAGAAACGCAACCTGACGAGCTCCTTGGCCCTTCTCCCATTTCAATGGTTCTAGTCGAGCTTCCTTGGAGCCAATCCTGATCAAATCATTCACTGTCTTGTAGCCTTTGGGCGATTCTTGGCCGCCAGTAGCTTCTTTCGACAATTCGAGCATATATATGTTCGTCTTGGGTATGCCAACGGTCTGTGCGGCACCCTTGGCAATGTCGAGGAGAGGTAGACAAGTGAAGATGTATTTCGCACCAGAGTCACGCAGCTGGTGCTCGAGTTCCTTTTGCGAGTACACAGCATTGGCAGGTGTAGCTATACCATTCAGCCTATGAATGGCCCAGTTGAGGACATTGTAATCGATCTACCACTATATTAGTGCTACAACGGGTCAATATGTGTCCAAAGGATGTTTGCGCACAGTGTTGACACTGAATATATTGACAACCTTGTCCCACTCAGTACCATTGTTCGGTGACCATCCAAACTCTTTCGCCATGCCACGTGCGAGGAAGTCTATGCGCTCCTTGACCTCGAGAGCGTTGTATGTCGCGCCAGAGAGACCACAGGTGAAAGGGTTCTTCGCGTAACCAAGAGGATGGCGGCCATATTGCTCGTCGAAAAGAAAGTCGGGAATAGACACACTATCTGGAGGATCGAAGGGGAGTTTTGGCGCCCATGCCGGAGGACCAAAAACCATGATTGCGACGGTGAACGACGTAGTACGATCGGAAGATTATGCAGGAAGCTGGGGTAGAAGGGTGACAGGGCAGCTACAACTGACTGCTTCAGGTCAAACAATCAACAACTGGGAGCCTTAATGGAACATACCTCCGTGAATCGCCCGGGTTGGCTTGCTGGCTCACAAGGACTAAGGGAACCAATGCCGAGTGTGGACACTGTGGAGCCGGAAGCTTGCAGCAGCTGTGCCGTAACGCGGGGAAAACACCCGAGGTTAACATGAAAGAGGGCTGGTTTGGTTTTCTTGCGCCAAAAATGGTAATTAGCTCTCTTCACGCTTTGCCGTCTCGAAGCGAGTAGGCATACTGGTCAACAGGGGGTGTAACAAAAGTCCGAGAACACCATCGGCACAGACCACCAGTTTTACTAATGGCTATTGAACTACTTTGACTAAGTCTGTAAATATCTAGCATGGCCAGATCAAATTCAGCCTTCGTAGGGTTATAGAGCCGCGTTACTTCTCCTTACTTTCAGATTTATTGAGCCAGTCGGTTATAGTAAGCCGCTTGTTATACGTCGTGACAGTGGTGTTCGCAGATCTTTGTCACTAGGTATTAGGTCCTGGCTAAGGCCATGTACACTAAGCATGTACAGTATTCGGAGCAACAAGACAGCGTTCAGGGAATTGGCTAAGCGTCGAAAGCGAAAAATGATGGATGTCGGGGGCTCCTATAATTGTCGTGTGGAGCCTTGATGCATTTATAGCCAACTTTTTTATATTCAATCCCAAGGTACAGTTGGGTCGGCATATACATCTGCCATATTCTATATATACACTGTGTGTCTAACAAATCTATGCAAAAATATACTCTTACATGACTGTACAACATCCCTTGAACAGCTTGAGGACCTTGGGTAGATATTTCTTCACTTCCTCTTCGTATTGCATTTGCTCTGGCTGTTGCTGGTGTTGCTGTTGGCCACCATGTTGGCCTCCATGCTGTCCGCCGTGCTGCTGCTGGTGATGAGGATAGCCCTGCTGCGGTGGCTGATGGCCTCCACCATATCCGCTGTGAGGAGGAGGCTCCGCAGGGCCACCTTGTAAGTTTACGTAGATGCGGCCTGCATTAGGCTCGGTATGGTATTGCAGGCCGAGCTCGCGACATACTTGCTCAACTCGTGGCTTGATCTTTTGGACATGATTAACGGAGTGGTTTCCCTTGCCCACAATCCTGTGCAGATGGTCAGTACCGTATAGGTCACCGTGTGCTAGAGCTCAGACATACACATGCAGATGCGTCTGGCCCTGACTCCTGGCCGTCTTGATTCTTTGTTCCAAAATATCCTCTGCCTCTTCGACAAATTGACCATGTAGATCAATTGTATCTGACGCAACCCTTCCCTCAGCATTGTTTTCTCGGAATATGTACTCTGACGCCTGTTTGTTGTATCGCTCAACATCCGCGCCATGTCTCTTCCCTTCTTCGGAGAGATTGTGCGCTGCGCTGCCGTCGCCGCTCTGGTAGGCTTGATGGGCACGGTCGAAGCATTGCTGGCGCTTGCTCTGGGCCTGACGCGCGAGGTTGCGGAGGCGATCGTACTCTTCCTCGGCGTTGTCGCTGCGGGAATGGTTAAACGCTGGGTAGGGGGTTAGCTTGCGACAGGGCTTGTTCAAATCTAGGCGGGCAGGTACCTCCACCACCAAGTCGAGTACTGGTTCCTGGGTAAGACATGCCGCCAATGAGGAATACTGTATAGAGAAGCGACCGTGGAATAATGTATACAGCGATTATGAAATAGGAGAGATTGGATTTTGGTGACAATAAGTACCGTCGGAACGAAGATCTAAATGTAGGGCAGCGTGCAGGTGTAGCTCCCGTCCCGCGATCTGGGCCCCGGTGGCTGGCACTTGCATTGACGCTCAACTTGTAAATGATTGCCATTTATAGATTGAAATAAATTTGAGCTCTGCATCAAAGGTTCATCCTCCGTGGCGCAATTGGCTAGCGCGTCCGGCTGTTATCATGACAGCCAACCGGGAGGTTCGTGGTTCAAGCCCACGCGGGGGAGTTCTTTTTGCATTTTTACCTATCTCAATCAATCAACCAAATGATTAGACAACAGTACGTGCGGGTACTGTACCTGGAATTGAGAAAAGCCGGCCTGAATTCCTTAGGGCTGTCTAGATGTTGGACGTTCTTGCCTGCTCAACTTCTAAATCTACAGCCAGAAAACTATGCAAGTCGGTAGGAATCACGATTCACGAATCATGCGCAGATCGCGGTGGGTGCCAGTCGCGGTATGCATGCACCAATCGTTTTTTCAATAGTACATACAAGATAATATATACAGTTTTGGTACAATGTGGTCTTACAAACTGTGGAGGACCATCCTGCCCAAGAGACCGATAGCCCGATGAAAGGAACAACAAAGGACCAGAAAACTCCCAGGGTATCGAGGCTGTATTGTATTCGTCATGCTACAATAGCCATAGCGTGACTTTCATCGGCCAAACAATGTCCAATATTACAAGTGAACGAACAGTCTGGCCATCAGCCCTCAGTGTTCCTTCTTGCCCCCAAGAACTCTCTTGACCATTCCCCAAGCCATGAACATGCTATCTCCCAGTGATGGCCGGTCTAACGGTTCGTCGTGGTGAGAGTTATGGTGACGTCGGTGCTCATGTGAGTGACTATGTTGATTGTGTCCGCCCTCAGAGCCGCGACGTACGTGCCCAACACTCTGATAATAGCTGGGATCGTAGTAAGGCTGAGCGGCCTGAGATCTGGGAGGAAGGTGTCCCTCAGAGTGGCTCCGGTGATGACCTGACTGACGCTGTCCGTACCAGGCGGGATCCTCGTAGTACGGGTAGGCCGAGGGATCTTGTGATGGTCTGCGGCTCATATTGACGGGAGTTGAGTTTGCATTCGAGGACGGATAGACTGGAATGAGGTTTGGATTCTGGACTGGGAGCGGCTGTCCGGACGGGATGGTTGCGAGAGAAGGGTCGAAGTGAACGGTGTGGGTATCATATGGGTTGGGCCCGACTAGGTTGGGGTTGCTTCGAAGCTGGTCGTCTGGAAAGGGTGGTGGTGGGTGTGACACCGCTCGTTTCGAACCAGCAAGAATTGGGGAATCTTGCTGTGACTGTGGAGGTGTTGGCGAGTAGTGTTGATGACTGAGAGGAGGGTGGGCGTGGTGTTGTTGATATAAGGTCGTCATCATAGGCGATCGTGGCCTGATATATATGATCGGTACGCTAATTCGGCGATCACTATGGGACCGGTGTGATTAGAGGGCGTGGTGGTGGGTCGTAGGGTTCGCAGATAGGACAGCCTTGTTGTCGCGACTTATTGCTAGGCTACTTTGACCTTGATGGTACAACGACAGGTGCGTCCATGCAACGATAGGATACAGATCTTTGATTGGACTATTTTGACTTCGAACGATCATATGATATGTTTGGTCCGCAGAAGTTCGTTCGACTGTCGTTGTTGGAGGAAGATTATGTTACAATGGCTGTGTACGACAGGTGAGTAGAGGTCTTATATGACGTTCGCGAGCTGAACCTTACGGCTAATCGGAGTGATGGACATGGGTAGGAGGCGAAAGAGAACAAATGACCAGCGGTAGGGATACGCTAGAAAATAGGAAAGCTGATGAATGATACACGGCAAAGGTAAGCCGTCAGCCTTGGAGGCGTATACAAGAAAATTGGAGGGCTCGGTCAGAAAGAAGGTTCTACATCCAATGACAGGAAGGAATCAATGACTCCATTCTGACAAGAGCCAAGATCTGGGGTTGACCTTGACCGTCGCAGACATCATCCGTGTGGAAAGGTGAGATCGTCCGTATTTTCGAATCATACTGCAAGCCAGGAGTCAGAATCGGAGTCGCATCCTCGAGTCAGCCTTGTCTGGACCGTTTGGTCGTAAACATTTTGCCACTGGTGCTTCGGCCTGCGGCTCTATCTAGCGAGCGACCTATTTGTGTACGGAACGCTAAAATCGGTCTGGTCATTGGACTGTCCGCAAGGGCTAGCGGATTTCCTACCTAATTAATTAAAATTTATCTAGACTTAAGAGCTCCTAAGTCATACAATCTAGGTAATTAACAGTGATAACTGCATCTAGGTCTTAGTCCGTTCGTTTAGAGAGACCATACTTGAAGAACACGCACCTTTGTGCTCGTCTGTCTATATGCATAGTGTCATTGTTTTTATGTAATGTTAGAAGCTTTGTGGATTTCGTATTTTCTCTCTCCAAGCATGCGCTATCGACGTAGGTGCTGCCATCTCCACAAGCATCACGGAATCATATTCGATGGTTACTCGAATACTGCCCGCTGCGAACCGTCATGTTTGTTTAGATTTCAATCCTCCATGAATACGGAGGATGAGATATCTGAAAATGGATTTGGCATGTAGGATACTGAAGGACCGAGGTGTTGGGGTGCTCGCTGGTACTTGGACATGGCGACTACTAACGGACGTGAGAATGCCATGCAGCCTTGTTTTGTTGCGAAGCGGGTGGACGATGAATTCGGATTTACAGCCGCGCTAACCGACAACAAACGATCCATGCCGAAAGCATATGTCAATGAGCGTACATATCCATCAATAACCATATACCAGCTTACGATATGACGCCTATGTCGACTGTACACACCTCCTTACCCCGTTCATCTGCCTGACACGCGTCCAGTCACCCCTCGCCCACTCGTTTGAATCCTTTTTGATTCTGTCTCGATCCGTTGTTAACTTACATCATGTAAGTCAAGATTCCATCAGGTGCTATGGAGAATGGACTGCTTTCCAAATGATACTCAATGCATACAGGCGCCGGTGCGCTGCTGCCTAGCTGGTGGCAAACAATCGCATTACTGTGTTTGTGACCGATTTCCATGGGGTACGATCAGTATCGGACCTAAGAATCTGCTCATTCTAGCCAGGTAGTAGCGATAGGAAATGAACCTGGAACCCCTCTCTCAGTGATATAGAACGGGTCTCTCTTTATAATAGTGACCATAGATCTAATCATCGAGCGACTGGTTATGAACTAATCAGTCGCGCGAGAGGAGGCCATCCAGAACCGGCCTCCAAGACCGGCCACGACTTTCTGTATCGACTCTCGGTATAAGTTCAAGCGATGTTGAACTAGCATTCTGGTGGTTGAGGTAAATGTTTACGTTGCTCTGTCTCAGCCGGCAGCCGGTAGCAAAGACGCAACGTTATCAAAGCCAGCAAGCTCTGTGGCAGTGCGTTATACCTAGGCTTCCTCTATTCCACTTTTACTTCCACAGCCATAGCTAAGTTTGGATTATCTCCATCGTGAAATACAAGAGGGGGCCGCAATGATTATACAGGTGTAAGACCCTCGACTGTTCCGGATAGAGGGGAAAACACCATTTCCTCCGTGATGCGGGACACGAACTACAATGATTTTCCCCAAGACTAACCGTTCGTCTTACTGAGACAAGCATGGATGCCCGCAATAGCAGCTAGCGTGCCATCTGGGTCCTTCACTTTGACCGTCTTCAGGCCCAATTGATGAGCGGGGTAGTCATTACCACCAGGGAAGATAGCATCCCCGATAAACATCATCTCCTCGAGGGGAATACCACTCTGGTCGCGCAGCCTCTTCAGGCCGTACGCCTTGTCGACACCCTTTTGGGTGATGTCAATAGAGGTAGACCCGCCCATGTTGATGGATACTCCCGGTAATCGTTGTATAAGGTCTCGTTGTATCAATTTGCGTTTAGCGAAGTCGGGGTCCCAGAGCTCCTTCTCATGTATCGGCGCTTCCTGGCCCAGGGCAGAGAAGGTAATCTGACTACCGCGGTCTTCGATGCGGTTCCCCCACGTCTTCTCAGGCTTAAAGCCAGTCTTCTCGAGGGAGAGGTCCAAGGCTTCGAGGATACTCTCCTTATCGGAGCTATTAAAGAGGTCGGCACAGACGCGATTCCATTGTCCCTCATTGTATGTATAGAGTTTGGTGCCAGTTGTCGGTAGGAGCCACAGTTTAGAACGGTTCGCCCGTGCTGGTAGGCGCGACACAATCTGCTTCTCGAATTGCGGCCAATCACCGCCGGAGATAACGGCCACATGTGCGACATGGAGTAGGTCGGCCAGCGCCTCTCCCATGGAATCGAGGAGCGGCTGCTTGCTCAAGGCAAGGGTGCCATCGAGGTCGAACGCGACGAGAGAAATCATAATGTCGTACCGACGGTACTTGGTGACGGCCGAGGACTTCAGTAGGGCAAAGCGCCAGCGAAGGAAAGTCGTCTACGTGCTAGCAAAGGATAGTAAGTAGATAGGGTGGGTGTGAAGGAAAGATGGCTGGCCATGATCGGCGTGTGTTCTATCCCTGCCGCCGCTCACCGCCCTAGAGGGGTGGTTCACTGTGGATCCGGGCACGCCTTCCTTAAATCTCGTCGGCTCCCCTGTTGCTCCTTCTCCTGCTGTTGCAATATTCTTTTAAATGGTCATCCCTACGAAGATCTGTTCGACATGCGCGTATACGGGAAACCCCGTGAGGTGTGAGTATGTCGTAGGGCATGAACCGGGTATCGGCAAAAGACGCACTTAATGATCTCGGCCTGCCACTTCCCGCTGTACACCATGTCGAGCTCGTCTTAGGTCAAATGAAACTCCATGCGATCACGGCCGCCTTGGTGTGAAGGTCTGCTCGTTGAATTGGTATTGGCGCGTTCCCTGAGCAAATTACGGGATGAGGGAGAATGAGAAGAACAAGTCTACCGACCGCAATACATCAGGAGGCCAGGCAATAGAGGCTGTACTTGAGCCTCGAGCACTTCAGAGGTCGAGGAGGCCTTGGGTAACTTTGAAGGAGGTTGGTTTCATGATCATCGGAGCTGTTGCAATGTCAGAGATGTAAACAAGGCGCCACAACACATTTTGTCCCTGCACAATAGCTTACCTGCCAGTCGATGCAAATGACCCTTCCGTGTACACAGTGCTGCTCGACGAGGGCAATGATCTCGGATAGGTAGTCCAGTACAACCTGGTTATGCGTATCCAGTCCTGCATCTTCAGAATGCTCGGCAGACAAATGGCAATTTGTCTGGTGTTTTACAAACGCGAACCTTTCCGCGCCTAGACTCGCACCCGGCTTTTAGTCCCTCACATCATGGACTATCAACTCCGGGTTGCATGTGATATGCGCAATTGGTGAGCTTTGGCGTTGCTTCAGCGCCGGGCTTCAGCACGGCACCAAAAGAGCTCGTATGGCTGTTCCTCCTCAAACAACAGGTCATCGACAAGAACCTTGAGCGCAAGGTGCATCGTCTCTCTACAGCGATCCTGAGTAAGCGGAGCTGTGTTTGTCCATGCACGCTGTCTCAAACCATCAAACTTTTCGCGAGGTGGAGTAAAAAAAGAGGAAAAGCGTGAATATGGAATGTCAAGTCCACCTCCGCTCTCCGCTCTTCTATCCGCGGCAGTATCCCCCGGTGCGTGGTTGGGCGGAGTCCGCTAACAGCCTAGGCGCCAAGGATAACGTAGGCAGCCCACGACATCATCTATCTGTATAACCTACAGGAGAAAAAGCCACGGGGTAAAGTGTCTCGTGTGTTGCACGGGCAATTTCCTGAAGCACGCAGACATTACCGTGAATGGTCTGCTCTGAAATGCCCTCTATTTTGCGAAAGTAATCTTGCGGCACTACAAGTCTACAATCACAAAAACTGTATCCTCTCTCTGTACCGCAGCTTGATATTTTGAACGACTCCATTCCTCGCCTGGGAACACCTCGATGTCGACAGCTTGATGTGCCTCCAATAAACCAGTCATCAACTTTGCTTTCACTTCCTCGTGGTGGGCAAACGGACTTCGTCCGTAGCACAGGACTTCGACAAAGCGCTTTGAGTATTTTTCTTCAGGTACGTGGGAAGATCGTTGTGAATGATGGGGCTGGGATCAATAGCTCTGTACTCATCGTCTCGGCTTATCGTCATTAACTCTTTAGCCCTGCGCTTGGATAAGTCCACTTTAGGATGGTTGACGAATTCAGTTCTCCTGTGATACGTCACGGAGGAGACGAGAACGGAGAGAGCATCCATGGTCAGCATTGCTTTCACCACTGCGGACGATTCGGCCGCCATCTGCAGGGCCACCACGACTGCCTCGAAGCCCGGGATGCTGTGCACTGGTAGATAAAATACATGAGAGACAGCGATGTTAGCCACTACACCAGTTCAGAAGATGGGGTCCTATACTAACCATTTTGGAGGTATAATGGTCTTTGAACAGGTAGGAAACGTGTCCTCTCCTTCAGTTCCAGCCGTATTCTAGTAATCATTCTTCATGCTAGACTCTTAACTTGCTCTCCTGAAGCTCACCACCAAATTTTATGAGACTAAAGACTGTAAGACTATGTAATCTCAATACTGATCAGACCAGCGCATGTGTTGAGGACTTACGGGAGCTGTATTGTACGTAGAAGGGATTCAATCTGGGCTCGCATAAAGTACTAGGAGTCGTTCTACTTCGACCTACGTCGTATGCTGCTTTCGGACACGTATAAATGTGGATTTCCTCAAGTATATACACATCCAGGCCTCGAGAGTCAACAGCGGGTGTTCGACTTGATGCAATATCAAAAAGGGCGTCACGCATGGCGATCGTTGCGAGAAGACCAAGTTTGTCAAAAAGTCACCCTTGGCTGCCACAGCTGCGCCTTACTCTGCCCGGTTTCCTGTTACCAAAAACCGGTGAGACCAACTTACCGCCACTTAGATGGGGTGAGGTAGTCACACGTCCAAGCAAGCATTGTTCACAAGCGTTGTTTACAGCTGATTTGGAAACGCCTGCTGACTTTGTTAGTTTTGACAGTGAATCGCCCGAAGAGGCAGCAGGAGATCAGAGTAAATAATGCCTATTCACACTGCGGGTCGGACCGCCTCGAGACCGCTTCGACGTATGCGACACATATGGTTCTTCCTTCAAGCGGTGTTCAGGGCTCTTGAACGAGCTTATGTCACGCTTGAAGAGACTCTGATAGCTACGATACGCCTTATAACCGCTTATGTCACGCATGAAGGGACTCTGATCGTTACAATACCCTCTATGACCATTTACGGTAACGACTCAACGACCAGTGAATCGGTCCGTGAATCAGCAATACTTGCTCGTTCCGATGTGAGACGTCTGCACAGGTTCATTCCAAGTTTTGACCCATGCCTGCACCGTCCAAATGCACTGTGAAGACATATCGGCTGACATAATTACTGCTACTGGCGTTGTGCTGAGCTGGCAGAACCTTTAGTATATCCATATATGGACATACCTTCTGTTCCTACTCTGATTTCCTGCTCCCCACCCTTTTCCATTGCGATCCTGTTACATACCAGAGTTTCCAGGGCAAGATCTGATCAGTCCCATCATCGCCATCATACCTCCATCTCTACTCTATTCGTCTTGGACATATCAGTATTATAACCACACATCATGAGTCAGGATCACTCAACTGCTATAATGGAGAACTATGTCAGCATATCTCCCCCGTCAGCACTTCCGAAAGACCTCCAGAGACACATGCAGAAGGGAGGTACCAATAAGTTGCCGCCAATCCAACATTCATCTCTAGCGGTCTCAGATGCCGCTCTAAAGGCATTTTCTATGAGAGGGCATCCCTTGCCATCGATAGGAGAGCAATTTCCAAAAATGGAAAAAATTAAAGACATGGAAGACAGGATGTTGGCATCTCAGGTCTTGCTGAATATTAGTAGCAGTCACCGTCCTGTGGAACATGTGAGGCCTCACGTAGCTCCCAGATCCCCGACTTCCACATTCACACCTATCAATCAGCCCGACAACGCTTCATCTACTGTCTCCAACTTCGGTCATGGAATGCACCTCGACCATCGGACCCTCGACTCTCAAGACATGACTCCGTCTCACGGGGATCAAGTGACAGGTACCGCTGTGGCTAGTGATGGACGCCCTTCTGCTCTCACATGCGTCAAACACAACCTTCATTCTGCTGATGAAGCACCTACACCTCCCAACCATGAAAGAAGACGTCGCCATGTCAAAACGAACGCGAAAAAGACAAAGAATGTGCTGGGGCCCAGGCCTCTGGAGAGATGGAAGGAATGGAACCCAGCGTTAGAAAAATCAGAAAATGAACTAGACAAAAAAGGTAGTGACAGTATCGAGAGGTACGAAAAGATGGGAGTGGAAGAAAAGGTCGCGTTCATGGACGGGCTCTCGACGGAAATCGTCAGGAACGCATGCATCTGCCAGTCAGCATGGAGACTGACCAAGTCCGAGTGCTACGCCCTCCCACCAGTGCCCCAGGGCGTTACTATGATTAAGAACGACGAGCAGATGTTCGGGAGCCCCGGACCGTTCCGCAGAGCTGTGTCTCATTTCTTCGGCCGAAACATGACGTCGACAAAGAAGTTGAACTTGCCAATCCTGACTCGTACATGCTATCAGAAGAGCAAGTACAGGGAGGACAAATATCCGGACTTCATATATCGTTTGCTCCAGCTGGTTCTAGCCATCAACGACATGGACTTCCATTCTGAAGTCACATACAAAGTTGACCTGGTTAAGGAGGACCGAAACTGGTTTCAGGCCTGGTCAGAGAAGTCCGAAGGAAAGGAGGATGCCGAAGCAAAGAAGGACGGCGAACAAAAGAAGCATGACGGCCCGAGGCATGGTGGGCCAACGGCGCAGCTGTTCAAGTATATGCAGGAGACATATATCAAACCGCCAGTCCCAAGAGTCATGAACAAGCTGGAGTGCTTCAAGATGATCGAAGATATCAAGGAGAAGATCAAGGACTCTATTTATTTTGCCGACGATGAAGTGAGGAGAGAGGTTGAAAAGAAACAGGAAGCCGAGATGCAACTGAAGAAAACAGAGGGGACGGGACCAACGGACTCAGCGGAGAAACAGGTCGAGCAGGTGGATCCAACGAAGCCGGAGGGAAATCCGACCGACAAGAAGAAGACGAGCCGGATGCACAAAGGAAAGGTAGAGCTTGCATCTTTGACTAGCAAGGAAGCGGCAAAGTACATTGAAGGATATTTCACCTTCCTACTCATCCCGGTCATCCCGGACGGCGCTACAGCTGCAGAACCACGGCCCACCAAGATCCCAGACGAGATTTACACAGCAATGTATGTAGAGCACTCCAAGAGGAATCCGAAGATCAAGTCCGAACCAGCGTCTTCCGAACAGCCCGAAGAACAACTACCAGCCCGCAGATCCAACAAGCGCAAGCGAGCAAATGAAGCGAAACATACCGAGGCAGGCCTCGACGATAGCAATAGCAATCCAGAAAACGAAGATGATCTCCCCGTGCTTCCAAAGAGAAGGAAGATAGCGGCGGCGCAGAAACCTCGTAGGCGTGCACCAGCATCGAAAACGCTCAGTCGGTCTCGCAGGAACCTTCCATTGAAGGTCGATATGGCAACCGACGCCATGGAGGAGTAGGCCAGATCTGATCTATGAAGGGCGAGTCTGATGTAAAGTCTTGTCCATATCTTGACAACCTTTTTCCACACTGTTCATGGTTTTATTTCGGGGTCTTTTGTCTTTCGGGGTCGGGGTTTATATACATACATACTTCAGATGTGACTATCTTCTGAATGGCTTGTGACATAGGTTTTTATCATACTATACATGCTCTTGTTCTTACTGTCGTGACATTGCTCTCAACCCTGCTGCAAGACTTTTCGTAGATGACTCACTAACCCTTTGTGAAAACGAACAATGCGGACGTGAAAAGCCCCCCGAAAGCTCGTTCAATACCCAGTCCCGTCGCCATTCACAACATCCGCCATCCTCGTTTCGCCCGTCAACACCCCCGACTGGGGAAATACAGACCCATAAACCGGCAACGGCGTCTCCTCCCAAAGCCTCTGAATCCTCCTCGCACTCTCCCCGAACCTCTCCAGCACACTCCCCTCCTCCTCCTCCTCCTCCTCCTCCCCACCCCCCAGCACAAGCTTGAAATCCCTCTTCTTCCAACCGCCCATCCACAAGCACATGCTCGACATCCCCAACATTCGCATGCAGCAGCACCGCCGCAACCGCATTCCTCCACCCGACAAGATCCGGGCCCCGCGTATCAAACACCACCACATCCGCTTTCGCCCCGGGCACAAGCACCCCGACATCACGCCGACGCAGCGCCAGCCCGCCATTCCGCGTCGCCAGCAGAAACGCCTGGGTCGCCGCTCATCGGGGTTCGTAGTCGGGAACGAGCCAGTCCTGCAGCGCCTCGCGGTACCAGACAAGGCGGGTTTTCTGCAGCCGCAGGCGGGGGCCTGGGTGAGGACGTCGGCGGAGAAGGTGAAGTGGGTGTCGGCGCCGAGGGCGGACAGGTCTTGGAAGAGGTGTGCTGTTGGGTGGTTCGTGGCCGTAGTGCATTTCGCTTTCGGGGGTGATGGCGGTGTGTTGGTGGGTCTGGCGCAGGAGGCGGGCGTCGAGGGGGTTGAGGTTGGAGGCGTGGCTGGAGATGATGGGGAGGGTGGTGTTGAGCAGGGCGTGCGAGTGGAGGAGAGATGGGGTGTTTGCGGCGCCCCAGGGGCCGGTTAGGAGGTGTGTTGTGTAGAGGGATGGGGCTGTTTCGCTGTGGGGTGTCAGTTGGGGGGGGGGGGTTGAAGGGAGGTTCCGAGGGGAAGGGGGAAGCACTTGATGAGTTGTACCACGGCTGAGTTTATTTCTGGAGGGTTGGCAAGCCACGAGTCGTACGAGAGTCCAAGGCTTATGGACGTATTGTGGAAGCTTGCAGCAGCGACAATAATGGTGCGATAGTCGGTCATTTGCGCCGTGATGTCGTAGTACGTCAGGTTGTGCAGGGTGATGCAGTACCAAACACGCGCGCCGCTGTCGATACTGGAGTTCAGCCTGGCGAGCACATGGTCGAGGGAGAAGGATGCTGAGGCGTGGTCGACGATGGACGTTACGCCAGCGTGGAGCGATTCCCGGATGCCGACTGTTTGGGCATGGTATATGTCTTCAGGGGTGTGAGATTCACCGTAGCGGTAGATATACTAATGAGGGGTTTCTCGTACCCGTCCCACGCACTTCGGAGTTGTAACCTCCGAATTCATTATCCGGGGCGTGGACTCCAGCATGCTCGGAGTTGTGTCAGACGGACCAAACCTAGGTACACGTGGTGCCTTGTTAATTCTACTCGGATATGGATCTACTCATCATCTGAGCGGACGAGTGCCAACACTGCCAGGAATATACCATGACCGCTCAAACCGGCACTCTCTTGCCCACCCTCCGCCAAAAGTCACACCTCTCCCGCAACTTCGGAACAGGAGCCTGACTAAAGCCCTCCGAACCAATGACAAACTCCTTCCCCTCACTAATCCGGGGCAGACCAGTAACATTCGCCGGCGTGAGTTTCCGTGCATTCGGATCCCCCGTCTGGAACAGACTCGCAAACGCCCCTGCATAGCCCCGATAGACGAGCGGATCAGCCGTCTGCACCGCATTGACCGAATTCCACTACATCACATCGCCGTCAGCATCCAAACAAACACACACACACTCTCTCTCAGAGCCAAAGAAGATACCAAACATCCACTTACCCACTTCGTATCATCCGCATGCGTCGCCGGCAACCGCGCATACTCAGACAAATACCCCGCCCGCCTCGCCGCCCCCGCAACCCAAAAGCCCGCACAGCTCAGCACCGAGTCCCTATATATCGCGCCGGCGCGCTCATACGTCGTACCATAAGCCGCCGTATCCGTGCTCCCAACGCCCGGATACAAAGCCTTCACATCCGCGATATCCGCGTCCGTGAAACCGGGCAGATACCCCCGGAGCCAGCCGTCGAAACTCGCCTCGGAGGAGTTATACCCCCCGCCGGCGGTCGTCGAGTTCGCCGTCCTGAGCCCCGGCGGCACAAACGTCTCGCCTTCGTGCTGGTTGAAGGTGGCCCATGCGACGTCTATGTCGATTCGTCCGCCGCTCACGGCCTCCGTCAGCGTCTCCCGCAGAAACGTGCCGTCGATGACCGGGCCCCAGTTGAATGTCCTGGTCGTGTACTTGAAGTCGTCCTTCATCGCGTACGCCGCCGTGCGGATGCGCGCGAAATCCACCTCCTTTAAACACCGCAGCGCCGCGGCCTTGTCCATCCCCATCCCCATCCCCATCCCCACACCCGCATCAGCACACCCAACCAGCACCGCCAACCTCTCAAACTGCCCCTCCGCCTCCACCCCATCAAACGCCCCCGTCCTCCCCCAAAACGGACTCGTCGGCACCGCCCTCCGAAACAGTCTCTCCCTGCCCCCTCCCATCCCCGCAAGAACCTGCGCAACAACACTCCCCCCGCCCGCACTCTGCCCCTGCACCGTAACATCCCCCGCATCCCCACCAAAACCATGAATATACCTCCCTACCCACCTCAACGCCGCCCTCTGATCCAGCAGCCCCACGTTCAAATCACTCCCCGCATCCGCCGCGCCGACCGCGCTCCCGGCCAGGAACCCGAACGCGTTGACCCGGTAGTTCGGATACACGACTACGTAATCTGCGTCTGCGTCTACGCTGAGCACAGGATACAGCGAAGGCGGCACACCCAACGCCGCGCTTCCACGGATGAAGCCCCCGCCGTAGAACACCACGACGACGGGTCTGCGCACGGTGGTGTCGGATGTGTTCCAGGGCCGGGAGTAGATGGATAGGAAGAGGCAGTTTTCGACGCCGGTGGTGGTGTCTTGTGGGCAGGTGGGGAAGGGGGTCGGGGAGCTGGTGTTGTGGGTGCCGGTGTAGGGGGGGAGGGGCTGGGGGCTGCGGAAGCGGTTTGGTGGGGCGGGGGAGGCGGCGTATTGGAGGGCGGGGAAGAGGGTGAGGTTGTAGGTGGGCGAGTAGGTTCCTGTTATGGTGGCGGTGTCGAGGGTTATGGTTGGGTTTTGGGAGGGGGAGGTTGCGTGGGTGAGGGGGAGGAGGGGGAGGAGGATGGGGAGGGAGAGGGAGAGGGAGAGGGAGAGGGAGAGGGAGAGGGAGAAGGGCATGCAGAGGTATGACTGCCGCATGCTTCGTGTCCTAACAATCCTTCTAATATCCCCGTTCCCGCAAGACAGATAATGCAAGAACGTGAAGAAATATCAATGTCGCAAACGCAGCAGCATGTCTCGAGCAGGCTGCCTATGATATACTACACCTACCCGCGACGCCCACCTGCATCCTACACTCCCGTCTATAAAAACATGATGGGGCACCACAGCGGGTAGTTCCTCGATGCTCGGAGGAAGAAACGGTGGTGTTCCGTGCGTTTCGCTGCAATGTGAGCCGAGCCGCGAGCTACTAGGGGGGAATTTATCCGGCGACTACAACATCATGGATTGGGAGATGTCCTGGGTTGATATTGTCCGTCGTGGAGTATTGTTTGGGGCTGTGAGGGGGGAGGAAGGCTGGGTCTGTTCGAGGGGTCTTGGTGGTCTTGCTGTGGGGTTGGTGCATCTTGTTGTCGAGACATCAAGGTTCAGATACGACATCAGCATCACTTCACTCATCCACCTCACGCTCACGCTCACCCTCTTCCCCCCCTTCCCACACCCCATCCCAACAATCCCGCACAAACCGTTCAAACCGTTCAAACACCAGCGCAAACACCCCCCCAAAATCTCCCAATCAACAGCTCGATAACTCCTAGATGCGGATGTGGATCGTAACGCCTGTCAGAACATCCATGCGAGATATAAAGTGAGCTACGCACGAGTGCCCCGCACGAACGCATCCATGATGTTCAATCTATAGATAGAACAAACGACCCGGTACTAGGTACAGTAGCTACATTGAATGCCAGCCAAGCACAACTAGCGCTTCAACACGTCCGTCTATCTGAAAGAGCTCTAGGAGGTAATTATGAGCATCGTCGGATTTACTGCTTTGCACCGTCGTGGCGTGGAGACTTCAAGGTCTCAATATCGCCAAGTGGGAGTGGTATCTGCGAGCACGTGCATGGATGGCTAAATGGCCTCAAGAACGGGACAACAGGAGAGCAGAAAGTACGAAAGACTTGAAACAACAAATGCTCGATAGTCTTTCACATTCGATCTCTATGTCTATCCCTTTTATATGTCTGCACCTAGCTGGCGTGGGTATCGTCCGGGTATCATGACTCTGCTCATGCTACAGGAGTCGAAAAGACAAGCGTGATATGACTGTGACAACATTAGCAATCAAGACAAAACACTTTCCCATCCCAGGCCACCAGCAGCAGCAGCAGGAAACTTACTCATCACCGGCAGTCACAACAGACTTCTCCTCCTTGCCCTGCACAAAGCCCATGATGCCGCCCCCGTCACCACCACCCCTGTGCCCCCTCCATTCGCCGACTAACCCTCTGGCAGCAGCAGTCGTACCCCCTCGTGCATCCCACCTCCTGACCACGCCGTCATTCCCGCACGATGTGAGCAGCCAGCCGCCCTGGCCAGACTTCTTCGAGAACTCGACCTTGATGACTGCCTGGCCCTCGCCCTCATCCTCATGCGCGTTTTCGATCCGCCGCCTGGCGGCGAAACGATGTGCCACGTCGAACAGGACGATAGAGCCGTCCACGTTTCCGGCGGCCATGAGTGTGAGAGGCGGCTGGGCGAACGAAATGGTTTCTACGCTGTCGGAGCCCGCTTGGAGTGAGGCGAGGATCTGCCCGGCTTGTCCGCTGGAGCCAGCCTTCGGCCCACCGGCTTGCTTGCCACCAGCAGCTTTGCCTTTTTGCCCGGCACCTGTTGCGCTACTCGTTGCCGACGCATCTGCGCCTAAGCGTGGGAGCCCGACGATCCGTATCTGGCCCTCGGGTCCACCGACCGCAATCAAGGAGCCGTTCGGCGAGATGGCGATGCTGTATAGGCCCCCTTCAACCTTGAAACGCTCGTCGTGGCCAGTGAGTCCGACGACACTTTGGCTGCCTTGCGCCTCGACCAGTCCCGCCGCGGCAGCCTCTCCGAACACATCCCACACATATAGACTCGAGTCTTCCGAGACTGTTGCCAGTAGCTTGCCGTCTGGCGTCCAGGCCCCAGCCGTACATGATTCCTGGTGGATGTAGAACGTCTGGACAATACTCAAGGGCGATGTCTTGTCCGCCGCGTTGATCGTGTAAACCCAGACAGAGCCATCGTTTGCGCCCATGGCTACCGTGTTCGGGTACTCTGGGTGCGGACAAGCCGCCAGCCAGTTGATTTCCTCCACCTCTTGCGCCTCCGCAATGAATCTCCACTTCAGCCCTGACGCGTCCGACTGCCATGTCCTCAGTTTTCCATCCAGTCCCGCCGACACCACATACTCTCCGCGAGGAAGTGTGAATGTGATTGCGTTTATGCTGTCCGTATGCCCCTCCAACTTGAAAATAGGCTTCAATCCCTCTCGTTCTACCGGTCGCGGATCGCTTTCGTAGCTCGGAGGAAGCACGGGCGGCTGTGGCGGGGTCGCGTCGAGTATATATCCCACATCATCGCCACCGCCTGTCGCGACGACGTTTGGATTTCGGGGATGGGAAGCAATGCAGAAGATCGAGTCTTTGTGCCCGTCAAAGTGCGCGACGCTGTCGTTGATGAGCTGAATCTCTTCCAACGTGGCCGAGGGGTCCTCGTCTGCGTCCTCATCCGAGTCCATGGCTGCGTCGTCGTCCGAGGGCACTTCTTCGCCTATCTCGTCTTCTTCCAGCATGTCGTCGTCCACGTCCTCGACGTCATCGTGGGGTTGGTGGGCTGACATTTGCAGGAAATGGCTGACAAGGTTTGAGGGTTGAAGGGAGCGAAAAAGAATTGGGAAATATGCTTTTAGTAGCAGGGTAAAGAGCGACTTTATTGTTTTATATAATTTGCTGCGAGGCAAGGTGAAGTTTCCAGAGTGCTTAGAAATTCATGCCAAAAAGTTGCCAGTCGATTAGCCAGGTTTAGCAGAGTCGGGGAGGGGTTGCGCCGACCTCATAGATTGATCCATACCTAAATGGCACAAACGAGCTCGCTTCGATACATTGAACAGGATGAATTAGGACATTCGTACTTTATGGCCCAAAACATGACTTCACCACTCCACCTCAAATTTCAGTCACAGATGGATCAGTAGTAAACGGCGGTAAAGAGTGGGTAGAGACACTTTTGTTCTGAAGATTGCACTATCTCGCTAGCTAAATTGTGGATGTGGAATTGTGGGAGGGGTATAGCATCGAGACTGTATAGTACAAAATCGTAAGCAAAGTGTAGTATAAGGCCAGATCATGGTTTAAATCCAACAGAGTTCCACCAAGACGCGTGCGTCGTACGGCCGGCCCATTTTTCCAAAGGCTGTTCTCAACCCGACACCCCTAGATCGTCGTATGTAGATAAATAGCCAGACCATCGTACAACAACAAAAGAAACAATAATAGATCATCGTACAACAAAGGGAAGAAGTGTCGGGCTTATATTTACATCAGAATGTAGAAGCTTGCATCATTAAAAGTCGTAATCTGTCAAGGCAGTCCGACAACAGCTAGACCTCGGTGGCCGCCCGCCTCTTCCAGAATTTCCACTCAGCTTTCTGGTTGTTCTTGTTCGCAGCACCGGTTGGCAGTCGCTGAGTAGCAGCAGGCGGTACTGGTGGTCCCGAGTTCCGTAGGAAGTCGGCCAAGTCGCCGGTTTCAGAATTGGTGGCGCCCTGGCGCGGCGAGACAACTCTCGCATCGCGTGCGCCTGTAGCCGACGACTGCTTCGGACGAGTCATGCGCGCCGCGGTGTTGGCTGGGGGAGGATGCGCTGCAAGTGGGGACAAAGGTGGTGAGCGCACATCTTTGGGATCATCATCGTATGGGACGCGTTGACCGTTTGATGAAGATGCAGTGTCGTTCAGCCTGCGAGGGATAGAGCCAGCAGTGACAATTGGCTTGGGCTCGTTTTGCGAGGGAGGATCGACATTCCGAAGAAAGTCAATCAGGCTCTCTTCTTGACGTTGCGTTTGCTTTGGCAAGGCGGTGAGAAGGTCCTCATCTTCATCGTCGGAGTAGTCAATTGCGTATGGGTCCTTCACTCGACGCCTTGTCCGCGTGATAGTCGGTCCGGAGTCCGGCGATGACGTAACAGCAGCAGCGGCACCACCACCACCACCACCACCACCACCACCACGATTGTTGCTGGTCTGTTGCTTGGGTGAGGTGGAGTAGGTGGGTTGAGAGACCTTGGGGGCTGGGAGCAGCCCGGTCCTGGAGTTGTTCGTAGTGCCAGACGTGACCGATTCTGGTGGAGTGCCGTGATGGTCGGAACGGTCGCTATACATGTTGTTGAACTCGTCCGAGTCCATGGTGGTGCGGAAGGGGGCAACTGTACGGGCAATGCGGTGCTCTCCAGACTTGCCGCTTGGCGGGCCCTGCCGGATAAAGTCGATCAAGTCGCCGCTACCTTCGTTGGGGCTAGATGGGCCTCGAGGCTCGAGTTGCACACGCGGCCGTGCCGTCGGACCGTCATTGTTGACCTTGGTGGCGTTGGAATTGTTTGATGCCGAGCGAGCGCGCGCGGAGGCAGAAAGACGCCGCCCTATCGAGCTCTTGGAATTTGGCGAGGCAGAGAGAATAGGTCGAACCTCTTCGGTGTCGCGGGCCGGGCCGGTTGACCGGATGAAGTCTGCAAAGTCACGCATCGAGTCTGTCTGTACGCGCGCATCCCTCGCAGTTGGGCCGCCAAACCTCCTCGGATATGCTGGAGTTGGGCGCGTGTTTGAGGGGACTCGCGGAAATGACTGCTGCTGTTGGGGCTGCTGTCGGGGCTGTTGTCGGGGCTGCTGTTGTGAAATCGACGTCGGTGTGAAAGTATCTGGTGCTGGGTGCTCTTGGCGATGAACAGTGACCTTTGTCGTAGGTTTCGGCGGCTCACGCGACATTGGAGCACGACCCTATTCACTTCGGTTAGCGACTAGACTTTCTCTAATTCATCCAGGCTGCTCGGTACTTACTTCCATTTCACGCATGCTTGACGGAGTGAGCGTGTACTTGACCGTTTCCTCGCGACTGACTAGCGAGTCGAATTCTTTCACTCGGTCCTCTTCTGACATCCTGCCACTGAGTCCTCTAGGTCGCGTCTCTCCGTCAAAAGACCCTGCTTTATTCAGGATGGACGAGCCGACTGAAGTGGACTGCGAACTGGACGATATGCGCTGCACAGCAGCCCTCTCAGGCTCATCCGACTGGCGCTTTGATTTGCTGATGCTGGAGATGCTGTTGTTCGAGCTTCTATCGCGCGATTTGTCTTTGGAAAGAGAGCCCGAGGTTTGCCTTGTGCCCTTTCCGTTGGTCAAACTATGTCCCCTGGCCAACTCTGCCTGGGGAAAGCTTTCGTGCACGGGTGAAAGAGTCACGCTGCGAGACGTGGAACGCGGGGCGAATTGCTCGGATATTGGGCTGATGTCACTTGCACTGGAGCCCGTCTTTCTCAATGCCAGAGGCGCAGGAGCTAGATCACCGGGTGCCGGCTGATCGTTCTCTTGTAGATAGTGTTCAACATTCGGGACGTCTTGCAAATCAGATCCGTTCATGTTCGCTGAAAGCAAGTCGAGATTCTGTGCAGCTATCGGGACGTCGGACGTTCTCGCAACACCAATCTCTTCTGGGTCGTGTGCTGCAGCATGATATGTGGACGACCTTTTATTTTTGGTGTACTTTTCAGTGTTGGATGCGGATCCACTACGAGTGTTGTATGACGGACTCGATCGCTTAGCGTATGGAGCACCAGCTGTTTGCGACTGCACCCTAAAGGGGTCATATTCTTCATCTCCGTCTTCATCACGAGGCGAGCTCTGGGGGGAGACTCCGACCACATGTGCCTCCGGTTGCGGGGTTGTGTCGCGGGCGAAGACGCTGCCATGTGCATCCGTGTTAGGCACAACACGCTCTCTCGGGCCATGCTGCTTCACAAGGTCTGACTCGCTGACATACGACTCTTCTTCTGGTGTGGGTTCCATTGGTGTTTCAAAGTCGGTTGTAGGCGAATCCTGCATCTCAGCAACACGGTACAGCTCATACGGTATCCTCAGCGGCGGAGGCAGCGAGACAGGGCGTTGCCGCGATGTTCGCGAGGCGACAGGCTCTTCGTCATAGAAGCGAGATGGCGGTGGCAGGAAGGAACTGTGGGGACGTTTGGGAGCGTGCACAGCCGGTGTCAAGACTCCATCATCATCAACGTCATCGTCGTTGATCTCCTTTGCAAGACCCGGAACTTCGATTTCGTCAACATCGCGTTCTGTCATGGGCAAGGGTATGTTGGCAGCGATTTCAGTTTCGGTCGGGATGGGGCCCGGCTCTCGATCCATTGACATCCTGGAGCCTTCCTCATTTGACAGGACGGATTCGTCAAAGCTTGGCTGGTGATAGAGACCGCGGCTATAGCGGCCACCAACGGGTCTTCTGGACATTGGAGAGGTATAGCCTGCGGAGGAGCGCGAACGCTTCCTCCAGGTTCTCCAAAGCCTGCCAAGTAATGGATTAAGAGCAATCTTCTCGGCATCGTGCTCCTCAATCACCACTCTTTCGACGGGCCGCAACTCAGGTTCGTTGTCGGTAGCGCTAGAGACGCTTTTCTTGCGCTTGTTCGCCGCGCGAGTAAAGGCAGCTTGGCCACAGACGTTCAGTGCCTGCTCTGCAATGTATTCCACAACAGAAGTGAGGAAGATGGCGGCAGCCCACGAGACAAGGCTGCTCTGTGCAGATGAGGGCTTCTTGCCGACGGTCTCGCCTTCTTGCCTTTCTAGCTGTGCAATGTATGTTTCCTCGTCCTCGTCCTCCATCTCGCCGAGTCTGGTGTAGACCATGACACGTAGACGTGTTCTCTTCCATACTTTGACTAGTTCCCACTTTGGCTTTGGGTCGTCATCATCATCGTCCAGAGACTCTTCCTCATCGCCGTCTTCAGGCTCTCCGGCCAGGAGATCTTGCAGTTCCTGGTCGGCATTTGCGATTGCTTCCCTTGCCAATTTGGGCTTGAGAACCTCTACGATGGCCGGTCGGATTGCGGAGAGGGTGGAAGACTGAGCGGTGGAGAGGAAGGTGAAGAGGAGGTTGTCGAGGAAGGAATTGACGAGAGTCAGAGCGTCGTCTGAGAAGAGGGCGACGTCCTCGGTTGGGGTGGAGTGATCGTCCAGGCCGAGCTGCTCGCGCATCGAGGCATTGTGCTGGTCGGTGACGATCTGAGAGGCGGCAGCGACGGCGACGTAGGCTGGCGGAGGAGTCACGACCATGGATGGAGGAATCATGAGGCCAATGGACATGGAGGATCTTTCGCTGCTGAAACTGGGGGCTCTGCTGGAGCGCGGCGATATGAAGTCGCCATTTTCAGATTTGGCGTTGCGGCTCATGGTGGTAGTGGTGGTGGTGGTGGTGGTGGTGGTGCGAAAAGTGATGTATCACCAAAGAGATTGGTCACCCGGGATGCACAAATTGCATGAGAATATGCGGGTGGATTCTCGTGTCCAAGTGGTTGGTGTGGCGTTTCTCTGGCCAGATACAGGGCCGGTCAGTGTCAGCAAGGCCGCGATTGAATGTGTAGAGAGAGAGAGAGCAGAGGAAGGACGACGGCGAAGAGGAAAGAAGGAGAGAGGCCTGCTCAGAGAGGGAGAGAGGAAAGATGCGAGTCGGACGATCAAGAAGCCATTTAGCAGACGAAACGATTCGAAGGGACGAGATGCAAGAGAGAAGATAGGAGTTCGGGTGGCTTGCGGAATGTTTGGAGGCAGAGACGCTCGCACCGACAAAGAGTCCGGATTTGGGACCCAAGGAGTTTTGTATGGATAAGCGGGCGCAAGGCCTAAGGGAAGGCAGCGCTGAGGGGGAGGGGGGGCGGAAGTAGTAGTGAGTTCGGGCCTAATGCAAGCAGCAGAGCTAAGGATAGTCAGGATAGTCAGGATAGTCAGGGTAGTTGGTCGAGGGCAGAACAGTAGGGATGAATTAGGTTTCAGTTAGGATGCGACAAGGGTTCTTCGGTCGAGGCATAATGATACACAAGAAGCAGAAGGGTAAGCAGGGTGTGGAAGAATATGTGGTATACATGTATATATACGTGCACAGCTAAAACTAGATAGCGCAGCACCACCAAAGCTGACAACCGACAAGAGGCATTTACAAAGAACAGACAGGATAAGCATATGATAGTGACGAGGAGGTAGGCTGCATGCAATTGCTCTTTGTGTGCAACATGTTTTCATTGTCAATAGGCACCAGGGAGGAGGATGTCAGCGAGTCGGGATGTGATAGGCTGGTGAATTGAGTGAGCAATGGGGTAGAGAGAGTATGAGAGAGAGTAATAAGAGTAGCAGTAGTAGCAGTAGTAGCAGTAGTAGCAGTAGTAGCAGTAGTAGTAGCAGTAGTGACAGAGTGGTAAAAGGGAGTTAACGCAGAAGAGTAGTAGTAGTAGCAGTAGTAGTAGTAATTAATTAGTGGTGTAGTAGTATAGTGTAGAGCAAGACTCGCCAAGTCAGCCCCACAGTGTCCGGCATGCGACTCAGGCGTGCGTGCGTGGGTGCAGGGTGGTGCGGGTGCGCAATCCGAGCTGACATCCTCCTGCCCAGGCTGGACCTTCAACTGGAATTGAAGATTGAAGCCTCCACCTTAATCTGCAGCTGGGCACGACTGCACTCATTATTAACCACTCACTATGACTATTGCTACCTTGTAAGAGTCAACTGGTGAGAGGCACACATGGTACAGTCGCATGATGCTGCTGCAGCTGGCCTGGTGTAATCAAGCAATGTGCCGCAACATGAAGCTGCATCAGTGTCGTTTCAGGTACAGGAGCAACAAGCAACAAGCAACAAGCAACAAGCAACAAGCAACAAGCAGCTGTAAGGGGGCCATTCAAGTTAGCTGTGCTGCAGTAAGTTGCAGTGCCGGGGTGGTAGAGATGATTATGTCATGTCTACTGTCTACTATGAGGTTCCTAGTGCATTACCTGCCTCGACGGGCTCTCTAGCTCTAGTGTGGTGTTGGGTGGTGTTGGGTGGTGGTGGGTGATGGCGTCTGCACGTCCCCTGGCTTGGCCCGTCTTGCTCTCTAATTACTGCTCTCTCTCTAGCTGATAGCAACAACATATGCCTCTCTCTCTCTCTCTTCACTCTCTCACATTATTGTCGCCTCGTTTTCGTCTTGCTCTGTCACTCCATCACTCCCCAACTCTCCACCTTCTTATCTACTCACCCAGCTCGCCCTCTTCTTACTCCTCTTTCTCTCCCTCTACACTGCACTTCTGCCAGCAAAGGTCTCAGACCACGTCACATGTGCTTCTGTCAGCCATGCCCGCATAGACTTTGCTAGTTGCGCCGCTGACTCGTCGTCGGAATGTCATCAAAGTTAAATGGCAATTCCGCCTGCCGTTGTCCATCTTCGGTCCAGCTCCCACGAACTCCTACCTGTTTCCAGTCAAGCTTGCTTTGCCGGTGTTGCTCTCGACGAAAAAGCCATGCCGTCTTGCCAGCACTGCGTTTTCCTCCGATCTTCACCGCATTGCCGTGATCGCCATCATCTTTGGCTTTTTTGATATGCACTTCGCATCCTCTGATTCCGTACCTGATGCCATATTAAGTTGAAAGAGCAACGGCCAGTTGACAAATCAGACGGCACACTTCACTACGATATACCTGCTACAACATGTGCCTTGAGATCGAGCACACGAAAAAACAACTCAGCTCTTGCCCGACGTCGTCATCATGGCCATCTGGGACACGGTACAGTAGCTAACAAAAGACATGAGTAGCAGCAGCGGAGACGTAGGTTTGCGGCACGAAATGAAAGCTATAGCTGCTCGACACCACCAAACATGACATCCAGAAGGCTCGATGGAAGCCACGACAATGCGAATTGTGGATCGATACAACGGCCAATCTCGCGTGCGCCTCTCCTCGGAGAGAATGAAACGTTCCACACTCTCTTATTATATAAATATAGCCTATACCCAACACCACAAAGAAGTTAAGAAAGCATAAATCAAGGCAGACTGGACAAGAGACCAATTAAAGACGCTGATATCCAGTCTAGCGAGCGAATGGTGCGACGAATCCACGCGAACGCTGTTGCGCTGCTACTGCTGGTGCACGGCCATCCAATCCTCACTTGCTCTGCAATCTGGGGTATTTAGCTAGCACGCCTCCTCCCACGTGGCTGAGGTACTGCAAGAACGGTTGAGTGATGACGAAGTGGGAAATTGCCCTTCAGCCACGTGCAAGTAATTCTTTCTCTATATCAACAAAACGGCGCGACACTACTTGATCCTGTTCAAGAACGAAGGCAGTAATCTGTTTGTGCGAGACAGTCCAAATATCATGCACACTTTTTCACGCCTGATGCTGCCCTGTTGCGGCGCTGCTAACCAGCCTCCAGAGTTTGATCAAATCTCTGGGATAGCGTTGCTTTCGGCGGCATCAAGAATTTGTCATTCTATAAACAGGAAAGTCACTGCCAGCAAGAGCCTGTCGAGTACTGTCTGCATCAAGAATGTCTTCCCGACCATGATGGATGAGAGATGTGCAAGGACGGGCAATGACATGGGCTAATTATTGCTCATGCGGCGCAGTCGGGTAATGCAACACGTAGCACTGTAGCAGCAAGGTACCGTTGGCATGTATCAATCAAATAGGTAGGTGTCGAGCATAGAACGTGGATGCAGAGTGTCTGGATGCGAATGATTGATGTAATGGAGCCATCCGATGGTAGCAGGATGGCAGCAGCAGGATATCGTGATGAGGCGCTCAAACTCGCAATGTTTATTCCAGGGGAGAGTGCCGGGTGCCAGTGGGTACGTACCTCGGCCATCTACAGTACTACTACTACCATGTAGGTATTACGTGCGGCTATCAATCAGCAGTAGCCAATGAGAAGAGCGGGATTGGGGAATAGATAAGGACAGCGGCAGACTAGACCGCTTCCATCACACGTCTGGCCAAGTTTGTCAGTGGGTGGTGGGCCTGGCGGATCAGGCAGTAGAGCGGTTTAGCAGTCCCCACGCTCAAATCCGGTAAGTGGCGGCCTTCACTTTACCACACACTTTACCACAATGCCGCTGCGATGTCGGGGGCTACCAGGCAAGATGTTGATATTCTCAGGTAAAAATAACTGTCCCTAGCCTCTGCCATGGCCACACTTGGAGTAATAGCAAATGATAACAGCAGACAAAAAAGTGTTCTACTAATTACAGTAGTCACAGGATTCAATTCGAATTGTTGAGGCCACGTCTCGGGACATGTCTTGCTAACCTTAGTACCTTAGTACCTACGTAACACACTCACTCCTGGATAATGCCGCAAAAAGCAGCAGTCAAGCGAGGCGAGGCGAGGCGGTTACCTGGAAGGAAGCCCCCACCGGTTCTGCGTCCAATGACAGCCAGGCATCCATAGCCCTAATTATCCTATAGACGCAGTTGATCTACGAGAATGGGAGTCCTGATTTGATTAGTTGCCTTTTCAATAAACACACAAGTTCCCTCATCAAACTGGACTTGGTTAGAGATGGTGACGGTGTGATAGTCATATACATATAACAGGCCGGGCATGACGACGATCCGGCAGCAATCAGGGGGAGCGAGAGAGAGAGAATAATGATTGTGTATTGTGTGCTGTTGGCTTTGATGTCCTGGAATTATCATAAAAATCACAAAGAACCCTGGAGCCCGCAAGTGATAGTACCCAGGTAGTAGTAGGAATAATAGTAATAATTAGAGCAGCTGTGTAGTGGTACTGTATGTAGTCCGGCTCCACTCAGCTGCTGAACCCTTTTCCCGCTTCACCCAGAACAAAGCCCGGATGCAGCGGCCGGCGCCCCAACATCTTCCGACAGCTAACCCCTGGTCACCTATCGAGCCGTGCGCCAAATAATACACAATACTGTACACACACACACACGTACTCTCTCTCTCTCTCTCGCTCTCTTTTTACACTGCCTCAGCTATTTATCACACTGCCCACGCTCCTCTTCGTCTTCTGGTTTCACATTCATCCATCTGTCTGACCAGTACCCCTACCTCTCTCTACCCAGTTACACGGTTACCGCTGATAACCGCTGCTGATACCTGCAACTTGTCCCATATAAACTCCACCGCTACCCCCCACCTCAACTCTCATTCCTACTCTCACCACTTTCTCAATCTTCTTTTCCACCTTTCCCTCACAATCATAACCACAAACCTCAATCACAATCACCATCATGGTATGGAGTTGATCACGCGAGCACCTGCCAGCCGTGCATGGACTCTAACAGAAACACACAGGCCGAATCAACAATCGTCTCCAACACTGCTCTGGTAAGTCGCCTACCACCACCTATCCTGGCTTGAAATTCCAGCTCTGGTCGGTCTCCGCTAATTGCTTATTTTCTGGTGCAGCTTGAGAAGTTCGCAAAGCTCGACCAGAGGGGCTCCGTCATTGCAGAGTATGTCTGGATCGATGCCTCCAACGGTGTGCGCTCCAAGTGCAAGGTGAGCAGCTTTCTTCCCTTCTCCCTTATCTCGCACACACACTCTTTCTCTCGCTCGCATCCCACGACACAACCTCGACACGTCCAGGCTATGACCGCATCGTGCCTATCCGACTTTTTTTTGGCGGCCGATCGGCAAAGAACCAATCCCACTTGGCCGCAAGCCACACTACAAGCTTGCCGAGGACCTCGCGAGCGAGAATCGCTGGTTGTGGAGGGGCATGGGCAGCTGGCAGCTGGCAGCTCGCAAAACGATCCTCCAGTCGGCCCACACACACACACACTTTGCTCAACAAGCGATGAAAGCGCCGAATCTCGTTGCTTTTGGCCGCTTGTAGCTCTCGTGTGGTTTGTGGGCTGTGGGCTGTGGGTGTGGGTGTGGGTGTGGGTGTGGGTGTGGGTGGGCGCATTTTCGCACATGGCCTACCCACGCGCCGATAAGAAAAGTATCGTCAGCTATCGGTAGCCACAGATGCCGCCTCGCCGCCTCCCCTGCGTGCGTCGCCGCTGTCCCTCCCTGCACCTCCATGTCAAGTGCGCACGAGAATTGCTCGAGTCATGCTGGAAAGTGGCACAAACATGTTATGCACCTGAACTTCGTGCATGCAGTTGCTGACCTGAACTCCTACAGACTTTGACCAAGAAGCCATCCTCGGTCAAGGACCTCCCAGAATGGAACTTTGACGGTTCTTCGACCGGCCAAGCTCCAGGTGACAACTCCGATGTCTACCTGCGCCCGGTCGCCTACTACCCCGACCCTTTCAGACTAGGTGACAACATCCTGGTCATGTGTGAGACGTACATGTCCGATGGCAAGCCCAACGCCTACAACTTCCGCCACGACGCGGCTGTCATCATGGAGGCTCATGCCAAGCACGAATTCTGGTTCGGTCTTGAGCAGGAGTACACTCTGCTTGGCTTTGACGGCTGGCCGTACGGCTGGCCCAAGAACGGCTTCCCCGCTCCTCAGGGTCCTTACTACTGTGGCAACGGAACCGGCAAGGTCATGTGCCGTGATATCGTAGAGGCCCACTACAAGGCCTGTCTGTATGCCAAAATCCAAATCTCCGGTACCAACGCCGAGGTCATGCCCGCCCAGTGGGAATACCAAGTCGGTCCTTGCGACGGCATTTCTCGTAAGTCTGCTCCTGACGATCCCATCCTATGCGCGTCATCACCACACATTCTGACATGAATACCAAACAGTCGGTGACCAGCTCTGGATGTCACGTTTCCTCCTCCACCGTGTCGCCGAGCAGTTCGGTGCCAAGGTCACGTTTGCCCCCAAGCCCATCCCCGGCGACTGGAACGGTGCCGGTCTGCACACCAACGTCTCCACCAAGGAGATGCGTGCGGACGGCGGAATCAAGGCCATCGAGGCTGCCATGGAGAAGCTGGCCGAGCGCCAGGTCGAGCACATGGAGGTGTACGGAGAGGACAACCGCCAACGCATGACTGGCGCTCACGAGACTGCGTCGTACGACAAGTTTTCGTGGGGTATCGCCAACCGTGGCGCGTCCGTCCGCGTCAACCGCGCTGTGGCCGAGGAGGGCAAGGGATACTTTGAGGACCGCCGTCCCGCCTCCAACGGAGACCCATACCAGATCACCGGCATAATCGTCGAGACTCTATGTGGCAAGGTCAAGGGCGCCGACATGGTGCAGGCAGCCAAGAAGGGCGAGGCAGTTGAGAACGAGATGGTCGTCCCGATTGCGAAGCCGTAAATGCATTTGTGAACATTGGCGCATCTGGTTCTTGCTCCCAATCGGTTTCCTTGCCCATATCATATACCTAATCCTTTGCACGTCATTCTCGACCCTCGAATGCTAGGTTCTAGCCAACATGGATGGAATCAGCATGCATATCCACACCCCACATCCCACATCCCCAGCATCTACCACCATCTCCGTACAGGTAGCTGTACGCTAGCGCATAGCGCCTAGACTTTACGGACATGTGTCCACCAACATGCGTCCACATGCTGTATGTAGTAGCCCGAATGAGAAGCATGAATTCACCTTTTCGTCTTGTTGTCTTGTGCGTGACCGTGTGGTATTGTTTGTGCACGCTTGGTCTGTAGGTCTGCATGGACGGAGACTCGTTGGTTACTGCGCGGAAGCGGAAGGGTTTCTGACGCGGTCGCGGTTCATCTTCCGAGCCGAGGCTGCCGACTTGCACCCACCATCCATCTTGAGATCTCGGATTTGGGCTTTCCTTGGCTACGGCTATCAACCATGAAAGACTATCAAGGGCTATTAAATATATATTGATCATTGGGGGTTTTAGCAAAGTAGAAGATGTAGATGATAAAAAAAGTAAGATAACAGTCAGCAAGTAAGTACCCCCTTATGAAGAAGAAAGAAAAGATAGATAGATATACGGATAAAAAAGTAACGCTTAGATATAATCCAGCCCTAATCTTGAAAGCATTTCATGGTGGATGGACCTTCCCTCGCTCGCATCTGCTACTGCTAACAATCCAATGAACCAAAGCCCCCAACCCAAACTCCCCTCTTTCCCTTCCACAACAAGAAACCACAAAACAAAACCAAAGCCTCAACACCCCCTAAACTAAACCCTCCCCCTAACCCCCCACCCAACCTTCGCCCCCCTCGCCGCAACCAAAAACGCCCCCCCAACAACCCACCCCGCCAGCGCACACGCAAACGCCCCCGTGAAATCCGATCCGTCGTCCGGTCGTTGTCCTCGTCGTCGAACAACAATAACACCGATCAGGCTGGCGCAGATGGGGCTGCCGAAGAGGATGCCGACGCCACAGGCTGCTAGGGCGACGGCGTGGCGTTTGGAGAGGGTTGTTTTGGGGTTGCCGAATGATTGGGAGTGCAGGTCGAAGCGGTCGAGGGTGGCGAGGAGGAGGGGGAGGAGGGGGGTGGTTAGGGCGTAGAGGGTTGCTAGGGTTGTTGCCGTGGGGGGGAGGGGGAGGGGGGTGTATTTCTGTTGGGTTTGTTGTTGTGGTGTTGATGATGGTGATAGGGGTGATGGTGTTGTTGTTGTAGGTAGGGCTGGTGGTGATAAACTGACGGCATCAAGCGCGATCCACACGGCGAGCACGACGGCGGAGAGAAAGGTGCTGGGGAGCAGCGTGTTCAGGGGCCCGGTGAGGTGGTGCGCTAGGAGGCCTGGGATGGCGCTTGCGAGGAGCGAGACGGCGAGCATGAGGATGAGGATGAGGATTGCGTCGTCGGGGGCCTGGCGGAGGGAGAGGGTTGCGTAGGATACGATCTGGTTGGGGTGTGGGTTAGTTTGTTTGTTTGTTTGTTTGTTGTGTGTGTGGCGTGGCATATCGTATCGTATCATGACAGCCCTACCAGACCAGTCCAGAACGACAAGACAAGACAGGACACACAGGAAGATAGGAAGAAACTCACAAAGTACACCGGCCCCAGCCACCCAGCAAACACAAACCCCAGCCCAACAACAAGCAGCAAAAACGGCCCGTCATTCCGCATCGCCTCGTTCCGCGCCCGACTCGGCGCAAGCCCCTTCTTCAACATCTTCCGCCGCCACCTGCTCATCCGCGTCTCCCACTCCTGTCGCCGCCTCTCCAGATCCCCATCCCCA